GCCCCAAGCAGTCCGCGAATGAGCTCTGAACAGTTGAAGCTAAATCTTTCTTCTCACTTGCGCTAATATCAGCATCGCAGAAGATATAATAATTCGAACTTCCTGATCCACCCGAAACATTTTGGACTTCCGTGTTGTTGGCACTGGGGCAGGTATACTTCGTACTCTTGTTGAAGGGGCTTGTGGATGTTGGTGACGGGACTGATGTTCCTGACGCAGTAGATATCGTCGACGTAGACGATGATGATGATGGCGACGATGATGACGATGGCGACGACGATGAGGTTGGCGATGATAGGGTAGACTCTGTGCTTGAGCTAGTTAGATCTGCAGACGCTGAAGGTGTTGTGGAGGTAGAATGCGGCCCTATAACTTGAAGGTTAGCGTAAGGCATCGTATTTACCTTGAGATGAGGAGGGAGGATACTGCTAAGTCCAACTCCCAGCCCAACAGCAAGGGCGATAATGACCGCAATGAGTGCTGCTACCATCACCGTGAGCCAGAAGGTCAGCTTGCGTAGGCCGCATACCCTCTGTTTATGAGGTATAGACTCTTCGGCCGGCGCTGGTAAGGCGATATAGCGAGGGCTTTGATTAGGATTGAGTTCCAGCCCAGGCTGAACGACCTCTATTCCATGAAATGGTGCGACCTCCATTTTGTGGGATTCATGGGTTTTTGAAGCTAAAGATAAAATAGAAATAAAAAACAAAAAGCAGAAGAAAATAGGGAAAAAGAAGGAGAGGGTGGCAGCGAACTGCAGAGTGACCTCAAGGGTCCGATTCTGGCTTGTTACTTTGGCGTCTAAAGCTATGAGCTAATTGGCGCTCGTGAGGCAGATCCCGCTGCATGTCATCGTTGGAACGAAATATACTGACAACAGGGAATCTGATGGCCGGGAGTCGGGAGGCGCTTGATATGATGGAATGTATTAAATCCTGTTAAGTTAAGCCTCATTTCACCAAACTGACGCTTGATGAGATCCCCGAGTAGATGTAGAACTCAGTCGATTGCCAAATTGTGATCAGGGTGTAGTATGCATAGATGGGTCGCCATTGGAGGCAAAAGGAAAACACTGAGTGTGCTTTCTGGATCGTACGATGCAGACTTCATTAGGCTTCATCTTCCGAACAAAGTTAACCCATTTGTTAGGATCATAATTAACGGGTATGATGGTAGAAAAATGGCCTCTGTATACACAGTATTGTAGGGATCTACTTATTTCCATGCTTTGTAAATTGTTCATTTCATTCTCAGTCCAGTGGAGCATAGTGAAGATATGTCTAACTAATACATACGAGCTCCGCTGCTAATTTTGGTTCTTGTCACTATAACATCATCTATACCACACATTCCTTTACTGAATCCCAACAGGCATACCTCGAGTATACTTTCGTGAACCATATATCCGCTCCTATATCTTAGCAAACAAGGATGAATCAGCATGGAATATAAAACCTCAGGTACAGAAATCACGCTTACCAAGTAACCACCTTGCTTACCTCTGCTAAAAGGCTAGGGCAACGGCGTCTTATGGAGCTTGGTGGGAATGTGAGTCCTTACCCAATGCGATGATCAAGTGACAGGAAACTATACATACCTGGTAATCTATGCTTTTCCTAAGATAGCATGGCTGTGTCTTTCATCAAGGTCCATGCAACTAGGAGGGCCATCGGGAGGTGGCATTAAATATTCTCCATCACAGTTGTTGCCTGTCTAGAAGACAATATTTACAGGGTCACCCTCCGAACCCCAGTGGCTAGACCACCAATGGCCATCGAGCTTCTCGCAAGCTTAAGGTTTGCCATGATCAGAGATCGAACCAGTTTCCCTACCCTTACAGCCTCTTTCGGTAAAGAAGTGGACTTCCCAAGCAGAGGCAAGAGTAGACCTCTGCAGGCCCGCGGGCGGCCTGTAGACTCTTATAAAAGCAAAAACAACTGTTTACGTAACCTTTATAAAGATATACAGTATTAATTATTTTTTATATATATTTAACTTACAGTGTTAGAAAGAAGAAGTTTAATTAGAATAATTTTATTTTTCTTTATTTACTTAATACTTTATATAGTATTAATTAATAAAGTTATTAACTGGGAGAGACGGGAGCGCTCGGATTGGGTTCAAGGGGGATTCTGAATCCTTTAGGCATGGAGCCTTCAGCTATAAATTAGCGAATCGTTAGTAGTAGTAGGAGATCAAGAATCAGTCTACTGTCTGAATAGTATCTACTGCCTGCCTTTGACCTCTCTCTTTCCTTTAGCCTACGTACCCTTACCTAGATGACAGATCCTCTACCCTGAAGCAGATACCCTTGACACACTCTCTAGATTAAATAGAACTATATCAGCTCTTGTAAAACTATTCTGAATAGTTTCATTAAATGTATCTTTATAAGCTTTAATAAAGATTTTTAAAAAGATAAGCTTATTAATATAGTTGATTTTATAGTGTATTCTCAGTGCTATATAGCTCCTGTACATATTCTTTAGAGATTTGAAACAGCCCATATCTAAAGGCTGTAGATTATGGAAAGGATATGCAGGCATATAGATAGGAGTAATATTATTCTTACTGTATAATTGATTGAATTGAGGTGTGAGATAGCTGCTATGGCCATCAAGAATAAACAGGCAATAGTTTCCAGTCGTATAACCAGTAGTAGCAGGAATAAAGAGATTTTTAAGCTAGTGAGGACCTATCTTATCAGTAGTCCATCTATTGCGACTAATTTTAATTCTCCAGTTATATGGTATGTCCTTCTCTTGATACCAACCCTCTATATAAACCTTGTCTTTAAAAATAATGCATGGTGGATGTTATGGCTTGGTTGTCTCTGCGCTAGTAGAGGCAAACCACTTGACCAAATAAAAAGGTACAAGACGACTGATCCCTCATCAGTCGCATCTAGCGCCTTATATAGTGGCGAAGACCATAGTCTGAGCACCATCTGGGTTTATCCCATAACAGTGGAAGTGCCTATCCAGTAGAATTGATACATTCAATAAAGGCAACCCATTCTCAATTACCTGGCTGTATAAAAAGTACTTTTCTATAGTAATTAGATCTAGTAACTACCTGAGCAGTAGCTACTAGACCTATAGTGAAGCTAGCTTTATCAAAATTATAGATCTTCAGTTGCAATACTATACTGTATTATAGTAATTTGTACGCGGTCAAACTACTCCTTAATAATTTTTGGATCATTATTTTTAGCGCGCTAATAGTTATACTGTCAAGAATAGCAAGTTTTTATTTCTTTATATTATTTGATAAAGTTATATATCCATTTCTCTCTAACAGATTGAATAGATGTAGTACCGCGCTCAGCAAGAGATTAGCCATTTCTTATATATAAGATTACCTAGAAGACGCTCCACATTAATCCAGCGATAGAACCCATTATATAAGCAACGCCTCTTCATTTTGGGTTCTCTTATGACTATTGGCATATATTTCTGAGCGATAGGGTTTCTTATATAGCTAAACTTATAAGGTAGTGTGAGGAACATTATAAACACGTGGCGCTTCACAAGTATTGAATATTTTTTTCATTTTTGAGAGCATAAATAGCAAGTAGAAGCCTTCTCTCTTGCTCAGTTAAATTCTTGAATTTTGACGCGTTTTTCGAGGCATGGTAGATGGTTGAATTGAGTGAGGTTTCCGACTGGAGTCAAAACGCATGGAGTGGCCGACTCGCTTACGGGATTTATTTTATCTTGATGAATCAGCCCGACTATGTAAACTATCTTAATATGCCTAGATTAGGAAAGTTATGCAGACATGGGTATTTCTTGGGTACCCGACCCAATTACCACGGGTAGTTGGGTTTGAGTATTTGGGATTCGGCAATGGCCTCCTCCTACCCATGGGTCGGGTCTGGGTATCACTTTTGGACCCGCGGGTCGGGTTTTGCCGATGTGTACTTTAAATATAAATACGATACTTCTATATAATCTTATTTCAGCCTTAGTATCAACTCCAAGATATCTCTGTATAATCTTGATTGTATGTGACTCTATGGCTTCATTTCTGAGTTGGTTGTCAGGTATAAAATCGGTGTCAGGTGATCAGGTACGGCAATGTGGCTTTATGTACTGCGTAGGATTGTGTCGAAGCCCTTTTACCCGAGTAGTTTTACAAGTTGCAAAGGATGTGTTTTGAGCTTCACGGTATTGTAGCGTGGCGGAATCTGTGGAATATCCACAAGGTCTGCAGCGAAATTTTGCGCCGGCTAGATTCGCTTCCAACAGAGAAAAATTTCACCCTTGTGAATGCCTGAAGTTTGTTACTTCCTGATACTGCTAGCAGCCGAGTGGATCTAAGTCTTCTATAGTGATTCTCATAGAAGCTAACATAAGGGGCGATTTGTGATGGCTTCCTTGAAATCGCAGTTTCCAACCCGGAAGCTCCTCTAGATTTATGCGAGGTATGCCACTACAACAGGAACACTCAGTCTCCAAAGCTCGAATGCTATAGCTCCGCTCCTTGTTCAGGCGATCATTTCTCGTGGAGGACATCTTATTTCAATGAGTTAGGCTGCGGCGATCAATATCCACATATAACTGGCAACGGAATTTGATAATGTTCCTCTCTATCCCGGAGCTTGGATACAACACACATTTACTATCAAATAGTGTAGTACGCTACAGTTCTACTGAAATGACTGTGCATGTCAAAAGCCCAAATTATACGGTGGTCACACTATACTGCCTGTATATAGTTCTTACCCGTTTGGGAATAATGCTCTCTTTCACCGCTTTTACAGTAAAGCGCTTCGAGCCTTACCCAGACTGGATCCAGGCCACCTGGTTACTTCAGAGTCAACGTAAGGCTTCTTAGGTCCTTTAATTGGCAGCAAATGAGGACGAGAGCCAGCGTTGGAAATTTGCCCCTTCTTACAAACGGTCGATCCCTTTGTGAGTGATTTGTCTTTAAATCTTCACATAGTTCCATTCTTGTCGCACTTTTTTTGTATTCTCCCATGTGGGAGCTTCGATGAAATGTTGGCTCCCCGCAGGACCATCCTCGCGTCCGTTGTTGCCTTCTTCCTGCTTTATACGTATTATTTATTGTATAAGGAGCCCCCAAAATCTATCCCCAGACTTCCAGACCGCCAGTCCCAGCTCTGGCGGCGTCTCCATTCCCTGCTGGAGCAACATGCGCCTGACTGTCCCCCACCGATCCTGCAAGGCGGCGCAGGCGTCCCACGGTTTGACGCAATAAGTGAAACCCCTCGCAAAAACTACATTAGCAATGTTGATGAGATTCGACTGCCGATGCAGGCAGCGCACGATAGCTTTGTTCATGCTATCCGCAATTTAAAAGACGCTCGTGTGTACACCCCTGGAACAATGGGTATAGTGTCATCAGCAGGAGGGACATATTTGCCTACCTTTGTAGTTTCTCTCTTGCTGCTGCGGCGCACTGGATCGACCTTGCCAGTGGAGCTCTTTATGAAGGATTGGACGGAGTATGAGCCTTACATTTGCGAGACGATTTTGCCCCCACTGGGGGTAAAATGCTTGGTGCTTTCAGAGATTCTGTCGGGCCAGGATGATATTAAGAGTACCCACTCTATAGAGGGTTTTCAGATCAAATCGTTTGCTATGCTTTTCTCCTCATTTGAGAAATTCCTCTGGTTGGACGCGGACTGTGTCCCACTCCACAATCCAATCACAATACTCAACTCTGAACCCTTCACATCCACTGGCCTTGTCACTTGGCCAGACTTCTGGGCAAATACCGCCGCCCCCGTATACTTCAACATTTCTCGTCAACCTGAACCTCTCTCAACAACCCGACAAGCCACAGAAGCTGGACAGCTTCTTGTCTCTAAGGAATCCCATTTCCTTACTTTGATCCTTGCCGCCTACTATAATTACTACGGACCCGACTACTATTATCCGATTCTTGATCAGGGTGCACCAGGAGCAGGCGATAAAGATACCTTTCTCCATGCTGCAACTGCCCTTAACCAAAGGTTTTACTCTGTTAGTGAAACTGTCGTGGATCTGGGAAATATCACTCCCTGGGATTCCCGGATTGCAATCAATGCTGGATATATCCAAGCTGATCCAATCCAGGACTTTAACCTAACAAGCCAAGGGAAATGGAGAGTCCAGGATCCGTCTATCTCTAAGCCACCGCGGGCTTTCTTTATACATGCTGGTGATCCGGAATTTAATCCGGGAGAGGAGCTATTAGGTAAAAAGTTACTAGGGTTTGATGGTAACCCTACTAGATTATGGACTTATCCGCCCGAGGCTATAAAACGCCTAGGATATGATGCTGAGAAGATGTTCTGGGAGGAGACTATGTCTGTTGCGTGTACTATGCAGTCTGCTTTTAAGACTTGGAAGTCTAAAACTAGTCTTTGTGAGGATGTTCGGGCACACTGGAGAGCTGTTTTCCAAAATCCGGATATAAAGGTCCCGGAATTTATAGATGGCTGAATGACCGGAAGATGGTGTACGTTGGATATTATTCTTGTTACATTGATGACACCCTGTTTATAAAAACTGTGAGATCATAGGAACAACGAAATAGCGAATGACATATTTTTGACCAAAAAACCTCCAACGCATACCCGATCAAAAATATGTTGTGCCATAATTCTTACAGATACCTATCACAAATTTAGTATTCGCTCTCCGCTTTATTACCAAGTGACCATCTCGGGTTTATCTCACAAACTACTAATAGAATGAAAATTAAAGTTTGACTTCGGCCGGCGAGGGCTTTAAGGACGCTTTCTCCGCTTCCAGCCCGTCTGGAATTTAGTCTGGTTGAATCGAGGCAGCACATGGGCCTCCGTGTTGAAGACCACTTTGGTGAGCGGGAGAAATTCCCTTGGGGAAAAAAGGAGGTATAAATACTTCAAGGTCTCTGCCTACACGAAATTTGTATTAGACAAGCGCGACTGAAGCCAAGAAACTGCGTCTGAAAATGGTTCTTACCAGCCAAAAGCTTTCCATATTATCTCGTTGTGGTGTCGGGACATTTGTAACGTCGTGCAAGGATGTGTATCCTTCCCCATCCCTTACAATCGTATGCTTCTGGAATGCCTTGAAGATCTCCCATCCCCATTTTCGGTAGATAGGGTCGTTTGTCACTCGATACATTAGGAAAAGGCTTTCAACGGTTTCTGGTCGCTGCAAGTTATGCGCATCCAGAGGTTTGACAATCAGGTCCTGTTTCCAGGAGGCTCTGTCATCCCTACTTGGAGGCGGGGCTGATGACCGGGGAAACGGTTGGAGATCGGCGTCGTCGGTCTCAAACCAGGCAATCTCGGGGGATAGGCCGGACTCTGTGACTGCATACATTGCCCAGCAGGTCTTCATGAGCTCACGCGCCAGTTGCATCTGCTTTTCCTTCTGAGAATTCCAGCCAGGCAGCTTGCGTGCTTCCCTCTCGGTCAGTCCCTCAGTAGCGCCGATTGCGATCGAGCCCGGCAAGAAGCAAACGAGATGGTCCATTTTAGGGGACAATGGTCTACCAATGCCCTGAGGGAGCTCGGCGATGAACTGGAGATTTGAATGTTTGGTAGAGGTGAGCAGATGTTTCTGGATACCAGCCAATGCTTCTTCCCACATCTCATAGTATACTGGTTCCCTCCCTGAGGTCTGCAGGTATTGCTTAATCAAGTATTCTGGGGTCGCATGAGCCTTCTGATTTGAGGGAAAGTGGAAATTGTAGAAATATACCATAGTATGAATCTCCGCGACTCCCAAGACGAATCTCTGGGTGGGTGAAGTGTCCGGTATCCGGGTGCACAAAAATAGGTAGGAGACCATCCTGCATTTGCTGATCATCTATTACCTTCATGACGCGCTCAGCTTTGCGCCAGTAGGTCTCGTTGCCGGTGAGATGGGCCAGATATTTCATCTCTAATTGGACAGTAGTAGCCTCAGCCGTTGACGAAGCTCCACCATCTGCATGAGATGGAAGCCCTCGTAGGGTCCCAATGTTGACACTTGCAAATGGAATACCTGATCTGGACTCATATGCGCTGAGAAGCCGATCTGCAAGGTCGACTGCTTTGGACAGGTAAATATAGTCCCGCCGGGATGAAACATCTGGAAGTAAAGTGGACAAGTAATGGGCGGATAAAAGCCCTCCAAGCATACGGATGGTAGTCTCAAAGGTGTTCACATCCTGATCTTGATTATAAGTCAAGCCACGGTTAAGCCATTTTCGGGCATTGGAAAGACGAGTAGTTAGGTTCATGATCATCAAGGTATCCAAGCTGTCGACGATGATCCACCCTAGACCGCTGGGGCTCATTTGTGAACCAGTTTTAGAGATTGGATGAAAACGATCCTGCCCTAGATGCAGACGTCGATATTTCAGTGATATGCGTATCCCCTTAGAGCTGGGGTGGGGGTTTCATTTTGGTGGCCATCTATGTAGGAGTGTCGGGTCCTGTTGAGGACCTGGCGAGAGAAAACTTACCCCAGGCATATTTAGCGTAAGCATCCCAACTAGTCACAAAAGCGTCTTTCACCTCCTCCCGGTGCCCATCCCAATAGCTATCTTTGTCGATAGGCCGAAAGAAATCTAACGTTGTTTCAAAGCCCAAAAATTGAAGGTACCACCCTGTCACCAAAACTAGTAGGCAGGCGAATAGGGGTTTTAGAGCCCAATTCTGACCAAGCAAAGCATTCCATCCTGAACCTTCCGAGCCCTTCCGCAGCGGGCGCTTCTGTTCTCGCATGGCGCCTCTCAATGACATGGTAGCAGAACTATGACCTGAGAGATTGAACAAACGGCAATGATGTGCCAATTGGAGATTTCGTGGGCGCACCTCAGTCAAATAGGGGGCATCTCTGTATTTCATCGATCCAGCGGCCTTGGTGGTGTGGAGCTAATGCCAGTCATTCTTGACTTGTTCATCACCCATTGGACCATGTTGTCACAGCTAAACGGTTAGCCACAGCACTAGTTAGCGCCGCCGTGTGATGACTGCATTAGCACTCGCGATTCACAGAAATTTGACTGGATCAAGTGTCTCTTGACCCAGCAACAGAGCTTGGCAGAATTCTCTAGCCGCCGAGTATCGCAATGGAGATCATAATAATATTATGACCTACCCATCCGTACCCAAGGGTTCTTTCTTTGTGCATGTTTATCCTATTTAACTTTCCCTTTCCTATTAGCTCTCAGTCAGAACATAGCTTTTTGAATCCACCTTTCCTATGCAAATGCGTCACGATCTACCGGTACCAACAAGCCACTTCTCCCAACACGACTTGCCAGTGCAGATTTCACAGGAGACAAGTCCTTTGGAACAAGCTCTTCGTGTGGCCCATATTCAATGTCTTCCATTATTTATCCGGGCGAGACAAATGGTGGCACAGTCACATCATTTATTCCTCTTACTACAGCTTGGCCTGCCTCTTCAGGATGTGCAAGCTACTTCCGACTAAATGGACCGAGCTTAATGGCCTATGACCCTGGCTATGGGCTCGAGATTAACACAGATGTAATATGTGGCCCCCCAGCATTAACAACATGGTGGGAGCAAGGGCGTTTGGGCGGCGGTGGTCCATATCACACGGCAGTTAGCATCGGTCCCCTTACATGTCCAGAAGACTTTTCTACGGTTGTATCTTCCGTCAAAGATAGCTCTAGCACGCTAGCCATGTGCTGCCCTTCGTGAGTTTCCTATTCACCACTATGTAACCACTTAACAACCATCATTGCCTGACATAAATTACTGCAGAGAATACTACCTGGCGGATGGAAGTCCTGGTAAAATCCAAGGAAACTGTTTGTCTCGTGTATCTTCGGGTATGATTCTTACTTACGCATCAACTCCTTCTGGTGACTCAACCGCGTGGAAAATCGTGACAACCACATTATCCAAAAGCTCAACTGTTGGTGCGATTGCCGTGGTAGGATGGAACATCAAATTCCCCGGCACAACTACCAGCACAACTGCCTCCACAACTTCCATAAACAAGTCGACATCAGCTTCTGCCACCCCTAGTATATCCTCTGAGATTGCTACTAGTACTACTAGCTCAACCTCTGGAAGTGATCTTACCACCGGCACGAAAGTGGGAATTGGCGTAGGAGTTGGAGTGGGTGCTTTAGGTGTGATAGCACTGCTCGTTGCGTTATATTTCTATACCCATCGGAAGGAGCGAACCATACCTGATCTCCATCCGCAACAACCTCCAATATCCCAAGCGAATTGGCAGCCTGCTTTACCTGCAGAGCTCTATACAGCTAAGCATCATCCTGGTGAAGGTGAGCCACCTGCAGAGTTAGTAGGATGATGATATTGAGTTCTTCTTTGTGAATATATGTGGCCAACATCAACCCTTACTATTTCTTCCTACCTTCTTTTCATGTAACTGATATTTGGAACATGTTATTATACTGAGGTGTACAAACAGAGTTTTCACGTCCAAACTAGTAATTGCTATCTCAAGAAAAGAAGGGCCATCTGATTTATTTCCCTTCACTGTATTTTTCAAAAATTTACGGGCCGAAAATATCAGGACGCATAAACCCGCTACTCGTTGGGAGAAAGGGCCTCCAAGAGCCAAGAATATTACTAACCAATCGCAGCTAGGTATGGCGAATCCTGGAGCTCGCTAAATAACCACGGTGGTAGAAAGGGATCTGGCTAGAAACATGTATAGTGCGTGGAAGAGATAGGGTTTAAGGGGTGGTACAGTCCTCAATGTACCCTCTCTTCACATTCTCTATATCGAGTATATATATGTAGAATCATTTAGGGTTTGGAGGTTTACCCCTGGAAGTTAATCAAAAACGTGGAAGGCAAGACTAGGAGGAATCTCACCCTACACCGCCCCTAATTTATAAGGTCGGTACATCATGTAAGTAGTTATGCGAGTCCGTTAGACTACTAATTGACAGATGCGGGCTATAAGATGAATGACTATCAGTCTACCTATCTATCTATAACATTCTAGATACTATTCCGAATTGATGGTCGGGGTAGTTCAGTTGTGGCAAGTGAATGAAACCATACGGCGAATGGCTCTTGCTCCGATCGTAGGTGTATTTAGTTTTGTTTAGTTTCGGTGGAAAAGTACGCGTAGCTTCGAAGGCAGAACAAAAGCAAAATCTAAACTCTGCACGTTCAATGGTTGCCTGGCTTACATGTGAGACATGAGGCGAGATGTGACCTCCTTAACCCCGAGATGCAACTTGCATGGGGTTTAATTGGCCCGTGAAACCCCCCTATAGAACCGATATCAACCGAGGTTTAATTCCCTTACCCCTGGCCTAGTCGCGTTGCTTACCTTGTCTGTCTTCTGCCTCCATCATACTACTTCTGGTGCTGATAGTGGTTCATGGTCTTTCTTCTCAGCTTCACCCTCTAGCCGTTATATGAGATATGTACCTCGCAGCTAGGGAGGGTGAAATTAGGCTGCCAAAGATTTGAAACTGCTCTAATCTTCCGTTTGTCCTATAGAACGGGATTGTCAGTAATACAAAAAACAAAGACTATATTGTGGATTGGAAAACCAGAAACGTTCCGAGTGAGGCAATATACAATCATGGTGAGACAAGACGGTGCTGGGTTTGATTCACAAGAGAATCCGTTATTATCGTCGAACAAGCCAACTAGGAGGGGGCTAGTAGATAGTACTAGTAGATCAGGTTGGGTCCGCCTTCGGAACAAGAGGATCATAATATAACCTAATTGATCCGAGTTTGTGCCTGGGCCCTTGCTAACGTGCGGGAACGAAGAGTGCCCTAATTCAATCCCCGCACCCGCGCCGTCACACTCGGCGTCTGCGTCAAGGAATCTCGACCCATACCCACCCACGGCGCTAACTTGACTAACAGCAAAAGACCTCCTTATCGTCTAAAGAAATCAGGGATTAAGTATGTATTGCTGCAGTGGTCAGGTGTGCGCTAATTGAAAATCTTTCTTTTCTGAAAATAAGCTGTTTCTAAAGTTGAATTGAAGAAGGCGAAACTGGTTGTAGATTAGATTATCTCGTATTTGCTTTTACTTCTTTCTTTGTTACCTGTTACCTGTCCGACTCATCTCTATCTTTAAATGCATATGTCAATATGGAAACTTATTTTTTTTTTTGGCAATGCGGCTTTTAAAAGCCACAGCACTTCTCTACGTCTAAGCTCCGTTATTATCCATAGCCGAGAGAACCTTAAATATCCGAATTTGATATTTTAAATACATTGATCTATTTAGCGGTATGTCGCGTAGAGGTATAGAAATCATAAATCTCTACTGGTAAAAATTCAATGGCGGTCAATAGCATTATTTAGGGCACTCTTTCCCTGGTATAATATTACTATTTATATACATTCCCCCGCCGTAGGATGTTATATATAGTTATCTAACCAAGATAAGGTGACTATGACTAATGCAGTAGCAGATAGTTAGGTATAGAATGCTGTGTACACAGGTCATCTTACCTTCATCGGGAGGTGGAATTTTCAATAAAATATTTTGTTGAAAATCCTAATATACCCAAGTACGTCTCAATCAATTACCAACCCATTGTATCTGCCATATTTGAGATGGATCTAGAGGATATTTCATTTAGCTTTGATGATACTGAAGTCACATCTTCAAATATTGGTGATGTTGACATTCAAGAGGTGAGACGTCTAAGCAGTTAAGTACTTACCAACTGGTTCGTAATTACTTAGCAACCAAGTGCTTTGATTCAACTAGCGGGTGCAAAATCAAGTCCACTTCAAACCCTATATTTTGAGTATAAAATAATTGGTTGGATATCAGTTAGGAAGCAGTTAGAAAGCAGTTGAATTATCCAATCTGTGTTAGTGTAATGTAAAGCTCACATGCCTGGTAATTAAAACCTAGTATGTTTAGCGCCGGAAGCCGTAATATAAGTCAGGTGATTGACTAGCGCGGCGTCCCACCGCTAGAACGGTGCGAGGTGACCTGTAACCTGCCGGTTGGCTTGCGGCTTCACTGAAGCGGCACCTGACCTGTGTACTCAGCGCTGCATGAAGCAAGTGGTAAATAAGCAGTTTGTAAGCACTTTTACATACATTTCCAGCCAGTGCAGCCATGGCTGGTGCCGGGGGGGAGGGCGGGTAATGGTAAGCAAGCTGTAAAGGACATGTAATGATCGCTTAGAGTGAAATTTTTGGTGTTATGGCGTACCGCCTGACCTGACGATCACATGACCAAAGCCTGATTATTAAGCGCCCCAAGGGTGGCGCCACCGGGAAGTACGGTCCAACTGACCTGCAACCACTCTAATCAGTTTCGGCGCGCTGGAACTTTTTGCGGAGGTCGGCCGACCTGTAACCACAGATAGTATAAACCAAGGCGGCTTCACATCTGACAGACGATCTGTCACTGGCTTTTCACATACCCTTGATTCGGGAATAAGGGGTGTATGTTTGATTACCCTCCTCTTTTCATGAACTACGATTTTTGAACTACGATATTTAGCCCGGTTCAATGGGAAACTTCACCATTTTTTGTTCATCCCAATTGTCCCGACGATAAAATTCCAAGGTGCAGTTGGCAGCAATCAGATAGAGCTGTTGCGTGGGACTGAGAATTGTTGTTCTTTAGTATTTTGTTGAATAATGGCGTCCATGCGGAAATGGCTGTGACGAATCATTCTGCGTTATATAGATTCAGTTTTCCAGATGCTGCTCCTGAGACCCTCAGTCCTGTGGTCCTAGTGGATATGATCGACCATCGAAATTCACGACAAAAAGGTACAACCTCCGTTGATTCAGAAAAAAATACTTAGCGTAACGAAAGCTGAGACAAATATGTCTAACCTAGCACCTATAATTTACCCCTCTCCTGGGTGCTGGAAACTCTGGGAATGCAATCATCGGAGACTCCTGTCGATAATAGTACATCGTATCCTGGCATACTATTGTAGACCATCGCCCGCTGATGCTCTCCAAACGGCGTCCCACTTTCCACCGGGATTTTGGGCTCCATATAGAACGTCTCTATAATCTTGACTTGGATCAACTATGATTTGTACGGACTAGGGGCGGGCTACTTACATATCCGCCATCGAGGACGTTATCAGCTAGAAGACTATTCAATAAAGGTTGGGCAATATCTAGCCTGGTGAGTTCGAAACATATAAGATATAGGAATCCACTCACCCAATGTCAGCATTTGCTAAACCAGATGTAGCTGTCAGACTCGCACAGAGGAAGTGTTATAACCATAGAGAAGCTGCTTGAGATAGGGGAAGACATTAGAAATGCCAAAGCCACTAGCGACCGCCGAAACAGTCTCATACTTGTCGACCGGCTTACTGATGCCGTACGGCCCACTGACAAAAGCTGTGAACGAGGAGGTGCCATCTAAAGCTATACGCGTACGTAACGTCTCGGTTAGGCCTCGCCGGGTCTGTACAAATAATTCTAAAACATCTTGTTTCCCTGGGGAGAAGGATATGACCATGAACGGAAGGGTCTGAAACCACGATAGCAGGCTGACAGTCGGCATCCAGAGGTTGACATACTAGCCAGACTTCACATGTAAGGGCCGAGGAAGTGCCACGCGTATCTTCAAAGGTATACCCTCATTCTGATTGACTCCTAGCTTCGAACTATTTGCGCATATAACCGATGCATAAGGGTACGACATTACTGGGAGGATTCCATTCAGGTAGAGGAGAACGGCAAGATGAGACGGGGCTGTCAGCAGCAGTATAGCAAGTGGTATATAAATGCACAGTTAAAGGGCTCTCGGCCTAGATGAAAGGGGCCGCCATGTTGCATATATACATACAGCTGCAAGGCACTGGTGCGTGCAAATAAAGCCTTCGAACGCAAAACGACGGAATATGGTGAGAGAAAGCACACCGGTGTAGCGACATATGCGGTACCCTGCCCATAGATTAATTCTTGGATTATCAGTTGTGACTTTCATCATACCACAACGGCATAAAAATTACCCTCCTTCTTTAATCCAAAGTCTTTCTGGTCAACTATCGTTGCTACGATGATATTGAATGCGAGAAGCAGGGTCATAATCCACACTGTAGCTCCATGAATCCGCCGACATGTATGGAAATATATCCCTAGAAAACCGGCAAGGAGTCTCAGCAGCATAATAAGAAAAATTAAACTCATGTTAATAAGTGCCAAGCTCCCTGCACACTGCCCTATCTCACTGCTTCGATGAGGTGCGAAAGGTTAAGAAAAGAAAACATTAGTAGCACCATAAACTAGTTCGAGCGAAAAACTGCTCGCGTCCAGGGCCCTAGAAGCCAGAGACGACCTAGGAGGTGCGGGTATAGGAGACATTTTGAAAAGGCGTTTGAGACCGTCTAGGCAAGAGGTTTGACAGATGAAGCTACACGCACAAGGTCCAAGAATATAAACATGCTGCCTACAGCAATCGCGTACCAGGTAATCAACTCCCTTGCCGCTAGATGTGGCAAAAGAAATTATGCCTCTCTGAAGGAATTTTAACCATTCTCCCACGGGAGTCAGGCCTTATATGCTACAGAAGTGGCGCTTATGCTTTTGTCCTGCGACGTGACTCGTGGAGCTGCGCCTTACATCATCACAAAGGGGACAAATACGAATTTGACGTTGAATGTTAGGTTGTGGAGGGAAGGAGCAGATTCAGTTCGCGTATCTATGAGACCTAATAAGCCAAAGGGGGAGGCAAGAGTGGGCTGAACAAGGCCAAGGAGCAGAAACGTCGATGATATCGATACCAAACCACGAGGTTGAGCAGAAAAACCGAGTAGCTTCATGACGGTAGATTGCTGAAGACAAACAGATAATCATTCAAAAGGTAGTATAATGCTTTACATGTACACAGGGCGGCACGGCGGCTATTTGAAACAGACAATTTTCCATTCTTCTAAGATTGGTACAGCAGGTATACTCATGGGTTTTAGTCTCAATTCATCTTAAACAATTCATCTTAAACCGCAAGATATGGCATGGTCCCTCACGCTTGAAATTCTAGACAGATAGCACCAATATCATCATACTGATTGGCTGTCACAAGAAAAACGAATTCCATGCACAGATTGAGGATATGCGCAAACCGACAAGAGGCACAGTGTATCGCAGCGGCAGACCAAAGGGAGAGGCCGTTATGTGGATGAGTAGAAAGGCGAGAGCGAAGAAGCAAATTGGAATCGTTCCGGAGGGTCAGATTTCGGCGCAAATTTCGTGGGCAACTCAACGGGGGGGGGGGGGGTGGCAATAAGTAACCCCCTTTCACTCGTTCCTCGTTTCAGGGCATAGGTGGGGGGCCAGCAATCTTTTGTTGGTGGCTCGCGGGGGGTAGTAATTCCTTTCACTCCGTTCCTTTGTTTCAGGGCACACCTTAGCTCTCTATAGGTTCTGGTATATTATCTTTATGACCCTTTGTTCATGTTGGATCCACCTAAGTTGACTTTTCGGTCGTGGCAGAGGTATATGAACCTTCCGTATCCTAAAACCATCTGCTTTCATTGTCTTGTATTGTTGTTTTCCATAAAGCAAGGGGCTAAAGTTCGAATATATACGGCTATTAATATATTAAAGACTAAAAAATTTATCAGCTATTATGCCATTAAGTTCCTCAGATATCTACACATGGGCTATTTAGGTGCGTTTGGGGGGCTGGATCCATTTGACTCTGCAACATTTCTCTAATGCCTTTCTCTCTACAAGGGCACTTGCAAAAATTGTTTCTCCTGTTTGGCAAAGAAGAAGGTCGTATAAGAGCAGAGGATGGAACAGCAGAAAACAACTTCATTAAATCCCTCTCTGATTCTCTGTACAAAAGCAGATCTCTCTCGGAGGCCCAAGTCTACTTGGCTTGACAGATGAGCAGAGCAATACAGATGTTCCCCAAGATTGACATGCTTCCGCCCTCACTGGAGCAGCTAGGAATTGAAGATATTGACAAATGTGACATGGGGCTGTTGTCTGCAGAACTGCAATACTTAGTGCTCAATGCCAATAACCGTTTCCCATGCCTGGCAACCCTAGATATTGAAGAGGATATACATGAATATGGACCAGAAGACAATGAGTCTCCCGATGAGATACCAGTTATCAAGTGAGAGATCCAGCAAATGACAGAAAATCTACGTATAGCCTGCCATGAAACAGGTGTTTTGTTTAGGCTTTAGAATTAGGAAACTGTAGGTGCAATTACATACATCGAACAGTTTGAGCTTGACGGCGGCGTTGAAGATGTAGGGTCTGAAGAGGATAGAACTTCTACCTCCTGCTACTAGTGTCTTTAGTGTTAGTAGGTAGGACTGGCAAGGCAGAGTGAATCGCAACCCCAATTAATCCTGTTAACCTTTTGTCTCCCAGCTTCATTCGGGTAAGTATCATCTCAACCTATTATTATGCTATGATCATAACACTACCGCTAAGACGCATCTTATATTCCTCCCCAGTCAAACAGGCGAGTCGAGACGGCCAAGTCCAGTCTGTTTCCCCAGTACTCCACACCGTCTACTGCATACCGATCTGGCAAATATCCAGGTATATTGAAGTATCTTCGAAGACATTCCTTTTTTAGCACTTTACCGGAGGCTGATAAGGGAACCTGTTCCTCATTTTTGAGAATCCGTAAAAGTGTAGGAATTTTGTATGAAACCATGTTGGTAGCAGCAAGGTCTTTGCGGACGCTTCGAAGATTAACATGGTGTACTTCTTGAGTAGCTTTCTGCTTTTGAAGTCGGAGAAGCGCCGCTGCCAATCCACCCGCTTGATGATCTAAAACAGGAAGGACATGAGCTTCGGAGACATATGGAAGGTCCATCAAGCACCGCTCGAGCTCTAGGACAGATATCGTGTACTCATGGAAACGAACCCCTTATTTTTATCAGTCCTTGATAGAAGTAGGTTACGGTATGTATGACTAAACTCACAGTCGCATGAGGCCCTACCGTCAAAGAAATAGTGGTCTCCAACGCGGTGAGCATAGTCGCCAGTTTTGTAGAACCCTTCACAATCAAATGCAGCTCGTGTGGCTGCTTCGTCGTTGACATATCTTAGCCTAGCATAAGCAAGCTGCAGAAATAGTAGGGGGAAATGCTTTCCCTTACTGAATGAACTTGTTAGGGTTTTTGACTAAGATTTCCCCATGGTCACCGTCAGAAAGCTTGATTGTCACCCCTGGGAATGCTCCACCAATAGATCCCTAGAGAGGTATCAGCAAGAAATCCAGGGAGGTTGAATAGGGACAGGTACACACATCCACAAAGTCAGAACTGGATGGAGTGGCCATTACAGCTCCGCCCATTTCAGTTGACCCGTAGCCATTTCTGATAGGAATGTTCATCTGATCGGTAAAGAACCTTCGGGTGATAGGGCTAAGAACAGAACCACCTGTCCAGATCGTTTGTAAGCCTTGAGCCCCTTTAGTATATCTTATACTATAGTGATGTGGAAGAACTTGGATATTCTCCTTGTAATAATCCATCAACGCTCTCAAAAGTGTTGGGGACACGCTCATTCTCGTCACTTTCCCCTCTGCCAAGATTTCCCAGAACCTCATAGGCTCCGCTTGGCTCTTCATAATCCAGAGTCTCTCCCCATTTAGTACGCTGTACAAGAGACCCTCTGCGCCACTTATCCAATGAATGGCAGTTGAAGATAAATAGAGATCGGCCGGACTACAGATGGTATACTCCTTGTAATAGAAAAACCGGCGAGGCAACAAAGCGCCCTTTGGTTGGCCGGTTGTCCCAGACGTAAAGAGAACAAGACATCCAGTTGTTGGGGAGAATGTCAGCTCATCGTCTATTTGCATAGAGTATGTATCAGAGCCACGGTACGCTCTCGTCACTGAAATTATCTTCAATTGTTGATCCGCCTGGACTCGGGCATAATCTCTGATTTCCGCGGCTTTGTCAAAGGGGCTGGTTTCCGCCAAGACACAGGCTGCATTGCACTTATTCAGGTAGTATAAAGCTTCGTCTGGAAGAAGACCCGTCGTTGCTAGGACCGACGGGTTAGCTTACTGGGAAAACATACTCTTCTTGACCTACCCAATGGAACACAAATGCCTCCCAGGGCAGCAATAGCCAGAAAGCTTATAATGAAGCTATATCCGCTAAGACCTAGATAGCCAATAGACGTAGCATGCTTTTATAACAAGCCCTTCTCGTTTAATGAACCATTAGGAAGCTTTTCTCGCAGTACCTGGCGCAAATGCGTGATATCACTGATCAAGTTGTTATAGCTTGCATTGACGCCATACTCATCGTGGAATACCTCACCAGGTCTCTCTACAGAGAACCGACGAAGTCGAGTGAATATAGGATCGTTTGGAAAAGCCTTGTGCGCAGAATGCATCTCGTGTTTTCAATCAGCCACTTGCGTGTAATGCGTCAATTGAAGCAGAAATAAGACACCAGGGTATTAGGAAAGCCAAGCTCATATAAGACTGAGGTCCCATGCCTTATGTACGTTTCCAAGATCACTCACCATAACTCCGGCGAGCGGCAATAATCCAAACCCACAATATATATGACTCAACCTACCCTATCAGAAGATTGGCTCTAGCGTGGATGTGGCTGCAACACTTCGCGTCCACGGGGTCTTTTGTACTATATAATTTAGTTACTGGCAAAAATTAGGGCAGCAAAGCGATTGCAGAATCGATGAGCAATTTCAACAGAGAATCCACGAAGGACGTAAAGATATAGCATTCCTACTTTCACCGTTGCGAGCTCATCAGGATTGGCTTGACCTTGTGCATTTAGATTTTGACCATGGCTGGCTCACTTCCTTCGAAAGGAGGGGCTGGACATGTCAAGCAGGCAGCTATGTCACTTCACTGTCTCCAGTAAACACGCTCGATGTGCTGGCTAGACTAAAGTCCTGCATTCATCCCACGTCGCGTATGTGATACGTCCATGATTTTCTTTTCTCTCTCCTTTTTTTTAATATTTCATTCTGTTGGAGCTCCTATTCTGGAGAGTTATATTACTGTCATCCTGGTACGCACTGCACCATATTGGGTTATCTCTGTATCTATGTATACAGCATCTTTTATTACATGTAACTTAAGAATAACAACAGTTTATCCACAGCGTCAATAAGTGGTGAGCAGGGGACATGGCGGGGTATCCATAGAACCGCTGAGCGGTCGCTCAGTGGAGCCTTCAATAACCACAGTGTCAATATAATTACTCCTAACATGGAAAGATTACCTGTTGCAGTGTTAATCATTCGAGTACGCCGTATTCCATCGTCGAACCAGCGATTATCTAGAGGCATCCAGGCATGATAGCCTTAGAATAAGCCATGTTAAGTATCTGGATTTCTTTAGGCTATTTTGACGCAGCTAGAATCAGGCCTTTTCAATTAAAACCATAAATAGTGTATGAAGATCCACCACTTACACCCTCAGCCATCCCGAGGCTGCTTTAGGGCGCGACACAGAAGAGATACAGGAAAGACACTTTCCTGGTGCGTCCTCCCTATCTTGGTGGTGCTTCGTTCCAGCATGATTGATCCACCGCCTTTCCGCAATGCTGTGCCCTTGGTTACCGACCTCTCGTGCCCGTAAATCAGTCAATAGCACTTCTTGATCGGTCAGGGATGAAGGATGGAAGGCAGTTGCTTACGAATGGATACGCGAGAGCAGTATTGTCCAACCTCAAGGGTTGCATGCCGGTGCCTTTGTTTAGGATCCCCTAGATGAGACGGCACCGCTTGTCCTGAAATTCTGAAATCCGATTTTCTACTCTGTCAGAAAACCAGGATGTGATGGACACGTCTTTCGCCTGCTCTTCGTTATATAGGTTGCAGAACGTATCCAGGATACGATAGACGTGTACTGGCTTCATTAACCAATCCGATAGACACGCCTTACCGCCTGTTCTTCGACATATGGGTTGCAGAATGCATCTAGGATGATGGGCGTGTACGGGCTTCATCTAACCAATCCGATGGACGCGCCTTACTCCTGCCCTTCGTCATATGGGATGCAGAATGCATCTATCTAGTTTGTGGAGCTGCACGAAGGCCAAAGGCGGGGCTGATGGTGCCCAAATCGCGCAGGGAAGCGAGGAAGTGTCACACGTCCTAAGGTCAACCGGGAGTACCATGGGCGGAACAATATAAATTTCTTAATTTCTTAATAAGAAGCTCTGTACACACTGTATTAATATAAATGTGGGATGTATGGGGGGAGCACCTGGTGATGCCGAATCCTCAGACAAGACTCGCTAACGCCTCTTATTGTGTTTAATCCCCGCGCTTCTCAACCATAGTACACAAATCACTCAAATCAGAGCTCAACATCTGGTGCCAGATTTTCACCCGCTTCATGGAGTTGGTACCGGGAGTATCTGACTCCAACATCATGGCAGAATCGAATCGATTTATCCAAAAACCAATAGCCGTACTGGGTATGGCTTGTCGGTTGCCGGGGTATAGTGATTCGCCTAGGAAGCTGTGGGAGTTTCTGATGCGAGGAGATATAGCGGAGACGGAGGTCCCCAAATCGCGATTTAATATCAAAGCATTCTATGATGGGTCTGACAAACCACAGACATTGAGATCTCCAGGAGCAATGTTTATGGAATCTGTAAACCCAGCAGCGTTCGATGCATCATTTTTTAATATTTCACCACAGGATGCTACTTCAATGGACCCGCAGCAGAGAATATTGCTCGAGGTCATCTATGAAGGGCTGGAAAATGCGGGGCTTCCACTGGAGGCATTGGCAGGGGAGAAATATGGGTGCTTCGTGGGAGGTTATACTGGAGGTTTGGACTCTTTATTTTACCCAGAGCTGCATAGTCCGAATTGACTCTGGTTTAGACTATCGGGACCTACTCGCATGCGATCCGGATTCTCAACCAAGCAATATGGTTGTTGGTAGTTCAGGGGCGATGCTGAGCAACCGGATCAGTCACTTCCTCGACATAAAGGGTGCGAGGTAACAAAACTCATGTTCTGTTTCCTGCCTACTCTCCTGACAATTATTCCCAGTATACCAATTGATACGGCCTGCTCTAGTTCGATGGTGGCATTGGAAATGGCATGTAAAATGCTTCATACGAGTGAGATCGATGGTGCCATCGTAGCTGCTTCGAACCTAGTCCTCCAGTAAGTGGATAGATATCCTTCCGTCTCAGAAAGCTTCTATGTGCTCATAAAAGTATAGCCCTGGGTATGGATGCGATTGTAAGTGGATTCGAACCGCGTCTTAACTTGACCTGCTGCTCATCTAATATAGCCGGGCCGATTAAAAACACACATTCGCCAACAGGCCGGTGTCATACATTCGACGCCAAAGCCGACGGATACATCAAAGCGGAGGGCATCAATGCAGTAATCCTAAAGCGTTTGGATGATGCCATTCAAGATGGTGATCCGATCCGAGCTGTAATTCGGGGAACCGCCAGCAATCACAACGGCCGTACTGCGGGGATTGCCTCGCCCAGTGCTGAGGCACAGGCAGCTGCTATACGAATGGCATATTCAAATGCTAACATTACGGATTATTCCCTCACTGAGTACCTGGAGTGCCATGGAACAGGGACATTGGCGGGAGATCCGGTCGAAGCATCGGGAATTTCGTCCGTTTTTGCGGCATCTCGCCCCTTCGATAAGCCACTACATATTGGCTCGGTACGATGAAGCTCTCACCTAACTGTCCGTTACTGACCTATATATGCAGATTAAAAGCAACATAGGCCATTCAGAGACTGCGTCAGGCCTCTCAGGCCTGATAAAAGCTATTATGATCCTGGAAACTGGACATATTCCAGGAAACCCAACATTCGAAACCCCGAACCCTAATAGTACGTGCTGCTGAGCTAAAAAGCGGTCTTCGCTTACGCTGATGATATTCAGTTGACTTCCAAGCGCTCAGGCTAAAAGTTCAGAAGAATGCGACATTGTTTCCCAACAGGCCCTTTCGGCGAGTTGGGGTCAACAACTTCGGGTTCGGTGGTAGTAATTCTCATGTTATCTTAGAAGAACCGAAAGCTTTGATTGACAGATACCGCCCGATGCACACTAGTTCCTACGACCTTCCGGCTGAGAATAGCGTATCAGGAGAGGGTCACCATTGCAACCAGTTCTATATACTCTGCTTTTCAGCGAACGACGAAAAGTCTCTCAAGGACTATATTAAAAGGATTTCCCAGCACTTCTGTGATCCCAACGTTCATGTCAGGTTACGGGACGTAGCGTATACTTTGAATGTACGCAGAAGCCAGCTCTTCCACAGAGGGTACCTTATCACCAAGCAGTCACATAATCTCAACTTCGAGTCTGTCGTGCGTGGGAAGAAAAGCATCTGTCCTCCGAAAGTAGGATTTGTGTTCACTAGACAAGGAGCGCAGTGGCCAGAAATGGGCCGAGAGCTACTTAAAGCATTTCCTGTGGCCAGGATGTGCATTAAACGTTTGGATGCCGTTCTTCGAGGCCTCCCAGATCCGCCAAGTTGGTCCTTATACGACGAACTAATTCAGCCTCGCACGCCCGAACATACTCGCAAACCTGAGATTAGTCAGCCACTCGTCACAGCTCTGCAGATAGCTCTAATCGGGGTATTAAGAAGCTGGGGCATCTCACCTAGGGGGGTTGTCGGTCATTCGTCCGGAGAGATTGCTGCCTCGTATGCCGCTGGCTACCTTAATGCCGCAGAAGCTATGATAATTGCATACCACCGCGGCCTAGCAGCTCGGGAGGGGCAGCCGAATGACAGTGCTCCCCTGGGAATGCTTGCTGTGGGATTAGGTGCAGATAAAGCTTTGCCATATATCTCTAAACTTGAAGATGTCCAGATCGCTTGTTACAATAGCCCCACAAGCGTGACCTTGTCAGGAGTCGCTAGTGCATTGGAGCAACTTAAAGTGACGCTTTCTAAGGACGGTATCTTTGCTCGTATGCTACAGGTAGACTTGGTATATCATTCCACCTATATGCACAACATTAGTGATTTGTACGAGAGGCTGTTACGTCGTGATCTTCCCTCGCAATCTCGCCAATTCCCTGCATCAAACTCTGTGGCAACCTTTTCATCGGTGACAATGTTCTCATCGGTGACGGGCTGCAGGCAAAAAACACCTCCAGATATCATGTACTGGAAGACAAACATGACCTCTCCAGTACGCTTTGAGGAGGCTATGCGCACAATGTTATCTACGAAAGACTCGGTAGACTTCTTGATCGAGATTGGCCCGAATGGAGCCCTCAAAGGCCCTATTTCTCAAATTCAGAGTAAGCTCAACGGTGCAGCATCCAGCGCTATGTACTATGCTGCGATGCATCGGGGTGCTGCCTCCATTCACTCAACTCTTGCTATCGCCGGTGAACTATTCCTTGCCGGGTTCCCAATAGACCTTGAGAAAGTGAATGGGGACACGGAGCTCTCTCGGCCATTGATAGTTACTGATCTGCCAAATTATTGTTGGAACCACACAACGCAATACTGGTATGAGAGCCAGACAAGTAGGGACTCGCGTTTTAAGCCATTCATTCACCATGACCTGATTGGGAATAAGATCATTGGAACACCATGGTCCAATCCAACTTTCAAGAAAACCTTGAAGCTTGCTCATCTTCCATGGCTTCGCGATCATAAAATTGGTTCAGACGTTGTCTTTCCTGCGTCCGGATACATTGCAATGGCTGTTGAGGCAATATATCAAATAAGTTGCATGCAGCAGCCAGATATTGCCGCCACTTCCTCCCACGAGCTGGGCTACCGGTTACGCAATATCCGCTTCGATATGGCATTGGTCCTAAATGACGAGGTAGATTCAGTCGTATATCTGATGATGAACCCTTCTGGGGCAAACCGAACATGGTACGAGTTCACTGTATCGTCCTCGCGAGAAAACCTTTCTACAGCGCATGATAGCGGAATGATCCGCCTTCAAGAGCCTGTCATAGAATATGCTTCTGAGGCAGATATTGCTCCTCTACAGCACCCATCTCCAGGGCATCTATGGACAAAGGCCTGTGCAGAGGTCGGATACAACTATGGACCTGCATTCCATATTTTGGAGCAAGTTGAAGTACGCAATAGGCAACGACATGCTCGCGCCCTTATAACATTAGCCGATCCCCCTTCAGCCCATGAACCCCAGTCTTCCTACCCCTTTCACCCCGCAGCGCTGGATGGTGTCTTCCAGCTACGATGCCCAGTTTCTTTGCTGATAGTAGTAAGCTGTCTGAGGTTCTTATTCCGGCTATGGTAGACGATATGGTCATCAACCCTAACCAAGCTCGACCTCGTGTTGGTATGGCAGTAGCCTCGAGCTACTATTCTGGGCGCGGGCGTGAGGATGTGGCCAAAAGCTATGTAGGGGACAACTCAGTATATGATCCGGCCAGTGGTGCTCTGCTCGTCCGGATGACAGGGTTATCCAATCACCAAATCGATCTCGGGATTGACCCATTGTCTCAGCACACCTTGACACAGGATATAATAAAGCCAGACATCAGCACACTGAGCCAGGAGTCAGTAGACAAACTCAGTATTAGTCATATTGAGATGGTCCCCTTCTTGCTAGAGTTAGCTGTACACAAAAAACCCTCCATGAAAATACTCGAGGTCGACCTTGACTCAGATGGTCAGCAAAGTCTTTGGCTCGAATTTCTGCAAGTCGCTGGTGCCACTCACCAGCAGTACCGCTTCAGGGTGCTTGATGAAGTGCGTATGGCTGACATCAAGGGCTTATATAACGACAACACAAATTGTTCGTTTGGCGTTCTCGATTGTGAGGACAGCCGACTAGGCTTTGCCGAGGATATATTCGACCTGGTCATTCTCCGAGCCATCTCACCGTTAACTACTCAATCTTCGCTGGTTGTAGATGCTGTAATGAACCTGGTATCACGCGATGGACACATTTTAGCCATTGACTGTTCGGCCCCTGCTGTTGACCGCGGACATTTATTAACGAGCAAGATTAAAGAGTGTGCGTTTGCAAAATTCTTATCAGTTCCACATCAGCACAGCAAGATCCTCTTATGCTCCTTACCTGGTACTCTACCGGCGGTAGACAAGGAGCTCCATATTGTTTATTTCAAAGAAACCACCCATTTTCCACTTACAGCTCGGCAATACCTGGAACAGGAAGGATGGAACGTCATTGAACATAGATGCTCTAGCGAACACGTTCCAGAAGGCGCAACAGTTCTCATTATCGACGAGTTTTTTGCACCAGTACTGGCGCATGTCTCAAAGTTACAGTGGCTCTGTCTTCGCCAGCTAGTCACCCGCAGCTGCAAGCTTCTCTGGGTAACGCAAGGAGGCCAGATGTCAGTATCTAAACCTGACAACGCTCTTGTTGTTGGATTATTTCGATCTATTCGGTCCGAGGACCCCAGTGCGACGGTGATGACCCTAGATATGCACAGTCTCAATGATTCAACCCTGGTGCATTGCATAGCCACAGTTTTGAGACAAGTTCGGCGTTCGCAAGACCGACATGTTTCTGACAACAAGTACGTTGAAGACAGCGAATACGTTGAATACAACGGCATCCTCCACGTCCACCGTATTGTCCCGCACTGCCCTTTAAACCAGGAAGTTGGATCTTGGATGAAGGAGCCCATAAGAAAATGTCTGCCTACCAACGGAGCCATGACACAGCTTAGGGCTGAAAAAATAGGCACATTGGACGGACTACACTTCGCTGAAGTGTCAAAGGAACCTCCTGCGGAAGGCCAGGTGGAGATTGAGGTCAAGGCAGCTGGATTAAATTTCAAAGATGTGGCGGTCACCATGGGCATAGTGCCAGAGAACGAATATTTGCTGGGTCTGGAGGGCTCTGGAATTATTCGCCGTGTTTCAGACGCCGATCCCAGCATCATAAACACTCGGGTGGCGTTCATGGCTAAGGGGGCAATGGCCAACCGCATCCATGTTCCATTGGAATTCACACACGCTATTCCTGATTCAATGACCTACGACGAGGCAGCTACTATGCCGGTTGTATTTTGCACAGCTCTTTACTCCTTGTTCAATATGGGCAATCTCCGTCGTGGCCAAACCGTACTTATCCACTCTGCTACTGGTGGTGTGGGAATTGCCTGCATTCAGCTTGCCCAATATATTGGTGCAGATATTTACGTGACCGTTGGTACAGAAGAGAAGTGCCTGTTCTTACATAAGACTTTTGGAATCCCGTATGAGCACATGTTCTCATCGCGATGCTCAAGATTTGCAGCGGAGATTATGAAAGCAACAGGTGGCAGGGGTATCAATGTGGTTGTAAACTCTCTCACGGGCGACTTGCTAGACGCCACCTGGAGGATCTGCGCAGACGGCGGAACTATGGTTGAGCTCGGTAAAAGAGACATTGTCCAGCGCAACTATCTCTCTATGGAGCCTTTTAATCGCGGTTGTTCTTTTCGCGCAGTTGACCTCTCACATGGTGACTTACTACAGGAAGTTCCAGGGTAAGTTTGCCGACAACCAAATTATTACTCTCAAATTATTACTCTCAAGCTAATAGATATTTTCAGTCTCCTTAAGCGCATTTTCGTCCTTCAAGCTGAAAACCATATTAAACCTATCGCCCCAGTTACAGCCTTTCCCATGACTCGGGTCCCGGAGGCTTTCGCGTACATGCGAAGCGGCCGCCACATAGGCAAGATTGTTATCCACCAGGAAGTCGAAACGGCTGAGACTGAGCAGACAGTGCCTATACGACCTCTACGCAAAGAACTCTCCTTCCATGATGGAGTGGCATATTTGATTGTCGGTGGGCTCAAGGGCCTCTGTGGGAGCCTGGCCATGCACTTGGCGCACCGCGGAGTCCGACACTTGGTCGTCATGTCCCGCAGCGGGTGCTACGACAGTCGCTCACAGACGGTCATGGCATATTGCCAATCATTTGGGTGCGAAGTGCACGTCTGCCGTGGCGATGTGTCGCGCATTCCTGACGTTCGACGGGCATTTATAGCCGCTCCTGTCCCGATCAGAGGCGTCGTTCAAGGAGTGATGGCCCTTTATGACCGGCCTTATGAAGTAATGACACTCGAGGAATATCACCAGTCTATCGAAGGGAAGGTACAAGGTACTTGGAACCTTCACCATGTATCAGTGGAAAATAGACGTCGTCTAGATTTCTTCCTGCTGCTGTCCAGTATCTCCAGCATAGTCGGAAGCCCAGGCCAGGCCAACTACTCGGCCGCCAATAGCTTCTTGGATTCCTTCACGGCGTATCGCCGATCGATGGGCCTCGCTGCTCAAACAGTTAATCTGGGTGTGGTAGAAGACGTGGGTGTTGTTGCTGAGTCGCAGGAGTTGTCCCAGCGTCATCAGGCATCTAATGAATTGGTTAGCATACCTGAGCGTGTGCTGCATTGCATATTGGACTATTCTCTCAGGCAACAATACCTACACACGACACCTACTTTGGCCTCCAACTATCCAGACCGTAGCTATCCATCGCATCTGATTATAGGATTAATAGTCCCTCAAGATCCGACCAAATCCAACCTTCGATTTGATCCACGTTTCCAAGGGCTGTTCATCGCCAATGACGTGTCTAACCCTGAGGCCGGAGGAAAAGGCACTGATGACATCGGTACTGCGGTACAGAGTTTCCGTGCTCGAGTTGGCTCGGGAGTAGCGGCAGAAGAGCTCCTCGGGCTATGTCTGCAGATTCTCGCAGCTCGGCTTATGCAAATGCTGCGCAGAAGTGCCGAACAAAGGATTGAACCAGGACAACCGCTATCAGTGTACGGATTAGACTCGTTATCAACAGTTGAACTTCGAAACTGGATCAAGGCTGAGATGGGTGCTACATTAACGACGTTCGATATACTTAATGCCAGTAGCTTAATCATGTTGGGGGAACGTTTGGTGAATAAATTGCATGCAAACAGATAAGGGAAAAGGGCAGAAAAATTTCCCGATGTGAGTACAAATTTAATATGTTGTTAGACATGATTGACGCTCTTTTATGGGCCGAATTATTCACCTTCATATTGTATACACTGCAGTTCCTTACCCTTAATGGATATGAGGATATCAAGCCTCAGATCATCAACCAGCACCTCACGGCTGATCTGCAATACACCTGCCACTACTGGGTGCATCATCTTAAGTAAAAGTCACACCTCTCAATCTGAGATTCCTTCTGAGAGGGTTACATATTGGGTTTGTAGTCAGGCAAATAATAATATCCCTAATAATTTATAGAAGTTGCAGCAAAGTTCGTTAACATAAGAGATTAAATACGGAAGATAGTTAGTTAGAAGGCGTCTACAGACTATGGCGAACATAAGGCGCTCCGCATTTATAGTATGGAAATATCTATCTATTGGCTATGATACTAGACCCTAGTGTTGTATTCCAGAAGAAGATTAACTGTATTTCATTACTTATGTAGACTAAGGGTTTATATACAAGCTGAAATCAGACTGGTTGGAAATTAGTCTGGTTCTATACGGAATTTCTTCCATATCGCTGGTCCAGCCTCAATTCACAACACTCCTATCCGTTATGGGCGTTGATGTTAAGATGCCTGGTGTTTGCCTCCACAGGCGCCACATCTCTCATAGGCTTCTGTGTAATCGTGTTTTTGGTGTGGCCCTGCACATTTTTCACATACCTTTGCTGCCTTGCAATGTGTCTGTTTGTGGTTATAGCTCTGCTTGGCTGGCTTAATTCTCATGGAAGAATATATTAGCCGAATCCATGGCTACCTGACACGAGCAAGTACAAGGCGCTCCCGGCATGCCCGTTCTTCTCGCCTTGAGTACAGTCTTTATGGGCCCCAGGAATGTCAAATTAACAAGGCTCTTTAGTAATAAATAGTATTGTGATTTCTCAGGCATTTCTGGCATGAGTGATAAAAAGCTGAATGTTGACGGTAATGGATCCAACACTCACTCCACATATTCAGCCTTGACCGTTCCGGTCCAGTAGAGAATTGTGCTGTAGCCGTCTTCAACAATACAAAGAAATAGTGCGGCCACACTTAGTGGCCGCGAAGGCTAAATTAACAAACAGAATTTCTATGCGGCAATAGAGAAACAGTCCGATCCTTTGTCGACTAGTCAAATCAAATCTACTCTCGTCCTATCGCCTAGTAAGCGCAGCTAACTAGTCACAGAGCTCCTGCCCGAATACCCAGGTGTAACACTTATCTTCAGACTATATATAGACTGAGTCTTTAACTGCAGTAAGCAACTCGTATAATATCTCTAAAGACTAAATAATACCCAGTATAGATACCCAGTTATCTCTATATAAGCAGCGGTCATACAATATATTATACTAACAGCACTTTATAGAGCAGAAGTATTCTATACTTATACTTATTACAATTAATAGCAAGTATAGCGAGTCTCGCTATATCTATTAGATTAACCTATTCTGGCTCCTGATAATGAAGAATTTCTAATATAGTCCTCATTGCGGCCGGATTATCTCCATGAAGGAATATTGTGGGGCGGTTAGAGCTTGTAATCTGCACACTCTTATAGAAATTGGAACTAAATAACTTTATAAATATTGGAGAGGCCAAACTGAGGAGTTTAGAATATACAAGAAACTATCTTATATTCTGATCTTCAACAAGTAGGATAATATTCCCATCTGGATTAAGCTGTTCATGTCCAAGGTCTTTATCTGCTATTTGTGTTAGATCAAAATCCATGTCTGACATGCTGGCCTTGTGTACAAAAGCGATATGAGAGATTGTGGTATAGGAGATAACATGTACTCGTGAAATATGAGGCGGGGTACTGAGGTTGCACTTATATTGTCAGAGCACGTGGTCTATACTACCTAAGCATCATACTTCTGCCATCTCCATACCCCACCCTTGATAATCAATAGACCTCGCCATGACTCGCGGCTGACTGAGGGTTGAGGGTCGGGTAGCGAGGGCCATGGTGAGGTCTATGGGCCTGGGGCTCCTGATGTAGCATAATATACTCAAGCTATGGCATATCTACTCGCTTAACTCTCAATCAAGGCTCATCTTTTATGCAAACCATCATCGGCGAGCTGCTTTACCCCTGCCTAGCACATTCTTGTGCCGCGCTTATCTATGTTCTATTGTAGAAAGCAGTTCTCATTAGTCAAGATAAAGTTTTCCAGAAGCAGACACAGGATATTTAATGCTGTTGCTGTGAACCCACGGTATATTAGTGAGTGTGCCGTGTTCCTGCACAAATCCAGGTTTACTTATTGAGAATCTATGGAACCCGGAAAGACATCATCATTAGCTCTATATGCTTCAGCTAATCGTACCGCTCTATCTATACATCGCTCTCAATAACACACACCAAACTGACCATGTAAATCGCCAGTAAGAACCCCACCAATGTTCGGAGAAACCATATTCGGATAAGCCCTGCGGCAGAACCAACCATAGAAACATCAAGCCAGCCTCCTCTCCGGCTTCATTTGCAGCAAATGAACGGACACCAAGTTGGCACCGAGACCACCAAAGAACAGAAAGAACGGAGTCAGATAGTTATAGCTTGGGTATATGACGAGAGCGATAAAGGGGAATAACAGAGTAACCCCGGACCAGACCAAAACGGGTTGGTTTGCCATGAATCGCAGGCCGCGTTTCTTCGCTGCTACCAGCCCTAGATAGAGTCCAATGTACTGCATCACGGCCGCTTGGATGGCAGAGAGATGATCGGCGTCGCATATTGCAGCTTGCCGATGCTCACCCCGCTGAAGTGACAGAGCGTAGGTCTGGATGACCGTTGCAATGACGGATATGCCGATAAAGACGGATGTTGCTGTCTCGACATGCTGGGTTGGAGTCAATGAGTGACTAACTCAAGGGAGCAAAAGACTGACTACTCGGGCTGGATAGAGGGACTGGAGCGCAGCTGTCAAAACTAATTATATCAATGATCGGTCAGCAACATCGAGACTAGCTATCTTCTATTGGGATAACCATAAGCAATCCAAGGTCTCCTGACAAGCCTTGAGGGTAAACAGCAGAATCAATACCTTTGGCTTTCGCTACCCATCTTCCAGTATTCTCCATCTTAAAACAGCTGTGCGGAAAGCTTGAAGTTGGTATTCGACAATTGCGCGTAAATATATTGAGGGAGATAATAGTGATACACATCGAAGGTAGAGCTGGTTTGCTTCTTTTATATGTCTAATGTCCTGAAGGACCGCGGGCGATAGAAATCTAGTTAGATCTAAAAAGAAACGATAGAATTCTAGCTAGACCTAATCAGAAAGTATAATTTAGCGTGTATAAGGAAGGTAGTGCTTAGCTGCTAACGATATATCTTCGAGAGTCTCCTAAGAGTTAAGCAACCGACCAATCAACTTAGTCTACATGATCGAATGTGGGTTAGTGCAGTCTTCTCTATACGAGGTAGTGGGGCTAACGCTAAGACGGGGTTATTTTATTTACTTGTCGCTATCGGCCCGCTCCGCTCAGCAGTCCTTTGCCCCCTGGTATTGGTGAAGTTTGTGGTGCAAAAAAGCCCTAACGATAGACTGCCCCTGGAGCTGATCATTACAAGTCTTCCCGCTGGTCCAGAACCCGATTGGTTGGAGTAAAAAGTGACGGGGTCTGTCACGCCGCATATGTGGAAGCTGTGGAGGGATCTCTTCTTCAACGAGGATATGCCACGTAAAACGCGTCTTCGTGATATTGTGTACTCACCGAGAACTAGGCTAAATATATAGTTACTACAGAGATGCTAAGACTGTGCGGACAGACAGCCAGGAACAAGGGTAAGAACCCATGTTCCGACAGACTAGAATAGTCACGTGAGCATTTGTCCCTATAATGGAGGCGTAATGTCCTTCACTAAATCTGCGGATTATAAGTAAATGAGCAAGTAGATGCAGACCAATATAACGGAAATAAAAAGGGGAGAGGAAGAAGATTGTGAGGGCGTCAAGGCCTGAGAAAGCGGCACTGCAAAGTAAGGGAACGATTATACAATTTTTACTTGGTCAACGGGGTTGCCTACTGGCCAAACTTTGATTGGCTCTCAAATAATGACGTCATAATCTCTGACCGACCAGAGATTATGACGCCATCCTTGGGGTTGGAGCCCTTCTTACTTCCAATATTGGTTAGAGCAAGGGAAGCAGCCATTGAGGGACCAGCCATAATGAGGCAGTACCTCCCGCACTGCCTCGGTTCGGGCCGTTGCTGCTGTCGCGCAAGTATCTATCTAGAAATGGGACACTCACGTGTGACTGCAAGTCGCGGTGGACTAAGATAGGTAGAGAGTTGCCGACCTTCTGCACCTGTGGGGGCTCGCTATGCTCTTTATATACAGACGGTAGCTAGTACAAGCCTGACTCAGCACCCACTAGTGGCTCTCTACCCGATATAGCGGTGGCACGCAGAGGTAGGTGTAGCTACGGGACAAGTCGACGACTAGGGGGTTCCTGATCATAAGGAGCGGAATTACACACGTCATGGTCGGAGACAGGATTCCTAAACTCGCGGTTCTCATTAACACAGACAATGCACGGTCGTCTATCGTTAATTTCCTACTCTCCGAAATCACGAAATATGGTACAGCTCATGCAAAGCGGGCATATGGGGACTGGACTAGACCCAATCTGCTGAACTCCTTGAGCAATCGATCCAACCAATCCAGCAGTTCTCGTATACCCACAGCAAGAATGCGACTGACTTAGCTATAATTATAGACGCGATGGATCTTCTGTACTCTGGCCAGTATAATAGGTTCTGCCTTGTCTCAACTGACAGTGACTTCACGCGGCTGGCCGCTTGTATCCGCGAGTCAGGACTAATTGTGATGGATTTGGAGAGCGTAAGACACTCAAGCCCTTTATTATTGCCTGTGATAAATTTATGTCCACTGAAAATCTCATATATCTTGATAAGCTTATGCTGTATGCAGACAATACTATTGTGCCTAAAAATTATCTATCAATCCTACTGACTTAAAAAGATAGCCACTTAGCAAGTCAGTTATAAATGACAGTAGAAGCAGCCTCCAATAATAATAGCTGGGCAAGGCTCTGTAATATTGGCCAGTGCCTTACAAAAAAATATCCTGACTTTGACTCTTATTAGCTATAGATATTATAAGCTCAGTGATCTTATCACTGTCTTGTCTTTGTTTAAAACTGCCCGCCGCTCCTTATAAAAGGGCTTACCTACAGAGATTATTATACGCGATAAGAGTCGGAAGCCTAGGTCTGCTTTACAGCTTTTAGCTAAGATAGTGATATTGTCTCAGCCTAGGTTCTAGGAATCTTTTGAGAGCATTTTTTGGTAACTGTCTGCTATTCCTACTCTCCAGGATTTATATCTAGTAGGGCTATGATATCTATATATATAGCTTCAGGTTTTCTCAGCCCTGCAGCCTTAGGTGTGGCTCTGCTGTGTAGACTGTGTATAGAAAACTCTCTGTCAGCCTTGGGGGTGCTGAGGGCCCTGGAGGCCCTGAGAAAGTGCTGTTTGGAATACTTTTTGCGCTGCTGGGAATATTTAAGCTGCGGAGGAAGCTGCCTAGATTACTTAGACTTGAAGCTGTTGAACTGTCTTCTCTAGGACCTTAATTTCGGTCTTAAACTGTTGTTGGCGGGCGTGTTGCTGAGCTATCTGGGCCTCTATTATCAGATTAATATAGGCCTGTGTCTCCTCTAGCTCTTTCCGATATTCAAGCTCCTGATCCTTTAATAATTCTTGTATAGAGATTATTCTGGATTTTAGTTTAAGCCCAGCTGTATCTAGCTTCTTTTCTTCTATTTTCAGGTACTCTGGGCGCTTCATGTACTCCGGCTACTTCTAGAACTGGTCCTGCTTGAGGCTCTGCTTGATTCGCTGTTGCTTAGGTCCTGATCCAGGTCCGCAGGCATTCCTAGGGCCCTAGGGGTCCCTCGATATATCGGAGTTGGTATTGGTGGTGGTGGTATCCCGCTCAGGGGCATCCACCGCGACGCGCTCGGTAGGCCACCACCATGGGGGTTTGAGACCTCCATAGCGGTTCCTGGGGCCTTAGGAGGCCTTTCTTGATTGATTGACGCGTTAAAAAGACGTGTTTTGAATGGGTGTTGATTTGATGTTACGAGCGCTATTTGACTGTTCTAATAATGGGGTAGTATATGTGGCTGGCATAACATGGGCTCTTCTGTTCGGCTTTCCGCTTACTGCATTGGCTCTCATCTTTATATAATCATACACTAATCATTAATCATGGCCCTAAGATCCTCCTAAGCATACTACTCCGCCTGAATACTCTCGACGATCCGCTCATTGCTCAACTGAGCGCTGCAACCTGGCACAACTATGTGTTCTAGAGAGCAAAGACGTATATTAATGCTGAGTCACACCGCAAGAAGTTCGCTTTTTCTCCAAGAAAAGAAAATTGCACTGCTATAAGACTATATATAAAGGATTGAATCTCCTACTAGCAGTGAGGCGGCGTCAACCTCAAGATTTTTTTCCCTTATTATCGTACCATTACTTCACCATCATATAACAAAAATATCATCATCCTTTTCAAGATGCATCTCCAACCCTTTATTCTCGCCTCAGTTATTACAGCTGTCTCTGCGGCTGAACTTAAGGTCAACTATTATTCCGATGGCGGTTGTACCAATTACCTGACCTCGATTTGGCCCGGCGACGTCGGCCGCTGCTACGACTACGACTACACTAATACGAATAGCGCCAACATCGCCAACTGCAACGGTTACCAGCTCTGTACCTGTAGCTTTTACTCCGAGAAGGGATGTAAAGGCAAAGAAGAATATCGTATAGGTTCAAGCTGTGCTTCCAACTGGGGCACAGGATGGGCGTCCATGAAGTGTAGCGGGATTTGGTGAAGAGTTTGTCATTAGAAGGTATGTAGGTCTGTATATCTTACGTGCAGCATATGATGTACTACTGGCTGACTGTTGAGAGGGTTATCTGTCAGTTTTACTGGAGAGTGATTTCTGTCGGTTGGATACTTGAGGCATCTTGGATGGAAAGGCATATTATGATGTCAGCCGGCTTTAGGGGTGTATGTAGGCATCGATACAATGAACTTGCCTATCTTCTAATATACCTAATATAGAGGGTTTCATGCCGTCATAGAGGCTGAGCCCCCTTGACATATTACCCCAATCCAAGCAACAGAGACTTATATCAATCTGTTATATGATCTCACCTCCCTTCTTTATTGAATCGATATTCTCAATACCGCCGAGCTGCTTGAGAGAATGACCCATGGCTACCCGTAGATGGTGGTTTTTGTTTTGCTGCGCCCTGACAGGGTAATGGAAATGCACTATTGCATTTTGCATATGCAACTAAGGAAGGTATGATTGGTGGTCATAGTGTAAAGTTAATAAAATTATTTGGCGCGCTTTCTACAGATCCCATACTGTTATCCCACAAAACGAGATTCTTGTTTGTATATTGACCGTTCTTCTCCCAGAACTTAATTCCTGTTAGGCACCGTCCACACCGGTAGACCTCAACTTGCGGTCATGGCGGAGTCGAGGAATTATCGCAAGGCTGAGGATTTTGAACTCTCTCTGATTAGTCGTGTGATGGGGCCCCTGACCTTTTAGTGAGTACTAGTCAGTACCTAAACCTGCATTACTACTAACCGAGGGAAGGCTTTCTGCTGGCTGGAGGCGAGCAACCTCTCTGAGGTCTTTATCAACTAGACATCATCTTATAAATTGCACTCCGGTCACCGGCGCCTGTACCAAACTACCACTCCTTGGCTTGAGTTTTGGTCAGCAGTAACACTGCTGACACCGTCAACATTTTGCCAAGATGCACCCGGCGAACCGCGACGGATTCAAGAGTGCCATCATTTGTGCCCTCACAATAGAGGCTGATGCAGCCGAAGCGTTGTTCAGTGAGACCTATGACCGATTCGGTCAGGTTTATGGGAAAAATTTCGGTGATACAAATGCATATACCACAGGAAGAATCGGCCAACATCATGTTGTTTTATGCTTTATCTGCCTGGTATGGGAAAGGGCAGTTCTGCGGCTGCGGCGGCCAACCTACTAGTCAGTTATAATTATATTCACCTAGCTCTAGTGGTTGGTGTCTGTGGGGGTGTTCCATTCCCATCGAAGCGATACAGAGATGATTCTGGGCGATGTGACAATCAGCGACGGGGGTCACTGAATATGATTTTGGTAGTTAATATCCTGATAGATTTCGGCGGAAGAATAGTTCCAAGGAGACTCTAGAAAGGCACAATCGAGAAGTTCGAGCCCTTATGTCAGGCCTTAAAGGTCGCAAGACGAGAGACTATTGCAGAAACAAATTCATCAACACTTGCACATCAGGGGCAACCCGTCACAGAGTGGCAGTGCCCCGGTGTCATGCATGACATGCTGTTTGAAGCACCCCTATCGTCATAGACACTATCGGTATGACCTCCCTAACAAGTGCAGTTGCAGTGAAGACACGGTTTGTGACGAAGCACTGAAGGGAGATTGCAGCCTTGGATGCGCTGGAAAGCTCATCGGTCGTCAGCGACATGCCGCAGAAGTTACTTATCTACCCGTAAGAGCTAAGATATATGGAGGGCAGAGAAGGCGGAGCAAGTCCATCAGAACATAAACTTAGGGCAACTTGGTACCACGCGTCCTCTCATCTAGGTCCAATCACAATGCACCAGGTTCATCGGTTGACCCAGATGCTCCTAAGTCTTTCTGATACAGGTGATATCGTCGCTAGTTTAAGTTCACCACAATTAACGTCTAAAACAGGAAAGTCGCTGAATTTATCAGTCAATCCTTCGCCGTTTCTTTATAATTATTGGTTTCACTTGACGAGCAGCAATGTTCACCATTTTCTTCCAGAAGAGAAAGTCGATAACCCTAGAAACCGATATCTCGTTCAATAGTCTCCTGATACTCCTCACGAACGTAAGACAATAATCGCGGTGGACCTCTTTGCAGTATCAACACTTTCATGGTCCCAATGGTCCCTTGTCGTAGATCTTCCTCTCCATCGTGCTCGCCACTCCCGGCAACCTGGAAGGAAGAGTAGTGTCACCTTCGTCAAACATTAGTTCTGCATTACGACCATATATTCACACCTCGAATAGCAATATGTTAGCATGATAATTTGCATCCGGTAAATCGCACCAAATCATACGTCATCTATGCATACAGGAAGGTTACCGCCAGTAAATATTCGGCCGATTTGCTGGAGATAGAGGTCCGGCGACACCTAATCACCGCCGAACCTCTTAGGGGCAATTCCTTAATCATGCAGTTTCTCCTTTTAATTTCTAATTGGTGCCGTTGCACTATCGAACTCGGCCTCGGTAATTAATAGCTTGGTATAAGTGAATTCGACCGAAACCTCGGCGGAAGCTACTATATAAACATCACGCACCTGGCAGCGATAGGTTTCTCTGAAGCAGCTTCGTGCACACATTTTCTTTCCCATTGCAAATAAATTCAAAATCCGACAGGTCAGTGCTCATTGTCTACCGTCTTCAAAGCTCGTCTTTGTCTGTGGTTTCATCACGACAGAGCTACCTAAATAGTTGACACAACAACTATATTGTTCAATTAAGCAAGATGGTCAAGATTGCGATTGCGGGTGGCTCCGGCAGTGAGTTCCACTACTTGAAAGGTATACCTCCAACAGCGTTACTAATACAGCGATAGACGTTGCAAGGGAGATTATTGATGCTCTCCTTGCTGTCAAGAAGCACGATATTTTGGTTCTGTCTAGGAAGGTTTGCATATTATCCACGTATTTTGATTGCCTGGTTCCTGAAGTCAGCTGACATATATATAGGAGGTCCCAGCTGGAGAGGCTACCCAGAGCATAACGTGGGTTAAGGCAGACTACGAAGACCCGAAGCAGCTGGTTCAGGCCTTGCAGGGAGTGCACACCGTGCTCTCCTTCGTTTCTACAGTGGACGATCCAGCGAGCACTGCCCAGAAAAGTCTCATCGATGCTGCAGTTGAAGCTGGCGTGAAACGCTTTGCGCCCAGCGAATGGGCTACGTGAGATGACTCAACCTCTTAACGTTGTTCGCTGTCGTTGACGTTTATCAGATCCAGCATGGAGCACCTCGGCTGGTACGCCTACAAGGCAGAAATTCGCCGATATCTCCAAGATTTGAATAAAGATAAGAAAGTAAGATCCGGAGAGATCATGCGCCGTATAGAATCTGACAGAAGTCTTTATCAATAGGTTCTTGAATACACGCTCTTTCAGCCTGGGCTATTCGTGAACTATTTCACCCACCCTCATCAGTCGTCCAGACATATCCACTCAATGGAAATGACGATCGATTTCGCCAACCGCCGGGCTATCTTGCTGGACGGTGGCGATGATGACTATCTAACTCTTACTACTGTACAGGATGTCGCCAATGTGGTAGCCAGGGCTGTTGACTTTGAGGGCGAGTGGCCAGTTGTTGGTGGTATCAGAGGCACCGATGTGACCATCCGGCAGCTTGTTGCCCTCGGTGAGAAAGTTCGCGGTAGGTCTGACTACTCGACTAAATATATAAAGGTGCTGATATTCTCCGAATTAGGTGGGGCCCCTTTCAAAATCGAAAGGGTGAAGGCGCAGGATCTTGAAAGCGGAGCATGGAAGACATCGTGGGTACCAAAGCTGGATCACCCCTCCATCCCACCTGAGCAGGTTGATGTATTCTCGAGAATGATTGTCGTCGGTTTTTTGCGAGCCATTGCCGCCAAGGCTTATAATATCTCGGATGAGTGGAATCGGTTGTTGCCAGACTACAAGTTTACTCAGGCTGAAGAGTTCTTGACTGAGGCATGGCATGGTAAGCCCTAGGCAGTCTTTAGGTAAGGATGTAAGAGTGGCTTAGAAATCAGCTTTTGTAAAAGTAGGCATTTCTAACAAATCAACGAGTTATCCTGGTGCTGACTGGCTGTTTGTCCGCCGAGCTCGGGCGAAATGATTAATTGATTCAGCCCCCACTAAAAACCCACTGTACTTCAACCATCCAGCATTCGGACTCAACAATGAACGAAATAAGAACCCAGGAAGAAGGGCCCGAGGCCAAACGCAGGAAGATTCGCAAAGGCACTAGAAGCTGCTGGGAGTGCAAGCGGCGGAAGGTCCGTTGCATCTTCACTTCGCCCGCGAACATTGTCTGCGATAACTGTAGACGACGGGGAACGGGATGTATCAGCCAGGAACACCCTGATCCTCCGGCGCCTTTCGTCAGCAGCAATCATGTAGAAACTCGGCTCGGCCGGGTGGAAGAACTTCTCGAGCAATTGGTCCACAAAGGGGACACCGCGCATGCCCTACACTACTCCCCCGAAGATCTCTCCGAGGCTCGGTCGACCTTGGTGACACTAGATGAAGTTGATAGGACAGAGCTAGCGTCATCGGCAATCAACACGCCAGTACGTGTCTCCCATCCCCGAGCTTTGCCCTGTGAGTGTTTGACATTGCGAAAGAATAACCTTCATAAGAAGACTTCTACCGACTCAGGCCGCAGGGTGAGGCCCGCATCGCCAGCCGTCGCCAGGACCAAATCCCTAGACGGGCAAGTCTCCGGCAAGTATGAAAATTTGGTCCGGGACCTTATCGTCGCCTGGCCTAACCAACGTGATCTTAATATCATCTGCAACCTTCCTGTTGGACTTTCAGCGCATCTGCACCCGGCAATATGCTCTCCCAGTTATAGCTTTACGGGCCAGGACCCGCCATCACCGCGGGAGATGCTGCAATTGCCCCCGCCAAGTTCCCATCCGGTACTGATCGCGCGGAAGCTCCTGGTGCTGGGCACGTTTCTACAGGGCGTCCTTCCGTCTGCGATGCAGAGCTTACGGGACCAGGGCGCATCCTACCGTGATCTTATGGCAAGAGTTGTTGATAGAGCAATCAGGCTAGTGACCACCAATGACGAGCTCATCGGCTCTGTCGAAGGCATTGAGTGCATTTTGATCGAGGCTATGTACCAGAACTATGCCGGGAATCTCCACCAGGCATGGATGGCGATGCGCCGAGCGGCCGCTATTGCGCAGATGATGGCACTACACCGCGGTCTCGATTCGCGGTCCCTGAAAATACTCGAGCCTGAAGCCAAGGCTTCTTTTAACCCGGACCACATCTGCTTTCGCCTGGTGGAAATGGACCGCTATTTGTCACTCATGCTCGGCCTGCCACCAGCATCACTTGAGGCCCGTTTTGCCACTCCAAAGGCATTGGAGGGATGTCATCCAATTGACCGTATACAGCGCATCCATTGCGCCGTTGCTGGACGCATTCTGAGGTGCAACGGGACTGACCTAAGCAGCCTTGCCAGAACCCACGACATTGACAGGCTACTGCAGAAAGCCGCCGCAGAGATGCCGCCCCAGTGGTGGCTGATTCCGAATTTTGTGTCTAGAAATAACGATCGTGCAGAGCTACAGGCCGATATGGTTCGCCTCAACGCCCAATTCGCTCAACAACACTTGCTCTTACGGCTACATCTGCCTTATATGCTGCGCTTCCCATCCGACCACCGATATGATCACAGCAAAATCACCACCGTCAATGCTAGCCGCGAGATCCTATCTCGGTACGCAACCTTCCGCACCGCAAACCCTGCCCACTTCTACTGCCGTGGAATCGACTTTCTTGCCTTTGTTGCCACCACCGTATTGTGTCTCGCCCACATAGAGTCGCACGGCCAGCGCCACCAGCCCTCGCAAACTCCGAACTTTAGCACTATCTTCAACTACCTTGCTCACAGCCGCCCCAGCGATCGTGGAACGATGGAGCGCACCCTCGAGATTATGGACTCTATGGCCCGGACTGGCACTGATATGATTGCCTCTAAGCTTACCCGCATCATCCATCATTTGCTCACCGTGGAGGCGGCAGCCGCCAACGGCACTATATACAGTGCGAGCTCATGCAAAGGAGACGGGGGAGAACTCGAGTATGATGGCAAGATGACCGACAGCGGCACTTCGCTGCATATATATCTCCCTTACTTTGGGACAATAAAGTTCGAACGTGGCTCCATCTCAACTTCTGCTTCCACGGCATTGACAAAGACCCAGCTGGGCGTCTTGACCCCATCGGCTACGGATAGATCACTCGAACACAATGATCTCTCGCTATCTACGTCTAACTTTCATATCGGCAACCAGTTGGTATCTCCTAATTCACATTTGCAAGATGGCCAGCTGTTATCCTCGCAACACCCCTCTGCGACAGATGAAGTGCCTTGCATTTCCAGCTGTAACCTGGAACCCAATCAACTACCGATCCCACCGGAGCTTTCCGGTGTAGATGAATGGGGCCTGCAGGATGTTGACGTCGCCATCTTTAATAGCCTTTTTCGTGACATAGCCATCCCAGATGCGGTTGAGGAGGAGACTTGGGCGCAATGACTAGGCATGGCCTAGTAGGAGGCTCTCGATGATATTCATAAAGTTTTCGTCGTTGACACGTAGAAATGTCTATCAAGATAGCCACTGAGAAGTTTTCCTACATATCGCTATAGCTCTCGAAGTGATTACTATATGTTTCTATACGAAGATGGGTTGGAGCAATTGCAGCGTTTCATATTCTTATATTGAGCATGCTGTTCACTCAACTGTGAAGGTAACTAAGTATCCTTCCGCCGGCCTACAAATTATTAAGAGTCATTGTCCGTTGACCATTTGAAGTTCGCGATTTTTGTATAGGTGGGTATTGGAGCGGGAAGAGGAAAGGAAGGAGAGCGTTGCGCGGAGCTACAACTTGAACTCATATGTCCGCATTATTTTGTTTCTATTTTAGCAAGCTTTACCTGCTGATATCTCGAGTTGGGTCATAAATCGACCACTCTTTTATGTACTTTCTAACAGACATGTATGCTTAGTTTACGTAGACTGGTTCGTGGACTAGGTTACTGCACATGCTGTTTATTAACCAGCAATTAAATACAATCATTCCATCAACATGCCTCCGCCTATCCCATACATCCTTAATAACCTAATGGTTACATCTTGCTCCAGAACACTCAGCACCTCTTCATAATATTTCTTCTCCTTTCCAAATCCACACATGGCATTGCCATTTACCGAAGGAAACCAAACCCCACCCCCTGACCTTTCTACCCTAATGGTGCCATCTTAGCCATCGATATCCATCGGATCCTCATCATCGATATCCATCGAACCCTCAACATCGATACCCATCGGATCCTCAACATCGATATCCATCAGATCCTCATCATTGATGTCCATTGGATCCTCAACATCCATAAAACCTTCGGGAGCTTCCTCAGCAGAAACCAGGTTACGACAGTGGCCATGAATCCCTTGAACGCATTCCATTCCTTGGGGCAAGATATCTTCGGATCTATTTGACATTAGACCACCTCCAGTGTCCTCTCTCTGGACACCCTCGCCTCCTTGCTGAGCTCCTTCATCTCCCTCTGTGTCATCCATACCTGACATCTGCGCGTCCCTATACTCACTCGTCCCAGGAAAACCAGCTCCATTATCTTCTCCATCCTGCCCTCTAAAAACAAACCTACCCTGACCTTCCCCGGGTGTTATGTCTCCTCCCAAGACCCCCAACCCCCATAAACCGCCAAACCCCCCCCAAACTCTCACGATTACCAGCTCCAGACAACCCCATAACTTAAGTGTTGCCTATTGTCCGAATACCCTCCACCTACACAGAAGAGAAAAAGAAGAAGATCAATGATGGTGACATTGTGCCTTTATATCATTTTTCATGGCGGGGTAATGGCAGTACAATCGCGGGGCAATGCTAGTGCTTACGGATTGTTGGAAGCTGGGGCTGGCGTTGGCCCTTTACTCATCTTTTTTTCTTGACTTGACATGCATGAGTGCCTTACCTAACGCGGCTTGGAGGGCGTAGAGTGGTCAAGGCAAGACACCTCGCCGAATGGTGTTCATGGGTCTAAAAATAATAATAAGCAGCCATGGACCCAAGAGCCATTGCCTTGTACAATTGAAAAGGCTCTGCTATCATTATATTAGATTCATTTATGACCACTTGAGGAGGTTGTACTTGATTTTGGTAAACTCTCCGTCAGGGAAGGAGTCTTTGGGCTGGGAGGGGGCCCTATCTACTTGTCAGTCAAGTCGTCTTGCGGATGACTTTTAGGCCCTCTTTCACACCATTCGAAAAATAGCATCTTTATGACTGCCGTATGCTCAAAGAACTTAGCTGGCATGTACATTTCCGAAGATGTTGTATTTAGGCTAGGGCATTCTGATACTGGGTTCGGGAAAGATCAAACCTGGCGGTCTTAGGGTTCTGAATGACAATACCCAGCCCAAACAGCAGCGCGCGGTCAAAGAATCTGCAAGCATCATTCACCAATAATCGAGACACGTATAACCGCATAATATGTAAGAGGTGCCAAGATGCGATAAATAGCGGTACTAGTGGGATAACTCCCCAGTGAAAGTTGCCACATGATGTATTCAACAACTAGTCTATTGAACAAAGCAAATTTAAAGGTCGTGACTCGAAATGGAGATAATTGTGATACGGTCCTGCACACTTACACTACTGGCAACCCCATTTCCGGGCATGTTTATGATTTGTCCCATCAACTACCTAGGGGATTTGTTAAACGTTACCTTTGTAAGGGTGCTCCTACGAGACCTATAACTACCTCTCCCTAGGAACTCGCCTCCACCGGTACGAAAATCTCTCTATTATAGTGTGGTAGTCTGTTACCGGAATGCGTGAGCAGCATCTGGAAATATTTCCTACTGCTGTGTGTTTGTCGATTTGTAGACAGCCGAGAGCATATAATCCTACGGGAGTTAATATTTTGTATAGTTTCGGGATTTGGTCACTTCTACGCCAAAGTCCAATAAACTCTGTAATGTGGTCGCCGATTATGACTCAGATTCGGTAGAGCAACAGTAATCATATAAAACTCCTCCTGTAACACTGAGGTTTTGATTTGCCACAAAGTACAAATAGGGCTTCGCAGGTCCTGCGATAAGAACATCGCTGCCAAGGTAGCTTTGACTAGCTTGAAATATGCATCGGGCTTCTAATAGGTACTTTGTCACGGTGCTTGAAAGTTATCGAATTCTATCGACTTTGGACAAAATAGTGCACCGACATAACTCTATAGAAAAGACATAGACTTCCTGGACTAGTACACAGATTGAAGCTTGCAGTATTGCCCAGAGTAAAGAGCTAGTAGCTGTAATATGTACTGGCGCCTATATAATATGGGGCATCTGATATTTTGTGGAAGATAGTGAGTCTGATCGTGGATAAAATAATAGTATAGCAGAGCCAGTTTGGACGGCTAGGGGGAGATAGTCTGACATTTTCTCTTGCCTTGTTCTAATTGGAATTATTTACGGGGAGAATGAACGAAGTAAGGGGTGTGAGGTATAGATAGGTTCCATGGCTCTATACAAGAGCGTTTCTATAGATCATAGATGTTTTTTTGTACAAGCGTGGGAAGCACCAGGACATAATGCAATCTATGTGTATGAATCATTTAGAATTTGGAGGCCATGAATAATACGAATAACGAAAATGATATTAGTACGACCATCTGTAAAGCCATCATTCGTGCCCAGCCCTAAACGAAACTCTCCTCACCAGGAGTCAGAGTGCCATTCAAAATAGCTGCAGCATGTGTGGGTACGCTTGTGACCTAAGCAGGAGAGGATATTTGCTCATGCGTTGTAGAACTTTCTGACTTCCAGGACGGCTTCGCCAATCTCTCCAAGGATCGGCTACAATACTAAATATGCCCACAGGCTGAACACTAACAGCCTGCAGGCGGAGGTTGGAGACATCTCGATCAGTGGTGACATGGTGCCAGATGCTTCAACGTTTTCCCACACACTATAGCCCTCTGCCCTCGGAGAAAGTGCCAGGAACGCCGCATCTGTAAATCGAAAGTCAGTATAAGCATCAATAAGTGCTCAGGCCAATATATTTTACAAAGGGGATGGAGGATACACCTACAGATATCGGTCACAATTCCAGCCATGATACCTTCTTTCTGCCAGTGGCTTGGAGAGCTTTTCTGAATCCGGATTATCCCAGGCATTTATTTCTCCGTGGCGTTCGATAAGAGGCGCATCAGGATACATCTCAAGGATCCTTTTTGGCAATGGGTCATTAGGACCTGAACATCATGAAAATGCTTGCTGTCAGGGAAGATCAGAATAGTATCAGTAGTAATAGTAAAGCTCTTTTCAGTATGCTAACCTGTTTGAGCAGAGGTGGTCATAATAATCGGGATGTCGAACAATTCTCCAATTTCTGCATGGGCGATCATATTATCGTAATAAAGTGTAGGGTCAAAATCTCAACCTAAGTTAAGTAGCCCAACCTGCATATCGACGATTAGTAGTACCTGACATAAAATCAGTACGTCATTCGACAGAATAGACACATCTCATACCGAATCATTCACACTCAGATGTTCGAAAGGAACAGCTACTACTAATTAATCTCTATTTTTATGGACGAGAAGCTAGATTAGGGGTAACATACAGTCTGCGTTGGCATTGTTGAATATGTTTATTAAGAATAGGATGTAAAAAGGCACGGCATTCTCCATATTCAGAAGATTTTCAGAGGTGAACTATGTATTTCAAAGGCGAATATAATAGAGTTGCTGTTGCTTTAGATGCTGAATCGATAAAGGGGAGTACCACCTCTTTATAGATCTCTAAGAGTAGCCTACTGGAACTCAGAATTAATGGCTGTAGAAAGGGGGTTTCATGAGCGGAGGTGTGACTAAATCTCATGTTTGTCATCATCGTGATCAATGTAGCATGATTTATAAGAGGATTGTCACTTCACTAGTGTCAATGTCACCAAAGTGAAGACTCCAAACCTTCATACGCCACTATTTACAATGTAAAAAGTACTGGGGTTAAGCCAGCTTCAACCTTGGATCCTGTGCGATATGAGACTTTGTTTCAGCAGATCCCACAAACCGCAATGAACTTCAATTCGAGCGTCTCACGAGATTTCATATGGGCTTAGAAGTTACTAATTATCTTAGGCATTTTCCGATCCTTTCTCGACCAGCATTTCACTATGTGTAATGCTTTGTGGGCCAGCTCGGATGATGTCAAAATTGGTAGGTGGAAGATGACAATGTAGCTAGCTACATTCTAGATAACTTAGACTTCTAAAGGAAATTGATAAATTTAATGGTTTGCCGTCAGTGTTGCACATGTTTCACATTATAATCACAGGTCCCTTGGCAGGTAAGATTATTTGATTATTGGTGAGCATGTCTAAGCCAACTACTGGCTCATGTAGTTCCCTGTTGAGCCGTTTACCGGCATTGTATATAAAATATAGCCCTTTTTATAATCCCAATATCTCAACAACCAGAGATGATAGCAATCTAAAATTTTATACATATACTAGTAAACTACAGCAGATATATTTCGTAGACGGGAAAGTTGGTATATTTATTTAATCTCTATATATACATTTACTAAATATTAGATCGCTACTATCTCTAGTTGATGAGAAATTCAGCATATAGAAAGTGCTATTTTATGTGGAATCCAGAGGTTGATTTCATTGGCCTACCCAGATGATTGGCTCGTTCGGGAAATACGTCAGAATCAGCCTTAAAAAAGCCAGGCACGTATGTACATGAAGGATGGACTGAACAAGGAAATGTTACAAGTTAAACAGTTGGTTGATAACTTGGGCCGACTTGAAGCCAGGGCAGGCTACTGTGGCCATTTTTAGCTTCCATTTGAGATACATGAAACCACATTCGTATTGCAAAATATTCTGTGTAATGATAGTCTACAACCTCACTGTAGCCAAGCAACAGTCGCACCCCAAGCACGTCTGTCAACCACGCTAATCAAGATGAACCTCAAAATCAAATGCGTAGTTACGAGAGTCTAATCTATGGAGAGAACCACCCTCCCTTGCTTTCCGTCCATGGCCGCCCTTGCTATTTCAGTAAATTTTCTACTTCAACAGGAACCGCGTCGTCGTCGATACAATGGAAAATATAGATCCCCCCGCGAAGAATCTTCGCTTCGGCTTCTCTCAATCAGTTTAAAGGAAGGAGTAACTCTCAGTGTGGAGGGTTCGTCGACCCACGCTCATAGAGCTCAGCGAAAATTCCATGATGAAATTCGGACCGACCAGGTGGCGGTGTATTGGAACCTACGTTCCCCACTTCCCTGTTCTTGGGATAATCCGTCAAGGCATTTAGGAACGAAGGGTAAATTGGTTATTGGTCCTTGCCGAGGACTAGAGAATGCCTCGGAGCATACATCGAGCATAGGATAGACCAGAATGCTGGCACGGATGTCATCGGGATAAGAGAGCGCAAGAAGGGCGCTTAACAATCCGCCCGCAGAGTCACCAACAACTATGATGCGGTACGGGTCAAGCTCTATTGGGGTAGATTGAGAGGATAGTAACCTCGCGAGTGTATTGGAGTGGATCCATCTCCAGATGTCCTCTATATCTTCCAGGATTTGTAGACCTGTAGCCTCCGGTGTTAGACGATAGTTCCCTGATATGATAATTGCACTATACTTGAGTGCGAGGTCTAGTATCCATTGAAGGGAATAATCGAGGTTGAAGAGAGTCGCCTTGCATCTGTAGTCTAGCAGCTCTCTGCATAATAATAATCGGACGGGCATCGTAGTACTAATCCTCCATCATGGAGACGCGTCATGATCGGATGTTTTCCCCTGAAGCCTCTCCTGGGCGCCAAAATATCATCACGGAAGCCGTACTGTGAAGCCACTTTTGTAATCTGTCTATATAACTTGGGACCTCTCTAGCTTATTGAGGGGAGGCTCAGGGTTATACTGTTCCCAGCTTCCATGTTCCGTGCAAGATGGGCCTATGAATTCGTCTTTGATTTTAGGTAAGAGAGCAGAGCATATTTACCGACATGTGCGTTGAATTGTTGGGTGCCGCAAAATCATCTAGTTAGTAATAGTGGTTGGTTATCTCGATGCACAACTAACTACCCACCATGGCCAAATTAATGGAAAACTCTACTATACTAAACTGCAGGCATGGCATCATTGAGCTTCACTACAAGTTTATCGGGAGTTTGGCTTAGTCATAAGCAACTCCAAGCCCCGTTTTGTATTGCGCATGTTGGTTGAATGTAGAATTAGGAGTCGTAAGGTCTGGACTGGGAAGATACAGTGTAAGCACTGCAAACTGTCTTGTCACTCCGTTCGATCGACTGGCCAGATCTAAAGACCAGCGGAACGGCAAGTGGGGAACACATCTTATTGGATCTTGCCCCACTCCTCCAAAAACCTTCCTACAGCTGATTTTAAGGTCGAGGTGATTTCAAAGACTATCTTTTGGGGAAGATATCCAATATTTCCACTGTGCCCGGTCCTCGCTCGCGAACTCATCACGGCCGACTTGTCCATCATCTATTCTTTGCTGTGACACTTGACTTTTCACGTCCGATGCTCTGATATCCCGCCCTTTGGGTTTTTTTTTTTTTTTTTTTTTTTATTACCTCTTTTCTTTTTTTGTTCCTAGTAGGTCGTCCACGATTGTCCGATGCCAACATGCGGGCAACACCCAGAAAAGATGGGGAGGAGAGCACCCAAAATTCGGCTCCAGTAAACAGTATACAGGCACAGAATGAGCCATCGACCGCGGGAGAAGACAAACGAAAGATGCAAAGGAGAGCCGCGTATGTTTAACCCTGTCTATGTGTAATAAATCCTGGCCGTGACTCCACCTAAAACTCGTCCATTGGCAGTCAGAAGGCGTACCGTGAGCGACAGGAGCAACATAGCCTCCACCTAACGCAGAAGATTGGCAGCTTAGAGGAAGCAAATAGGGTTCTTGGCGCGAACAATAAACAACTCGAGCTAGAGATTGCGAGACTTGCAGCAGAGAACAATGTTCTTGCTACATTCAATAGCCATATCGCCTCGACCACCGATGGGCCTGTATCAGACGCGGAATTGGCTGCAGCTATACTCCTGCAGGCTCCTCAGCTAAAGCCCCCTTCGGATTTAATGACAAGTGGTCCCATAGACCACCCAGCCCATCGGATTACTGAGAGCGAGACGGGTGAAAAGCTCTTAGATAAAGCAGCTACTTGGGATATGATTCAGAGCCATAGATTGTTTAAAGCGGGTTTAGTAGACATCGACGGTGTTCGGCAAAGGTTGGAAGGCTTTGTGCAGTGCACCGGCCAGGGTATTGCATTTGAAGAAGGCCGAATACGGAGTGCGATTGAGAAGAGTGTCATCTGCGACTTGTAGTTGCAACCACTAAAGCTCTGCTATCAGCCACCAGCCTACCCCATTCAGACTAGCGCCTTTGATCATTATCTACACCATGATATCGCTATATTGCCATGATATCGCGTGTATCGCGTCATTTGAATTTAGGCCTATAAATATGCTTATTTTACCATTAGATCACAAATGAGAGACCTCGTCATTTCTTGATTGCACCCCTTAGATTTCAGCGGTAGATTACTAGGTAATACGGAATCCCGCATTTCCAATAGCAGGATTATAAATCAACGTGATCCGTAAGCATACTGGAAGTCTCTGGTAATAGTTTTATTTATAATCATCCTAATGGCACGACGTCGATTTGGAGAATATATAGCACACATTGCTTCAGTTCTAGGTTGGCTTCTGATCGGCATAAGTGCTGAAAGCTGAACAACCAAGGACCAGATCGGCGTACAGTTCTCGTATTGGATTATCTTCAGAATGTCTAGGCCGCTTGTGCTTATCCTCGGAGCAGGTGCTAATGTAGGCGCAGCCGTGGCTCACAGATTTAGCCAAGATGGGTATCAGGTCGCAATTTCGGCCCGTCGCATTGCAGACGGCATCTCGCCCGAGGGGTATATCACAATTCAAGCAGACTTGTCAGAGAAAACGGCAGTCCCTCATATCTTCGCGAAAGTGAAATCGGCTGCGGGAATCCCCAGTGTTGTCATATACAATGGTAAATGTCCCGAGATATTGATGCTGAAGTAACACTAATTCTTTCTGTCCTAAAGCGGCAACTTTCACGCCTCCACCCCCCAACGCCCCGCTTTCTCTTTCCCCGGAAGCCCTGGATCGCGATATCTGGGTTAATACTCACAGCGCAATCATTGCTGCTGACTGTGCAGTCAAGGGGTTTGAGCAGCTCCCGGAGACCGTGAAGAAAACATTTATCTACACTGGTAACTGGCTGAATACGACTATTTCGGCCTCCAGTGCTCTTCTCACTTTAGGGGTGGGCAAAGCAGCAAGCGCATACTGGGTTGGATCGGCGGACCAAGCATACTCTCAGAAGGGGTACAGGTAAATACACCGAGCTTTTCTCGTCACCTGCCATGGACAAGACTCACCATTTATCTCAGGTTTTACTATGCTGATCAGCGCACCCCGGAAGGAACAGCAATGCGAACAGGTGTTGATGGCAAGGCCCATGCCGAGTTCTTTAAGCAGCTTGCTGACAGGCAGGACCCTTCCGTGCCGTGGCTTGCGACTTTTGTCACGGGGAAAGGATACATTGATTTTTCCAAGTAGTTATCCACCCTGATATTCAGAGTTATAGTGTAATGAACTACTTCCTTAAGTTTTCTACTATGATCGTGTGATTTATTTATTTCATAACGAGCCCAAAGGTTAGTTACCGATGCGAATACAAAGGGAAGCGAACATAAAGTCTGTCCATCAGACTGGCCTTCCTACTCTTTAGGCTGACGCAGCTAGGATAAATACTACAAAACGATGGCCCGGCCAGCTCACGCAGGGACTGACGTTATATCGGGTATGCCGCCAAATAACGTAATTTCCCCATTTCTCGGGCGCTTTAATTCTATCATGGGCGCGAGCCCTCTAAAGATCTAGTCCCCGCGACGATATACTTCTATTAGATAACGGTCCACCTGCTACGAAAGGTCGAGGACCAGTATACGCTCAGAACTAACCACGAACTGGACAACAATATCTTGGTGGAATACACTAATTAACTGCCTTTGAATATCTACGGCAGTACAATCGCCGTTGAGATGCCCGATCCAGTAACAATCGTCTCTGTAGTGTGTGGGAAAGGACTTCCTTGATCTGACCTCCATAGTATCCAGCATTGCCATCTGCTGCCTTAACCACCTCTTCAGAGATTAGTAAGTTCTCTCCGCAATATTGCAAAATAAGGTTCATTGTTTGACCTCCATGAGAACCAGTATTGCTTGCTCCTGTCTTGACTATCTTAGTAACTGGTGGTCATCGTCTACAGTTTTCAAATTTCAAAGAGAATTTTCAGTACTTGGTCCCATAATACCGGCCCTGCCATCCGCGTAGAGAGAGAGGCTGAATTGAGTCTAGACCTCGGCAAAAACATTTGGAGGGCCGGTACCCCCAGCCCTCCGCCCGGCCCTCAGGGACCCTTATCAGCTCTTATCAGCTTTTATCGGTCCTTATCTATTGAAATATTTTTACTTTTCTTGTGTTATAGTACATAAAAGTCATATTTTACTTCTTGTTTTTGATACACTATTAATATATATATATATATATATATATATATATATATTATATTTACTTAGATTTAAATTCTATTTAATTAACCCTTATAGCTATTGAGGGCGGCCCTCTGAGGGCGGATTTTTACCCCCGCCCGGCCCGCGAGGAGGAGCTCGCGGCCCTCCGCCCTCATTTTGCGGGTCTACCAGCCGCCCTCGGAGGGTCGCCCGCGGGCTAGGGCGAGGTCTAATTGAAGCCTGGGGTAATTCAAGTACGATCAGTCACGGGTAATGACGTACGAGGTCTTGAGGCTTAGTGCCATCAAGTAGGAGCTGGATAATACGTTTTAGGATATCAAAACATCAGATTTCACACCCTCGTGGTCTCATAGTTTCTACCAAATTGATATGGGTATCACAAGGTTCTCCTGCATTAAACAAAAACACACGTGATCGCAAAAAGCCGGCCTGTCCTAAAATGTTTCTTTTGATTTCTACACCTTATTCCCACTGTCATCCACTTTGTGGTGTAGAGGACTACCTATCATTTCCGGAGACGGGCTTTTCTTGCCGATAAAATCCCTGTTGGCATCTTCGTTGACATTACTAGTATTGGGAACCGGGGCATACGGACGCGAAATGCTGTCGCGCATAGGATGGGCTGTACCGGTCTGAATTGCGCCGTTATCAGTCACTCTATCGGCTGTGGAGAGAGCCAAATCACCCGAGTCAAAGTATGTCCGTTCCTTTGGCTTGTTAGTAGCTGCCTTGGGTCGGCTTATCGCAAATATACCTTAAAATGTTGTCCAAGTAACCTCCCTCTTTCCGGCAGCCTTCCATAGAGGCGGAGGTAGCGTTGATCATCCTCAGAGGGAGACTAGCAGCAGATCAGCTCAATGCCCCATATTACAATAACATTGCAGACTTGTCTGACCTGTAAATTGGATCCTTTATTCAGTCCTGGTTGCATTATGACAATTGCAGCATATGTAGTTAATTGCTGAGGATGAAAAAAAGATAAAAGTTGGGACACCGCTCAGTATTTATTGCCACCATCAAAAGGTGGCAGAAGTTGGCCCCCTGGATCGCACTAGCACTCGTCATTATCTCCTTTCAGTTCCGTGGAACGTTGAACCGTAATGAAAAACGTACCACGTGACATGCCCTGGATAACTAAATGTAAGGGAGGCGCTGTCGACTATTCCGCCGGTTAATGTTGGACGGGAAAATAGGGGAGATATATCTAATACACATCTTCACGGGTAATCAAAACTCTAGCAAAGATATGGAATATGGAGGGAGCGTGCCTCTCCTGGGCCTACACCATCCCCAGGATATGCGTTGATGTAGCTTTTGTGGTCTGTCTTGCTAGACAGAGCAGCAGAAACTTTACGGACGCTCTAGTCATGGTAACCTATCAAATTAGTTAAGAGTATTGAGTATGTGACACATACTGGTATCAAGGCACGAAATCCTCCATGGATCCCAAGTTCTTCATTGTCGTTTCGGGATTGTTATTAACGTTCCGTAGTCATTATATGTAAATAGCTATCAGATTAACGGTCCTTTGAGCAAAATTTTAGAGCAGCTTTAATTATCGCAGTATTAGGGGACCGAGAAAACAGTACAATTTAACAGAAAAAGCGGAAATGAAGTAAAAAGTGGAAGCGGATGGAGCAAAGTACGCGTAGCCCCATTCTACTTTAGAAGATGATTCTCAGACCACAAGTCTATTAATCCGGTCGCGTACCATTTTAAAGTGCCCCCAAGTTACATATTCACCTACCGAAGAAGAGAAATAGCTAATGACTACTTTGAGGTGGTAGCTGGTACACGTCAGATATCCCTTGGCTTGGCCTTATAATATTGCCTCTGTGAGCAAGGGAAGCCGGCTCCAAAAGAACAGTCAAATGTTTTCCACATCTGGCACAATTTGTAGATAATCCTTTCAAGAGGTAATATCTCTGGGTAGATAACTCAATTCGATAGTGATGAATGAAACTTTCATCGCCCATGGAATAGGAGCCCTCTCATGTCACAGGACATATCCTTGTTCGATTCAGCATGCTTGGCTCCATCGATTCTTCCTCTGAGACTATGGCAAAATCCGCCTTTGAACAGGGAGAGGAGACACTCAGGGAACCCTATGCCCCCACAATCTCTTACAGATTTTCTTAGCTGGCGGGAAAGTACCTTTTTACTGTAGGGAGATAAGTTGATGATGTTGTGGAAATGAGAGTCGGTTTCACAGATTGCGATATTAAGAGCGGTGAACTACTGATTATATCCTCTGGCCTAGCCCAAGTGCCTGTGCTTCGCCTCCTTGATCTTCAGGGGCGGAATGTTTTGGATGGCAAAGTTCATATTTCAAGGTTGTTGGGAGGGCGTGCGTTGAGCTATCGCAGACCGACAGAAATCCCAGCCAACTTCTTTTGTCCGACAGTTGAAAACGACAATCTGGCAACCCTTTTTGATTCGTTAGTATAGTATGTGAAGAAGGGAATGGAGGGGGGAAAGTGCATTGCTTTCTCTTCGTTTCACTAATTAGTATTCAGTCATTCGTCGGTCAAATTGGGCATTCCGCATCCTATATAGTTGTAAGTAAAACGTGATAGGTGTTTACTACTCCTAACTCCCATGATAGCCAAGCCCCTTCTTCTAGACCTAGGTAAAACCAACTCTGAAATACCCCTTTAAGCCCCAAACCTAGCCTAATTGATACTCGGAACCTCCCCAAGCCTAACCCAGACCCGGGCTTGGGTCTCACTGCAATAGCTGTAACGATCTAAAGGAGATAGAATTTGTCGGTCGCCGTGGATTGGCCCCGATGGGCTGACGCTATTTAATTATTAGGGGCCATACATTGAATATAGAATTGGCCTGACTTTCATAATGAACGTATAATATAGTCATGTTCACATGGCGTGGCTAGGCTTTGTGCTAGGTAACCGTAACTAGCATCACTTTTCGCCATAGTGGGTGCTAAACTGATAGCCATGCGGTCTATTCTGTACGCGAGTAACTTAGCAAAGTGTGAGGAATCTGGCGACCTTCTAGTGTCTTCATCACCGCTAAGTCCGTTATTCTCAGGGAGATAGGGTTCCTTAGACTTTACCATTTATACGAAAATTTATAGCGTACAAAGACCATATTAAAATTCCAACAAACATTACTGTACAGCTAGTCCTTGTCCCATGGGGAGCACGCTCATGGTAGACATTCTCAGGGCAAGGGACTGTAATTCAATTAGTATGGTGAACTGCTAGTTAACCCGATATCATAAAATAGTAGACGTATGGCATCCAGAACGCTCATAAACAGAAAAACGAACAGAAACTAAGGTATATCCTTTACGGCTAATAATGTACAGTCTTCCCAAACCCATTCATCGTCAACAAGCGATGAATTACTTTCCTGTAAAGCCAACCCCGCCAAATCCATATCGTCCCTCCTCGTCCTTCCCGTTTCTCTCCGCTCGATTTATTCCTTCCTTAGATACTAGCTTGCCCACGGGCGAAAGCAATCCGTTGTCACCGAGCTGGTTGCCCACGAGATTATGCACATCATCTTGCAGTTGGTCGACTTGTTTGATGCCAGTGACTTTAGACTTGTTAAGGGTATCTATTGTAAAGCGGTTCAGTCAGTCGCTATCTGACTAGTAGAGTTACGCATCGGTACACATAGAAAAACGTTGCCTACCTTTGGTAACATAAGAGTTTTTGTTATCGCCCTTTCCAAACCATTTCAAGTATTGGTCTTCGATCCAGGGGTACCATCTTTCGTATTGAATGCTGTACTGCTGGCGAAGCCATTCGGAGTAGGATTGGCTTTGCTTCTTTTCCTCTTCCTCCTTGGGTTGGGAGATGGGATTGAGAGAGTTCATCGTGTATGTTGTGAGCTTCTATAGCTAAGTGTCTCAAACGTATTCCAAGATGATATTTATGTCAGATAAACGCTGTGTATTCGAGAAGAAGTTGATATGAAGATGTATTGGCTTTGGGATATAAATAGACTACTCTTTCTGGCGGTGACGTCGGTGGTGCGGCCCATGACGTAGACCCACATAAGGCCACTTTAACCTGCATGAATCAATATCAAACCAGATTGACTTTCTTCCTGCGTTCTACAGTCACTTTAATCAGGTTAAAGCCCCGATAGATCTGTTGTATTTACGTTTGGTGACGAGTAAGGTGGATAGTCTTTCGTTCATAGGCTAGCTTGCCCGTGTCGGGTATCATGATATTGGAACAACCAAAATATTATCCAAATGTAATCAACGTTGGCTTACTCTTCTCAAAAGCCATTGGAGACTGCTTAGCTGGCTAATCTCAGCGGGGATAGTCCCTTTGTAGCAGTATTGTCTCTACTAGCAATAAGCCTCGACCTGAACCTTGATTAGCCGTGAAGTGTCTATCTTGACTGATCTTCCAAAAGATTCAACGTAACGCCTGAGGTGTGCCCAAAGTAATCTTCAGAACAAATTATGTAGTACGATCTCACACCTTCGGCCCTTTGGCAGTAAGACTTAGCAAAGGTCTTAGTACTGATGCTAGCGCTAGTATCGAAAAGAGTTCTCGACGTGGCTGAGATTGGTCCTTGATCCTTTCCAGCACCCTAGACAACGAGTAACAGGCTGGTTTGTTCTGCTCAGAGAAGCAGGACAGCTGTGGGCACGCGAGTCTAACGATGTCCATAGCTCCTCACTGATAGTCCCCACACTGGATTCCTCAGCGGAGGGCTTTTGAAGATGGAAGATGTTAAGGACAATGACGGCCTGGATTAAAAAATAAGTGAAATACCCAGCTGAAATCAGGATGCAGAGCGTCTGGATTCTCCTCGAAAAAAGCGGCGATGCCTTGTACGGTTTTCCATTGCAGTGTATTGGCATATGCTGCGAGCTTCAGCCTGGTCTACCATAGAGTTGCAAACAACGTAGCATGCGAACATTCTGTTCTTTCCATAAGACGACCGCTCGAGGGCCTCGGAACCAATCCGGTGTGGTACGGGTCAAAAAATAGGCAGGTAGTGATAGCTTCCAGATTTTCAGTCGGTGTTCTATTGACTGGGGAAGTTCCATGTCGAAGGTGTGGTGACTAGTAGTGGTAAAAAGTTCATTAAATATAACATTCGAAATACAAGCCAGCCGGGATTGAGCAATAATGGCTGAGTAGTTCGTCGGTGTTCGGCCGGGGCGGGTAGGATTGAATCCATAGAGTATTTCTAGCGAGTCAGTATGTGAGAGCCCCTATCAGTCTTTTGATCAGTTCTTACCGAGTCGTCTATATTTCGTGGTAGTCGAGTTTGATGAAAGAAAGAACCGGACGCTGTGACGGGACGGCCGGTGGTCAGACTAAAGCCACTGTCAAAGCAGTACACGATCCACCACACGGCTCTCCTTCGCTCATAGAGTAGGGTGTCATTTCTCGCCCCGGATGGCAGTTCGCGGTGCAGGCTTAGCCCTAGAGCCATGCGATAGGCCATCCCAAGACAGTTGTACCCAGTGTTTGTGCGATCCGGGTTTTGTAGATAATTGCCCTGCGCAAAAGGGTAGGGAGGCAGATTAGATCGCAGGTATGTACATAAATACTCATATGTGAGCCCTTACCATTAGTAGGAATACCTTGGCAGTGAGAAGGTTCCCAACTTCGAGCGTGCATAATGACATATGCGACCGAGCCGCTGCATAGAAATCGCATGCTCCTGGCTCAGTGTCCGCGCCCAATATCCAGCTGCCAGTTGCCAAATCAAGATAGAGAATTGCATGCCAGCTTGAGAATTCATGGACCTAAGGGCGATTTTAGAATTTATCTCGGAATGTCGGCTTATGTAGGATAGGGTATGAAGTATTATAAGAAAGAAAATAAGCATCAATGAGGCGATTGATGATGGCGGTAACAGAAAGGTTTCTTGCCTCAAATTAAGTTATCCGGAGCACCCTTACTCATGAGAACCAGGAGGCTTCCGAGAAGGACTGCGTATTCTATGTGTGGCCAGTGCAGCCTGCCCTGGAAACAAATGGGAAATGGGAGATGGCTTCCATCAAACTAGATCCTAAACCCGTCCCTATGTTCTTTCTTAGAAATGAAGAACGGGAGCACATCCAGACTCAACGGGTATCTCTCACCAAGATATCCTGTATCGGATTGTGCGCTTGGTAACGACGCCCTTCCATCTGGGCCTTCTTTTCTGGCCTGATATAGTTCTGCTGCCGGTGAGACCAGTGAGGCTTCCGACCATTCAAACCTAACTGATGCTACGGGGCTGTCCCGGCCCAAGTTGCTGCTATCACCCAGGTTGTTGTTATTTGCCAATAACTCATCCTGGTTCACCTCTTCCAAAGTGCGATGAATATCCAAGTCAAGGTTCAGTTTCTTCAGCAATGTCTTCCACGAGAGGTATTAGGCCTCTAGATCATCCAAGTTTCTCCTCACACTTAGTAACTATGGCACATATCGAATGCAGGACATACCTCCGGGTCAACTGGGTGCGCCTAGGCAGCTGGCTGAAAATACAGGACTTATTGCCCCGAGTGCAATAAAAGCATGGTAAAGAACCAGAGCACTAAACCATGGTGAAAATGTCATCTCGATAGCAGATAAGGGTAGCTGACTTTGCGTTTATGTTTCTAAAAACAAAACAGAAAGAAAGAATGTCATGTATTAATCTTCGAGACACATTCTGGTAGGAAAGGCAAGGGCAAGGCTCCTTCACAGACTTGCCCATAATCCATTAACGATGGCCTACCTGACATTCCGGGCCCTAAGTATTGTTAGTCAGGCCGTTGAAAGAAGCTCCCTGCCAAGCTACCCCCCAAATTTGGTCTCTCTCGGCGCTTTTGGCATTATCAATGTTGGACGATAAATTGAGGCTGATCTCGATTAAATGAAAGAAAGCTCCGGAAAGTCGAGACCGAGAAACGAGACAATAGACCAATCAAATGGACCGATGGTCATCCCCGCATAAATACTCTTTTACAAAGTTCTATCTATTCCAAGACAATTTCCATTTTCCACCGGTTCTAAAACACGCATTGTAAGGGCTGGGGAAAGTAGCAGTACTGTACTAATGTGTTTTCGCTATGGTAGAAGCACTGTCTTAGGCCATGCAAACCCTTTCTCCGGCATTGCTGAAACTCCACTTCAGGATAAAATCTGTCCGCCGTCAACAACTATGTCTGCACCATTGATATATGTGTTTGCGCTGCTCGCCAGGAGCACTATGGCACCTGTGAGTTCAGATGGACTACCCATCCTTCCACTAGGGTTACGCTGGGCCCAGATTCTTCGATGCTCGGCAATCCCTTCGCCCTCATTGAGAATGGTGTCCATATACCCCGGGCTGATACTGTTCGTCCGGATACCATATCGAGCCCATTCCGCAGCGAGACAGCTTTTCAACATCAAAAGCGCCGCTTTGCTGACGTTGTATGCCGCCTGAGGTTGCGGGAAGTTCACGCGATGTGCCGAGATAGATGCAATGAAGGTGATGGAGCCTCCAGTTCCCTGCGCGACCATACGCCGAGCAGCAGCTTGCGCGGAAATAAACGAGCCAGTGGTGTTAATATCTATGATCTTTCGCCACTGGGAGATCGGCATCTCCAACGACTCCACACATCCGACAACACCGACGAAACAGAGCAAAGTGTCAACTGATCCCAGAACCCTTGTTGTCTCCTCGAAGGCGGAGTCAACAGCTACCTCGTCAGTAACGTCGACTTTCAGCGTAGCTATGTTGGCCTTGGGAAATCTCGTCCGTAACTCGTTAATCTCCTTCTCGGAAATCAACGGGTCCCTGTCCAGAATCATGAGACCGTTTAGTCCGTGTTCGAGCAGCGCATTACATGACTGCAGTCCCAAAGTCCCTGCACCACCAGTCACAACCGCGTTTCCGTGAACTGCAAATCTCTTTTGCGCGTCTATGGCGGGGTTGTTGCCAAGGCTTGAAGTGGGTGGTGGGGTCATGGACGACTCGCTGCCATCGCTAAATACCATGCTTGGAATCTCTCGTTTAGTGAGGGCATCGCGACCCGGCAGTTCCGTCGGAAGGGTCATTATATGATCGTAATATGTGTAGATATGGTGAAGTGAGGGTGTGAAGGTAACAGAAAGCAACAAAACATACTAAGGTCCAGCCAAGTCTATATAACCTTGATTATCGTTCAACCTCGGTCGGGAGCTCGCCGCAACCTTGGTAGCTGCAGAATCCTGTTGGTTACTTGGCTTTAGCAATTGGATCGGAACACAGCTCGCCGACCATGTTTGCTTTCTCTGAATGTCATTCGTTGTTTCTTCCGTACACTGCGACCCGAATCACGTCTACTGACTTGTATTCCACCAGTCTTGGCTCGTTCGCCTTTTAACGCCAGACATCCTCTATACTATGTGTTCTATGGGGGAGTATTAGTATTGTTATACGCGATGCCTTTATTCTCTTATTCAATAATGCTCTACAAAACTGGATAACTTGCGATCGACACTTTGACAATGACCTCAGCCGGTGATAATGCTTCCATAAATACTCCCTCGCTACCCCACCGCATAGAGAAGGAAATACACCCCAAGAATAAGCCTGTTCACATATCCAGTTCTTCAGGTGCCAAAAGACGACATAAATTCCATATTCTAATATAAGGATGGCATCGATTGCCACGAAACATGATCTATATTCAAGGCAAAACATAACCCCCATCAATCAAAACATCACTACCCGTCGTGTAGGTAGAAGCATCACTAGCAAGGTAAAGATACAGGCCCTTAATTTCTTTGACATGGCCCTGTCTTCCAAGCACAGCCATACGATATGCCTCATTGACGGCAAGCGGGCTAGCCCCCATCTTCGTATCGAAGAATCCCGGAGAGACAATGTTGACCCGAGCAAAGTCCCTCCATTCCCGAGCAAGCGACTTGCCGAAGTGGGTAACAAAAGCCTTGGATCCATTATACACGGGCTGGTCCGTGGGTACATTAACGATATGCGCGCTCATACTCGATGTAATAATCAGGTTGCCGGAGCCCTGGCGCTTGAATACCTCGCCGGCATATTTGGCGCAGGCGACTACGCCATCCACTAATGATTCCGTGAGCATCATCCACAAAATGTCGGGGAAAGTCAGTAATGTTTTACCATTAACAGACATCTGCTTCCTGTACTCATCGAGCGTTTGTTCTAAAATTGGTTTCGAGATGGCCATTCCTATATCCAAGATCAGCCTCACTTGTCCAACCCAACCTTTGGTATATCCACTCACCGGCATTAGCAATAAAAACATCAATCCTCTCAAGGTCCTTCACAACATCCTAGACAGCCTTCTGAACCTGCTCCGGGTCCGATACTAAAACCCGTCTTAGCCCATTTCTCTCAAATACAGACTAAAAGACACAAACTTACTATCAACCTTGTACGCAACAGCCTTAATCCCATGAGTCTTCGCCAACTCCTCCGCCCTCTTGATAGCAGCATCATTTCTACCCCATCCCCAAGTAATTAGCACTCATTCGCTTACCCCCAATTATTAATGAGGAAAGAAGTTAAGCTCACGAATTATACCACAGCGCAACCGACGCATTTGCCTCAGCCATCGCCTCCGCAACAGCCAGACCGATCCCATCCGCCCCGCCAGTGATAACAACCACCTTCCCCTTCATCTGGAACTGTTGTAATACATTGGTGGGTGTATCCGGGAATGGACGAGGGAAGCCATCCCGGATGTGCGTGCAGTCAGATACGTTCATGGACATTTTGGCTGGGGGAGTAGAATATGGGGGGAATCAATCGCGTTTTATACTTTTGGAGACACCGAACTAGTCGCACAACGATGTAATGTGTGCTACTACTCCATATAAACCCCCACATCGGGGACCCAACGGTCGGGTGTCCATGGTCCGATGGATTGGTGAATTTGAAGTTCTATTTAACCGACGCGGTGCGCTCTAGTCCGAGGATTATATATGGACTAATTGAGTAATTTACCCGTTTGGTGGGTGGGGGTGGGGTTGATCTGTTGGATCATGGATATCCATATCTAGAGTTAGAATAGATGGTAAGGGAGAAGAAGAGTGACCATGATTGTATTAGATGTGGGGCTTAAGGTCTAGAATAGCTACCTAATCATATTCACTCCAGAATAATAGTTTCCACTTGTCGCGCTCATTTCAACCCATCCCCTCAGAAATATATCTCTTCCTAGCCACAGGCATCGGGCCACATTCGAGTTCTCCTCCCGTGCAATAAGCATGACATTCAACACAACGATGCCGTGCGATTCTCTTACAAGAATCAGACTCGTACTTCCGCCATGGAGGAAATCACTTTCACTTTCCCTATGGGGGAAGAAATTGATTTGTCTCTTTAAGTTCCTCCGAACCATACTCGGTTGCCAACCCGTAGCTCAAATTGTGATGTCCTTGGTCTCCTATGGATAACGCGATGGACTGCCACCGTGTAGCCAGTGAACGGCTGTGGGATATACGGCGGTATATACACGCGTCCAGACAATGTGCCACGATACTCGGCGTTTTCGGACGGAAAGCAAGGAGCACAGTCGCCATGGAAAAGCGACCAAATGTCTCCGGAAGCTAGGGATTCATACTCAAAGATATTCTCGCAAAAGCTGCAGTCCATCGCTAGTGAATAGTTACCTCTAGAACGTAGAGACTGTGTCTCGTCTCCGGTGAGGCTATGCGGTGTTTTCTTGGCGCCACTCTATGCTTCGTCAACGCTTGCAGCCCCTCCTTCTAACGGGATATTTCGCGATAGAGTCAAAGATGACGATGCATGTGTTTAAGATATAGATTCGTAACACCATCAATTACCCCCTCATTACAGCTTCAGTGCAAGGCACAAAGCTTTCAACTTCTTGTTTTCACCTAGAGCTCCTTCAACCCTCTCTACTGTATCCAATATTGAGGTAAAGAGATTGTTCAATACATCCAACGTATGCTCCAAACTGCCAATGTTCTGCATTTCGGAAAGCACCTTCAATTTCCTCTCCTCTGATATTGCACCCCTGTCATCAGCCCCGAAGATAAGCTCTTGCAGCGTATCGGAATTAGGACTATGCTCAAACAAGTGGATAAGAGGAAATGAAAACTTTCCCTCTGAAAGGTCATCACAGAAACCCTTCTTGGTGGTATACTACATCTCATTTAGACCGAAGCTTATCGAAAGAGCTGGGAAGGAAAACGCCTACCTCGTCGGAGGCCAAGTTCTGATAATCATCCTTGATCTGGTAGTATCTGCCCAGCAAGGTAATTAAATGGCGCATATCATTGTTGGGCGTGGCATTGGCCTCAATCTCCATGATTCGCAGCATAAGTCGAAAGAAACCTCCGGTCTTGTGGTCGATCATGACCAGATATTCATGCACACTTGGACATTTCTGGTGAAATGTCCAGTTAAGGTCAAGACCTTGGCCTAGGGTGAGGGTTTGAAGTTCCTCTACGAGCAATCAGTTCCATGCCAGTGGTCAAGTACGGCAGTTATATTACCAGATAAAACTTTCGCAGACTCTGGTCGGAGATGTAGCTGAACTTCGGAGAACGCCTTGGCAATCACGTACGTAGTGCTGTTAATTGTTTGACTGATGCCATATTTAACGTGTGCTGCGGGTGCGCCACGCCGGAGTTGTGAACCATCTTCGATATCGTCAAGCCTGCTCACAATGCTTAATTAGCCGTCTCCTGATATCAAGCCTTGGGCTGGAAAAGATAGTACATGAGCGACGAGTTCTGTAGCATAATCATGACATCCGTCAAGACGGCCGCAGATTGATCTGAGATATTCAACCAAGGCCTCAGACTCGCAATGACCTTACTAACGGTATTCTTGCCCGGAAGAGACCTGGTGTACTCAATGGGCTCCAAGCAAATCTAATAGAGAGTTAGAGGTGTAAGTACAGCTATCAGAAAAGGAAACGAAGACAAGAAAAACTACTTTTTCCGTATCAGCTTTCTTGAACGGGGCAAGCATTTCATATTTGGTGCCAGAAGACCGTCCTATCTTGCTCGCGGTGCTCTGCTCCTTTGCGCCCGCCGTCCCCGGCCTTTGATGAACATCCTGCGGAAACCCAGCTGGTAGATTTTCTTCCGTATTTTGTCCTGTCATACTGGGGCTACAAGAACAGCACGTTGTAATCAACCCTATTTATTGTTGGATTTAGACACCCGCGCTGTGGTCACTTTAGGGAGCGCCTAGCTGAGACCGAGAGGACACATGGCAGCCGAAGAAGGTAGTTGGTATAAAAGACACTAGTCAGGACCGTGACGAAGCAAGGGTCTAGAATGTCCCCACTCAATCAGGCAACGGTGCGTTTTGTTTTGGGTGGAAATTAGTAGTATTAGATGTATCGATAAGATAACGATAACACGCCGACCCGTCACTGGACCTTAAATGCCCCTTGAAGTCAAGCGCAATGAAGAGGCAAGCAATGCTTTGGTGGAACAGGCTTTCTATCAAGTGTATGACTCCGCTCAATCCATTAAGACTACACGTTGACGATAATCTGGGTTCTAAGCCTTCCGGTAAGCGTAAAGCTAAGATGTCTTCACACGACGTGACGTGTCCCAATCCGCCGACTCAAGGTCGACGATCCCGATGAAGTCCACAATGTTGAAATGTCTGATTTTGAAGATGGGGCGGATGACCTCTCGATTGAAGAGGAGCCCCACAGCGATCTAGACAGGAAATCGGATGACGAAGAGTACGAAATCGTGCACGAAGAAAAGAAAGTTACGAGCTTATCAGAGCAGTAAAATTAGAGAAGCTGAGGACGCCTACCAATCGCTCAAAACAGCGTTCAAGAGACGCAGCAGACCTTGAACCGCTCGGATATCCCTTGCCGGCGCACGGTTCCATCTGTATTCGACCGACCTATGTGACCACTTACGAGAGCAGTTTTCCTGTTCCCAACATGTCTAGTTTTACCATCTCACCGTAAATGCCCTTCCTAGTGGAGACGACATGCCATCCGGGATACATGACGTAGATATACCGGTTCAAAAGGTGGTCTAGATTCTGCGACTTTCACTCCACTCCAATATGCAAATCCGCATGACATCTCTTTAGGCGATTTCAGCGGGAAGTATATAACAGAAGTCAAATTTCTCAGTAATAACTATTTGATGCTCCGACTACTGGATCGAGGCGTTATCTTCGGGTTAACCCCGCCTCCCCGGCCGATTCTCCAAATTATTTTGATTTTTATGGCATTCGCTTTACGGAAAAATAAGCGTGGGCGCAAGGAGAGCGCCAGTTAGCGGAGCAGGGCCGCCCCCTCAATATTTGGTACTGGTACGCACCCATGGTTTTAGATTGTAGGTAGAGCTTCCTTGCCGCAGTTCGTTCGCCTCATCAAATCTTCGAGCTCCAGTATACGGATTCGAGTGCGAGGACCTTTTGGTTTTGGTCCGTTTTCTTTCACTTTCTGTTTCTTTTTAGCTCCGTATTCCATTGCCCCTAATTTTTAATTCTCGTTCTTCTGTACTATAATGCTGGTTTATTGGTTTTGGCCGCGTGGTGTCTTTGATAGTAGGGCAACGGCGTCTCAAGCCATACCTAACGTATGGCTGACTAGCGAGGTAGAACAATGTAACAGACTACGGGATACATAACAATACCCCCGCAAGTATTAAATGTTTTGTCATCATATTATCTACCAAGAGTGGGAAGTTCGAGCTTATTTCCAGAGTCTAAGTGGTTTTTTCGGCCTGAAATATACATCGCGGCTGGATAGATACGTTCACCAACAACACACTTCCTGTGAAACAAACAAACTCCCATCACGGCATTACCACCCATCTCTAATTATATTGAGACTATAACCAAGGAGAAACTCCAATATTTACCTGGTTCCTCGCATAGCAACGCGAGTAAACCCCAGTAAACGTCGTCATCAACGTATCCAATTCGCCACATTCAAGGGCAATGATCTCGGGTCCAACCGACTGGGTCATCTGAAACAAGGGCCTGAGCTACAATTAAGCTTCATAAGAAGGTTAAATGCTGCAAGATCAAGATAAACATAGTGCGTCATTAATATTATAATATTATTATGCACCATTACGTTGTGCACGTTGGTGTTAAATTAAAAAAGCTTTCGTCTGGTGAAGCTTAGATTACCCAACAGTCGGTGTTGGCACTACGTGATGGTCGACCACTATACAAAACGAATGACATCTATTTCGTATTTCTCGACGAAGCGCAAAGACGGGCGTCCGACTCTATCCCATACAAGAAAAAAAAATTGTATGCCGGCATACCAAACCAGAAAAGCATATTAAAACAAAACAGTAGTGGTCGTGATAAACAGATACAGAATGAATTGGCAATAGTCCTGGCCTTTGGCGAGACTTAAGCGCATATGGTGTGCATAGGATCCGCTTTCCTCGGCGCTGAAAGGCAGGGTGCCGCGACACCAACGAGAATCCTTCAGACTCTTGGGTCAATTTAGGCAGAGGCAGAGGCAGAAGGAGTGGCAGAGGAAGACGGAGTAGCGGATGAAGAAGGCGAGGCGGAAGAGGAGCTGCTGGAGCCCGAGAACTTGCGCTTCTGAACTGCGAAGCTGGTGGGAGTCACGGACGCGGAGCTCGAAGGGGTGGCGGAGCTAGGAGTGGCAACATCACGCTTCGCATACGACGAAACAGGGGTGCTGCTAGGGATGATAGAAGCCGAGCTAGAAGGAGTGGCGGTGCTAGAAGGAGTTACAGAGCTGGAAGGGGTGGCGCGAGCTTGGCGACGATGGTATACCCATGGGGCATCGACAGAGGCCGAGCTGGAAGGAGTCGCAGAGCTGGAAGGAGTCACAGAGCTGGAAGGGGTGGCGCGAGCCTGGCGACGGTGGAAGACCCAAGGGGCAGCGACAGAGCTTGGGCTGGGAGAAACACTTGGTGTGCTGGAGGCAGCAATAGAGCTGGACGGAGTAGAAACGCCAAATGGAGGCAAGGCGGCAACACAGCCGATAAGGCCGGCAGTAACGAAACCAGTGAGCTTCATTTTGAGTGTTGAAGAATAGCAGGGGATTTTCTTTGCTTGGGATATGAAATAAACTGGATGGTAGTATAAGAGAAGGAAGCGAAAGTCTCCGGAACGAGGTGGTCCTTTATAATGGCTTTGGTTGAGGTGCTCAGTCGGTGACCGAGGTGAGGACCCCTCCGCCCCAGCCGCTATGAATTTTCACACGGTCTTCATGCTAGATAAGGAAGCGAGATACGGGGATCCTATGGTCGGAACCAGTGCTGGGCCGACCTCGACCGGAGGTTGGTGCCCTTGCTCAAGCGCTGCGTGAGCGAATAATGGAAGAGCTTGCGGACCTGCAGTAGTCAGGGACATTGACTTTCGCCCTGGGGCTATCAACCTCGAGCCATGGTGCAACAATGACATCCAAGGGTCCGACATCCAAAGTTTGGCAGGAATGCGTCTGGCCGTGCTGATCGGCAGTGTGGAACTGGCCAGGAGCAGACTATCAAGTTTGCTGTACAGCATCGGGTTGCGGTGGCAATGGACCCACACAGCCGCTGGTAGTAACAACTAAGGCCCAGTGCGAAGGGAATAAGTATTGACATGATATGTTTATTACGACGTCCATCCAACCTCGTGCTTTGTTTGCGGTGACCCTGATGAGCCGTCAGACACGCCCAGGGACGATTTTGCGCCATCCTTTGACTTGGTTCTGTGATACAGCAATTGCCTTAAAGAGGCGCTCGCACGAAGATCAATGCCGATCTTGTGGGGCATTTTCTAAACGGTGATAATCTGCATCTACTGGAGGCGCCACGGCCTAGGCGGTGATGGACTCGATCGATTCGTCTTGCGACCGGGTATCTTGTGGCCGTGAACAATATTTGCACTACCGGGCATCTCAACCACCACGGGTACGGTGCTTCAGAACCGCGGGTCAACTTCCACTTCAGGCCGCACATTTGGATGGTTCTTAACATCAAAGGCAAGGCCGTTACTGAGTGACCTATCAAACACATCCACAGCTCAGTGTCCCAAGGATCCTGCGCCCTTTTTGGGTGACTTCAGAAAGGAAAGTTGGTCCGATTCGATAAGCAGTGGCTGAACTGGTTCAACTCCAATCAAAGTTTGGCGGCTGCCACTCAAGCTTTCCATGTGCAGTAGTGATCGGTGGGACCACGAAGACAAACTGTCTTTACTTTTTCTTTTGTGAATCACAATGCAGACGCTAGGGACGTGCATTACTGATCAGGACGTGAAAATCATTGGACGATTGGGAAATTGAGACTCTAAGGCGATGGCTGAATCACGACATTATGAACGTGCGTCGAACGAACATCCACGTATGTCGTAGTCATGATTTTCCTATGGAGGCTGGGGATGTAGACTGAGAAGTGTGTGTTGAATGAATGAGGAAAGGGGGAGCGACAATCAGGTGGACTGATATCATGCCTGAGGTCATTATGGATGCCTGACCGCAGTTCAGGCATCAAGCCAATGTCTCCAGCATTCCCGCCTCCCATTGACTAAGTCAGTCTTGGTCGAGACTTATGACAGGAAGTCTCTGGCCGAGGAAATTCAACTTTTGGAATAGATCTAGAGGTATTCTAGTACTATGCGGCATTTTACGGCCGGATTGCAAACTATCGAGTACAGCTACCAATTAATCCCGGATCGAAATTAGGACAATACGCCCGAGATTTTTTTTTTTTTAGCTACTATTTTTTTTTTCTCTCTTTCATACTGTTGCTTGTCCAGGTACTTTAATAATTACTCCGCCGCGAAATGGCTCAACTTGAAGATTCTCGGCGAGCCGAGATCGGCATAGCCGGCGGCATCATATAGCCACTACGGGACGGGCTCTTCTGCAGACAGAGCGGGAGGATAGGGGTGCAGGAGAGAGCTCAATCAAGAGGTTTGGTTTCACCTTGTTTAACTAACTGAGCGCATGGAGGAATTGCCCTGGCTTGGCATCGAGATCATCAGGGTGTTATGAGAGCCTAAGATCTGTCGACATTTAATTGAAACAGGGGTTTTGTCTCATAGAATTAGTGCCCGACATAGCCTGTGTGATAGCCATAAGGATCCAACGCTTGTGGAATTATTAACAAGTGATAAGAGATATTCAAGCCGTGTTTTATGTATATGTCTTTTATAAGTGTCACCGCCTGACCGATCAACGATTCATAGCGGACAAGTCATTTATTGTGGCCAGCTACGCGACCTTATTATCGATCTGTTCATTTTATATGGATGTCTATTGGAATCCCTCTGGAATAGCGCCCTGGGCCGAAGGGAATAGACTACCCAATGACTTGTGTATTGTCTTCACAACGTCCGTTCGCGGAGTGTCATTCATTGTGGCCGTGCGCATATAGATCAACTTCGCCATCCGTAAGATAGAGATTAATGTCCACATTTGCCCATGATGGGCACGGTAGCGACCGATTTGGTAACTTTATCACCATGGCACCAACTCTCCCCAAAACCAACCTCATAAAGACGCAAATGCGTCCAACTGGTAAAATACACATTCCTGGACCACAGAAACCCCTCCCAAAACCGCGGCGGCGCACATTCAAAGCGAAGGTCATGAATCCTAGCCGCGAGTGCCTCCATATATAACGTCAACGCACGATTGAGACTACTCGCGATTCCACTAACAGGAAGAATACCAGAGGCTTCTTTGTCCATAAAAGTGACCGTCACTGAGACTGTCGTTGCTATGGCCGCTTTTATAGTATTTATTACTGTGACTGTTATTGCTGTGGCCGCTATTATAGTAGTTGTTGCTTTGACCGTTTCTGTGGCTATTGCTGTGACTGTTGTGCTGAGGACAACACTACCCATAGATGGGGATGAGAAATCGAGTCATGTTCGCAGTCCAAAGATGATATTCAACGAGACCTTTCGGTCATCAGTGATCCAGATGCAGGTGCGATAAATGGCTCGCCATCCGTGGGCTAGGATTTCCTTGTGATTAGAACTCGGGATGAGACTATCAAAGTTGAACTCATAACTGGTATGTTGAATAGCACGCCGGATCGGTGTATGCGCCGTAAGTCGCACATAACGCTAGGTGTGATCGCCGTCTGGATTATGGATGACTTTGGACAAATAACCGACAAAGTGCGCAAAGGAAGACACTTCTGGCTACAAGAATGCCAAGGGTGCATCTTGCTCCAAGTGATGAATATCGGATTGTCTCTTTTGGCTTCCATGGCCAGGGAAACTCTCAAAGAACGAAACTGCCAAACTGGAGCCACAGTGCATAACTGTGACACAACTGACAATGAAATATATCGTTCTAGGAAATACCTATGTGGACGAGATCATATGTACTTCGGGTTGTGCGTCAGTGTCACGTTGCACATATAAGCCGTAAGTCCTCTCTGGAGTAAACGAGCTGAAAAGTCATATCACGATGCTTCTCTAGGGTTGTTATCTGGCAAGAATGAATCTCGGACCCGACTCGATGAGTTTGCTGTAAGGCGAATCTCCCATCACAAAACTTGCTCGGCTTTTTAGCAGATTGTCTTTGCGTTCAGCTACATGTTCCCAGGTCTAAAACATTAAAAGCGCGGCCCCCAAGACCTACAGCACGACGACACGGTCAACAACATTCATTCGCAACCCTCTATCTCTTTTGAATCTGAAGCAGAACATGTTATTTTCCCAAAGCGGCAGAGTGTAAAAACCGTAGAACCTGGCGATTGAAGGTGCACCCAAATGCACCAACCTCAGTCCAAGGCGGGAGCGATTTGCTCTGTTCCTGCCCTGTGGATCTGGTACGGTTTTCTGTGTTCTCAGTATTGTGCGGTTGATCGAAGTTGAGCTGTGGGAAATGCAATCGTTTCTTCTCAAACATGTTTCGTGAAGTTTGATGGGGCTATCTGCATGTCGTATGCATAGGCGTATGCTGCCTTAGGAGGCATGGTGCCTTAACTATCCAGGGTTGTCGCAAAATGTTCTTGCTCCTTATCATCTCGTGAAAGCTCTTTGTAGTTTAGAAGTGGAGCATCATCTAGAGGTAGCATGTCTACTAGTTCACGCTTGACTGAAATACGCCGGGAGCCACATCGCTCTCCGATTTAAATGTCAACTCCCCAGAAGGTATCAAAAGGGCATAGAGTACAATTCAACGCTTTGGGTATGTGATCGTTTGGGTGACCAGGGACGACGTTAAGGGGCGGTCGACAATTCTTGTGCGTCGATACGTAAGTACCTGTCTTCTTATGTTTGTTAACTGATTCCGCGGTCACCAAATTTCTGGATATAAAAGAGAAAACACCACTCAATACAAGATGTTGAACAGGGTGGGGAGATATGAACTATAAGTCAGGCCTCGAGAAGGTAAGAGTTGTGGCTAAATCACCCCTGTATTCTCTCGAAAGCATCGAAAGGGATATACCCCCTCGCGGATTTAGATCCTGAAAGGATTTTCAATATCTCACTTGGAGGTAGGTTCCGAGTCTAACAAATTGAGACTCTGAGTTCCGTTTACATTTTTCACGGCAACGGTGAATGGGCATCCGGGTCACTCTACAATGATATTATTGCGTAGGTGTCAAACTGCGGTGGCAAGCTGCGCGTTTCTAATCTTAATTAGATTGTATCTATAGTAAAATTACATCGTGGTCAATACAGAGCTGGTTGACGCAAACCGGAAAGCAAGGATATAGTCTGTCTTCAGCTTCTACAGCACAGAATCTTAACTGAGCTTTGTTCAGGGTAGAGAACTGTAAAAACAAAGCTAAAGAACTAAAGAAGTAATAGAATTCGCAAAACAAAGAAATGATTAGGAGGAATACGTACAAATTAAACTACTCAGAAAATAACATAACGTTCTGTACATGTAAAGACTAATCAAATATCGTGTATGTGAGTTGTCACCATCAGCCAAGTATAGACATAGGGATAACCCTATAAGTTTATCAACAAAGACCGAGTCCATAAATCCGAAGACGCTGATTCAACTGCCCCACCCGTTGGAGCCCATCATGGCACGATGAATGAGGGGAAGGTTCCAACACTGATTCAGTGCCTCGCCTAATACTGAACCAACAATGCTCATTAACCCGCCATGGTGACTGGTTTGGTTTCCGAGAGAGGATACATGATCTTTCTCTATTCAAAGCTTGGTCGAGTTCACCAGATTTCTGATTCTTATTGGTCGTTATCTCTGACCGCTCCGGTATCTAGATCTCGGAATTGCGTGGCTCCCCCTGCCAAATCGACCCGAGCTGAATGAAAATATATCTATGGGATGTCGAACCGGATTGCTTCCACATCTATCCCTTTCACCAACACCGGGAATTTATTGATGAATGTCGATGATAGCCCCCAGCCACTCCGGGTCATGAATGTCTGAAAGAATTCCGGCTTTATGTATATGTTCTCATCGCTATCCCACTCCCAGATGCTCTTGGATGATGGCCATCGCACTCGGCAGCCACCGGCTGCATAGTTGTCCAGTTCTATGGGATCGATAGTATCCGAATTTTCCAATAAATTAATTCTCAACTGTGGCCACAAGATAAAGACCATTTCAATGGTTTGGTCTTGTTGTAGCTGGCCCGCCACTGGTTGTAGGAAGTCCGGGAGGTGCGAGAATGTGAGTGGAGTGGGGTTGATCCGCCACCTAAGAAAAACATACGCAATCCAGCTGTATGCCAAACGGTCAGGTTCTCGGAGGGCAAACCGCCGAAGGAGTCGGTTAATCTGGTCCGCCAGCCAGTTACGTCTTGATCCATGTAGGAGGTCTAACGGGGATGGAACGGCAGGAAACTTGGCTATGGAACCCGTAGAAGTAACCCACCGAGTCCAACCTCGAGTATTGGCAGTAGCCAGAGCATATTCTTCGTTCGTGAACAAGGGGCAAGGCGCTGTTTGGGCAAGGGAAAGGGAGGGCAGGGGAATGTCCACAATTAGTGAGTTTGCGCTCTGATCGCCAAACCCCACGGGCCACGTGCCGTTGATATACGGAGCTGTGAAGCCATCGGCGGATAGCCCCAGATGTGCAAAGCCTGGGACCGTCCAATCCGAAACGGGCGGTAACTGAGGATCTGCCAAGACCATCTCAGCCCCAGAGCTACAAGAGGCGATCGTTGAAGTTGGTAAAGGTTCAGAAGCCATACAGGTTGGAGGAAGAATGAGAGACGATGCGGGTGGGCCGGTATCTTGTCTGTACCAGCCATGAATTAAGCGACGAAGCTGTTCATGCCGGGCGAGTAGGGCTTCATTCTCCCGTATCATGGGTTCGACAGCGATCATGTGGTTTTGAATTAGTTCGTTGCAATGGTTTGTCTCACAGTAGGCAACCCGCTCTTCTAGGGCTCTGAGTCGACTTTCCCGTTTGTCTCGGAGGGTTTGCTGGGCCCGTCTATCCCGCAAACGTTTTCTTTCAGACGAGTTTGTTGACGCATTGTGGCGCGTGGAGGACATTGTTGACTGGCGTGTAGGTTGACCTGTCAAAAGAGAGAGAAAGAGATAGAGAAAGAAAGGGAGGCATCCCGGGATGTAGGACAGAATGAAGAGGGGTGGGAGAGAGAATAAAGAAAGGGGGAATGTATGGATTGCGGAGTCATAAAGTGCTCCATGGTCTATTGGGTTCTCGCCTCAGGATGGCGTTTCCTCAATCCAGTTAACCTGACGTCGTGTACAAGGTTCAAACAAAGAAATGGGCATCCCAAAGGGGTTATCACTCGTATCCCTCTTCGGCGCACTCTTCCCGTTTCGGCATCCTCAAGCGACTAAGCCAAATTAGGGTCTGGGGTCACATGACAGGTTCCTCTCTGCGATAAGAAAAGAAAACGCCCACATCCCGAATCGAACTTGGCACCTTTCCGCAGTTCATCGGTCGGCAACGATAAGACCGACGGCCCGACATGCGGACATTTATATAGTTCAATGCACTGCCATTCCTCGGTTTCGTCGGACGCTCTACGCCGACCTCTACACCAAAAGAAGATTGGGTGCGGACTTTTTCGCGGCGACTATAAGCGTTGCTGATGCGATTCCTCGTGGATCCTGTCTTCAAAGGAGTCTGCTGTCCACTGAGTCATGGAAGGGAGCAATGGGATGGTGTGGAATAGGGCGCCTTAAATACGGGCAATCTTCCGCACTGCTCTCACCAACATGGACATTTAAATAAGAGTCATCCCCCTCAGATTTACGTCTCTATAGAAGTCAATATCATTGCTATATCGCTCTCATACAAGAACAATATGACGCGCACCGATGTTCTTATCGTCGGAGCAGGTCCAACGGGCCTCGTGATGGCTCTGTGGTTAACTCGCCAAGGTGTGAACGTGCGCATCATCGACAAATCAGAAGTGAAGGCATCAACGTCGCGCGCCATGGCTATCCATGCCCGGACCCTCGAGTTATATGGCCAACTAGACCTCGCCGACGAGGTCGTCGCGAATGGCCACAAAATCGCTGCGACCAATGTATGGGCCGGTGGTGTGCACCGCGCCCGTATCCCTTTCGGTGACATGGGTGCAGGCCTCACACCCTACCCTTTCATACACATCTATCCGCAAGATCGACATGAGCGGCTGTTGGAGGCGCGGTTGAATGCAATGGGAGTACATGTCGAGCGCAATCGAGAGTTGATCGAGTCCCAGGAGCAGGAGTCATATATCACAGCAAGATTGAGAGACACCACAAAGCCTGGAACCGACCCCGAGGGCGAAGAGACATGCGAAGCAAGCTTTATTGTTGGCTGCGATGGTGCCCATTCTGCTGTCCGCCAGACCTGCGAGATCGGGTTCGAAGGAGCGACTTATTCCCAGCTTTTTTACGTAGCCGATGTTGAAGGTAGCGGATCCGGCCTTAATGGTCAAGCCCATTTGAGCCTAAATGGCGCACAATTTTTCCTCCTTATGGCTTATGATAAAGATCGCCATGCGCGTCTCAACGGTGCCGTGGACCAAAGCTCGCTGACCAAAGATATTTCCGACCTCACCCTTGAGGATGTTGCCCCAGACTGCGGCAAGGCGGTGGGCATCCATATCGACAAAGTGAACTGGTTCAGCACTTACCATGTTCACCACCGCGTCGCTGAATCGTTTCGCTGCGGACGAGCCTTTCTTGTGGGGGATGCGGCGCATATTCACAGTCCGGTCGGTGGACAAGGCATGAACACGGGCATCGGGGACGCCATTAACCTTTCCTGGAAACTTGCGGCAGTTCTCCAAGGCCAAGCAAATATGTCCCTCCTGGATAGCTATGAAGTTGAACGACGTGCATTCGCCGTTCTTCTGGTCAACACAACGGATGCTGCATTTAATGCTATTGCCTCCGGGGGGTACCTATCCTCTTTTATCCGAACATTGTTCATCCCCTATGTTGCCCCTATCCTGGCTCGTTTTAACCTTGTGCGACAAAGAGTCTTCCGTGGCGTATCCCAGATCATGCTCAATTATCGGGATAGTATGCTCTCAACTGGATTGACTGGCATCGTGCAAGGTGGTGACCGTGTTCCCTGGGCTCCGGTGGGAGATCTTGATAATTTCGAAAGTTTGAAGGAGATTACATGGCAAGTCCATGTCTACGGGGATGTAAAGGATGAGCTGGAGGAGTGGTGTCAGTCTAAGAAGGTTCCTCTGCATGTCTTCCCTTGGCATGAGAAATATCAGTCTGTCGGGTTGGGAAAGGATGCGGCGTATCTAATTCGGCCCGATAGTTACGTTGCAGTCGCGGAGTCTTCAGGCCTTCCAGACCGATATAATCAGTATCTGAACGACAACAGCGTTAGGTTAGGATGAAAAGGCTCTGATAATGTTGTTATCTGTTCCTCACTCCTTGTAGATGTTTCCTTTTGCGTATTTGCATTTGCACGGAAAGTGACTCAGAGTTTGGTTTATATTCATGGTCTATTTTGATGACACTGCAGCTAAATGACAACCTCCATTCTATAATCGAGATGAGACACCAATCTCTTCTTTCTTTAGACCTCGACGAGCATCTTCCTCCAGATAGGCCTTCTTCCACACTGCCTGAACCTAAATATCCGAGTAAGCATCATACGTACATACCTAGACAGTTAACATACAGCCATTTTTGGTGAACTTACATCGTAATGGTATAGCCAATGGTGGTCATTTGTCCATTTGTTGTGAATATTAGCTTCCACAATGTCGTCAAACAAGCTTGGACCTTTCATTGAAGTGTCGGGTTTGCGGAAGCTATCTAGAATATCATACTTCAAACAACTATGATGAGCACAGAATAAATAAAATAAGCCATATTCCAACACGTACCATATCCTTGTAATGTGGCGATCGAATCTTGTCATATAGATCTAAAGCGTCACTAATCGGAAGACCGCGTTCATGTGCCCATTTCACCGCTTGAGTGAGCACATACACATCCTCTAATGCAAACCCCGCTCCGGCGCCTAGATGATGTTAGATTATCCCTTAATGGAAGGTAGGGGCAGACTATACCAAATGCTCCTGATAATGCTGTCACAAGGTTAGTCATCGCCGATTCTACGAGAGAAAGAAGTTACTCACGATGCGACGCATCTCCAACCAAGGCAATAGAGTCATGTGATGTGACCTTTGAAAGCCGTGGGCCAGCAAATAGAGGGAACTTCTTCACTTCCTTCACTTTACTAAGTACTTCTTGGATGATTGGTGCAAATTCCTGTCACTCTTCAGCATATACTGATGGGTTAATAGAGCTTGTTGGAGAAACCACAGACCTTGTACAGCCCTAGGAACTCATCTGGAGTGGCATCCTGTCCCCAACTGACCGTCTCGTTGGTCTCCGGGATATCTGTTCGGGCCGTAACCTCGTAGATACCATTGTTCAGGTTACAAGTATACACCCACCGAGTGGGACCATGCCAGAACGTTACGGCATTCGGAAAGTCAGGAATACCCAGGATCTCGTCCGCATTGACGAGAGCACGGAAAGCTGTTGTGCCGGTGTAGTTGATACGATGATCTGGGAAAGTGTATTGGCGAACAACCTTCAACCGTTAGATTTATGCGATGCGTCAATTTCATAGAAAGTCGCAACACTCACCGACCGAACACCATCAGCACCCACGAGCAGATCCACTTCATCGGTGTGTCCATCTTCAAATCGCAGAGACAGCGACTTGTCGGGTAATTCATTGATCTCGACAAGACGACTAGCCAGTCGCAACTTTGTCTTGTCCACGGCCTTTAGGAGCGCTTGCTGGAGTATAGTCCGTAGAGCCCTAGCATGTTTATGTCGAGAGGGAGTGCCCTCTTGTCCGTTAGAGACTAATAGCTCCCCAGTCCTCCCATTGCTAGTTTTGGTTAGCTAGGCTCACACGGCCAGGTTAAAGTGAACTACCGGTGCTGTACTGAATGGCCATCCGCTGCGCTGAATATGGTGTTGGGATCGATGTTGTCATATACTCCCAAAGCGTCTAACATGCGCCAAGTGTTTCGTTGAATACTGATCCCAGCGCCAACTTCACGGAGCTCTTGCGCTTGCTCATAAACTCGGAGAGCAATAAACGGTAGTTTTTGGAATTCAATCGCCGCCCCTAAGCCTGCCGGCCCGGCGCCGATCACTGCTACTCGTAGCTTTGGCGTACTGCCAGTATCTGGTTTTGACATGATGCGGTTGGTTGAGAGCGTTCGACAACTTTTCTATGTGCGACTTTGACCGTCAAGGTATTACGGGAATATGAAAGCTAAGGCAGCGGGTGCAAGCGATAGCTGATAAATATCCGTATAGAACTAATGGCGTCATTTCTATTGATTGTTCCTCATTTCACGTACAAGGATGTGAGGAATTTCTTCCGCTTTTGTGGGCCCGCTTGACGTGCATCTTAACAGCTTATCAACCGAGAATTATCGGAGATGTCGGCCTATGTAGGAGTGTTTGGTACTTACTAGTATGGAATTAAGAGAGGTTGCGAATCAAACCCGCATCTGACGCGACTGCAGGTGGGCAGCCTGCAGCCTATCAGATATGAATATGGTGACACTGTCAATATATTAAGAGCATGTATAGTGCGTTCACCGTTGAACATAATTAGATGAGCCACGATTGTCTCTGCAAATGACAACCTCACAGACCTATCCAGATCTTGCAAAATAGTACAAGTCGTGGCCTAAACGATTGCAGCAAAGAAACATCATTGCAGGTTGTAGGATTGGTTAGCTTTGGGTAATGTTCGAATATTGTCAATTTGCTAATATTTGTATCCTGAGTCTCGCTACATACATTACAATGTTCTATCCCAAGCACAAGCCCTATAGCTTCGCCATAAATAAAGTACAACACATCATATCCCAAACGAACACCAAGTATCCCAGCCATATCCAGTTTTTGTACCACATTCATATCATGATTCATAATAATCCAAACTACACCATGTACTGACGCGCCAACCAATCCAACTCAGGCCTCCCAGCACAACCCTCATCGGAGTGACAAGTACCTGCGTCATACCCAGCATAGAAGTAAAATATATCTTTCTTATCCGCAATCGTAGCAGCATCCAAATTCGGACTCAGAGATCTAACCGGGTAACCCATGTATCCGAAAAAGTTCGCGTTGTTATCAGCAAGCTGCGACGCATGATCGGCAAAATACCCTGTCGTATAGTGATCGCTGTGATCGCCACTACCAACGTCATTGACATAGTCAAGCGTATTGATACGATCCGGGTCGAAGTTCTCGATGATATCAACGAGGACATCTAGAAGTTCGTCCTTGGTATAAGTCGTCCCAGAGGCATCGACCGTTCCGATCTGGTCGATGCTCTCCTCCCACAATTTCTGGAGACTGACACTTCCTGTGGAGGCGAAGCCTGACCCGTCCATGTTGCCATCTGGGATGTGTAGAAAGGCTAGCTCGATTTGGGGTTTAGCTGACAGGCTGTACACGGGGATGTCGAATCCCTCGATTCCTGCGTCGCCTTCTTCCCAGTCATTGTCGACTTTTGCGATTCGCGCGTAGGTTGCTAGTGAACCGGCCTGACGGCCTGTCCAGTAGCCTTCACCGTTGCCTGCGTCACCGGCTGTGAGGAAGACCGTGCGCACGGCGCGTCCTGATCGGACGTCGTTGAGAAGGTCTGGGGACATGAAGAGGAGATCGTCATCTTGATGTGCGACGATATTGAGGGTTTGTGCAGCGGATAATGTGATAGGGCCAAGAATAGCTAGGCTGCTAAGGAAGTTGCTGAGCCTCATTTTGACGGTGTAGATAATGTGCAATTTGACAATCGGAAGAGAACGGCGACGACAAGAAGGGTGCGAGGTGGAATCCATGTTTATACTTGGTATTTTAGAATCAATCAACAAAAGCTCATTCCTACCATATAATGAAGTTATGAAAATTACAAGTATGCTGCATTCCAACCGTATCTTGTCCCTTGCTGTTCACATTCTAGTTAAGACATAAAGCAGGGTTAATAAGAATTATTCTCATGAAGACCGCGAACATAAAAATTTATCTTTGCAGGAAGGTCGGTTCCTAGCAATGCGAGAGTGCTACGGTTGGTAACGTTATCGCCGACCTATTTCTGTACAACATCTCTATCACCTTCGCTTAGTCCATCTCGGAGGGATTTTCAACAATCCATTGTTAATTGGCATGCGGCAAGCTTTGTCTTTGCCTTCCTTACTCGCCCATTCTTGAGTATGGCCCAGTCCAGCGGACGAGACAGAATAGGCTTTGTTTATATGCCGCCAAGCACACCCATACCCGGCCGGTGGCTCATGATATACCCCTTGCTTCGGCATATGCCTGCGGAATGCACACAGTGTACCCCCACCAACTACCAATGCTGCACCTCACGAGAGGGACACGTTTAGACATAGCTAAATTACAAGGATAATTGATTATCTCTGATTGAAATTCGCACCTAGGAGTGGTGGGTTTTCCCTTGTATACATTTCCTATGTATTTCCATCGGCGTTCTTCCTTTGCCCTTTTCACTATCGCCCTTTCTCGAACGTGCATATCCCTTGAAACGGACCGCCCTAGAATGTCAAAACTATGTACATACTCAGCAAGTCCAATGTCACCTTGCTAGGTATGAAATGCCAAAGTGAAGCTGTGCATCAGCTCCAGCATTCCCCCCATAGAAAGAGGAGGCATAAGCCTAGATAGTCAACACCCTGCCATAGTACTATTACTTGTATCACCCGTATAGTAGTGCTTCTGTGTTTTATGTCATTTTGGAATTCTATGATCTATAGTTCATCTATTAACAAATGAATTGACGCTTTCTGAAGAACTCCCCATACGAAGGTTCGTTCGCCTTTTCATTCGAGCCATGTTACTTCAATAAAGACGATTTCGCCTTCAAATCCATAAGTCTCAACAAAACGTCATCCCTTTCCTTTTGGAGAATATCGAGATCGGTTGCTGCTATCGTAGGCTCAACGACCCTATTCAAATCCTCAATTGCTTGGGGTGTCATTTCAAACGTGTGCTTTTGCATGTCATCATGCCATGATTTGGCAGCTGGGCCTAGGTGCTCCATGAAATGGAGAAAGCTCCCGCCTCCCGCCAAGGCATTCAGAGCGAATGGTCCGTTGAGCGCCCACCGTAGGCCGAGTGAAGAAGTCATTGCCGTATCTGTTTAGTCACAGCCAATTAGCGACACCACGTATCCAAAACTTCGACCCTTAAAACTTACCCAAGTCTGCAGCGGAGATAACACCTCTTCCCACTAAGCTATACGCCTCCATCAATATGGCGGCTTGAAGTCTGTTCACGATGAAGCCCGGGATCTCTTTCTGGATAAGGACGGGATTCTTTCCTAAGCTCTTATAGAATTCCATGGCTCTTGGAACCACGCTCTCTCTATCTGTTGTCGCGTGTGGTACAACCTCCACCAAAGGAATTAGGTGCGGTGGATTAAAGGGATGTCCAACCAAAACCCGTTCAGGGTGGTTGCGACACGCTAGCGCATATTCGGAAGATGGGATTCCAGAGGATGAAGACGCGATTATCACATCTGGTCGTGCGTTTTCGTCTAGGTATGCGAATAGGGAGCTTTTGAATTCCACGCGCTCGGGGCCATTCTTGCTCAACGTTAGTAAGAAAACAAAAAGGTTATATGCATAACCAGGGACTGTACTGTACCTCTTGTATAAAATCAATTTCGTGGAAGTGGTTATCCAGCGAATTCACGAACATATAATTGGCAAGGGAAGCCCCTTCAGAGAGGCCCATTTGTGTAAGAGTCGGCCATTGTGCTTTTAAATATGCGTCAAGTTTCTTTTCTGCGTCGGGAGCTGGATCCGTTACAAGGACCTTGAGCCCTCGTGCGAGTAATAGAGCTGTCCAGCTTGCACCGATGACCCCGGTTCCAATGATAGCAACGGTCCTAATGTTACTCCTTGGTGTAGGCAACATGGTGGTGTTCAATTAATAACTAAATATAGCCGATATGGTGATTAAACGACTTATGATTTACATGGACCTGTCATTGCACGGGGACGCAGCAGCTCTATTTATATTGCGGACTGTAGCCAAAACTAACAACCATGAGCTCGGTACATTCGAGTTGAAGCTTGTCTTGCTCCATAAGCCCCATCTACTCAATTCCTAATCGCTCGGTATCTGATCGAATTCCCGACGAAACAGGAACATTTGGGGGTAGACCATCATTTACCGCGCCTCCGTGGAGTAAGACCGGCATGCCGAGGACTTGTTGCACTCTTCCCGCGGAGAGTCATCCGAGGCTGCCGTTAACCGAACGGAATTCTAAATCGGTAATACAGTTAGCTCCTGCTCTGATCTCTCCCCTGGGTTATTCTTGAGCCTTGTTTTACCCTTCATAGCACATTATTGGCATGTATAACCTGTAATATGTACACAGATTTTGGATTTGCTTTTAAAAACGCCAATCTACTTATACAAGGCGATGCCAGACGAAAAATCCTCATCACGGTATATAACCTCGTTCGCTACATCCATACCGCCCCGGTACACACTACCTCCCAGATCCGTGACTTAGACATGCTGACTGGCCGAATTAACCCTTAATCCAATACCGTCATGAAAGTGTCGGGCCAGAATCTGCACCCCGACGATCTTTACCGCCAACATCTGCTCAATTCAACATGCTACCGAACGGGTGTTCCCACGATCCGTCCAGTAAAGAGTCCGTGTCTCAGGCCCAAAATCCAGGTCAAGGGACCAGGAAGGCCCTCAAATAACGTCTCTATATCGGACCGATTTAGAGCATTCTCACTGGCAAGCATATATCAATGTTCGCCGGAAAATACGTCCCTTAGATCCCTTATTTCTCCCCTTTTGTGTCCAGCCAAACTTCCCATTCGTAGAATCCACAGCGATGCCAACGCACCAGCGCGTTTGATCTGCGAGCAATCTCTAAGAAATATAACTTAGGAGGGCTAGCTTGGTCTTTTGCCGGGGGTGGAAATAACCTTCCCTTGCTGGTCTTGGTGCCGGGTTTTCCTTGGTTGATGCAATTGCGTCGTAGCTAGTCGAGGGTCACAGCTGAGTTGATGTATCGTTCATGGATGTAGTTGTCGTCGATGAAGGCTATGGTGTCCAGACCTATTTTGTCTATTAGTGCGCAGGGACCGCGGCGCGTTGACCACATTTCTTTCCAGAGTCTGTCGATTTCGGTTGGGGAGGATATGTCTTCGGCGAAGACGGCGAGTGTTTCTCGTTTGACGGCGACACAGAGGCAGTTGAATACAAAGCTAGGTAGTTGAGTGTTACTGGGACGTCGCCAGAATGGAGGAATAAGGGAGCTTACCCAGTTGACTCCTTGCCAGCAGTAACAGGAAGCATCCCACCGTCTCTCAGGGCCTAGGTAAGGAAATGGGAAAACCTCCGGGTACGTCTCTCCGGCTGTCATCAACATCAACTCAATGGGACGCATCTCCGGTGGCAAATAGAGATGCATATTACACACCAGCCGACGACGCGGAGAAGTGATTTTCTCGACATTAGACTCAGGTGGAAAGAAGATGAATTTGATGCGAGGGGTACAATCCGCGGATGGATACTTAGTAATATGGTTGTTGCTATTGCCGAGAACACTGGATAGAGCTTCTTCAGATTGATCGCTCAGGTTCATATCGTAGCCCGCTGCGATGAAAACGCAGGCAAAATGGCTACCTAGAGTGCCTGCACCTATTATGGCCATGGGGCGGCCGTCGATCTTTGATGGAGACTAAGTCTGCTTGAGGGTATACGAGGTGAGCAAGGAGCGGTGTGAATGAGATGAAATTTTCCACGGACATGGAGGTTTGAAGGTGCATAGGTCTAAAATGATGACATTTTCTTCGTGGTGCTATGTTTATGTTTAGGGTACGTTTCGGGGGTCAATTCGGGATGCCGACCGATCGGGACAAGAAGAATCGGTATTTGGTTCCCTGTATATCAATGTATCATTAGTGAGTTTTGTCTACAACCTTAGATTATCTATAGAAAGGAAGGCCCCTTTATATCGTTTTGGAGTCATTCACTCTCCTGTCATGGTGATAATTTTGTCGGGGAAAAGCTTCTTCCCTGAATTGTCCGGCTCTGACATCACACAGTGGTCCTAGGATAGACTTCACAGTAACAGGGTGTAGTAGACCGTATTTACACGCAATCCCGTTCACCTCTCGTTGGAATTTTAATCTCTTGAAGATAATAACGGTCACGCAGTGTGTATGTGTGTGTGTGTGTTTTACACGTCATAACACTACCAAGTATTCTGCTTCCAGACACCTTTAGTTAGCGCGAGATAGGTTCATTATATTGAGTACAGATAAGCATATTATAAGGCTACTTTACTGTAGTCTAGATAAGTGTGTAGATTCCCTTTAAAATCTTGACCTTTCATGGTTCTGGATGAATGTGTATGTAGAAATACCACCAAATATTGCATTATATTTTATCAACAACACTAAACACCCGCTCAACAGAACAGCAAATGGGACCAAAGAGCTTAGGGTGTATCATAGAATAAACATTGTTGCAGGCCTTCGAAGCATTTCATATCAAGGAACTCCTTTGAAACAGGCCTCCTAAACCATAAAAGGAAGCTCATGGTACTTGAACATCGGTACCTCCAATAGTGAGCATATCACAGATCTACTCGCAAAATCGGAGACCCAATGAACCCATGGTTGTAAATCTGTGTTCACAACAACGATTATCCAGAGGACGGTCATCACAGAATATCTCCTTTCGGTTTTCTGACTGTCCCCTTCCGTAGGGAGCAACTACGTAAGCATAATAGCATGCGAGGCCCATTAATAGACCAATCATAAATTAACCAACCATCGCAATGAGTATCTTCAAATGTCGTCTTATAAAGCTGCGAGTTTGTTCGCAAAGGCCAACCACCGCAGTTGACAGCCTCATGGTGACCGATGCTTGCTGGATTGTATGGATGAACGTGTTGTCTGTCGTTGTGAAAACCTAAACTTAAACTTATGCGAGAGAAGCAATTGCGACGTGGAGGGAATATAAGGGGTGGTAGCCTCTACGTTCCTATATTGTTATATCTTGGTAGTTCGCGAAAGGGTATCCGGAAAGAACAAAATAATCGCAGGAAGTCAGCGGCCAGTTAGAGTTACTCTGATTTGACTATCAATGAGAGGAAATACCCGTCAACTTCCGACCATTATTAGGCGTGATACCTTTGTAGAGGCTGACAAAGACCACAGAAGTCTGCAGTGCCTGGTTGGGTAAAGCTCATGGTTCTTTGTGTATCATCCCGATCCGTTGTATTGTACAAGCCGCTAATATCGGTTTCAAAAGATCTTCTAGGAAGAAATAAAAGGAAGAACGACCGAGAACAGCTCATAATCACAGCAATGCCTTCACGTATAATGGGTGGTATTGGGACTATATTAAAATTCATGCCCTGAACTCTCAAACAATCCTACTGGGTTTCTCAAAGCGATCGGTATCCTTCATCTCTGTTGAGTTTACTTTTCCGATCTTGTAAGAAAAGGCTTTTCTTGCCAAGTGGACCATTGAAGTGTGGACCGGTTGAAGCTTAACACAAAGGGGACGGTATAGGAAGTATTTATGGAATTGCTGGCCGTTAGATTCTACAAAATTACAGCCCGATTTTGCTCCAGATTAGCACTGGGGACTCGGACCTTATTGAGCATCCGAGGGTGGGCCATAGACTTTTTCTCGACGGAGTATGGTGGACGATCAATCCGTTGTCACGAGGCTATGATGACCCTACACAGACTATAAAAGAGAATTTTTCTTCAAAAGGATTATCCCTATTCCGTACATTCGATGCTATTTGGTCTTTATACTATGCAATTTGAGTTCTGACTGGAAGAATGAATCAGGAAGAGCCACCTGAGCTTATAAATTGCCTCTGACAAAGTCTGGATATGCTCCACAATTAAGCTTCTAGCGTTCGCCCTACGCCATGTCCCAGTTTCCAGTGAAGCCTCCACGGGGGCGATTCTTCACATGGGAGACCATCGCGTTTATTCTCCTTGGGCCTTCATGTTGAAACCAAGACCTGAATTCTTGGCCTTTCTCCACTCACCATCGCCTTCGCTTTCTGGTTGACTGACAGTTGGGAGCAAACTTAGCTAATGCCAATACTGTGATTACAAAAATCCGCAGTTAGGAGATTTGGTATTTGATGGCGCTTCCGCCTGTCTAGCCAGGGATAGGTCCTTCTGTCTTGCCCATCTCCAACACTATCTTCCCTGCACTATGGCAGGTGGCTTCCTGCCGTACCACGAGCCTGGCAGTAAGTATCCTCAATGGTGGTCATTCCTGGCACTGCATTACATAGACTAACTACCGTCAGTTGTCCAAATTCTTATTATCGTCTCATTCTTTTTCTTCCTCTCATTGGCGGAATGGGCGTCGGCCAAAGTCTTCCGCGCTGGGGTTATTGGGCAGATTGCAGTCGGCATCATCTACGGTGTCCCACTGGCGAATATACTTGAAAAGGACTGGCAGCAAACCTTTTTAGCACTCGGATATGTTGGATTGATCTTAATTATTTTCGAAGGTTCGGTCTTTTGGAATTTTTCCAGCGTGCAATGGGTGCTGACGTCAATCGTCTCCAGGTGGTCTTGGCGCCCGGATCGATCTTCTCAAGGAGAATTTGGTGGTGAGCACTCTTGGCGCGGCCACGGGGGTTTGCTTTCCCATCGGGCTTTCTTATCTCTTGCTGTACCTAGGATACGGATATGGTATGTCTTGACCCTTTCCTATATTGCATATTGACATGGTCTAACGTGTTTCCAGGCGCGGTAGAAACATTCATCATTGGAGCGGCCCTTTCCGCCACCTCTTTGGGTAATATCCTGGCATACAAACCCTAACTGCAAATTGGACATTCTATTCTAACATACCGTCCAGGTACCACATTCGCCGTAATCTCGTCGGCTTCAAAAACAGTCGACCTGGCACAAACTCGAGTAGGCTCAGTCCTAGTCAGCGCAGCAGTCATCGACGATGTAGTCGGCCTTGTGCTGTCAAGGTCAGCACCCTCCAGTCCGCCTTAGTAAGACATAGTACTCACCATGAATCCCAACAGCATCATCTCCGACCTAAGCAAGCTATCCAACAGCGACGCCAACCTTGGCTGGATCATCGGCCGCCCAATCGTAGCGTCCGCCGGAATGGCTATCGTCACCCCTCTCGTAACCAAATTCATTTTCGCGCCCTTCTTCCGCAAATGGATCGAGTATCACTTTGCACGCTATGACCACATCTCCAACATCATCTTGATGACTCTCGTGCTATGCGCTTTTATCTCTATAGCCGCTTACACCGGCACATCAGTCCTCTTCGGCGCCTTCCTCGCCGGGACATTCCTGTCTTATTTACCGAGTAAACGGCCCGACGGACCATTCGTGGTCATGAGTCGTGAAGAAGGCGAGAAGAATGAGGATAAAAGCCCCACTTTCATCCATACCTTTGAGGCATACCTTCTAGGTGTGCAGGCGTATCTGATGGAACCTCTGTTCTTTGCTAGTATTGGATTTGCTATTCCGTTTGTGGAGTTGTGGACCGGGAAGCGGATTTGGAGGGGTGTTTTGTTTACGCTTCTTATGGTTGTGGCCAAGGTTAGTCTGCTTCGTTTTGCATGTTCTAAGAGGATTACTAATAGGGATATAGTTTGTTGTCGGATTATGGATTCCGCTATGGAAAGTGTTGCCAACGAAAACGAAGGCTGATAAAAAGTCGAAGGAACCGCGTCCCGCTTCGGATGTACCAGCAGAGACACCTAAGGACAATGCGACCATCCTGTCGGCATTATTACTGGGCTCTGCGATGGTTGCGCGTGGGGAGATCGGTCTCTTGATTATTGAGATCGGGTATAACTCTACGGCGTACGTGAGTGAGGAGGGGTTCATTACTGGCGTGTGGGCGATTCTGTTAAACACGATTATCGGGCCGGTTACGGTCGGTCTGCTGGTCAAGTATTATGGAAAACAGATAGGAGAGGGTGAATGGGGGTTGCAGAAGGGAACGAGTCCAGGTCAAGAGAAGGAGGGTGTACATGGTGCTGTATGACATTTTTGGCGGTACCTGACGGAGCTATATTACTGCGTGGGAGCATGTAGAGGCGGATCGGACGGTCCAGGGTTGGTTGGTAACGTTAAATCCCATAGTTCTTGCAATATACGTCGCTTTTACCGTGGACAAGGGACGTGAAGTTAGAACACTGGGTACGGAAAGTAGTAGCGATAAGTATGTACAACTTTGGTCCCACTATAATTGACGGCAAAGCTTATCAGAATACGGCATTTAACCCGACCCACGTAGCATTAAGGGCAGTGTCGTGACAAGAGGGACTTTTCCAATTGATTGGATCATTCTGAGTAGAATCGCTTAAGCAGGGCTTACTCAAGGTCCTGGATGCAATGAATGACAAACCGCTCTTTATTGCGCTTCTAGAAAGGAATTGTCTCCCATAACTGCGTCTCCTTGCGAGGGTCCTCAATAATGTTATCTCGTGAGGTTGCCTTGACTGCGATATTGACAGCCCAATGGTAAAACTTCTACTTCTACGATTGCTTACAATGCCGAGATTTGGGGCATGAATCCAGGTAGCGACTAGTCGCGTCATGGTTCTATTTATACAGACCCAGCACAGCCATCCGACGGCTGGGTTGGCGCTTTACCAAGCGGAAAGGGACCGAGTAGCCATGTGAGCTTATCATTGGTTTATATTTTAGTAGATTTGCCAGCGATAAGTGCGAAAAATGCCTTGTCCCTGGGTATATTAGGCCATAGCATTTGTATGCTCGATAGGCAGGTGGCAAACCTGGCCTGCCTACATGGCTATCTTATATTCTGAATTTCGGCTATGAGGTGTACATCTCAGTTCAGTGATCATGGTTTTGTACAAATAATTTACTGAGGCAAGAAAGTAACTTTTTTCTAAAGAGTCCTCTGAGCGGGCGAGTCTATTTGGCAGAACAGCTGGAGTGTTATCACGTCATGAGTTCATTCTATACTTCTACGCGGATGAGCTCCGACGCCTTGAAGCCTCTCGGATGGCGGAGGCCGGTATAAATCTCTTGTAAACAAAGAAAATCAATTTACTACATCTTTCAAATCCAATACCAAAGAATCCCACATTGTGCCTCATCTTCCCGACGATGGCTCCATCTTTCTCGACAGTGGAATGTGTTTCAGCTATCCGTCAGGTGGCCCCCCCCAATGAGTACACTTTTCGAATTCTAATAATACTCGGAGGACTTCGACTGGACATTACTAGATCTGGTACTCAAGAACAAATCCCTTCGGTATGATTAGATGCTGTAATGAACTTAACATTGGATACGCCGCTGATGGGTATGCACGCTCAATGCCCGGTAGAGTGGCCGTTGTTTTTGTCACCTTCATGGTGTCGGGGGACTTTCTGTACTTAACGCAATTGCGGGCGCGTACTCCGAAAACATCAGGGTGATCGTCAGCTCAGACTCTCCGCTACAGGAGACGTTCAGCCAGGACCGGCTAGTCCATCATACTTTGGGGGTTAAAAAACAGAGATCAACCCTTCCAGATTTTCAAGGAAGCACCACCGCGGCGGTCCGTCTGACCACGGATAACGACCCAATTGGAACTCTAGACAGTACCATAAGCCACTGTCTAGAAGATTCATCGCCCGTGTACATCGAGATCTCATCTAGTATTTCTCAAACACCTTGTGAGCCTCCTAAACCTCCCATAGTCAACAAGCCTCTCCCACAGCAGCCTGATCATATCAATACTGTAGCCGATGCCATTGGCCGTGTCTGAAAATCTGCCTAAAGCCCTGTCCTGCTAGTTGGGGCCGTCAGACAGCTTCCCCCGATGTATTGGTATCATCAATTGATAAACTCGGTTACGCGGTGTTCGTTCAGCCCGACAGCAAGCCTCTCGTGCCTGAGGGCCACCCTCAGTTTGCAGGAACATTCTGGTCTTCGGCGAGTAACTCAGGATGAGAAGAAACCGTTCTCGGCTCCGATTTGTGAGTAAGAGTGGGATACTGTTAAACAGACTATCAGTCACTCGACAGTCACCTTGCTATGAAGTAAGAGTCCCGTCGCATTCTTGATCTCCAAGATAGGTATATCACCTCGCCATATGGTGAGACAATCCAAGGGATCAGTCTCAATGATATTGTTAGAGCACTCATTGCCTCTAACATTCCTCACAATGGTACTACGAGTCGTGCCCTACCGCTAGCCTTGGGGCTACGAACGGAGGCCTTAACGGTTGTCCCCACCTTCGAGGGCATTGAGGATATCCTCAAACCAAATGATACTTTGTTCGCCAAAACGGGGGATAGCTGGTTCAACGCGAACACCATACAACTGCCAAATGGGACCAATTTTCATATGCAAATGATCTATGCTTCAATTGAATGGGGACTACCGGCCACTCTGATCTACCAAGTCGGCCGACCAGACGGTCGAGTCATTACTATGATCGGAGATGGTAGTTTCCGGATGCCGCGCAGGAAGTAAGCACCATGATTCGGGTGAAATTGAACTCTAATCATCTTCATATTTAACAGCCTAGGGTATACGGTTGAGGTATATCTATCTGTTCACCCTCACTACTTCTTTGCTTTCACGCTTTCTCTGTAATATCCCAATCGATCAACTTAGACTGCTATCCACGACGAACCCTACAACTACTACAACAACTAGAACTACACAGTCTTCGCATCCAGTCTCTGCAACGTGTTCCTTGCCTCCTACACCGATAACACGCACATTGACCCAGAGATCGGCGATATCGGCATTGAACCCACCCATGGTCTCAATGCAGATTAAGAGCAAAGCCGAACACCTCATAGCACTAGACCGTGCCGAGAGAGAACCGACCAAGCTCGCCATTCTATGATCGCTGTATCCCCCTAGCGTTGTCAGTCCAATGCTTCTCCGGTTTGGGGCTGGAATTGGTGGTAAAAACCTAGATCGGAGCTCTGAATGGCTTGACTCGGGAGGTATACAACATTGCAAGTCATACACTAGAAAGCAAGCTTGTACGGAGGAGACGTACTAATCACCAATTGACTCTTTCAGATTATTCAGATGCTAGACTTAGAAATGGAAGCCACCATCCATATACTAACCAACTACACCATAAGTAAATAAGGAGCATAAACAAATCGAGAATAATACCTCCCAACAACAAGCCCATACCCCACCACCTCCGGATACTTCACCAGAAATCAAAATCATCCTCCTAGCCTCCTCAACCTGGTTACCATTAATCAAAAGCCACGCGTCTCAAAACAGCCCCATCTGATCATGCAACCAGAACCGACAGCTCGGGTCCTCACTATCAGACTCATACAATTGGCGTCCTTCGCTCACGAGCAGGTCCACAAATTCGCTCACTTTAAGATCGCGTCTTACGTCTAGGTGGACGATCTTGGTTGCTGAGGCGGAGATCATATCGGTGTTAGGGATGTCGCTGATGATGAGGATTCCTTTGGAGCCGCCTTTGTTGAGCGTTGCGGGAACGGTGTAAGAGGGGTTCATGCCGAGGCGTATGGAGTATTTGGGGGTGGTGAGGTAGAGGGACCAGTGGTTCCCGCCTGTGGGGACGGGTTCGTGGGCGACGGCGGAGAAAGAGGAGATGTAAGTGCTGAGTATTGTTTCTATGGATTTGGGGGTGGGGAGGTATTGGATGTTCATTTTGGGGGGTTGTTGATGGAATTTTTGTATATTTGGTGTGAGGTTGAGAGGTGAGTTCTTGGACGTTAGTAGATATCTGCTACTACGACTACTAGACTAAAAATGATACGAGGCATCTAGTCTATCAGTATAGCGGACATGTAATCTAGAATACATTGGTGCAGTTCAGTGGAGGCTCGGCGGCAAGACAAGAAATGGTATAGAATCAAAGCATAACATGAACAAAATCCACCGATCATATAATAGTATCAGAAGGGCTACTACTACTACTACTACTATTAAGTAACTACCAACTAAAATTACCACTAAAGCTCCGCTCTCAGCCACCACCCTACTCCAGTTAGATTAGCTCCCTTGATGAATATGTACACCATGATATCGCGTGTACAGCGTCTCTTGAATGATCATTTTAGGCCTATAAATATTGCTCATTTTATCATTAGATCACAAATCAGACCTCTTCATGATTTTATGTATGCCTTAAGATTCAGCGGTAGATTACTAGGCAACACGAAATCCTGCATTCCTGATGATAGTAACCTATCTGAAAATACAAAAAGAGAAACCAATCAAGTATCTGACGCCAATTGGCGCCGCTGGGAATCGAACCCAGGTCGAGACGGGACTGTGGGACAAACCACAACGTCGCATGATAACCACTACACTACGGCACCTTGAGTTGGTGTCAGTGGGCTCGGGTTAAGGTTACATAAGCCAAAATCGCAGAAATTGACACTAATTGTTTGCTTTGCTCGTGCTTCGTAAAAATTGGTACATATATTTTTCCTCTCGTTCCACATCCTCAAATATATATTGTGCAGGTTAGTACAACCTACACCTAACGAATTGACTACTTGAATAGTAGTCAATTATGAGCCTTTTGCTTAGTGGTTAGGTGGCCCGGCATTTGCAATATAACGTATTTCCCGGGTCATCCGGCCGCCCTTCTAAAATTGAAGCCATACAAAACACCATATAATTGCATTTCTATAGAATAATGAGTAGTTTTATCGATTCGGGCAGATTGTAAACTTATGGCCCTGTACAATGCAGTCAGAACACCTAGGTGGGGCGCGTCTAGGAGCCGATTCAGCAGGTAAAGCCCCATCTGCCTGTATGCTTCATCTGTATGTTTTCTGCTTTCTATAAGCGCCCTTGCTTCCTGAACTAATATGCCTGGTTCTATTTGAAGCTGCTTTTCATGAGCGGCCTGGTATTACTCAATTTAATGCTTCAAAATGGTTACCTCAGCTAGGGCCTGTTCAGCACCTTTTAAAATCTTATTTAAATTCAGTTTAACAGGCGAATCAGGACTTCTAGATCAATTTCTTTAACAGCTTTTTAATCAAAATTCCGATTTATTCAGCTGTTTCACGGTATGAGGTATTCTAGGCGCTGAGCTGCCTTGACTGCTTAGTCTGCTACCTGGAGGTGTAGGGGATTTAAGCTGCACAGTAATTTAAGTAAGAACCTGCTGAGGATTAAAAGGAACTAATTGTCACAGATCGAATAGCGATTCGGCCTGATGACCGTACAGGATACCCTGACCCAGGTGTGTAGACAATCGGCCACCGATGAGGAACATCAGGCCACACGACAGATTGGGTTCAAGGGGGTTTCTGAATCCTTTAGGCATGGAGCCTTCAGCTATAAATTAGCGAATCGTTTAGTAGTAGTAGGAGATCAAGAATTAGTCTCCTGTCTGAATAGTATCTACTGCCTGTCTTTGACCTCTCTCTTTCCTTTAGCCTACATACCCTTACCCAGTTGACAGGTCCTCTACCCTGAATAGTAGATACCCTTGACACTAATCTAGTTTCTTAAAAAGCGCTATAAATATTGCTACTAGTAAAGGCCTGTGTGCGGGCCTTAGAATAGGCTGATGAAAAATTATCTTTATCAATATAATTGATTCTACAGCGTATTATAGGTTCAACTGATTCCCCGTTCGCCTTTTTAGAGATAAAAGCAAGTAATATCAAGGTGCATTTGATTTGTTTGAAGTCGTTTGCATTAGCGCTTTCGGCCCTCCTGCTTAAGCGGGAGGTTGAAAAGGTGATATCAGGGCGAGCGAGAGCGGCAGGAAATCCAGTTGAGCGGGCCTGATAGCTCCTGATATAATCGTTTCTGGTCTGGATCAGGTGGTTCGGTTGATTCCTTTGGCTTCCAGGTGCCATTGGTAGGACAGATCCATTTAGGTCATTAATGTTGAGCTCTGCGAGGGTTTTATGTATGTAGGCTCGTTACGAGATCGTGATAGTCCTGGTGGCTTAGTCCCTCGTACAGGCCAATTGCTCTTCTATCAGCTCCAGGCAAGGGCCTTGAACGCCTAGTAGCTCGCAATATAGCACAGGTCGCTGTTCAATACAAGGTCCGAGCAAGCCAGCAGTTCGGGGCACTCCCTCTTCAGCCTGCAATTGACGTGACTATGCGCCTAACACACGATGTGGAGCAAGCACTGAATGAGGGCAAAATGGCATCATTACTTACTCTTGATGTTAAAGGGGCCTTCGACGGAGGTTCTTCCTGGACGACTTGTCCATAAACTACGCACACAGGGATGGCCATAATATTGCACGTTGGGTAGCCTCCTTCGTTACAGGGCGCTCTGTGCAAATCGGCTTGATGGCGAAACTGGCCTAATAACAGATATCTTTTGTGGCGGCTCACCTGTGTCGCCTAACCTATTTATGCTATATCTGGGCCCTTTGTTCCGGTTAGACAGGCCAGGAGCCAGGTTTGGCTATGCAGATGATGTAGCTATACTCGCAACTTCCCCATCTCTTAATACTAACTGCCAAAACTTGTCAAACTCCCTGCAAGAAGTCCTTGACTAGGGTACTACAGAGTGGATTACCTTTGCACCTGATAAATATGAACAGGTCCATTTCTCACCGCGCAGAGCTCACCAGGACCCCAACTACGGATCAGGGCGCCAATGGGTCGTTCAAAGAGACAGGCAGCTGAAGACTTCCAGAAGTTCTATCTTTCTCTCCCTGGCTCTGATATGAAGACCTTTTCAGATGGATCTAAGCTAGCAAATAGGATGGTAGGTGCTGGATTTGTGTTATACCAAGCTGGTCAACAATTTCTCCGCTCATCTTTCTCCCTTGGCCTGAATAAAGAGGTCTTTGACGCAGAAGCAGAAGCAGCTCTGGCTGGTATTAAGCAGCTATGAAGTTTCATACCGCTCGCTTTGCTACTAATTTATGGGTCTGTCTAGACAATTTGGAGGGGGCCATACGCCTTCTTTTACTGCACGCTGGCCCATCACAATAAACCTTCGAAGCCTTCCGAAAACTTGCCTCAATCTGGCTTCTCCGAAAAACTTCCCTATACAAACAATGGTGCAGTCTAGATCTGCTGGGTTCCAGGACTTACAGCTATTCCAGAAAATGAGGCAGATGACCTGGCTGCTAAGGAGCTGCCTCAGGCCCTTCTCTTTTTACAAGCACTCCTACGCCTCGTTATGTCGGCAAGCTAAAGCCACTGCCTTGTCTGCTTTACAAAAGCACTGGTTATCCACAGCACCACAATCCTACCAGGACCTTTAGATCACCTCCTCCCCACTACACCCGGACTAATTACACCTCCCATGCGCCCTCCTTGGGCGTATACTCGCAGCCCGTTCCGGACATGGTGATTTCGCAAACTATCACGAACGTCTTAAACATGAAGATGCAACCTTCTCTGCCGATGCAGCGTAAGAAAGTCTCCAGTCCACTCCTTCTGCTGGATAGCAAAAAGACGGGTGCCCCGACCCACAGGACTCTCTCCGAGATCATTCCCTTCCTACTAAAACTAAAAAAGGCGCGTCCAAGCTTGCTGCCTGGCTATCAGAAACTCGTTTCTTTGAGGATATCTGCCCCCGACGTCCACTGCCTTAGCCAAGGCTAAGCTGACCGACTTCTTTCAACCTTTAAATCTTCTTTTCCTATTTTTTGTGTTACTGGATAAAAAAAAAAAAAAAAAAAAAAGAGAGACGGAGGTAGTATGACGGGTCATGAGGATATGATGGACCCTTGCAGCTGGCAACAACACCTAATCTGTTCAGCAGTTCATACCACAGACCACGGCAGCTAGGTGAACACGCCAAAGAGTCTATTCCATGTATTATAAATCTAGTATATAGTTGATGACACCCAGGGCTTAACCCTGGTGGCCTTTGTCCTAATAATATAATGTGGTTTAGCTAGTGACAATGATTGTCTATGGGAGGGTTTAGAACTGTCTTGGAGCTTAATTCGCTAGGATAACTAAAAAAAATATAATAGGTAAAATAGGGCAGGCTTCCGAAAATATGCCGATTACTCAGACTTATTGCTAACTATACAACATATTTCTAGGTTTTGTTTTCGTGGTTGGCCTTCATAATATATTGTCGGAAACATATAATCTTGGCTTTGAACGCGTTCAGTCCATCCTATGCACCAGATAACGTATCCATAGCGATATCTTTGCATCTAATCCCAGTAGTTGAGAGAACATCGTAATTTCTATTGATCACTTGAAAAGCGAGTTTCCATTCACCCCAGTGATGATTTTCTCGTAGAATAGATGTGGGAACGAGGCGTGGGAGGTTAAGTCTTTGAACTCATCGGATAGACACGCGAGTACCGCATCTTTATAGGCTGGGCCCATGTAAAGTGACAATTCACGGCTGGCAATGTGGATGAAAATCTTCTGGATCCCTCTGGAGTTTGGTTTTACTCCGGGCTTCAACATTTTACCGGCTTCTTCATAGATCACCAGAGCGGACTGCCATAACCCAATCTCCAGAAGTACCACCCCAAGAGCGTAAATATCATGCAATTTAGAGAAGCAGGTCTTGGGCGGCCCCTGGCGGTCTGGGTGCCGATAGAGATTCTTCTCTGTATCTGCATCATATGTAAAATTCGTCTCGGCGGTTTCCGGGCGCGAAAATTCGAAGTTGGCGAGGTACGGCAGGCTGGCACAGACCTCTCCCTTGTGGGTGTCGTGGAAGAAGAGAATCGAATGGCTCCTGATGCTCTTGTGAACCCACCCATCCGCGTGGAAGGTGCCCACGGTCCTTGCAAGTATTTCAGCTATCTTGAATCGCTCTGGAAGACTCAACCGGGACGTTCTATTGCCCTGAAGCAGCAAAGTATTCAGTGTCATTGGGGCTTCATGCACAACGTTTTGGGGGAAGTCAAAGATGAAGACGAATCGATTGTATTTCTCCTGGTATACGTAACCCTTCGGTCGTAGCGTCTGAAGATCGTTACTTCCGGCCAAGGAAAGAAGGTTGGCCAACTGTTGAACGCGGCGTTTCTGTTCCCCTATCACAGAGGGATCCTTCGTGGGCTCAAACTCCTTGTATTCCACCAGTACTTTCTCCTTCCCATGTGTGTGCCAACGTGACCGTGATATTTGCCCCAGCACAGGGGCTAGTGTACCCTCCGACGCCTCAATCTGCAGATTCCCCAGATCATAATTGTCCGCATTCACAGTAGGACTAGCGATCAATTGCTGTAATCGTGCATGGGACGCAAGGCCCAGCTGATCACTGTCGTCGTGATTGATCAGTCTTTGGAACGTCCCCACTTCGTGGGCGTTGTTTTGGATTTGAAGTTCAACAAGCATTAAAGGGAGCATCTCCTTTAGCTTGAGGAGATCCTGCTGGAACTTGAGAACGATCTTCTCGAGCCGGCGGCGTTCCAAAATCGCCCAGCGCCACGAGCTTACCATACGATCGACCGTTTGGACCTGGGGCCACCACGACAGTCTGAATCCCGTCCCTGCGGTGAAGCCGCTGGGATTTTTAGTGTGACTTTTGGGGTCTACTGGTAGCGGCAAATTGAAGTTCAGTATTTTCGTGCTGGACATGGTCGGGTGTAGGAAGGGAGAATGTAGCTTGTATTCAGGATCTGTGTCGCCGGCGATCTTGCTGTAATCTCCGCAGGCTTGTCGCAGTTCTTCGAGAATATCATGAACATGGTCAATCCATTCCTTTTTCATTGTCACCATCGCTGATTAGAAACGAGCTGAACCTGGGAGAAGAGTGGGTTTACGAACCGATTCAAAAATACACTCTCCTAGTATGTCTTTGGCCTTGAATAGTAGGACACCTAGAGTCTTCACAAAGAGGACCCCGTATTCAAAATCCCGAAATAGAGTCTGCTTCTGGATGTCGGCATGATTCTGATCGTGGATCGTCCTGTGTATAAAACGTGCTAGAAGATAGACCTCCTTACACGAAGTAAAGACAGCCAACGCAAGGCCGGCTGGCTCCATTGGGGCAACTGTATCCCCGTCTCCTCAGGCGTTTGACCGGGTGTGATGAATGGCGCTAGGATGCTCAAGACGAGGTCCTAGGGCACTATAGCGTTTCTCCGCTGGGCGCACTTTTGGGATGAACCCTGAGATGTTTCTCCGGGACTGATCCAGCGCTGGATTCTGAGGAGGGGTTGGCACGATCCCATGTATGTGACATATCTCATCTGTGGCGCGACGGTGTCCAATGGGCTGCGAGTGGCTTGGAGTCCAATGGAGAGAGGATTGGTTTAGAGGTCGTCGTGATTGGGCATCGCCGGCAGGGATATTCCACCCTCCAGTGCGAGAGTAGCTTCTCTACTTGCTAATCTGCATGAGTGATCTTGGCTGACTAGGGTGTTCAGCCTGGTACGGAGAGGAATCATCCCCGCTTGAGGCTGAGCGAGGCTGACGCGCTTTCATGCAGCGCTTGGCGTCCTATCTTCCGCCGTCTCAGTCCTCAACAGAGCACGAGAGGAGGTGAGTTCCCGACGGCCAGACACCGTCAATTGAGTGTGGCGACTCTGCTCGTAGCCAGATATGCGATGGATGTCTACCAGGAGCTCCAAGGATCTACAATAGTACCAGGGTGTCTTCCCCCACCCTCGATCTCGATTGTCCCGGCGCTATCTCCGAACCCTGCAGTTTCGCAGCGGACGATACCGCGCAAATCAATTTCATCCATCGGAGCCCTTTTCGGGGGATCGATGACATTTGACTACTTTGGGGCGCGGAAGAGCAAGCGTTTCAATAGTTTTAGCGAGATAGAACGAATTCGAAATGAAAGGCCAACCGCTCTACTCTCTTCGCTCATCAAAACACTGAAGGCAAACCACGTCCCTGGTCCAATTCTAGTTCGGGCCGAGTCTGAATTTACTCTAACCTTAGGAAGTGGAGCACAATTTGAGGTGGCGGGCATCGCCCCTGTCCTTGTCAGTACACTCACCAGGGAAGGGCTGGAGAAAGTCGGAGAGAGCCTCGAAGTCCTCGCGATCAAGAAGCCAAAGCTTGCAAGCTGTTTGCTTACCCCGTCGGCAGACAAATCGCTTGACCATCAGGTCCGGGCAATCCACCGGGAAATCAGCGCGTTATCTCATAAAGGGTTCGAGGAACATCCGAACATTGTGAGGCTGCTGGGCTGGGGCCTCTGTCTGGACACCCTCGAGAACGACTTCACTGATGCACCGATTATCCCCTTGCTCATACTGGAACGGGCAGAGTACAATTTGCAGCAGTTCCTTTTTCACCGTAGAGGCGAAATCCTTCCGTTGAACTCTGATCGACGCTATGAATTATGTCGAGATATTTGTCATGGAATTGGGGAGGGACTGGGCGTGCTGCACGCTGAAGGCATCGCGCACGGAGACCTGAAGCTGGAAAACATCTTGCTGTTTGATACCCCAGCCGGATGGTTGCCCAAGCTCTGTGATTTTGGTCTATCAACCGAGCTCGGTGACATGAGCCTGAATGTACGCTACTATGGAACACATGGATGGCGCGCACCGGAGGTTCTGAAGCAGGACCGAAAGCCCATACGCGTTCAATCCCTCAAGATGTGCGACATTTTCGCCTACGGGTTGGTGGTTCGATGTGTCTTCACGATCCTCCCAAGTGCGCCACTCTCGGCTGAGGATGAAAATGGAGCTTCAAATATCTTTCTTCTATCTGCCAGAGCTGTCCACCACAATGCGAAAGGGTGGCTTCCCATGGATAGACTCGCGCTGGTCCTAATTTGTCTACACAAGTCACTGCAAAAGCGGCCATATCTCCGTAGCCACAAGCCCTGGCAGGTATTTGATAGAACATATGCGGATGGACGCTTACGTCGGATGGTGGAGACAAGTGTAGCTTCGAAATGCCTTCGGATAGGCCTCCATTGGCTAGGAAAGGTTAAAAAAGCTCTCTGGAGGAATTTCCTTGGTCTCTATCATCGAACGAAGATGATTGCTGGCTACCTCTGGGTCGTGCTGACAGGGAGATTATTTCAAGTCATCGCGGTAGCCTGCGATCGACCCAAGCAGGTACTTTCGAACCTGGCAAGACGCATAGATCTCCTTCTTCTCCCCCACGTGCGTCAGGAGCGGCAAATAGTATATCTGTCTGTTCTGCATCAATATAGGCAAATACTAAACTTACCGTCCGATCCGGATTCTATCAATTCTTTCATCCACCCCGATGGACGCTGTCTCCCGTTGGAAACCTTCTATGACGACCTGCTTCACACATCGGCTCGATGTCGCTCGTTCTCCCGCCTACTGGACCACGGTGACTGGGGCGTTGATCCTCAAGCCATGTATCGACTGTACGCTCTTGCCCGGCTTCGCAGTCGAATGCAGGGGTGCTGTTGGGCGCGTGTTGCAAACGCTCAAGCGCCTTACATCACAATCCTAGAAGATGTCATACGGGGACCGCACGAATTACGTACGCTCGCCTGGCTCGCTAGAGGTGAGGTCGGCCTTCGTGAACTCGGTGAACTAAAACATAAGGAGGATTCAGGTCAACAGCCATGGCGGTGTCTATATAGTGGACTGCATGATGGGGGATGTGAGTTTCAATCGGTGGAGGATCACCGAGGGTCTCTGCAGCCAGCTACTGAATCATCTTGGGTGTGCAGCCATTCAAGGCTCAATCATACCGGATGCTCTTATGTGAAATCTAGCAGGTGTAACCGTAAAACAAGGCATTCACAGTATCAGCACTTTGCCCACCGGCTCACGGTTCAGGAGAGAATTGACCGATTCCTTCTACTGCTGCAGATGGGTTATTCATTCGGTCAACGACCGTGTGCCACGGAACCAACTATCTTCTGTAAATTCTTGCAAGCCTTCAAACACCAAACCGCTAATGAGACGATGGACTGGTCTACTGTCATGTTCCGGCCAAAACCACAGCCCACGAAGGCACTGCTAGAGATGATCCGATGCTTTTATGGGATTGCTCGGTCGGAGAGTACCAGTGATGAGGCTCGGTATTTTCTAACGGGGCAGCTCCCGGAGCATGCTGATATCAGCCAAGGAACAGAATTCTCGACTACCGCTCTCCACGAAGCTGTTCGAGCGTGTTACTACCCGGCTGTAGAAGCTCTCCTACGGTCTAGGTTTGTGACGAACGCGCGGGACCGAAACAACAAGACTGCCTTCCAAATCGCTCTCGAGTGTCGCCAGCAGAATCTAGCTGACGACGATTGGCTTCAAATAGAGCGGATCATCGCTCTACTGCAACAGAATCAGCCAATAAACCAGCCACTTACCTTTGCGCGACCTCCGCACCTCAAGTTTGGCTTGCCCCTTGGATGGCGGCAACTCTATTACAGCCCCCAATCCACTATATACCAGGAAGCGTATACATGCTCCATCACACTACGCCGTCCTCGGTTCGGACTCTTCGATGACAGGAGGCTCGCTCTGGGACACCGACAGCTGGCAGTCCAGGGCCAGACCTACTATTTAGACCTTGTTCACTTCCTGACTGCCGATATGGCCGATAACGAGCTTAATGAGGACTATGGATCACCAAAGTTCCTGGATCGCTGGTTTACCACCGACGTGGCACAGGCGAAGACCTTGGTGCTCATGAGATATAGGCCCCGTATCTCTTGGCTTTTACCTACCACCTCTCCCTTCTCGTATCTCACTAAGCTCGTTGCTCGGCTAAAGCGTTATATCCGGTCGAACCCGAGCCCCATTCCTCCTGAACGGAAGATGGCTACTTCCCACGGAACTTGTACAGATTCCTTCTTCTCAGAGCTCACAAAAAATATCATCCAGACATCAAGGCTGGGCCTGACAGGTGCTTGGCCGCAGTACTCTGTTCCGATGCCCCAGAGCCCGGACTCGATCGATCATAACAGTATGGTATACCCACACCGGCCGGACCAAGAACTACAGAGCGCCGATAATTTGCACGCCGAGCATAACCATGGTGCGTTCGTGTTATCCGACTTGGAATGGCGCACCGTTCCAGCCACCAGTCTCTCGAGGCACGCCTCTCACGAGGGTAACTCCGTGTCACAGACTAGCGACAATCTAGCAGCTGATGAAGACGACGAGATTCTTATCTCATTTTCACGTCTGTTTGGTGGGAGAAAGCGTCCAAAGCCTGGCGGAAGACGGCGTCAAGAGAAGTCTAGGATGAATCTACATGCAATCCGCGCCGGCCCAGCACCACAGGAAGACATAGTGGCCTGGTATCCTGGGATGGCTCAGAAGGGAGCTGTACTTGTACCAGTTTGCCAGGAGATAGCTGTACACCTGATTAGTCCATGTGGTGAGCCTTGAGCCATAATGCGTAAAGAACTCAGGGTCGGGGTCGGGGTCGATTTCTCTGCTTGTTCATTGGCCAGTCAGTCCCACTCGACAGTCCCCACGCTCCCGCGCCAGCAATTCCCACAGCCACCTTCATTGTTTTCTGTGATTCTATGCTGAGCTTCTTCAACCCAAGCTTTGTTTATCCGATCTGTTTAATTGTGGTTACAGTTTTGCTTGTTTCTGCTTACAAAGCCCTATTCATTTCCCCGCGTAACCTCCTTCCCCTGCGTCTCATTAACACGAATGGACCACAAGTGAGATATAGAGAACTAGGCCAGGGTAATAAACAACGCAGCAATATCAATGAACACGTTGTCAGAGGTATCTACTCTGCAGAGTAGAAGATCTGTCAACGAGGTAAGGATACGTAGGCTAAAGGAGAAAGAAAGATCAAAGGCAGGCAGTAGATACTATTCAGAGGTATTACAGACGTTGGTTCAGATTGTCTGAAGGTAGAAACTGGGACTGCTAAAACAAAGAAGGCCAGGGACGGAGGATAATTAGTATCACGTGATATGGTATTATGGTCGGGTATATGATCTGGACTACTGTGTACGGTATATGGCATATACCATGGTATAGAGAACGGTATAAGACTAAGGAATGTATAAGAACGTATTTATATACTTAGTTGAGTTCTTTCTCATCTACACAAATTGTTACTGCAGAGTTATCTTTAGTATCAAGACTAGGTTCAACTCGTTCGTACTCTCCTAACCAGTCCGAATACCCAGGCGTAACATCAGGCTCACGGTCTAGGTCAATTCTATAGATATATAAGCAGAAGGTATTAAGAAGTTCCCTCACACTAGTATAATTAAGTTAATCTGGAATAGCAACTCGACGTTAGAGGTGGAATACTGAATACGCGATATCAGGTAGGCTGACCGTTGGGAAGGGATGGGACGGGAAATTGGTCAGCCTGGATATATATCGTTTACTGCTAATAAAGTGGACCTCGATTGTAAGTTTAGAGGCTTTATGATATTCTATAGCCTCAATTAATTAAAGGGGTGAGCTTGACTCTATAAGTTTTAGTTAACCTGCCGTTCGAAGTGTAGTCAGCTTGGCGGGCAGCTTAGCTGAGTGATCACGGATTTGCTCCAGAATTGATCCCGGATTGCTCTGGCGCACTGGCTCAATGTTTAGGGAAGCAATCACTGTGCAAAAAGCGGCCCTGAGCTAGACCAATTCCGGAATGGGAAAGTCGCAAAGATTCCGCTGGAAAACAGTTCGCTAGTGATTTATAACAGGAATGTTAAAGGCACATTAGCACCAGGATTGGAACTAATTTTCCCACATTGCTAAAAAAAACTCACCTTCCTGAATCAGGATCTTTCCGCTCGTGTTCGTATCTATGCTCATCATAATTCCTTACTCGAGCCAATGGGAATGATTGGCAAATGGATCCGTCCGTGAGTCATATCAACTACAGCACCATTGGCTGGAAACACCGACATGCAGAATTATAAGTACATATACCATAAACGAATATCGGAGATCCTGACCATATGCATTCTCAAATCCTAGAAAGTACAGCATACGTCCTTCATCCATATCTACAATACTAATACATTGAAATATATATGATTGCCAATGAACAACCTCAAGGAAACTCACAAATAAAATGCCTGTACACATTGAACCACTTACTGAAGCCGATGTCCCACGAATGGTTGACATCCAGCACATGGCTATGGCAGCCAGTGCCTTCTTTCGCAGCACTGGAGACGTACCGAACATAGACGGAACCCCGGAAGAAGTATCCGCGTCGCCTTGCAGGACGAATAAGATTTCTCGAGTCTTGGACGGCTGGGAGAAGGATTCTACGTGTCACTTTTTGAAGGCTGTGGATGATGCCTCCGGTGAGATGATAGCGTTTGCCAGATGGCACGTCTATCACGGTGAAGAAGGGCTGAAAGAATGGCGGGCTTCCGTGGAGACGAATGAGGGGATGAGGATTCCGATAGGCGCAAGTGAGGAAGGCTTTCGGTTTTGCAAGGGCAAGCTGCTGGAAAAACGCAGAGAGTTCTTTGGAGAGGAGGGGAGAGAGCATTGTTGTAAGTTTCGTGCATTATTGGTTCGAGCAGTGTTTTGATGACGCTCCAACCTAGTTCTGGCGCTGCTCGCTACTGATCCTAGTTTTGAACGCCGGGGTGCAGCCTCCCTTCTGACACAATGGGGTTGTGATTTTGCCGATAAACTTGGAATTGAGTGTTATGTTGAATCCTCGACAAAGGGATACGCGGTGTACGAGAGAAAGGGGTTCCAAGAGGTGTCTTCCGTGTATGATGAGAATATAATACACTTCGATGCTAGCAGATTCACAGGGAGGGGTGGGAGCGATGGTGACTGGGTAAATTTAGTATGCATGATCCGGAAACCGCGGAAAATTGGTGACAGCTCTCATGTATGAAACATAATCTCTGGATAACACAGTTGATATGTCTTGATATCAATTTGTTACAATATCGAGGTGTTTTACATGCAGTGATGGAGTCTTTCTAGATGCGACTAAATACGCGTCTAATTATGTGGTGTACATTGCACGACAGACTCTAAAAGTTAAGCTCATACCTGGTCCAGATATTCTTTCCATAGCGGTAAAAAAATCACGGGCACGAAGAGTGTATCAAGAGCGATGAACGCAGGGAAGCAGTTGCCACAACCAAGGCCATATCCATGGAGTATGTTTGTTGGCCGTCTATCCGTACGGAAAGCTCCAACGGGAATCAAGATGCTCTCGACGATTATAGGAGGCAACCGAAATTCAAGGTTCGATCCCCCGGTACTTCTCGCGGACAGCCGATTTCGGATTTTATCGGACACGGCGCCAAATATCACCGTGTCAGTCTGAGCACCGACTTCCGTTCAGGTATGTGAGCCCGGTTGTGCCTTGGGCAAAATTGATAGACCTCTATTGTGTATCGCAGTGATGGTCGTGAAGAGCGCCTCTAGGTTAGTGGGCGAATCAAATTAAGGATAATTAGTAACATAGGTGTGGACTACGTGTGATGGTGCATAAATAACTGATTGTGGCACGAAGATATACAGCATCTCCACATTTTATGTAGCCAGGATGGCAGGACTCCCCGGGGCTTGGAGTGCACTTCCTTCTTACCTTAGTACTTTGTGGGCCATCCAACGGTAGAAAATGTGATTCTATCAACACCGCCGGTGTCCTTTGGAAGAGTGACTTGTGCACATGTCCACCAACCTATTAGCACATATTTGTTAGATTCACAGTACTACTGGATGCATGATCAGTACAAGCTCCCCGACTCCCAAAAGGAAGCGTGATTATATGTATTCGGTGTGGACTAACGTTAATACATAAATCCTAGCAGACCAGCTAGATGCTGCTTAAGCTAAGAGCATCTCATACGCTGACCGAATTTTGTCGTGGATGTTTTCTATGGATATTGATGCTTGTAGTATCGGCCTGTGTCCTCGAGAATTTTTTACCGTCAAGGAAAGACTAACTCAGTTCTTCAATGTTTAGTACTACCTCCTCTACACAGTGTACAGCCTTACCCTCCACCTCCTGCGAAGTATACTGAGCCGAAAATTGCAGCTGTGACTCGTATGCTGCACTCCTATCACATTCGCTCTGGCACGGTAGTCTAGTGAGGCGCACGAAAAATACTGGCCGGTAGTGCGAATAGCTCCTGACTGGGTTCTCTTCACCTCAAGTCAGGCATGGAATGATATATATGGCTTTCAGCACGGTGAACCTGAAATAAGCAAAGACACATCACTCTATAAAACCTCCAAAACACCCCACACGATCATTACGGCGGATCATGATCCTCACCGTCTGTATCGACGTCCACTGTCGAAAGGATTCTCGGAGACTGCCTTAAGAGAGCAGGAGCCCGTTATATAAAGGAACATTGACCTATTGACCAGGAAGCTTGATGAGGAAACAGAAAAGGGCATTGCACTGGAGACGACGTCGTGGTATAAATTAAGTCATCTGTCTACAGTTGCATGCCGTTGCTCAACGCCATGGCCAAAACAATAATGCCTTCCATGTCTTAGTTCTTCACGTTTAATCTGATCGGCGAACTTGCATTTGGAGAATCATTCGGCTGCCTTGAGTGCTCATGCTCTGCTCGTGGGTAACTATGAAATTTCAGGTTATGGGCTTCACTCATCAGCGTCTTGATAAGATTTGGTCCAAAGTTCTATGAAGAGAGAGTCATAACCAATAACCAGCTTACACACGAGAAGGTATATATATATGGTCCAGCGCCGAATGGAAAAAAATCTGGTTATAACGACCTGAGCTTAGATCTATTTAATCCCAAGTATAACCTTCAAAGGTATCAAATCAACGGCAACTGCTCAACCCACATTATAGCCGGCAGTGAAACAACCACCGCGGCTCTTAGTGCTACTCCATACTATCTGATGCAGAGCCCTGAAGCGAAGGACAACGTTATCCAAGAGGTTCGAAACCGCTTCTCAGGTGTAGACGAAACTAACGCCATCGGCACCGATCAGCTCAAGTACCTACCGACCTGCTTCAGTGAAGCTGTGCGAAAGTTCCCTCCTGCCCCATCCGTGTTTTCTGGCCGTGTTTCAAAGCTCGGGGCCAATATTACAGGAAAACTGATGCCTGAGGCACACGGTGGGTATGTGTCGTTTCGCCACGAGCAACTCCAGCATCAACTTCAAGGACCCTCAGAAATTTATTCCCAAGCGTTGCTAAGGTGATTCCAAGCACGAAGATGATGATTGCCACGCAATGCAAGGTATTCACTATCGGGCCTTGGAACTGCCTGGGACAGAACCTTGCAAAATTGGAGATACGTCTTTTACTATTTCGTTTCATACCGGAGTTTAACTGGGAGCTCGTGGCTAGCTCTGTGATTTGGGGTAAAAAACACCTGCATACCTAGGGTTTGAAGCCACTGAGAATCCGTCTTTCACCTGTTGTCCGCTAAGTTGCTGGTAGCGCGAAAAGAATTGCTTTTCGGATTGGATTGTTATGAGTTTATTGTCATAAATTGGTGGAACGTCCTCAATTAGCAAACGATCGAAGGATAGGCCTTCTATTGATGAAAGCCGAACTGGTTTCCCTATATTGCTCAAGATTGTAGCATCAACTTGGTAGCTGATACTCTCTGTTTCTCTTCCTTTACCTTTTATTTTCTACGTTATTCCTCCGGTTTAGCCGTTAACCGTTAACACCATTGGATACATTATTCCAAGGGGAACCTTAACAAGAGTGTTAGCCCTCTGAAAACCTGCGTGGTATGGGCAACAAGCTAGAATCACACAATGATTTGCCTAGCAATCTCAAACCTTGTAAAGAGTAGTATGAAGGGCGATACTCAGACAAACATGAGAGATTAGAATCAGAAAGTGCAGGGTCAGTGACGATACCTGGACTGTATAATGAGAAATAATTGCCTCCCACGTACCTCTACTACAATAATCTTTAACTTTAGGAGCTGATATTTCACCTAGGGATCGACATACCTGCTACAATTCGAAGCGTCGTTTTTCTGTATCAATCCCGCTTGAGTGGACGACATAGATCCGCAACTGCGGGTTCTGTTGGAGGCATTGTACATGCAAAGCATTGGATGCTGCGGGTTACACCCTTGAACAAATGCAAGGCTCCCCTACCTCGGTCTTCGTGGGACTTATGACTTTAGACTACTACGGTATTTAAACCCGCAATCTAAGTATAATTGGCATGCCACTGGCATAGCACAAGCAAATTGTCAAATCGATTATCTGACTATTTAGATCCCAAGGGCTCGTCAATGACTATAAAAACCGTCTGTTCTACTTCGATCGTTGCATTAGACCAGGCCGTCCAGGGATCGAGGAACAACTCAGCGAAGACAGCAAATGTAGCGGGAGTCGGCCTCAGCTAAGACGCAACGACATATTTGAGCGAATCAAAGCTTCGCATGCTATCAATATCAATTACATCCGGATGTGTAGTGGATGGCTATGAACGTGGTGAAGGGTGTGCCTCTGACTCAAGAGTTACGTTTATGTGATGTCTTTTTTTTTTCCTTATTTAGGTGAGAGTACGGAGTAGAGGGGGAAGAATCTCATTGTGTACTTTGATAGCTAGGTTACCCCAGTCGGAATTCGTTCTTCAATGGGCTTTCTCTTTCTCTCTTCTACATTAGATTTAAGCCTTTATCCATGCTTGTACTCCAGTCTTCCGGTACCGTGACCCGGGAAAGAGCTGCCCCATGAGGCAGGAGCACGACCTTCCCTGATTCGGCTAGATCGGCAGGGGGAACATGGATCAAGCCTCACATGACTGAGCCTGAATCCGGTTTAAGGCTAGGGCTAGGGCACGGATTGCATCATCTGATGCGGCTAATATGACGTCAGGTGCTCCAACAAACCCTGACTTCTATACGATCACCTTCGATAACCGACGGTGGCCATACCTTGGGAAGAACGTCGGATAAATCGAGCATGAAAAGAAGGAGCTATGACTTAGAGAAAAACGGTAAGCTGATTCTGCAATGAGAGATTTTATCCCTCACCGCGTGATGATCTCGAAACGACGGGTGACCAGTGAATCTTTCTCCGTCGCCTTCTAGACCGGCCCGGTTACCAAAAAGTTACCTAATGGAAATGAAGAAATTTCTTGGGGAGAAATCACGTTTCGATCACGTCAGTGCCATTGGTATGGAAGATCTATAAATATCAGCACGCAAAGAATTGCGTGGTTGTCGCTATTTATGACAACCTTGAAAGAATGTTAGTAGAAGATCTGTTGGTAGGAGTCGAGCGGTAGATGGCTGGAATTGAATTTGGTGCCTGAGTCGATCAGAAAACGACGGACTGGACATCCTCCATCTATGAGAGAATTTCTTTTTCCTAATTTATGATCGACAGGGAACGTCCTCCGCATTTCCCCCCCGCATTTCCATTAGGTAAATGCCGAGAAGGCCTCCGCCGTGACTGGTCCAGGGCTGCGGATCCACTGACGTTGTCAAGCTTCGTTTTCTTGTCTCAATTGTTGGGGCCGGGTTCATTCAATGTCATTCAGCCGGCACGATGAACCCCATGCCTGAATCATATATAATGCCCCTGCAACCCATTGACATTACAAAATCGTTTCATCATACCTTCCCCCCCCCCCCCTTATCAGATCAATCTAATCATCTGCCAATGTGCTGCCGGCAGTCATGGCGCTTGAATCCCTCCCGACAGAGCTCCGCATCCTCATCCTCCAACAGCTCCCTGATATCCAATCCCTCAAGTCCCTCGTCCATGCTTCTCCCGTCTATTACAACACATATGCGGCCTCGAAAAAGAGCTTACTCCATGAGATCCTCCAACGACAGTATGGCCTCGTAGACTTAGCGGAGCCAATGGCCGCCATTCGCTCCCATGGCCTTCACGCCGATATACCAGCCAACAAGTACGACATTGTCAGCATCCTAGACCGTCGCCGTCGTCACGACGAGTTACCGATATCCGAAAATACTCCGGCAAACATGGAGGAGTGTTTCCAGCTCTCCCAGCTCTACCGCCAACACGAGTACCTCCTCAACCTCTACTGCTCCCAAGCCTCCTGCCCACCCGGCGTGTCGCAAGAGACATGGGAACAAAATCGTCCTACAAATCCCTCCAAGATCGAAAGAGCCCGCATCCTCCGCGCCCTCTGCCGTCTCCAAACCTACTGTAATATCTTCGGCGCCCGCGAATGGAGCGAGCAGCACCATGTTACCGCCGAGCCCTACTCCCCCTCGCAATCCCGCTTCTTCAAGCGCCGATCCTCCACCTGGTACCGGAACTTCGGCCTGCACGAGATGTGGAGCCTAATCTTCGGGACCATGCCACCGTGGGAAGTCGAAGAATTCGGCTGTCTCTGGGTCTTCCTCCAACAGCAATACACGGAGATCTTCTCCGAGATCGCCCAGGAGTTCCCGCGGAACAGTCACGAATGGCAAGCGCTGCGACCCACGGTCGACGGCATGGAACTGTTCCCCAGCGTCGATGGCGATGGTAAGCTAGCTCTCCTCATTTTCTTCCAACCAACATAATCCGTAAACTAACAATATGGTAACAGGCAGCGACGGCAACGACTACAACGACTACCGCAACCACCTCGTCTCTCTGGGCCCATCCTTCCTCTACAAAGTCCTCAACCAACCCTCCTACGAGGCCCGTCGCAACCTCATTGCCTGCAACGCCGTCTCCTCCAAATCATCCTTCATGATCCTGGTCCAGGTTTCCCGCGACCCCCCATCTCTCCTCCACCCAGCCGACAAGTACGAAACCGACGACATCGCCCGCACCCTCCCCAGCATGCCTGCCATCGAACAACCAAACCACGGCTGGAAACACCATTGGTTTGGCTACCGGCCTATGCAAAGCGTGCGGGAAATCGTCCGAACGGAAGTTTCCCAAGAACCGTGGGTTGAGCGTACCATTGGGAATTCCGCCGGTTGGAAATCTGGATACGCAATCTGGGACGAGGAAAGATATACGACTGGTTATCGCATTTAAATACTCCCCAGTATTGATGTTCTCGAGAAAGAAAAAAGAAAGACAAAGAAAAAGAAGGAAAAATTAATGCATCATCCGTGAATCGAACACGGGCCTCATCGATGGCAACGATGAATTCTACCACTAGACCAATGATGCGACTGAGCTATTGGCTCTTGATGAAGAAAAATCTGTCTTAATTGCATTTGTGGTGTTTTTGGATTTCTGGGATTGCATACTGGTTTGGAAGCGTTGCATTTTTATATCACAACCTGATAAAAAGTTGTTGGTTTTTTTTTTTTGCATGGGGGATTTGCGAACGGTCTGGGAATATGGTATTGATGTGTGAAAACTCGTACGTAGTATATTAAAGGTAGAGATAAGAATGTATCTCGTGTTGAGGAGCTGTGATAATAATACCTATATGGCATGGTAGGAGGATGATAATAACCATTTTTCGATAACAATGGAAGGAAGAGAACAACGTGAAAGAATGAAATAAAAATTCCCGTTTTCTACGAGTTTACCAAGAGAGTGAGTGTTATCTACTTACGTTATAACTACACTATCAATGTACAAGTCTCGCATCCCGATTGGATCCAATCGCACTAGCATCCACTGAGAACTAAATAACCGGGTTATAGAGAATAATGGTTCTTGCATGACAAGTCTCCAAAGTGGGACTTTAGTTTCCCCTTGCGGTAGAAATATGTAATAGATAAGAAAATACTTCCGAGTACGTGCTCGTGGTATACCGATCGTCATCCGTACTTGGTTAATATAACTAAATACATGTACAAAAGCAAACGGCCCAATCACCGGAAGAACTGTGCCACACTCAAAGGAGCGTACATTGAAAATCATGAAGCTGCGATATGCCTGAAACGTTGAAGAATCAAGAGGCTCAGGATACGCCAATCGCCACTGTACGTCCGGCTTGAGTGAAATCCCTTTTGCTGCAATGTCAACACTTGGGTCGTAGAGTTCTGGATAGGTGCCGAAGAAGGCAGGATCGACCTTATAGTGTGATATTCCGCGGTCGACACTAAGCTTCTTGAAGACGGCCCGAGCAAATTCGGGAGATGAGAAAATAGCGGCGGCATCCGGAGCAGGAAAGACAGCGGAAGGATCCAGCTCACTCCCCGGGGTTGTTGAAGAGATATTTGCGGTCATATCGGTTACTCGGATATAGGCCGTTACGGCGGGAGCGCCTATGACCAGATCGGCCATATATTCCGACATAGCTGCTGACGGCATCGCAGAAGATAAACCAATCTGTGGGTTGGCTGCATAGAGCCGGGATGTCAGTCTCGGATCGAGGGCAATGGTATCCAGTCAATGACCTGGGGGTACTGCTGTTGCAACTGCATTTCTGTCAGTCGATATTGCTGATGGACCTTGTCTAAATTCGCTGTACATGGGTAGATCTGCCAGGCTGTCAAGTCGACGATGTGGTAGAATCGTGTCTTTGCATATCACGCCATGACGTCTGGCCGCGTTATGCTGTTAAACAGGGGCAACGTCATGAGGACTTGTTGGTAGAGACTGCGACGTCATAGCATTATTAGCACAATGTCCCAAGTATACTCCCTACCGTGCCACCCACGGCTGTGGAGAAGGTTCAAACAACGGCCTGATAAGATCCAATTTGCTTCGCATAAAATTCTGCAGCACTTGAATGTGATCCGAGAATGGAAAATTAGATTCCGTCCAGACCTTGCCGAGTGTAATGCTGGCTTGTTGGCTGGGAAAAAAAAAAGCATTCGGATATGGCTCTAGGCCCATTTGATACTCAAAAGACCAAACAACATTCGGCAACTGTTGATTAAAACCATTTGTATAGGACGGTATACTTCCCAGACGAAGGGTATTAAGAGAGTCATTAGTGAGCTCGGTCTGTGAATTATCACATCCCGGCAAGCTTGAATGGGAAGGCCGAGTCATGATGTTTACCGGGTCACCTGGACATGATGATTAGTCGCGTATAGTGGCAGTGTCAGCAGTAGTAGGAGCTGATGTGTTTAGTGCAAAGAAACAATTAACAGCGATGCCCACACCATGGTCCCCATCGGTTTCATCAGGGAAAGAAGGTGAGTCAGTCACTTTCTTTATTCCCTCAGATTTGGCCTTTGTAGAGTCGCCAAGCACCGATGATACTGAGCCAGACAAACTTTGCATGGTGCTGATCATCCTGGAAAGCTTCGACTGGATATCAATCAGCTGTCGCCGAAGACGTGCGTTTTACTCCTGCTGTGCATGGATCGTTTCATTCTGTGGCCGACTTTCCGAGTCAGCACGATCCCGAAGACTTCTCAAGTACTCTGCCTGGCGGAGGCGAAATGCCCGCTGTGTTAGGCGATTTCGGAGTTTCCTACAGCTAGCGGATTCAGCGTGTAAAATAAGGTGTGGCTATACCAGAAGGTAGTAACATTTACATACCGTTTCTCCTGATCGTCATCCGCTTGAATATCCAACTTTCTTTTCGCGGGTAGACCTACTCGAACTCATAGCTCTCGAACCTTCTTTAGCACAACCTTGACAAGTGTAGTTAATTAATTGGCTTGCGCACAAATAATCGTAGAGGATCTTGTTGACTAGAACGGGTTGGGATCAAGTTTTAAACTATGGCACGTTTTTCTAGAGATTGAAATCGGGAATGATTCATTGATATTTGTAGGTATTGAAGGGCTTTTGTCTAAGAATAGGAGAAATTTAGCCCTATAACACCCGTGAATTAATGTCGACATCTAGCCACGCAATCCTCTTTGAACATATAACGTGTACATTATAAATCGCTAATATATGAACTTCGTCGTACAGGACCACTTTAAAACGATAAGAAAATAAACAGGATTCTACAGTCCGGCTACCCCCTCTACCGTAAGTGTGCCGGTCTTGGACACCAAATGCTCCTCAATAGCAACGTCTTTACCAGCTTCTTTACCATATCCAGACTCCTTCTTACCGCCGAATGGAGACTCGGCACACGAAGCATTTCCCTGAGCAACATGTTCGAGCTCGAGCAGTACATAAACAACCAAAGAACAGGACTTACCGGTATTCATGCCAATAATGCCAGCCTCAAGGCTTTCGAGAAACCTCTAAGTTCGGTCAGCGTTCTTGGTGAAGAAGTATGAGGCCAGACCCATAGATGTGCCGTTGGTCTGTTTGACAGCTTCATCCTCGATTTCAAATCTATACAAGCTAAACGGCGGTCCGAAGATCTCTTCCTGAGATGCCAGCATATCGGAGATCATATCGGAGATGATTGTAGGTTCGAAGAAATAGCCTTGAGGGCCATATGGTTGCTTTCCACTAAAGAGAAGAAGTTTGCCGCCTTTGCTGACTGCATCGGAAACATGCCGGTTCAGCTTCTCCATACCACGACTAGTCATAAGTAGACCCCATGGTAGTAGCAGAATTTTTTCCATGGCTGACCTTGAGTTTCTGAGTGGCCTCGAGCATCATCTTGGCAAACATATCGTAGACACCCGCTTGGACGTATACTCGATTGGGTTGGCATGAGTACAAGCTTGACCGGTGGTACGCAACTTGAGGATCATCAAGGCGGCTACTGCTTGATCCAAGTCCCCGTCATCGAAAATGATGAAGCGGCAGTTACCAACTAACTACAGGGTAACCTTCTTCAGTCTATCGCTGTAGTGCTTGGTAATGATACTTCCTACTCTGGTACTCCCCGTGAAAGTTACCTTTCCTACCAACGGATGCTTGTAGAGTCTCTCGCTGATAGCAGGAGTGTATTCATTGTCGGTCGTGTTGAGGACGCCAGGTGTTAACCCGACACGAAGGGCGAGATCAGCTAAGGACATCACGCTCAGGGGAGTCTCTGGGGTTAGCTTGACAACCATGCTGCACCCTGCAGCTAAGGCAGCCGCTACCTTGCGAATGATCGTGGCCACGGAAATTCCAAGGGGCTAGAGCAACACTCACGCGGATCGGCTGATTGATCACGAACGTGCGGCGGTTGGAGATAGAGGGCAACGCAATAGAACCGCGCAGTCGCTCAGCCTGGCCAGTAAACCCCCAGGCGAATTCTAGTGCATAGTCCACCTCGCCGATAGCTTCAGCCATGGGCTTTCCGGTCTCATATACCACGAATTTGGCAATATCCTCCCGAGCATTCGTGATCAGCTCGTACCACCTGAGGAGAAACTTGGCTCGTTCATGAGGATTGACATGGCGATAGCGTGTGGAAGCTGCATGCGACATCTTGACGTATTTGTCCACACCCTTTGGGCTGTTCGTGGGGCAAGACGCGAAGACATGTCTGGATCCCGGACCTGTGATGGTAAGGCGAGGTTTCCCTAGTTATCAAGCGAGCAGTAGAACTCAAATCAAGTGGCAGACTCACCTCAATGTCTACCCTTTTGCCGGACTGGGCCTCAACCCATTCATCATTCAGCAACGAGGCCTCATGGAGCAGGGACGGATCGCTTAACTGGATGACAATCAATGTAATGCCAACAAGCTAGTTGAAAGAAGAAGAATACGAACAGTGAATGGTAGAGGCGACAGGTTTGCGGTTTCAAGGGGATTTAGAAGCCTCTCTGTCATACTTATTTTACCTGTTCTTACCAGTGGAGAGTCATCTGCCATGGTCATCGGGACCGCCACTCTAGCAATTGGGGGTCTTGTTAATCAGTGTTTTGTTAGATTATTTGCCTATGCATATACCTCTCACGTAACTAGCTAGGTAGTTGTATAGTTATGAGGCACTTTATAGGCTCTTCTATAATACTGGTTCAGAACCTATCGCGCATAATTAAAACCTGAACCTCTTCCAACATGACATACAAGCTCTAATATAATAGCCTACTGACCTACACCTTCAATCCAACCCCGATACACTACCACATCTACAAGCATCGACTTAAAGAGCGAGGTACAATAGTTTACTCTTCATGGCTGCCTCTCCTGAGGAAGTTAGCATTGCCGTGATTGGCAAGTAACTACAATACCATGCTCCTCCCATAGACTCCCTTGTTCAACCCTACAGTATTCCTGCAATTAAAAGATAATAGAATACAGGTCCTGGCGGAGTTGGAGCATGCTTCCTCAAAGAGCTGTCATACTTAAGAAAGTAGGGCCCTTCCCCTTGTCTCCGCCTCCGCTACATCGCCATCGTCGACAAGGCCCTACACCACCCGGACTACTCAGAAATCGATATCAACACCGCCCTTGAGACACTCAAAGTCAAGGTCAGGAACCACCAACAATTCCCTGGATCATAGACTACCTCGCCGCCGCCCCCGTCCAAGGTAGCCCTCGTCGACAACACCGGTGCCAACAGCCTCGCAGAAGCCTACCCACTCTTCCTCCGTCGAGGAATCAGCATCATCACACCGAACAAGAAGGCCTTCTCCGGAAACTACCAGTTTTAGCAAGACATCTTCAGTTCAGCGTCATCCGGACGCTCTTACTTTTTCCATGAATCCTCCGTCGGCGCCGGCCAGCCGGTGATTTCAGCCCTGAAAGATCTCATCCCCCACCGGTGATGAGATCACTCGCATCCAAGGTGTCTTCAGCGGCACGATGTCCCTCCTCTTCAACTATTTCGCACCGACAGAAGGACAAGGTGAGGAGCGGTTGGTTGCAGTCCGGAAAGCCAAGCAGCTAGGATACACGGAACCTGATTCTCTCGACGATCTCAATGGCCTCGACGTCGCTCGCAAGCTCACCATTCCCGGCCGGCTGGCGGGTCCGCCTATCGAATTCCCGACTTCGTTCCCTGCGCAGAGCTTGATTCCCCAGGAGTTACAGAACATGTCCAGCGGCAACGAGTTCCTTGACCGTCTCCACGAGTTTGACGAGCAGATGGAGGCGCATAAGGCGGCGGCTGAAAGGGAGGGCAAGTATGTGCGCTTCGTTGGCGGCGTTGATATGGCTTCGAAGGAGGCCAAGGTGGGGATCGAGTCGCTTGATTGTTCGCATCCTATCGCGGCTCTGCCAGGAAGTGATAATATTATTAGCTGCTACACAAAGCGATAATCCCTTGATTGTTCAAGGCGCTGGGGCCGGTGGGAATGTGACTGCTATGGGTGTTTCTAGTGACTTGCTTAAAGTGCTGTCACATATTGCTTAGTTGATGATGGCTTTAATAAGATACGTTAATGGTTGTTCTTGTTACTTGTGCTTTTGCTGCTCTGACGAAGTACTCTCGGTCGGCATCCTTTTACTTGCATAGTTTCTTAAGACAAAATACCCATGGCTATGGGTGCACCATATAACCCTGCAACTTTCGGCGGAATGCAAACTGTGATCATCCCAAAGCCACTATTACTGAAGAGAAACTGCTATTTTATGTGCTGGTAATGAACCTTGAACCTCATTTCCCATATACGAGCACCGACCCCTTCATACTCTCACCATATTCAACCTAACCCTCAAGAACAGGCCGCATATCCCGCAAAAAGATCTCCACCGTCTTCGGCCCCACCCCCTTAAACTCCTGCAAATGCGCCGATAACTCCTCAGTAGTCGAGCATTGCTTTAGCAGGCCGCCAAACGTGTTGTACTGCTCCTTGATCGCAGACGACACCTCGAGTAACTTGGTCGCAGTCGAAAAGTCATACCGAACGTAATGACCCTCGTCGAGGATCTCAACCAGCCTATCCCATTCGGCCGCTAGAATGGCATCGGGAGAAGTAATGTCTTTCTGTACGAGTTCTAGGAAGGCTCGTTTTGCGACTTCCTGCTGGACCGGCTTGCCGAACAGAAGACAGGCGAGAAACCATTTGAAGTACTCTTTTTCGTCTTTGGACTCGAGATCAATACCAAGGTCTTTTGCTTGGACTTGTCTTTTGTGGGCCATGTTTTTGGTTCAGATTAACGGAGCGAAGAGGTTTTGTTTTGTCTGGGATACGAAGATGGATGGATGTTCAATGCGGGATGATATTATTATGAGGTCATGTGAGCATGTGGGGAAGAGAACAACGGTTTATAGTGAAGGCAATATGCGGAGTATATGCACGACAACAGATATGCTGGTGTAATTGTTTTGCCCTTACCTGTAGAGATCCGAGACCTGCGTGTACCTCGTGGGAGTAGGGTCACGTCTGGGTGGAAGACTCTAACGTATCTTTATCCTCAACCTGAATCTCCAGATTGCCGACCATCACCAAGCAATAGTTCCCAAATCTTCATTGCAAGCACGGACTGCCGAGAGCGCCGCAAGCTTTCAGTCTCAAGTTACGACCAGTTGCAAGCAAATGTAGAATAAAATCAGCAAGTTCGACCGGCATATAATGACCTCCAGTGACGGACTTTGATATACTCTTAGGTACGTTTGAGTCACAAAACATCATATTCGATGAAACTCTTCGCAAAACAGTGTTCATGTATTAAAATCCCAGATACGGTGGCGTGTTACATTGGTTGACTGTAGTAGGGCTGATAGCTTCATACATGGTTTGAACAAGTCGACTCGAGGCGAACGCGTCGGACTCATATTATATTCACGCTTTGACGCCACACATTCCAGATTACTCATAGCGGTCTTAATCAAGACCCTGAGAAAAAGGTTAAACTACATTCAACCACACTACTAAATGCACACCATCCTTCGCCAATATTAGATCCACGTAGAACCCTTACCTTAGAGACGGGTGGACACTTCAACGGCTCAAGCAGTCCATGTGCTGCATTGTTCCCGGGAATGGTTTGGCCAGCGCGTAGGGATTATTTTTTTTGAGGACTCCAGTCTAAGAATGGAGCTACAAAGGACCATCTGAGTAGAATATATATACGGGGAGTTATCCAAAATGATACTCTTTCCACGCCTAGTCAACTCGTTTGCGCTCACGTGAAGGGAATAGCTCTTGCTGATTCCATACGATAGAAGCCATAGATAATCTTATATATCATTTGCTTCGATCTATTCGAAAAACCGCACTTGAAGCCGAAATCTCAAAAGATTTGCAGACTAGAATAGGGTTCGGATCGAAACTTAGATGTTAAGGCCTACTTTGACCCCAGAGAAACAAGGGTATCTAGTAGGTTATTGAGACGCCAATGATTAATGAACGCATGCCTTTCCTGTGGTTTGTAGATGGTAGCGCCCGCCTGTAAACCTCGGTCAGCCACATTAGGGGAGTCATCCCCGAGACGATATACTGGTTGGCCTGGTCGGATATCTTAAGAAAGTTTCGCCTTGGAGATAGACAATGGTCTGCTCTTTCTTTAATCGATTGGACCCCCCTTTGGTGCTTCTGGGCCTATTAGTGGAGCTTTTACCCTAGTGAAATAAAGGTGAAGGAAGGCATGGTCTCTCCTAGGTTTAGTTAATTCCCTCTACTGATTAGCCATATTCTACCTGTAAATTTTACACAGAGATGATACGACTGTGACTCATTGCCCAGGCCGGAAAGAAGAAAGGATTTAATACGCTACGTGCGATGGCTGTCTTGTAGGGACGGCTTGGATAAATAGTATAGGCCTAGCTTGACGGGAAAGGTTTCCCGTAGAAATTAAGAATCAAGAGAATAAAAATAAAAAATTAAATCAAAATAAAAAGACAGAGAGAAGAAAGAAAAAGTACACAACAAGGGGAAGAAAAAGCCAGTAAATCTTATGGGAGGTGAGTAAGCCATCTATTGTAAAACATTAGTTATTGATAGGATCCTTCGTGCAACACTTGAAGTTTACTAGAAAGCAACATGTACTCTAGCCATACCAAGCGATGTTCACTAATCTGGACCAAAAATGCTATATTGAGGTTGGAGACACGAAGGTTCTGTCTTCGAGACTGCCTCGTATTGGGGGAAAATAACAGGCAAAGCTAAGATTTTTAAAATTTTATGAGATCGTACGCACCGTAGGAAATATTATCGCCTGCCATATTCTCTATCTTTCCTCCGTTCCTCTACTTCTTTTTAATCTGGAGTTGATATTCATTGGCCTACTGTACCAAGAACAAGCCGCTTAGCAAGCCCTAAAGCCACCAAGTAGCCACCAAGTACTTGAAACAGAAACAGGAAAAGCGAAGCGAGAAGAATGGTCTCATTACTTTTAGAAATTGCAAATCGGCGCTTTAGTCGGATTGGATTTTGGCAGATCTTCGGTGAAAAGAACTTTATGCCATGCAGTGCAACGCCTTAGGAGAATAATAGTCACGGATATAAGCAAGGGCCTTGCGGGATCCGCATGCAAGTTCAATTTTGAGTATGTAATGGAAACCGGGAATGCAGGGGTTTGTTGGACGATCAACCGCTGCTTGGCAAGGGGGAATTTACTCCAGAGACCGGCCTTCTCCGAGATTTATATCAATCCGGCTTTAGCTCGTCACGGCGACTTAGGGCTTACCTTCCTCCCGAGGAAAAATGCCATTGTTCAATGAGTCAATGAAATTATTTTTATGTACCACATTATAACATAAATGCCTCGATTCGGCGTGCAGTCCTTCCCACAACAATTGGAACCGTTGCAGCCACTGCTTGGCTGAAGGATTTGGCGATTATTGGCCCTTCTGCGCTGACAATTCTAATTTTATCCGTTCCCCAGTTTGTCGAATTCAGCCCAATTTGCCGTCCGTGACTGCAACATTATGGGTGCACGCCATGAAATACCCCCAATGGCCAATGGCCCATCGCCAGCCCCGATTGAGCCCCCGCCTGATGGGGGACTGAGGGCTTGGACACAGGCAGTAATGGGCCACATGGTATGCTTCAATACCTGGGGATACATTGCCAGCTTTGGTGTCTTCCAAGCCTACTACCAGAATACTCTGGGGGTATCCTCGTCGGCAATTTCATGGGTCGGATCCGTGCAAATTTTTCTCATCTTCTTTGTCGGGACATTTTCAGGCCGTGCGCTGGACGCCGGATTTTTCCGCCCCGTCTACTACACAGGGGTGCTCCTGCAGCTCCTTGGGGTCTTCATGACCTCCCTCGCGACCCGCTACTGGCAGCTCTTCCTCGCACAGGGCATCTGCACGGGGCTAGGCAGTGGTCTGCAGTTCTGTCCCGTTATGGGATTGGTGGCCACCTACTTTGCCAAACGTCGGGTCTTTGCCTTGGCGTTTGGTCTCGTCGGAAGTGGGACCGGGGGGATGCTCTTCCCCGGCCTAGTCAAGGCGTTGATGCCGATCATCGGGTTTGGCTGGACCCTGCGCGTCTTAGGATTCGTCATGCTTGGCACCAGTATTCCGGCCATGTCACTGCTGAAACCCCGGTTACCCCCACGGAGGTCTGGTCCACTCGTGGAATGGTCGGCCTTCAAGGAGCCCACCTATGTGCTCTTTTGCATCGGCATGTTCCTCAACTTTTGGGGTCTGTATTTCGCCTTTTACTACGTGGGTGCCTTCGGTCGTTCCGTCATTGGTTTATCCTACTCGGAGTCGACCAATCTCATCATCGTCACCAACGGGGTCGGCATCGTAGGCCGGCTTATCCCCGCCTTCTTAGCGGATGCCTACTTTGGTCCCCTGAATACTATCATCCCGCTGGCTTTAGGGGCTAGTCTGATGATGTTCTGCTGGGCGGCCGTGCACTCGGTCGCGGGGTTGTACGTTTTTGCCGTGTTATACGGCATGTTCTCCAACGGGGTACAGGGCCTGTGGCCATCGACACTCTCCAGTTTGACTCCGGACCTCACCAAGACAGGGGTCCGCATTGGTATGGGCTTCACTGTCGTAAGCTTCGCCTGTTTAACTGGCCCCCCTCTCGGTGGAGCCCTCATTGCCAGGGCAGATGGTTACATTGGAGCGCAAATTTGGGGTGGATTGACCTTCGCATTGGGCGCGGTGGTTCTGATTACCGCACGACTGTCGAAAACAGGGGCGTCTGTGAAGGCCAAGATTTAATTTAGATCTGATATTTCCGAATGTACATAGATTTGCAGCGGATATTCGCGGGAAGTCTACCAGTCTACACATCTATATTAAGCACATCCGGCGCCAGTCGAAAATAATTGTCGATCATCTTTCTCCACGACTCCGTCAAAGGGACACTTACAGCGACTTGTTTTCAAGTCTGACGGCGACCCGCCTCGTATTGATTACTCTGCATAAGAGGAATGGAGACGGAACCCCACAAAAATGACAGTGCATTGAGTCCATCGGAGAGCGAGTAAAACTGGTCTGGAAAACCCCCTCGTCTCAACGGCTTTAGGTCCGTGACGAACACAGAATGAGATTATACAGGAGCGCTCCAATCGTGACGCTGCCAACGCGTGGAACGAACTTGGACGCCACCTCCACGACATTAGGTTCGAAATTCTGTGCGCTTTCGTTAGGGAGGTCCTTAGCTCCTATTGCTTAATACGACAAAATGCGTACCTTCTCTGAAGAAACATTAACACAGATGGCCCCACGCTGGAGCCACTTCGTGTTCACTTTGAACGCCGGATCTGGTACCGCCGAGATGACGACCTGAGACCGCTGCAGGGCATCCCTCAGACTCCAGTTGGGGAGATCTTTCCCGTGCAATCCTTCAGTATTCCAAGGATAATAGATCCGTTGGAAGAGCTGAACACCAGTGATGTCCACACTGTAGACGCGAGCGCCTTCCCCGGCAAGCAACCGTGCGAGGGGCAACCCCACGACATCAGACCGGTTGATGATGCAGATCTCTTGATCTCGCAACTTCTCTCCCGCCAGTCGAGTGCGATCATGGATCTGCATCCATTCAAGGATCCACGCTACCGCTCTTGGCGTGCATGGGATAATGCTTTTTCCTTGTTCTGGCTGTCTAGGCCCTTCTGTGGGCTCGGAGAGCCGGTCCAGAGTCTGGCGATTGAGACCTTCCACATCCTTTTCTGGCGTGACAAGTTGTCTGATTGTATCATCCCTCTTGTCACCGAAAATCGGATAATACACCATGATACCATGGATGCTAGTATTTCCGTTAATCGCCCGAACATAGGTTGCCACATTCTCAGGCGACAACTTCACCAGGTGGAAATACACTCCGCTAAACCTGCATGTTAGTGACATGGATTCCAATCCTTATCAGTTCATGCAATCAGGCTTACATATCTTCACAGGTTTTGCGAGTCCAGTTTGCATACTGGTGAGAGCCAACATCATCACTGGCTAAGATGCCCATAAGATAGAGGCGCCTTGGGGAGTCTCTCACTCGCTCGGAGATCAGGCGGAGTGTTTTCCGGGCCAGCTCGTCTGGCTGAATTGTTTCGCCAATGCGTGGAGCCATTCTAAAATACTTCTTCGCCGTAAATTAAGGAGAGTCAACTCGGAAAAGATGCTCAATGTCAACGTAAAGCGGAAATCTAGGAGGCGGTAGACTTCCGCGGCTCACTGGGCCCTTAAAATACTAGAGTCTACGATGCAGGCTCTCGTCATGGAGTACGCGTACTCCCCTCAATATCACGCATATTATGATGTGAATGCCGTCTTCATCTGCATAGGCTCCTGACCAGAACGAGATTCATTTCGAGGACACCCACCCGGACTAATCGACTCGCCATTAGATCCCTACATCGGGGAATACCCTAATGGATCAACAAGTGATACCAAGCTTCTCAACAAGTAGCCCTTCCCCGCTATCGGACTCCGCGTAAGGCCGTTTAGTAGTCCATGTCTGGTATATAATGTAAATGACAAGCTGATGATCTTAATAGCCGGGCATTCACTCACGTAGAAGAGATCCACTGATCTTCCCCTCCTTCAACAACTTGTTTCATTCAGCGAGCGAGCGGCACGCCGCTATTGACCCGCCGTCATGCCAGCTGATGGAGACGATCAAGGCCCCAAATACGCGCGGAGTTCTTGGCATATCTATACGCCCTGGCCAGATCTATACAACAGCCCCGCTATTGGTCGTAATGTGCTCAGGTCTCTTTCCTCTACTTGCCACCTTCGCTGACCGAAATTAGCCCTAGGTTTTGTCCGTAAAAGGGCATATAAACGGGTGGGCTTCCTGCTTGTGTTAGGCCCCAGATCATTGCAATCTCCATTGTGACAGCTTCATTCCTTTCTATCATGGGTTCAACATTGTCCCGCACTTACTCACCTTCCACTCCTGCAACTGACCTCGTCGTGGTGGGAGGCGGTGCTAGTGGAGTTGCAATCCTTCTCCAGTTGATTGAACGAGCCAAGAAGGGACAGGCGCTGAAAGAAGTCATTTTTGTGGAAAAGAATGGCCAGCCAGGACCTGGCCTGCCATACTCGTCCCAATGTACGGGTACCATCCTAAATATGCATACCGATACCATGGGGTTATATCATGACAACCCCCTCCATTTTACCCAGTGGCGAAAAGACCTAGAAAGTGGGCCTTTTCCGTCACGGGCAAGCTATGGAGAGTATCTTCAGGCTATGTGGGCGCAGGCATTTGAGGAAGCCCAGCAGCTCGGATTGGGTGTCTCAGTTATTCATCAAGAGGCGCGAGACGTTGATCGACAGACAGATGGCACAATGCTCTTGACTCTCCAGGATGGGACCCAGTTGCCCGCCAAGTCTGTTGTGTTGGCCCTGGGTAACTTTACTTCTGTGTGCAACACTCACCTCGTCAATCTGCCTGGGTTCTTCCCAGGGCCATGGCCTACGTCTCAACTGAGAGCTATTCCCTCTGATGCTTCGGTTATTATTGTCGGCTCACGACTTTCGGCTGTTGATGCAGCTATCTTTCTCTCCGCGAATGGACATCAGGGCCCTATTACTTTCATGTCGCGTAGTGGCAGTCTTCCTAAAGTCCAAGGGGAGTCAGCACCTTTCACTCGCCGCTATGCCTTGCACGACCTTGCAAGGCATATCGAGGAGAACGCCGATGAAAACTTGCTTCAGGTAACAAGTAATCTAATGGAAGAGATCTTCCACGCTACCAATGGCGACTGGAGCTGGCTCCACAACGATGAATCTCCCGTCAAACAGCTGGAATACGATATACACGCTGCAAAAACCGGTCGAGTCGCATGGCAGACAGTGCTGCGCAGCACAGCCCCAGTCATCGAGCGGTACTGGAACAGTCTATCCACCAAAAGCCAGCAGCTCTTTATGGACAAGTTCTTCAGTCCCTGGATGAGATACCGCCATGGAATGCCAGTATCAAATGCCCAAAAAATCCTTAAATTGTTGCAGAAAGGACAGCTACAGGTAGTACAAGGTGACCGGGTACACTGGGATGGCACCTTCAGGGCACAAACTTCCATCGGCCTTCTCGAAGCCCCCTATGTGATCGAGGCGACCGGGCAGGAGTGCCAGCTCGACCGCATTGAGTCACCACTGATTCAGTCCGCAGTTGAAAAGGGACTCCTTACACCTCATCCTGCTGGCGGTGTAGCCGTTGACTTCAACAGTCTGCGTGCCTCAGAGGGCCTGTATGCCATCGGGTCGCTTACTCGAGGTACGCATTTCTATGTGAGCGCTATCGACCGCGTTGCCGCGCACGCCGCCCGAATCGCAGACGCCGTAACACAAGAGCCCATCGCACGGCCCTTACATATCGCGATCTTCCTAGGAAGTGACCTCTTCTCACATCTCATGGCCAGTACCCTGGTCCCCCAACTCCTGGCAGCCGGCCACACGCCCTTCGTCTTCCTCCCAGTACATAAGGCGAACCGCAAAACCACTCCCCCCTTCGAACTACGCGAGCTAGCTTTCTTCGAGCGAGAGCTATTACAAAAGCATGTCATCCCATACTTCAAAATCGACAAACCCCAAGGAGCAGCACATATGACAGTCGAGCAAATGAAGAGCGCATATGGTATCCTCGTCCAAGAGGTTCCCAACGTGAACAGCGCTTCCTTCATCAACAGCCTCCGAAAGCATCACATCGACGTGGGTCTATCGCTGCGATGCTACCAGCGCTTCAAAACAGATATTATCCGTTACTTCTCCCGGCCCAGGAGGCTACTCAACCTTCACCCGGGCACCCTCCCTGCTTATCGTGGTGTTATGACGACGGTCCGAGCCATGAAGAATAAGGAGACACACTTCGGGTACTCCCTCCACGATATCGACGAGGAATGGGATGCAGGTGATCTTGTTGAAATCCGCAAGCATCCTATAGACTATTCCAAGTCGATGCTGCATTTTATGAATGATGTGTATGGAATGGGGGCCAAGTTGGCGGCGGATGTGTGTGATAAGATCGCTCGGGGCAAAGAGCTACCCAATGTTCCGCAAAAGGCTGAGGAGAGTGGCTATTATACCTTCCCGACGAAAGAAGACCTCGAGGGCTACCGTCAAGACGGGATCCGGCTGGTTGACGCAGAAAGTATAGTAAATGTTATCGTGGAGTCGTTTGCGCCTCTCGAGAAGCAGGAGAAGTTCCGGGCACACATTGACGAAGTTGTTCAGAAATGGTACGAGCAGAATAGGCAGTAATTGTGGAACCATGATTTCTCAGGGCTGGACTGCTTTCATTTTATTGGAGTTTTCGGTGGTATTGATTCTGTCTCATTCTCTACTATTGTGGAGCATCACAAAGGCTTTCATTTAAAAATATAAACGAGTCAATGGCATTTCCTAGATTTCTCAGTAACTGCCTTACGGTATCTCTTTTCTTTCTGTGGTACTTCTGGATTCGTATCTAGAGCAACCAATCTCAAGTTAACCCCTACCACTGTGTATATTTCTACGTCAGGACCGTGCCTAATAAGCATAAAACACTATCCCGCTGTCATATCGTATACGACCTCCTCACCCCCAACAAGATGGGTCCCCGACTATGTTTGGTGCTTCTAGCTCCACAGATAATCACGGAATAATCTCCCCAACGGCTATATAGGGCCACCCCGAGACATCTCTATCCCAAACCAACCATCCCACCACCATCCAACAAATGCCGAATAGTCTCTCCATTGGCGGTATAGTTCCCCCTGGCCCTCAATAAGATTCCTGAAAAAGCCGTCTACCAGATCCAAGTATATTGCACCCAGGCAAAGGTGGAGAAAGGATAAAGGAGGAAGCCGTTTTAAAGTGAGATACTATCCTGCAGACTCCTCGCGCTAAGATCCCAACCCGCGATATAAAGCTTCATGAAAATTCTTGGTCTTTTTGGCAACTCAGCGTAATTCTACGGGAAAGTATAGCGATCTTCCGGATAATCTTCTTCCACTATGAAATTCCAAACCCCCGCTCTTCTTCTTCCAACCCTTGCGCTGGCCGCCAAGAGATCCGATACATGGGGCGGAAGCGTCTCTCGCGGCCCGTCGAAGTCGACTATCACTAATGCTGTGACGACGCTTATTCTCGGTGCTGCGCCGGCTACGCAGAATGGTGTGCTGTTCCTCTGGCCTGGGATGAGCAACAGTACTGGTGATCTTGTTCAGACGACGCTGGAGAGCTGGGCTAGCAATGATTGGTGTGGTGCAAAGTCGGGCGAGTGGTGTGTGTGTGCGAGTTTGTTCGGTAGCTTTGGACAGTTGGATGGCAATGCTTCGCCTGTTGGGGGTGATGATCAGCTGCGGATTGAGTATACTTTGCTAGAGGATAATGACACTTGGTTGCAGTATGTTTCTCTTCTTTATTTATTAGTCAGTGATTATCGGGGCAACGTTGACGGATGCGATTTAAAGGGATGTCACCAACGCGAAGACAGGAGTCGTCCTGTCTACCATCTCGCATAAGTCCGGTCCTTACATGACTGGGTGAGTTCTCTCCTATCTGCCCCTGGGTGTAAGGGGTACAATATACTAATTAAGCCAGCTACGGAACTGGCACTGAATGCAACGAGGATTGCACCAGGACCATTGCCGCCCAGAAATACGTGGACACGAAAATCACCCTGGCGGAGGCTGACGAGACTTTCGGTAACACGATCTCTTCCGCTGGTGGTGCGACATACTCTGGGTTGACTTCCAGTGAGGGTGGTAAGATGTGGCAGATTAAGTCCATTAATGTTCCTGCCATGTCGTAAGGGATGCATGCCATTTGCCATGTGGGCGTGACATCACGGGAGTGTCAGGAGCCCTAGCATTCCAGTCGAGCTTAACGTTACTTCAACTTGGATTGTATATGTATTTGAGATTGGCAGGGTTTATCGGGAATATTGTACATATAATTTGTATAACATTGTATACCTTGAGAGTAAAATTTGGATCGCCGGTCGATCCATCTTTTCTGTAACTCTATTTAGTCTACGCCGTTCGAGGACTTTGTATGGCATGACTCTTAGAAACCAGCAGGCCTGTGCAAATTCTAGAAGGCCTACGACATATATTGCAGTATTTACTTGAATCACACGATACTGTGTACCATACCAGATCAAACTACATATCCACATTAATCTACATATTCATGACCTAAACATTAGCCAACTATAGACAAAAAACCAACAATATACAAAAATAAGACAAATTATCTATAAGAAAGAAGCACAAAGCAAACAAATCAGCAAATTAAAGAAATTAAAGAAAAAAGAAAACCGCCCCGAAGGGTCGAGAGGGGAAAAAACAACTCCTCCACACCAACCCCCTTCCCAGCCCCCTCGCAAACCCCACCACCAATCACCACCCGTCCAACCCAACCCAACCCTAACACTCATACTGAAGATACCACCCCGTCTCCCCATCCTGCTCCAAGAAAACCTCACTCTCCTTCTCCAACCTCGCCCTAAAAACCATCTCTTCCTTGCACTCCGCCAGCCCCACGGTATGCTCATGCGCCCCGCTCACACCGGGCCAATTCGTAAAATCCGCAGCCCCAATGCTATCCCCCTCCGCCTTGGCTCCCTGCCACACCCGCACCAGCGCATTATCTCCAGCCTTGAAGTTGCGCTCCTCCAGCACACCCCACATTAGAGTGCAGGATTTTGCGCCCGAGGGTACTGAGAAGGTCATTGTTTGGGACCATTCTTTGTCTGCGGACTTGGTGAGGTTTATGTTCTGTTCGGAGACCGGGTTCTCAGAGTCTGAGAGGTAGGTTTGCATTTTTGGTAGGTAGATTTCTGATTTGCCGGCTGGGCAGGAGGGAGTTGGAGATGGCGTTGGGGACGGAGATGGCGTTGGGGTGGTGTCGGGACAGCCGGATTCGAGGGCGCAGGGGTCGATGCTGCAGCAGCCGCGGAAATTGTTGATTTGGCAGACGTAGAAGGCTGTTCCGGGTTTGCATTGCGTGTCGTCGCGGGTGGTGAGGGTGGTTGGGAGAGCGGTGGTCAGGGTGAGGAGGGTGGTCAAGGCTGTGGCCCAAGTTGTGGTGTGGAAGTGCATTTTGATTGTGGGATTAAGGGTATTAGAATTAGGGGAATATTATTAGAGATTATAGTCGTGTTAAGAGTTAAGAGTAAGAGAAGTAATGTGATATGGTAGTTTGTGGTTTGTTGTGGTGTGTTGTGGTGGCTATGCTATGCAATTGAGTTGATGATGATGAGGAATAATTCTCCTGGACGGCGGATCTTGTCCATATATTTATATTCGGCAATGGGGCATAGGAAGATTAATAACACAGTGGATCAGAAAAAGCGAAGAAATTGGGCAAAAACATACAGAAAGTAAAAAAGAAACAAGGTAAACAGAGGAAGGCTAAAGATAGACGCAAGGCGCAGGGAAACCCTTACCCAGCCGAAGCTCACCGGAAATCCGGGGAAGTACGGAAACCCTGGGAAAAAAAAAAGGAGTCCAGTTAAGGTGAGGCTGATCGTCGGGTTGGTGTCTTTTACCATTGGATCTTTGGCTCCCATTCTGTGGACCCGCCAAGTCAACTAACGACTGGCGGTCTAGGGCTGTGCAAAAAGTCACACAATGCATGCTGGTGACATGACTTTCTATCTGCCTGTGTGATGCTGCAATGCATCCCGTTGGCCAGCATCCTGGTCCCAGCTGCTTCTCCACAGCCTGCCTCTTTTCACTGTGAGAGGCCCGGAGCGGATTCTTATTATTCACTCCTCGGCACTGGCAACACAGAATAACTACTGCCACCGCCAGTAGGTTCGACAACCATGGTTCGGCCCCGAGAGAATTGTCACAGAGTTTGCGGGCCTGAAATCGTAGGATGCAACGGCCCCGAGGACAGTAAGATGGCTTGGTGGATCCCTGGTACAGTTGCATGGTTCTATCTTTAGCTGACAGCTTTAGTTTGACAGCAAAAAAAGCTCAGCAGACAGAGAGCGACCCGACCAAGTCAGATGAGTACACGGCTGTGCAGTTCTAAGAGAAGCAGCGTATCAAAAGCAACCAACAGTTGACATTGCCGGGGACGTGCAGGTCTCGGCACTCGGCCTTATCAGTTGCATACACGAAGCGCGGTGGGTCTGACAACGTGAATATCGATAGCAAGTATACAGTTGTCTCAGATCAAGACAAGACGACAATTTCAGATCGTAGGAAATATTCGCATTACCTAAGACGGTGGACAGCCTGAGGCTTGGTCGTAATATTTTCGTACGCAGTGGAATACACCGCAATGTCTCTCGCAAGGCGTACCAAATTAAGGACTTCCTCAGCAGTTATCGAAAATCATTGGGGCTGTTCATCTTGGGTCTATTTGTGCATTCGACGTTGGGAAAGGATATGGCAAGAAGATAAGCGTCTAAGAGTTCGCCTAACCTAAAATCGCTAAAATAAGTACAACGTATCCAAGTCCCAGCATGTCTCACTACCACTAGTATACGAGAATGAAACAAAAGATGTAACAGTATCTACTCCTCCGGCCGCCCAATATCGATCCCAAACCGCTTACCCTCCCACAACCCCAGACCAAACATCAATCCACTGAAAACCCCGCGTTTCACCAACTCCTTATCGTCGTACCATTCCGATCCGGGCGGAATGACGTCGGGCTTCAACATCTCCGAGCCAGCCAACAGCGTGGCAGCCCCAGCGATGCTGCTCGGGTTCACGGGGATCACCTCCCTCGTGCGTAGCAAGTAAAATGCAACAAGCGTGCAGAGGACCATGGCGGCAAGAAACCCTTCAAGTATCCGTGTCGAAACGCCACTTTGTTGGAGACGAACGCGCGTAGGATCCATAACTGTGCCATTGTATATCGTCTCGTTCTGAGGGGGAAGTCGGGAGTTCCCATTGAGGCTTTGAGCCATAAGAACACGGTAGAGATGCTGGGTGGCATTCACCACGGCGGGGAGCCGGTCCGCCTGTTCGACATCCGAGATCATCAGGGTCTTTTGATCTTTTATCATAGCGGTGAAGAAGATATCCAATGCCTCATCCTCAGCGGTACTCTGTGGTAAGAACATATTGAATGCCAACTGAGATGCAAAGTTGTCTGAGTTTGCGAACCGTCTGCTCGAGGACTCATCCGGCTTAGCTTTGTTGATCTTTAGCCCGGGAAGGGCGAATTTTGTATCCACGTCCACTACATCAACATACGGCGTGCATGTGAACCCACGTATGCCGTCCGTGGAATTGGGGTTGGTTAGTACGCCATATAATCCAATCATCGACGGACAGCCCGGATTCTTGTATATGATTTCTGTAGTTCGAAAGGCACCGAAGACCGTACGGGTCCTGTCAGTGGCGTTGGTTGTGACGGCCACATCGTATGACCGGAAGATAGTTCCGTTATCGAGCTTCTGAGAGAAAGTGGTACAATTATCTCCGATAAACACATCTACTGAGGTGGTGGGGCTGCCTTGGAATGTTTTCGCTCTTAATATCTGGTTCGCTTCAAGAGCAGTGCAGTCGAGGCCCGCACGGAGTGCAGGCAGTGTCACGTCCAAGATGCTTTGAGCCGCAGAGCTCTGATTTGTAGGCTTATATAAAGCATTCCGCTTCACATCCGTTAGGGAGTTTTCCTTCAGAGCAGGAAACACTAGCTCATCATATGTCCAGTCTGGATATGAGACATTTGTCGCAACGACAAGAGCTCCGGTAAGACCGATCCCTCTGTGGGTTGGATTAAAGGGCTTAGGATCCACTGTCAAGTTAAATGTGTCACTTCTTGAGATAGACACTGCACGCACAAAGCTCACGTCTTCGGTCGAATATAAGCCGCTCGCTGCGATAGTCAAACAAGGTGCCAGAACCATGGTCAGCGCCGTAGCGGAAATCGCATACTTCATCTTGGCCAGCGCACTCCAAAGGCTATGAACCGTGAGTTTCGAGAGGTAGTTATCCATCAAGCTTTCCTGTGCCGTCCGCCCCCCTCGTCTCAGGTCCACGTAGGGTTGAATGACCTGAGTGGAAAAGTGGGTACCATCGAACAGAGCCTGTATTAGTATCATTATAAAAGCAGGAATGTAAACCCAGGTGTAGCGAATATAGCCATCAGATCTGACATCTGTCAGGCCATTATGTTGTTGAGATATCTGGTAGGTGGTCTCTAGTCCTGCAATGACAAGGAGAGGCACGGCCAATGTAAGACTTCGCCACCACAATGTCATCGAGAGAGGCCTCCACCAGGATAATGGACTAATCGATTGGGAAGAGCGAACCTCTTCTTTAGTCTGGTGTTCCGCGACGATGCGGAAGGTCCATTGGCCGGCCTTGCTCTCGATCTGCGAGGTGAATTGACCGTCAGAGAGCGATGCTTTCATATCCTTCCTATTTTTGATGCCAGAGAGTCTCTCAGACAGATCTGAGCTCCTTGCAAGTATCGTTGCCAGACCAGATATCGTTCCAGGGTCGCAAGGCGTGTTCTTCACTGGTCTCCACAGCCACATCATTCCCGACACCAAGATCAGCAGCGCCAGGGTGGCTTCCATGAGCCGAACGGATAATTCTCGCACAACGAGCCTCTTGGTACTTGCTGAATACGTCCCATCCAATGACTCGTCTGCGGGGGTCATCAGGTATTGTCTGGCTATCTGGGCGGCAATTGATTTGTATGTTGAGCGAGACATAGCCTCCAGGGCCGCTGCATCCAACAAAGGCTCGAAGTCGCCCGGGGAGGATACAGTTGCAATCCGGTAAAAGGAGGAGAGATAGTTGTTATTTGGGTCGCTTAAATTCGCCAAGTAACCGTTATCTAGCTGGATCAGGGAGCCTATAGAGCCATGCACAGCCGATAATGTTGAAAGCAACCCAGCACCTACATCCACAGCGGTCACGTCCGGGATCATGCGATTCACCGCGGTCTTGTTGGCAGAGCGGGTATCGATACTCGCCACACTTTGATTGCTTTCGAAAAGCGAAACTAGCCCTGGAGATATTGTGTAGGTGGGCTCGCAAACAATAGATTGCACTCTTGCACTGTTATTCAGCCAATGCGCAGCCGCAAAAATCACCCGTTCATTACGGTCATCACTTGCACTCGCACACTTCTCCAAAAAGACATCTCCTTGATATCCACCCACAGCGGAAGTGCTTCTCATGAACGCTGTGAAATGAAACCGTGCGCAGTCTGTGGTGCTCAGAGTCAAGTTGAGCCTGGTTTGTTCGCAATGTTGAGTTCGGCAGTCTTGTGTCCAGTTTGTGACCTTCGCGACTTCACAATTTAAATCCGCAGAAAACAAGCCCACGGTGCCGGAAACAATAGTGTCCGCAGCTATGAAACCATCGTCAAATTTGTATCCTTTTGAGGCAGATTCGTCCTGTTCACCTACCTGATACGGCCTCGGATTTACGGAAAGGAGGAAACGCATATTGATCTGTCGTTCCAACAGGATGGGGAAGATTGAGGAATTTCGAGCCGACAATGGTCAGCGCAGCATTACTGTCCACTTTCGTACTGTTATAGCCCGTCCCATTGAACGCCGCTTGCGCCGCCAGTTTGGTACTAACATTGCTGATGTGAACATTTTGAAGCATGAACAGGCCCGTCGAAACCACCGTGAGTAGCTTCAGGAGGAGAGTTCCGAGGATGGCGACGGCAACGGCCCAGTGAGAGCGTTTCAGGGCCCTGAACAGGGTAACCACGTTCCAGTCCGAGACATAATCTAGTAGCAAGGTCTGGGATGCCGGCTTCGGTGTCTGGCTCAGGGATTTCCATGGCATGAGTTGCTTCGTGCGATACTCGACTTGTCCCCAAATCCCAGCCACAATAATTAAAACTTAGCTAATGTCAGCAAAGGAGCAAATCCTGTCTGACCCCGAAGTAGAAAAGACAAAAAAAAAAAAAAAAAAAAACCTTCGCCTTACCAGCCGTGGGGCCGTATGTCCAAAGATAACGATACTTCGGGTCACTCGCACTTAATCCATTGTTTCGGTTCGAGAAACTGTAAAGCACTTGGACCACTACGAGTATTATCACGAAGAGTACTGCGAATGCGACAAACACCAAAGGGCGGAGGACTGCGGGTGTCCACAACTTAGGGCCACCGTTGTTCTGGTGGTTGCATTCATAGCGGGTCTCATTTTCTTGACTGGATTCCGAGGTCGACGCCGTGTCTCTGCGTTCGTGGGAGTGGACTTGGATTAACGTATGTTTCTTGGCAGCGGGATTCCATTTTCTGCTGATCCTTTCGGCAAAGGAAGAATCGGGCATCGCGGTCGTAATGATTCATGCCTCATAAAAAGCCATACATGCAGGGGATCATATATACATATTTGACGGATGTCAAAACAGCGAGGAAAAATCAATCTCACGCTCAGAAAGAGGCGGGGGGTCGGGTTAAAAAAGAAATTAGAAAGGTTGAAACGATGCAAGGCTGAGCAAATCCCTTGCCTATCCGATATAAGTCCGTGTCCGTGCAGCCACGCCCGGACTTCGTATTGGCCTCCCTCTCTCAGTGGGGGCCATTTTGAACAATCCTTCTTAATCTTAACCCTGATGTGCACTCTCATTTTCCCGTTGAGGCACTAGTCTTCATTACTGAAGACGGGAAGATCATGGCACCAAAGGTGTCAGACCCCCACGTACATATATCGTGGAGTCGGAAGGTCGTGAACAATCTCGTATCCTTTCAGGCAAGCCCTTAGTCATTGTCCCCTCTATAGCTCATTCATCTTTGTTCTTGTCTTTGTTTGTTAATCTTCTATTTCATAGTAAATGATTCTTTTGGGCGGGGAGGTGGATAATAATTGATAATAAGAAGACAAACGGGGAGCGTAGACGGCGAAGAATATGTATATATATCTCCCCGTGAGCCCTACGTTGAGCCGTGTTCCCACTCTGCCAGAAATAAACCAACCAGCGATCATTTCTCCTTGATAGTGGATCCAAGTGCCAACACCTACTACGTACGTAAAATTATTAACAAGGGTTACGACCACTTCAACGGGACAATATCTAGAATCCCTAAGTAGAAAGACGGAAACGAGACGCTTGGACTCTGTTATTCTGAAATTGACAGTCTCGAGAACTGTCACCAATGACGGTCAATATATACATACATATATATACACTCCTCAATTGATATATACACATATCTACGCCTATTTACAAATCACCCGCTGTAATCCACAACGGTTATCAAGCGCACCGCCCCCGATTCGAGTGCGCCGCCAATGCCATCTACCGTCGCCTCCGACTTCGTATAAGCGTTAGTCACAGTGGCAGCACCAGAAGTAATCGTTGAGCAGGCCTCTCCGTCGTGATTACAAATCTTCATACCCTGAACCGTCTGCCCAGCCGCCTGTGCCTGAATAGCGGAGACATCCCATCCGGACCAGCCCTTGTTGCTCGTATTTCCGAAATCGAACTCTCCCCAAGTGCACGAGTATCCACCGTAATCATCAGTGGGGAGTGAAGAACCCTTTGCCGCACCCCAAGCGCCCTGTGAGTTCTCGTCAAAGGCGACATATTTCGTTTCGCCGGCGCCCAAGGTGAACTTCAGGGCCGAATTACCGTACCAACCGTCCAACTTGCCGTCGGGGCCGACCTTGTTCCAGATAACGACGGTCCAGTCCTCAGTGTTGCTGCCGGAGAACTGGACTACGTATTTGTATTGGTATGCGTTGCTGGGGCTGACTTCGAGGATGTTGCTGCCCCATGGGCTGCCGATGTTACCCCTATACTCGATTCCGCTGCCGCTGGAGCTGGTGCGCTTTCCGAATCCTGTGGTGGAAAATTCCCCACTGGAGGGAATCGATGTCCAGCTGGCAGATCCGCCTGCTGCAGTAGCGGTGGCTGCTGCGGTGCTCTCGGCACTGGGAAGGAGGGAAGACACGTCGACGGAGACACCAAGGCTGGCATTGAGGTCAAGATCGACCACGTCTTTGCGTGTATCAGCGGCGGTGATTTCGGCTGGTGCTGCCGTAACGGTCGTAGTACCGGCGGAGGTTGGGATAGGAGCACCGCCTTCCCCGGTTAGAGTCGTGGTGACGGTAATGATCTCCAGGTCGACAACGGTCATAACGTCTAGATCAGCAACGACCCCAACGTTAACATCTCTCACATCTAGGCCCACCTTTGGGCCTGCCAGCTCAAGATGGGCGGGATGGTGTTTGTGCCGACGTTCATGGCCATGCAAGCGAGCAAGGCCCGAGTCGGCAATAGCAACGAACAAAAGGAGTGACTTCCACTGCATTGTGGATGATATCAAAGTAAGGAGCGTTAGCAAAATTGCATGAAAGGAGTGGAAGCTATCGAAGCTGAACGATCGAAAACCACAGAACGAGAGCTCTTCGAGGTGTATATAAGCTCGCTGGTGTATCGCACAAAATCCCCAAATGTTTCGGACCAAGTGGAGTCAGACAAATTAATCGTCAGCACTTAGACCCGATATCCATAGTGAAATGAGGGCTAAAGTTGGTTGCTGCGTTTCAATTCACACCGTCGGGACGAGTAATCGTAATGACGAGTCGATAGCCCAGAGTCGGACAGCTAGATGAAGACCATCTGAAATGCTCGAAAGTCATATTAAACATGACGATGGGGGCTTCTTTTTGCATACGCACGTATTGTGGCTTCTAGTGGCTTCTGATTGTTGATGTTTTCCACAATCTTACATTCAGTCACGAACATGCCATTCGTTTCCTACGGAACGCATCCCTTGCGTCGTCACCTTTTTCGACCAGCCAACGTACACTGTTATCCATACTTGAACCTTGCGCTCCACGAATCAGAAACTTCTGCCCCTGGAGTCCAAATTAACGGTAGCATCGAGCCATGTCGGGATTGGCTGTGGCATTTTCTGGCGCAATGCTGTGGCTCTGTTGTCGGCATAGTTCACTGTGGGGATGGTTGATTCCGAGGTCCAGACTACTCGATGCATTAGCCAGAAGCTTGTTATACTCAGGCAGACAAATTCCTCCGCCACAGAGTTACTCGTCGATGAAGTTGTCAAATTAGATATGGTTCCTCTCTCCCTTTGTTATAGCATCAACTTCCGTAGATTGATCGGCGCCACGTGTGGCGCAAACTGACTCAGTTTCCATTTACTACAATGATTCATATTGAGACTTAATCCACGAGGTAGACTTTCCCTGTGTCAATGTAGAGCTACACTAAAGGTGAAGAGAAAATAAAAGCCGAAAAGTTGGTGCTAATAACAGTGGGTCCAGCGTACGTATACTACTTGAATCGTCTCCCGGTTTGCCGGCCACCAATCGATGAACTTCACACTAAATATGTTTACCGACCGTGCAAAAATCCTTATCAGGTACGGGGATTCAATTACGAACACTTCACTAACAGCTCTTTTCTTCTTACTGAAGTGTGTTCTTGTCCGGTGTCGCTCTTCTCATGGGATAGGGGCTGGTGCATTTCTGCATCCCTTGAGTAGTAACGGGATATTTCACACAACATGCAAAACTCCAGCTATCCAAATATATTTTTCCACTTATACTAACTAGGTTAATTACAGGAGCGGAAACTCCAATTTAGCCTTACCTTGACCTGAGGTCTTGTTGCGGTCCTACTTGTTGCTGCCATGGTAGGGCTGGAGTTGTCGTTTGACGCCCCATACTGTACAAGTCCTTGAGACATGAGTCATCACGCTTGTGGCCTTGCTCTCATTAAAAGGTTGGAAGCATTCTCGAATAGAATCTGGGACTAACACTTGAGGTCTCTTCTAGAGCAGCCGGAAATACCAGGACTACATCGCTGGCCTATCATGCACGGATACACCAGAACACTTGTGGTAAAGAGACAGGTACCATCCTACCTTTGCTGCAATCGTCTTTAATATTATGTCATTTCTCCCTCATGGTCACTAATGCATCTCCAATATGGGGGCTTTGTTCGCTAGGGTAGACTCGCCGCTCTGGTTTCTCCGTGCGATATATCGACGTGCCCATACAGACCTTAGCGTAAGAGTCACATCAGCTGCAAGCTCCCACAATGCAGTGGAAGCCTTCTGATGCAATATGCATGCTGTCGCAGATACACTTGAATCAAGACTCAGTATGAAATGCGAAGACCAAAGTCACATCCCTAGATCCTACGGATGTTTGTCATGCTTAACGACGCAAGGGGCTGCAGGTATCCGTAGCATTAGTAGCCACAGCAAAAGCCGAGCATGTTACAATAAAGTCTAACTCAATCACCAAAAATACATCAAAATCATATCCTCTAAGGACGCTCTTTGAACTAATTCCGAAACCCCCTTTGCCCTCCCTCTTAACCCCTCATCGTCTCCGTTGCTAATCTATCCAAAATTAGAGAGCACTTCGGCGTTACGTTGAATCTAGCCGGGATATCTTTCAGAGAATCGATGGGGTTGGGGGAGGTGATGGTGTCTTTACGCGATAGAGATAGGTATGGTGAGGATGCGGAAATATGTGGTGCTGTCGGTGTTAAGACGGAGAGAAATTTATCTGGAGAGAGGGGTTTGAAGCCCGAGAGGAAGATTAGGGCCGTTCGGTGTGTGGATTTAGGTGTACTATTGATGCTGGGTTGATTGTAGGTTTATTTGATCGGAATTTGGAAGCTGGAGTTACCTCCGATGATTGACCTGTGCTTCGATTTTTCCCAATGTTGGCCATGGAGTGTATTGAGTCAGTATATATGGATTTAGGTGATTACCGCTTTCATTCATGAATCTATGATATGTACATTGGTTTCTGGTTTGACATTATGGTTCAATATCTAGAAAAAGACAAAGGCTATCAATCATGCAATGCATAACATCGGTCATGGTCTGGTATATAACGCGCTAAAGGGAAAGAAACAATCATTAGAGTGCAAGGAGAAGACCTGCGCCTGCGAGGCCAGAGAGAAGTTGTCTCGTATTGCTTGTCGGCAATGCTGCCGAACCTCTCGAGGAAGATGTCTTCCCAGCCGTAGAGTCGGAGCCAGTAACATCGGAGTCGATTGTGACGGTATGCACAAGGTCGGTGGCGGACGAAACTGTGGCTGAGGTGACGGGAGACTCTACCGGGGTGGCACCGGGCACAGCGCGGGTTCCCGTGCCGATCTCCAAGATTTCATCTTTGGTAGGTGAAAAATTGGTATTGGCGAGGGATATCTCATTGTTAGCGAGGTCATACACAACGTATGCGCTTCGAAGGAAAGTGTCTCCCAAGATATACATGGAGTTTAGGCTATTCCCAGCGGGGACAATGCCGAAGGCGCAAGTGTTCTTGGGGAAGTTGGGTGCACGGGCTTCAAGGACTAATTCGCTAATTCGAACGCTGATAGTCGCCCCAGAGAAGCTGAATACTACGTGAGCATTCTTTTTTTGCAAGTCGCAGTCGACATAAGCGATCCCGTCTTCGCTGAGGAAGGTAGCGTCAAACTCCTTGTAGATCTGGTTGACAAGTTTTTCAGGCAGATATGTTAGGGTCGTGCCCGAATCGAGTAATACCACCAGGGGAAGTTGAGAGGAGTAATCGGTGGGCTCGTTGCCGTGTTCCACGGAAACACCGGTCAGGGTAACAGCCAAGTAGGAATACTGCCCATGAAGGGGTACAATGGGCACAGTCTGAAGAATGCCCTTGTACATGGCCTTGTTAACGCCGCCGAAGAGGATGGAGCCTCGGCTTGCTTTGGGATTGTTGAGCCACAGGCTGTATGCGGGTGATTTGATGGCACCACTATCGACAAGGGCTTGTGGGAGATTGGCGTATTTTTTGCCTTGATGTGATGCTTCACTCGTAAGAGCCTCATAGGCTACACCGACGATACCCTCTGACAGAAAGCAAAAATGACATGTTAGCCAGCAACATCGCTTCGGATACCAATAGTAAACTCACGTGTGACTGTAGTTGACTCGGCAACACCAAACTGCATATCATCAACCTTCACACCACCCAGGGTAAGTTTATCAGTCGCATAGTAACCGTGGGCATTTGTGCCGTCGCCGTAGGTTGCGTTGAAATCAATATCCAGGTTCTTGTATGTAGAGGATGCGTGGGTATCATAAACGCCAAATGGAGCGCACGGATCATTATCAGACGAACAGAAAGACGAGTCGGGGATATTCACCCATAGGTCGCTGCTTCCAGTATCTAACGCCACCGAAAACTGCTGGGCGGGCGTTCCCAGTGTCAGATTTAGAATATAAAAACTATAATACTACTAACGTGCATTAGCTGTCGGTCCATAACTCACTAGCGGTTAAAGTAACGGAATGTAAAGGGGAGACAAACATAATTTGACAGAGGCAAGTTGAGTGTCGAATCTCTTTTATGCAACCCACCAGTAACTTGCTTACGCTCAATGGGCAGCTCGACAATGGCCGGAACATCGCGCTGATTGAGATTGAGGGCATTCACAAATGAGAAGCTCGTTAAAGCGAGAGATATGAGAGATGTGCCCAGCATCTCGTAACCAACAGCGCCCACTCCCCTTCTCGGCCTTGTATCTTCCTCCTGTAAACAAATGGAAGAGGGTTTGGGTGCTGGACAAAGCTTATAAGTTGAGAATGTTGCCTCGCCTTACGACACCGGATGGGGCGGAAAATGAGAGATGTAGCCTTGCGATGCGACGCAAATTTCTATAGCTCCCACCTAGAGTGTATAGCGTATATTGAACACTGACCGTTCAAACAGAACAGCCAGTTACCTGCGAGGGCCGCGAGGCTAAGCAATGCATTAAAAGGCCGCGAGCCAGTCAGGCAGAAGCCGGATCGCCGGCGCCTCGGCCTTATGCAGCGAGACATAATTAGTTCCGTCTAGTCCGGTCGGGTTCCCTAGTAATAGCTGGTGAGTCAACGGGGTCTCACTTGGAGAGGTGGTCCAATCGCATTATACCCCCTGATTAATCGTATTGTAATTCTGACTGTGAGCGGCTAACCTACCATAACGAGGCCCGTTGGACTCTGTACCATAAAAGCCAGGAGTGGACCGAGTGGGTGGGTTTATATGAGCTCAGATTGGAGATTTGCAATGGTTTCTGGAGACAAGCCCCGATGAAAAGAAATAGCTGTCGGTATCCTTCCCCCAATAGGATAGATGAATCCAACCTTATGTTCTTTATCTTTTTTTTTTTTCTACATTTTGACACTCAGAGACAATTTCCGAAATGGGGAAAAGAAGCTGGTTGACTGACAGCTGGACCGAAAAATTTTCTCCATGGTTCAACAACTGTGGGTCAATCGATCAATATCTCTTTCGGATGAAAATTCTGAGACAAGCCCAACACCGTAATCTTAGCAATTCTGATAGGTTGATCCTCACCTTGGCGGGTGATATTTCAAAGCACGAGGCTACTATGCGCTTGGCATGTCAGCTCCTTTTTACGAGACTCAACCCCTATTGACACCTTCGGGATATCGGCCCTTTATTGTATCTACCAACCTTGAAAGGCAATAATTGCAAGAGGTACTCGCTACAGGGGGCTCTAGGTAGAGATCCCTCATTTTAAGATATACTAGTTCGTAAGGCTAGTAGATGTTTTATGGTCACCTTTTCTTTGTCTCGGTACAGCGTGAGCTGCCCTTTGCAATGCAGACATCTTCCCTCACCAAAAAAATGGCCAAGTTGAAGTTACATTACTTCCACCGTGTACCAGATGGGAAGATTATAAAAAGGCACTTAAGTGGCCTATCATCGAAAGCACGCGCTTGATATTGAAGCAAAACTGTTTCAACACACCTTGCCCTAAAATGGAAGGAAATATATGGCAGGTCCCGGCCTTGGTATGGCCCGTGGTTAGACATGTATAAGTCTCTATTCAGGTGAAAAAGCTCTAGTTTATTTTGTTCGAAAGATACCATCTACTTTAGGGTCAATCTATTATTTGACTATGTTAGAATATTTTGTTAAAGAGTATTGAGCCCTGGCTCCCCGAGGGTTGAATATCTTCAACCCGGCGCCTCAGGCTCGAGAGGGACAGGTTATGACGCAATGCTTAGTCAAATACCACCAACCAATCAGCGTCCATCGGTACCTTTCCACCTCCAACTCAATCTTCATGTCAAAACATATTCCATTGAAAACGCATCATCTCAACTGTTATCTCCCCTCTACTCCGAATTGCAACACTCAATTCCTCCAATCTTACCCACGCCACCATGTTCGCCGCTCGTCGTCTCACTGCTGGTGTTCCCCGAGCCTTGTCGCAGAGAGCTCTCTTCCATAGCACTGCTCCCGCTTTCGTCCAAAAGGGCGACTCCATCCCAGATCTTGATGTCTTGGTTGAGAACTCCCCCGGTAACAAGGTCAACCTCGCCAAGGAGCTCAAGGGAAAGGGCGTCATTGTTGGTGTCCCCGCGGCCTTCAGTATGTACCCTTTCTTCCAGAAGGATTTCCAACTCTGCAATTCTGACATGACGTTCGTCAACAGGCCCTGCGTGCTCCAGCTCTCACGTCCCCGGATACATTAACCACCCGAAGCTGAAGGAGGCCGGCCAGATCTTCGTCGTCTCGGTCAACGATTCTTTTGTGTAAGGGACCGCATCCGGCCCGTTCGCAGCCCAATTGGCTGACCATACAGAACAGCATGAAGGCGTGGGCTGAGTCTCTTGACCCCTCTGGCAAGAGCGGTGTAAGTACAATCTTTACGAAGAGCTTTTCTTGTCCACCGTCGCATGCTAATGGAAGCAACTTAGGTCCGCTTCTTGGGCGACCCTGCCGGCAAGTTCTCCGAGGCGCTCGACGTCACCTTCGATAGCACCTCCATCTTCGGAAACCACCGCAGCAAGCGTTATGCCCTCCTGGTTGAGGACGGCAAGGTCAAGGAGGCTTTCGTGGAGCCCGATAACACCGGCCTCGATGGTACGATGGCTGTCCCCCTTGCGCTGCTCTTCAATTACTAACCTCTCTCTAGTGTCCGCGGCCGAGAAGGTCCTCGCTTAAAAAAGGACTATATAATGATTCATACAGAAACTGCATACTGTATGCATATGTAGAACAAACCAATCTATCTACCGCATAATTGTCATATCTTTTTTTATTTCCACCAACCATAGCCAAGGCTAGGATAATATAGCCCCCAGCTGGATAGCAAGACAATGTACATTAATAAAAACTCCAACGCCTGCCTATATGCTTCCAGCGTGTCGTAATACCCAGGATATATCAAGTTCTGCGTGGGCCCCCGTCTCTCGGCCGTAATGCAACAGGTTCCAAAACGTTCCCTCAACCACCGGAATCTGCGTCTACTGCTGCATCGCCTGCCACTGTTCGGGGGTGTAGCACTTCGGCGTCCAGGCGTGGATCGCCGCGATCTCCTCCTTCAGAACCGAGTTCACCAACCGGTGCCGAGCAAGCATGGTCTTCTTCTCGAACTGCGGCGACACAACCACCGCCTGGAAAGCCTGGCCGCAACCACCTGTCGGATCGAAATATACGTCAGCGAATGTATCCTTTCGTGTCGAATCAAACGTCCACAAGTCCCTGTAATTGCCAAAGCGCAACCGGATTCTGTATTGTAGTCATACCCGAAAGGTCCTCAATCTCGACATGCTGTGCCTGCAACTGCTCAATCAACTTGGTCTTCAGTCCATCGGCGGTCACGCCCGAGGTAGCGTCTGCCATAGCTGCGTTGACGGCTGCGAAGGAGCGCGCGGAGATCGAAAAGGCCTGCCTGTGATGGAGGGGGGCGCGGAAGAAGTACCGGCAGCTTCTGCTTAAGAGGGTGGAGGTGCGGGAGTACATCAAGCGGACGGGGAGTTCGTCGATCGGGTGCAGGGGAGAGAAGGCGACGAGGCGAGATGAGGTTCACGGGAGAATTCGATGAGGGTTGGGGAGTATCAGTGTTGAGGCGGCGCAAAGAATGTTTTTGTATGCTTTCTCTGTCTCTACGGAATTGATATCTGATGACGGAGGATTAATCATCATCGTTCCGTTAACCTTGTGTACTGTAAGAATGAATGCCCGCCAAGTCACGTGATATGATATAGGCTTACTAAATTCCGTCGGCCCTCGGGTTTCCTAAAGGGGTATCCGAAGCTCTTTCGAGATATACACGAAATCCTCTTCTCCATGGTGATGGCACCTGGCACTTGCTTTATACCATGATTTGAACTGAGGAGACACTCGACAGGTTGGTGAAGGTTCTAGTCACACAGCATTGTTTGTCTTTTGGCTCATAAACCTGAAACGTAGCGAGAGCTGGGCTTGCATGCACGAGCATCAGCTGGAGAGTATTGGGTAACTACTTTCTGTACCTAAACTAGCATGCACTCAATATCGGGAACCCGGTTCGTCTTCTTGTTCTAAGAAATGGAGGATCTTGGACGCTAGGTAGACATGTGACACGTGCATGGTTGATAGTCGAAAAGCCAGGGGTCGGTGAAGACGAGTTCTATGGCATTTGTCAGGACAAAGATTAAAAGCGATTGTATAAGCTATACCTTCCTCATAGCGTTGGAGATACGCGCTATTCTAACATGCCTATCAAAATAGGTCCTAGACGAACATAGCCAAGAGTTAATCCAGAAGGTACAAAATATGCTAGTAAAGGACTGGAGAGAGTCTGTCCCTAGGAATATGGCGGTAGTCCAATTTACAAATAAACTGAGAATGCAGTCTTAGCTCACAGAACTATAAAGAGTATATCAGTATCTACTTATACAATAACGGGTCCAATATCGAAGACGAGATTGATACGATGCTTGATGCAAAGCCACAGGTAATTCCGTCTTCAATCCCCCTATATTTGGCACTGATACTGACATGCGCAACGCTATAACTGAATAAAATGTATCTTGTTTATAACTGAGTGGGTCTTGAGGCAGAAAGGAGATCGGATAAAGCAAGGCCCCATTGGCCACGGTTCTGAGGTCGAACTTACACTGTGCGATGACGATGATCGGCCAATTGCCCCTTGCACAGCACTTCACAGGTGATAAGAGCACAATGTTGGTTAAAATTAGTAAGTAGGCTTTATACATAGGAGATAATTGGATCATCAGCTGCGAAGTTGTATCTAGTTGATCTAACCCAAGACACTGCTTACTGTGACAAATTTAGCTCATTGGAGCCAATGAGAGCAAGAAATTACAAAACGTACCAGTGGATGATCATAATAGGTCTCATTCAACCATTGAACACAATGAGTTCTTCATCGCTGGTCTATATTAAATTGCATGTTATATCACGGGACACGCCTAAACTGCGGTACCTGCAGGATCGCGTCGCGTTCCAGGCGGTGTAGCACAAAAGGAGACATGATACGATACCTGTAAGAGGTACTGCTGCTTATACACGTAAGACCGGAATTGGCCCCCGGCAGCGGATCACTTGACACACCCCCATACTCTTTATCTGTCTTTGACTATACATTGTTCAGCTAACCAGTTTCTGTACTCTACTAGTACTAATCCACCTTGAGCCAAAGAAATAAAATGAGCTCACCGGAAAATGAAGAGGACCTTCTCGACATCAAAGAAGACCTCATCGCCATTCTAGACGATATTCGGTCCACAGGTTCCTTTGTGACAAGCGCGAATCTTCACACCGCAGTGAATCCCGGCCTTTACATTCCAAGTGTGGGGAATATTCGGCTTCCGATATCCGTGGAGGATGCGAAGGCAATTATTCAGGCCTCCCATCTGAGTCCCTATGGGAAGGGAACAGAAACCCTAATAAACGAATCAGTACGGAAAAGTTGGCAACTCAACGCAGACCAGTTGGCTCTCCAGAATCCCCTATGGCAAGCACAGATTGGCATGCTCGTGAACAAGGCTGTAACTGGCCTTGGACTGAAGGCAAACTCCCAGGAGGTGAAGGCGGAGTTATATAAATTACTGATCTATGAGGAGGGTGCATTCTTTTTGCCGCACCAGGATTCTGAAAAGGCCGATGGCATGTTCGGAACGCTCACTGTATGTCTCCCGTCGAAACATGAAGGAGGGGATGTGATCGCCTCTCACCAGGACGATCGCATCACATTCAAAACCGCATCCACTTCCGAATTTGGCTTTTCATGGGCGGCATGGTATGCGGATGTCACCCACGAGGTAAAGCCTGTTACATCTGGGTATCGGATTGTTCTGATTTACAATTTGATCCACCGCCCGTCAGCCGCGCTCCTAGATTTTCATGGCAGTAAGACGGAAAAACTTGTTCGTCTGCTGGAATCTTGGGCCCGCGCCGCTGATGAAGACCCCATGCAATACCTAGATGGTTGGGATGAGGGTATAAGAGACGCCTGCCCGCCAGCGCTCGTCTATAAACTTGAGCACCAGTATACCATGGCGGAGCTTAGCTTTTCTCGACTCAAAGGGGTTGATCAGTCGCGTTTTGCAGAACTCCAGGATGCATGTAGGAGAACGGGGTTCAATATCTTCTTAGCTAACATTGAGAAAATAGACATTGGTGGAGTTGATGATGATGGGTACTATGATGGGTACTATGGCGGCTACTCTGACCGGGATGACTATGCTGGTAATGGTACTTACCCCATTAGAGACCTCATTGATTCCAGCCTCGAGTTGTCGCATGTGGTGAACTCAGAAGGCATTACGGTCGGAAGGCATATACCCTTCAGAGAGGACATGCTAGTTCAAGAGGGGGTTTTCGACCGCGATCCAGATAATGAAGACTTTCAAGGCTTCACGGGCAATGAAGGAGCTACAACGACACACTTTTACCACGAGACAGTAAGTTATTATGATAGTCAGAACTGCTATTGTGCACACTGCTATCCCCCTTGAAACCCCGGCTTCTCACGGTAGCTTCACAGGGCGCATTAATCATCCCTGAAAGATTTCGCTTCTTGTTCGCATGTCAGCAGTTAAAACGCGGACAGGGCGATGCTAAACAGTTTCTGGAAGAATGTCACCATGTCGTCTCAGAACGGCCAGATGATATGCTGGCCAAGCAAAAGCTGTTACAAGTATGCAGGGTAATACTAGCTTCATCAAGACATAGCGACATAGAACATGACAAGGTTATGCAAATTGCACTTGAACTTGCTGACCTACAACTCTTTCGCCGGATCATGGAGTCGCTTGGTGGTAAATTCTCGCCCTCCCAGATTGCCAAAATCGCCAAGATTATCTCACAGCATGGCCTCGCCAGTATTCGCACGTCGTAAGTCGAAGCCATACTATTGAGCAACATTTCTTCACTAATCTACCCTTATAGACTAGACAAACTATTTGGGAATGAAAGATATGGCACACAGAAATTGCTTTTTCGACACATGAAATTGCTTTCTGACTTGGTCAAAGACTTTCACTCCATTTGCGGGCAGCAGGATCAAAAGGCGTTGAGTGAGGTATTTCAGTGGCAGGATATCACTTTTGATAGAATTCTATCTACTGAACTTGGAGGTTCAGAATCAGACGGGCATGATCTGGCAAAAGTGTTGAATGATTGCCCTATACCAGGGACACTCGGAAGGTAGGATGTTCTTCTCTGATAAAGATTACAGTGCTGACTGTGTCAGGGTTATGGCTTTCTTGGAGAAGAAGTCGGAGAACACCGCTTTAATTGTGTCATTCATTACATCGGCCCATGACTACTCGCACACAGGAAACCTAGACAAGGGTGAGGTGGATGCAATGTTTAAAAGGCTTTTTCCAGAGATTGTTCGATCTTTCAAAGTTGAAAGGGGAACACGCCTACGCCCTGGTGAAACTTATGCCTGGATTTCTTACTGCCATCCGCCGGAGAAGACCTCACGGATATCCCCAGAACTGGTAGTCAAGTTGATTCAATCAGCGGACGCTACAGACAACGATATCACGGGAATAATGAACACCCTTACTGAATATACTTTAAATGTTAAGGGAAGCGAAATGGAGAGCGCCTTTCATGAATTCCTACTTCCCGTGGTGAACGGCCTCTGTGGGCACATAAAAGCAACAAAGCGTTCCTCTACCACCGGTGAACGGCGATTTATCAAACAGGTGTTGACCAAGTATGTGACTGACTACGTCCAAAGTGCCCCTTCGCCGCCACCCGACTGGAGAGAGAGGACTTCTATCCGATGCCACAGTCCGGACTGTCGGGACTGCCCCTCTCTGCGTCGATTCATTAATGATACATCCAAGAAGACCAAGGATTTTCCAATCGCAGAAAGGCGCAGAAAACACTTGGACCAGCAACTTGATAAGTCCTGGTTCTACACGACCACCATAAAAGAGCGCTCACCCTACACACTTCGGGTCGTGAAAACAAAGGCTATGCTTGTTTCTAACTACCAAGCATGGACCATACGAGCAGGAAATGCGCAGGCTAAGCTACAGCCATTGTTGCAAATGGGCATCATGGAAGAGATCCTTGGAGATGCCTATGACTCTATCTTTGCGCACCAAAATCTCGCAATCTCCAATACGTCACAGGCAGTCCTTAGCCACTGGAATGCTCGAAACACAGTTCAAAGCACAGTGCCGGCCAAGCGCCCTTTTGAGCGATGAAAATGATCTCCTTTCGCCCACACTTACACTTTCTCTCTCCCTCTTTTTTTTTTTTTTTTTTTTTCATCGATGAAGGAGTTTGCTTCGGCTTTGAGGACCCTCGTTCTTCTCAATTTCGGGAAAGTCTACGCAATATTGTATGGTTCTATCACTAGAAAAACTGTCGAATATGCAAGTGCTCGTTGCTGCAGTATTGATTTAGAGGGGAGGTGATGAACGTGTAGAACTTTATATCCATAATACCTCGTTCGGATCAGTCAGTTCATCCTACTGTTGTTTGGTTTGCATCCTTAAGTGGCCTGGAAGGCTGACATCTACCAGGGACTCCTAGCATCATTCTTGAGATGCTACATGCGAAAGTCACACATTCGAATTAAAAGGTGAAACAAATTACGTGAATTTTTCTCAAGAGCAGCTGGAACAGCCGTTTGAAACTGAGTTTTGTATTTTGAGGCCTACCAAACGAGCTTAGGGAGAGACGCAGCCAGACAGTAGTTCTTTTTGCGAAGTGTGGCGTGATCTATAAAGTAGAATTAATCCTGGAATGTGTTGTCAACTCGGGGAAGGCGAACTTCTTCGTTCAAAGCGCTCGGACTGTCGTGGTCAAAGCACTACTATTCGACAATGGCATCCCTTCTCCGACAAAATCTGCCAACTTGCCTTCGGCGAAGCACTATTAGCAACAGGGCATAATTTCAAGCTGCTGTTGCTCTGCATTCTAGAATGATGATGCCCTGGAATGAACGGATAACACTTCATTTTCAACTAGCCCACCAAGCGGAACATCAATGCCGAGCTCCTCAGAAGAAGCACGATCATTTCCCACGAGTGGACTTCAAACCATCGAGGCCAATCAAATAGTCGAGGAGGAGAAACTGTATGGTTACCGGGCAGATCGATTTTTTGCTGTTCAAATGGAGGAGGCTTTCCAAGAACGTTACCAAACAGTCGCAAATCTTGAATTTTGGTTCGTCATCAACTATTTGGCTAACTCGGGATCTGAAGTAAGTGTCTGCGGTTCCTGGTATAGTGGAATTGAGCTTACTGATACAGAGACCATCAATATGTCGCCGTGAAAGTGCATGTACATACTTCCCCGGTCCACCGTGAGCTCCCATTCTACGATCATACCAGCCACCGTGTGACAGATAGCTCACATCGAGGTCGGAGAAATATCCGGCGACTACTAGACTCCTTTGAAGTAGCCAGTGAGTATGGCAAGCAATAGTCCTTGCATTACAGCTTGCGCAAATGAGCCTACGGGTATTGCACCTACACCCCTCTCTTAATAATTTATGACGTTTATCGGCTGTTTCTTTACTAATGTATTGTAGATGTACATCCAAGAAATATGCTCCTGGGTCTCTACAGTAGCATCCACATGCAAAAGCTCGAGGTAAACGAATTCACATCTCCAGTACCCCGCAATATGCTTCATTTCAACTTTCTTACGCAAGAATGCTGCCAAGATGTCTATTGCTCTAGGTCTACTCTAGGTCATCTATGCACCCATTGGCTAAATGATCGTGCACACCACTATTAATTCGGGTAATTGTGTACGTGGAGATTGGTCAGATGCTGTGCTTACCATTACATCCCGCGGTCCACCCAAGGGGGCCGTCCGGATACTTAGTGTTTTGCGGGGCATCCTAGGGTTGGCTTCACAAATGTCATTTGATCAAGTCGGAATTTGCGAACCTCTCGCGTTTTCAGAAGCCTTGTTGCCTTGGACCGGCTCACACTTATAGAAAGTCCCTTGATTTAGAATTCCTATACATATATTCTGTAAACCTTAAAAATCTATCGCTTTAACCTGCCGAAGGTAGGTTCGCATTACCGGGTTTTCATCGTCTGCATAGCTTCTCTTAGACTAATTACTTCTCTAGCTCAGTACGTGTCAGTTCACATCTGAGTAGTATCAAGAACAGGACTGCTAAAATCTCGCAATATACTCGCTCCGGAATATAAGTGATTCATATACCTGTCAAGTAATTAACGGACTGCCCAAACACCACAACCACACAGGGAGAGATCGGATCTCACGGTGGGGAATAGTTCTGTTAATCCCAGTAAATAATTATGACGGATGATGCACGCGATTATTATAGATCATCGGCCCTACTGGTAGGTGACACATATCTGGACATTACTAAAGCACACCTTTCAGCCATTGAACCTTTTCGGGGAGAACAGCTGAACAGTATACAGCTTGTTATCCACTCTCATGACCAAGGCGACAAGTCTACCTTGATTGCTTCAGAAGGCAACTGGACATGGTTTGAGCTGGTAATTATGACGGAAGAGGATAGAATCAGAAAATTGGACGAAAAGTCTGAATGTATTTGAATGAGCCTTGAGAATCGCTTAATTACTACTGGACCCGGATGGTTATGGAAGAACCTCTCTCCCCCTATTCCTGTACTGGCTTGGCTAATGCGTGCTTAATGCGGCATCATGGAAAGGTATTCTATAAATTTCACATATTGATTAGATCCCTAACCGTTCGTGTCATATCAGTTAGGTCACTTTTAGGATGGTACTAACAAAGCTCCAGGGAAATGAGCGCATCGCAGTCCGCATATGTGCCCTTTTCCCAACTTGGAAATCAAATTCAAGGAAGCCAATTTGATTTTCTATATTGGTTGCAAACTATGTACAATCTTACCCACACTGTTGATGTTGTGTCCGATGCTAATTGAACCATAGTCGAAGGACGTGAAATCCCAGACCCGACATTGGTGCCTGTCCGTGATGATAGACCAAACCATCCTAGTCTCCTCGAATTGCTAGGTGGAGATATTACCGGTTGCAACGCGGAGCAACTGAGGGTGAAGCTCCAGTGGCACAACAACAATAAAAACCTGCCGGACATGGCAATCCATGAACTCCAGACCATTAATGAAGACGCCATGAGGGATGTTGAAAGAGACTTGGGAGCTAATACCCTGCTAGTTATCGAATTTGGAGCCCTACGTGGCACGGATATCGCGATCTCTACACTATCATGGCATCAAACAACAGAAGATATTTCCAACAAGTTCCTGAACAGCTCCTCTCTCCCCAATTCAAAGCGAGATTTACATCTTTCGGCCTGTGAGGGCATGGTCGAGAAAAACAACCTAGATCAAGACCAGAGCATAGACCGGGACACACAGGTTGTAATATTAACGAAAGGCCATCTCACAGGCTCCTCACTAGACGTGGCATTACAGAGTCCCAAAAAACCCGTGTTGGATGGAGTATGTAGTTGTAACGGCCAAGCCCCACCCGTGTACCCAGTTGAGAGATGCCCTCGGAGGGAACAAAAGTCCGGAATGAATCCGGTTTTCAAGACCTCAGATGAAGCCTACAAGCTAATGAATCCATGTTGCACACAGTAAATCCACTGTAGTTCAGTGCTACCGGACATGTATTTATAAGGCCTTGAACAAGAGCAACCAGCGTGCCCTGGGATCTCCACCCCATGACGCGTTACCGATAGTGAAGGTAAACGATTTGCTAGACATAATGAAGGGCCATCAAGAAGGCCTGCAATTTCCGGTCCGTTGATAGTAAATTACCAGACTAAGAACAAATTCAAGTTTCTAGCCTCTGAAGAGCTTCATAGGTTTGTTAGCGTAATCACCGAACTAGCCGGTACTGGTCATTCTCCGTATCTAATAAATAGTCGTGTCGATTCAACTTTGCTAGTCGGAGCTCTGGTATAAATCTTGTCATGTTCTGCCCACTCGTTACATGTTTGGAATCGTAGTCAGGAGCTTCACAGTACTGTATACTTGGAAAAGTCAATCCTATATCCGAATTACAGCTCAGGCTGACAGAGGGTTTTAGCGCGTGCGACATAGGGTGCTCCTAGGATTGGAAGGTTTCAGACTTATACCAAATCCAATAGTCTTTCGATAGATCTTAGCAATATGCCACACCTCTCAACATCTTGCTTGGTAGAATTCGCATAGCTGGACCGTTGGCTGGGGAGTTTGTTGCAGTATGAACGAGCTCCAGCTTATCAGCTTGATTTCTCACTGGGACGACATGAATGATGAACCACAAAATCCTCAAGCCACAGTGATTCTAATTTCCCAACTTCTCTATCTTTGTTGTTCCAGACCGAGGATGATGTATCAATGGAAGATATCTTGGTACCCATGACCCATAAGTGACCTAATAGAAGGAAGTTATGCCTGTATGAGAGTGCTCCACGCTCGCCGAAGCTGCATGGCATGACATATTTCGCGGAGATAGCAACGATAGGCTGATGTGCAAGAGATTTAGCGCTATAGCGATCAAGAATTCTTAAAGGTGGCTGACGGGAAAGGGTGAGAATGGCAATGCGACATGATTTCAATGTGAAGCAGAGGCTCAACTTAGGGGCTGAGATGGCGAACCTGAAAAGTTGATCCCGCCATAAAACCATATCATCATGCACTTATATCTAGGGCCACTCAGTCAAGATTACAAAAGAGTTGCATGTTTCTCTTTCCTGGAGCTCAAGTGCGAGGTACAATTATACGACGTAGATCAATTTCCCCCGTATCATTTACATTAACTTGGATTTAGTCGAAATATGAACGTGTGGGTTGAGATCATTATCACGGACAAAACTGAGAAGGAACTCGGTATAAGCAGCACTTTCTCCCACTGGGGGAAGCAAATTGAGAGTATATACTTCTGGTTCCATAGCCATCGACCCTTGCGTTGTGATACTCTATTATTTGTATGTATAAAGTATGACAATTGCCATTCGACAACCCAAACTTCAGTGTCACAACACTTGGGCTACTTTGAGCCCATATACTCGAATATGTAGCCGACTGTAGGGAGTAGTATATATGTTAAAGTCTCAAATTTATTTGGGCTCACTTGGGATTTAGTAAACGGTTACTAAGATACTGACCGGCTGATAGTTAATTGGGGGACGATGCACGGATCGCGGCATTTGAATGTTTATCCTCAGTTCTATTTTCCATTTATTCTTATCTCATCTCCGAATATTGAGTATTTGTCGGGATTAGTTCCCTTTCCGCCTCACTGTATCTACTTATCTAGGAGCTTTACCCGAGCCAGACCCATATATCACCGGAACGCCCAACCAATCGCTAGCCACCAGATGAAGGGATGCGATGTTTACAATGGGGCCTTTCCGCACGGTAGCTTCAACGGCTTCAAGGCTAGTTTTTAGTGGGTTGCATCAGCCATGCAGACACCGAGCTCATCCTCATTTATGAGCCAATAGGGGTTATGGAGTTACATTCAATGCTGAAACCCACTGACATGGTACTTCCCCCCGTCCTTGAGACCTGACTCGTAAGAATTTTATTGTTCCTTCTCCCTTGCCAAAAATATCCATGTTGTTCAAGTAAAGAACCGGTCGTAATGGCTGCATTGGCATTACTAGGGATAGGGCTGGTCACCTACTGGGTGGCTCAAGCCATTTATCGCCTCTATTTCCACCCGCTAAGCCACATCCCGGGCCCCAAATTGGCCGCCATCACCGATGGCTACGAATTCTACCACAACATCATCAGAGGAGGCCTCTTCATCTGGGAACTGGAACGACTGCACGAAGTCTACGGTAGGCATTAACCACTACTCCCCAACCCACCAAATCCCCAACTGACACACTTACCAAGGCCCCATAATCCGCATCAACCCCCGCGAGGTCCACATCAAAGACCCAGAATACTACGACGAAATCTACGCTTCGACCCTCCGCAAACGCTCCAAGAACCCCCTTCACGTCGCACAATTCGGCCTCCCAGGCTCCGGCTTCGCGGCCATAGACCAGGAAGCCCATCGCCAGCGCCGCGCCCCCGTCGAGAAATACTTTTCCAAACGTGCCATTGAAAACCAGGAGTCTCTTATCCAGAATAGTCTCGACAAACTCGTCCGCCATTTCCGGGACGCATATCAAGCCCATGTACCTGTGAGCCTGGATGCGGCGTTTGCGGCGCTGACGTCCGATGTGATTTACCAGTATGTGTATGGGTTCAATCCAAATAGCCTTGATAAGGAGGGGTTTAACGCGAGTGTGCGTGATGGGATTAATGGGCTTATGCGGCTGGCCCATTTGCTTTATTTTTTCCCCTGGTTGCAGACGGTTATGAATGCGATGCCGCTGGGGGTGTTGAAGATGTTGAATCCGCCTGCGCATGCGCTGGGGAGTCAGAAGAGAGAGTTGTTTGATCTGGGCATTGGGGCGTTGGTGAGAGCGGGTGAGATCTCCGGGTCGAAGGCTACGAGTGAGGCGACGTTGATTGATATGCTTGCTGCACCGAGTACGCCGGAGCATATGCGGGAGCCGCAGAGGCTGATGAATGAGGGCTTTGCTTTGGTTATTGGGGGCACGGAGACGACGGCCAGGTCGCTTTCGCTTGCAGCGTATCACCTATTCTGTAGGGAGGATATTCGGAGGAAGCTCCGCGAGGAGCTGAAGCAGGTTATGCCGACGGTGGAGTCCCGGCCGACGTGGAACGAGTTGGAGAAGTTGCCGTATATGGTGTGTAGTGCCCCCCCCCCCCCTTCTTTGTTTGATGTCGTCGCTGAAAATGTTGATATTCTATGTAGTCTGCCGTGATTAGCGAATCATTGCGTCTTTCGACTGGTATCGCAAATCGATCGCCTAGAGTTGCGCCTACTGAGGCGCTGGTGTACAAGGGCTATACTATCCCGCCGGGAGTAAGTTGGCTCATTGCAACACATGTATTACGAGTCTAACTCAAAGACAGACCCCAATCAGTGAAACTAATTACTTCATCTTAATGGACCCCGAAATCTTCCCTGATCCCCACACCTTCGACCCAGAGAGATGGATACGAGCTGCTGTAAAGGGCCAGAGATTGGACCGCTATCTGGTGAACTTTTCAAAGGGAAGCCGGATGTGCGTGGGTTTAAAGTACGTTAGAGTTCTTCTCTTTAACTTTTATAATGCTAACGATTTGTGTAGCTTGGCTTACGCGGAGCTCTTCCTGGTTCTCGCTACGATCGTTCGTCAATTTGATATGGAGCTGTATGAGACACCAAAGAGCAATCTTGAATTTGCGCGTGATTTCGGGATGCCGTACCCCGATAAGGGAAACTCTAGCGTGCGGGCTGTGATTACTGGTCTTGTTAGTGAATGAGGGTAGGATATTTTGGAATGTGTTATGGTGGAGCGCATTGATCTACTGTGATGCTTTGCGTTAATCAGGGACAGCGTTCCGGTAACCTGGGAGCAAATATGGTCAACATACGCAATGACTAGAGTGAGATACACATAAAGAAGAAAGGGATGGTTGATCCAGGATTTATGTATTGGTGAACTGTCATAAGTGGTATAATTCTTCATAGGATAAAAAAAGTAACAATCCCGAATAGAGTCCCCGTTATCAGACAGCGATAGTCGGCCGTATCGCCTAGCTATTCCAGCGCGTAAGGAGCTCGGTTTCGGTAGCCATTTCAAGAACGGTGATCATTCTCCTCACTCCAATGGAAGCCATGCTTCACCCGAATCTGCATATGGATCGGCTCCTGGCTAGAAGAAGTCGACCCGTTAGACGGACCCACACTCTCATCCCTCCGAAGGCTACTACCGCGTCCCACGTCGGTGGTCAGGTAGATCTCATCATCTTCCGGGCGAAATCGATTCCTCTTCCCATTTCCCCGGCTCCCGGACACGTTGAGACTCCCCGGACCACTGCCCGAAGCACCCCTGCTGTGGCTCTTCCCATAGTCGCGCGAGAGACCGTTGCTGTTGAAAAAGCCCCAGAGCCGGAGCTGGGGAATACGGCGCAAAAGTGGGCGCAGGGTGGGGAGACAGGCGCTAACGATACCGATGCAGGGTTCGACGTTGGACCAGATCATGGCGTCGCCGATTACCCAGGTAATGTCGACGGAGTCCTTCATCTGCGTTATGGCCCAGATGCGGACGATAGTAGCTACGCAGACACTATAAGGTTGACTAGCGTTAGATTCTTACTCCTAGTACAAAGGGTAGGTTGCGTCTCTTACAATCCTCCGAGCAAGAAGATGCCGCTGATTGCCCATTTTTGACCCCTAGGCATCTGTAGGCTCCAGACGATCGGCATAGGCAGACATAGAATGATGACGTCGGTGAACAGGTTGGCGACGCCGTTCCACAGATAGAATAGGTAGAGGTTGATGCGGCAATGGCCTCCACTTAAAGGATAGACCCACTGAGTCCAGAAGAAGGATGTCGGAACACAAGCGAGAGAGATAGTGGTGGAAACAGAGATGGCGTATCCGATTGAAAGGAAAGCACAGAAGTACAAGGTCCAGGTGAGGCGAAAAACCCGGCGATAAAGCAAGAGGACCGATAATTTGACCATCGGCACTGTAGTAGCGTAGAGAACGACGTAGGCGAAGATAATCTGTACAGATTTTGGTGAGCCTCACAAGACCATATTGCTAAGTGAGAGCACTGTGTATTTACTTTCATGCTCATTAAGACATCACTCTCATCCACAGCCCAAATATGTTTCCCTATACCATATGCGCCGCCTGAGAATGTTCCTTGTCAGCCCATGCGCTGTTTCAAGTTATTTTGGGCGGATGATACCTAATATACAACATACGCCTGTCCCATATGCAAATATCTATTCATGTAGAGCGTTTAGTCGACCAGTCATCGCTCGAAGTCTCGGATATATCTAACATCGACCGATGTAAAAAAACATACCAATGCCAATAAAACAAACCAATCATCATACGCCAATCTAGCACTTTCATTTATCATTCGTGCCCAAAATCGCAAACCCACGAAAACCGTGGCAATCGCCATGACGACAGCAACCGTACCGTCATTGCGGGCGATTCTATTCTCAGTCAGGTCGAGACCCACGGGGGGCGTTCCGATAACAAGGCTTGACATGGCGCTGTAGATATATTAAATCATGATATGGTGAGATAGTGACAATTAGGAGTGCCGGCGAAGAATAGGGCTGGCGATGGGCCTGTTTGTCTTAGAGAAGCCGCGAAGTAAGTCAGTCATAAGGACTCAGCCATACGTCGCAAGGGACGAGTATGACTCTAGTCTCCCCCTAGGACGAGGGAAGGGAAGGATGGAGATGTGACAGGCGAAGTCACAAAAACGAGGGGAAAGGGGCAAGAAACGCCCTATATTAGACTAGCTGTGGAAAGAAACGAGCCAGTGGTTATCAGGTCAAAGAATAAAAGAAATAAAAAAGCTTCTAAACATGGAGGCTGGGATCTACAACGATCTAATGTGCCGTGAAACTCTTAGCCGAGATCGAAGACGGGTAAAACCGAGTCATAACTCATAATGATGGTGGGGACTTGCCTTCTCGAAAATTGAATTCAATAGGAGATCTTGAGAAGAAATCCCTACGTGTGATATCTACAAGTGATCGATTTGGAGTGATTCACAAAATAAAAATTATAAATCTTCAGCATATAGTCTACTGAGCATTCCAGGCATTCGTATCCTGCGCCTGAGGCTAAATTAGTGCTTTGGTAATTTGTTCCTCTTTTTTACCTATTTTTTTCTGCTCTTCTTTTCCATGCTGCATTTGCCCGGCATTTCTGGCCTGGCCCTTATGTATACCCACTGCTCCACTCTTCGCTACCCCTTCGCGTTCTATAGCCGAGATGATTTCCAGACACGGTGGGCTAAAAACCAAAGAGGCAAGTATGGTTGGTATAGGTAGAGGGTCCACTTTGGAACGGTGCGAGAAACAGTTAAGCAATATGTCCACTGTCAAAACAACTCTGTAATTCCCCTTTTCTCCTCTGACAGACTAAGTGGGTTGGCGGTGTTTGAAGGATGAGAACTAGCAGCAAGCTCTACAGCCAAGCGAATAGAATCGCCGGCTAAGTGTCTGCTATTACAACCTACGGCAAGTAGGGCTTCCCGGACATTGTTCGGCGGTCATGTGACGTCCAAGCTTTACCACACATAATTGTTGTCGCTCGCCTATTTTCCACCTCGGTATTGCTGATTCATGGACACTCTAGGCTGTGGTAGTTCTTCGTCAGGGAAAGCATATTACAGCGTGCTCAGAATAAATCAATAGCCAGTAAAATGGAGGTGGAAGCTTATCCAGCATTGAGACAGTGGGCCTTGTCCCCTAGCCGATTAGGTCAATCCCATATTTGTAGATATTTTTATCAAAGCCCACAATTAAGTGGACTCTTACACACAACAGAGCGTACGCTTGCTTAAAAAAAAAAAAAAACAATAAACCAGTGAAACTACTGGGAAATTCAACTGAACTGAATGACATGTCTATCGAGCATTCCCGTGTGAAAACCCACACCAACCCTGTTCCTGGCCTTGCATCGCAATTAGCAGCACCAGCAAGGTTTTATCCCAATGCTGGTCTTGTCAATGTCTGCAATTTAAAGGATTACAAATTAAAATTGGGAAAACATAAATGAAAAGAAATTTCTCCAGCAGATAACTTGTCTACGCAAACAAAGCGTTTTTGGACGTCAGGTCTCTCCTGTCTTGTAAAGCTTTGACCATTCATTGAACGTATGAATCTAGGACGACTCTTGTGTCAAACACGGATATATATTGGATCTGCTTCAGATTATACTGTTGGTTCTAATCTGTACTAGGGCATGATATAGATTAGTCTGCATGGATAGTTATCCAGAAAAAAGGTTTTGTCCAGACCCGCAATGTTTATATTACAAACAGGTTTAACTCGAGTCGCTCGCTCGTTTGTTATGGTGTGTTTCAAATGGATGTTCCCGCTCGACAGAGAGTATGAGAATTACATGTTAACGAGATCACTTCCTCATTGCAATAATGGGTATTGAGAGTTGATGCACAAGAGTTAGGGCTCTATGCTGCGGAAACAAGGTCACCTGTGCTAGCGATAAACACCACGTGGAGCACAGGGATGTCATACTTTCAGGAACGGCTATAGCGATGTAAGGAAATAACAACGTCTAGTGTGCTGATATCTCATACACCTCGCCATGTTTACTCGCGATAGCCCCGGTATAAGGACGCCCGTTTACTGTAAATTGCGCATCATCCTGCACACGAATGGTCAACTTCCCTCCTGCTCTCGCGGCGATTCTTGCCCAAGTCAGCTTTCCACTCGACCATTCTATATCCACCAAAAAGTTCCCTCGAGCGACCAATCCTGAGACATTTCCTTTCGGTACCGCGGACGGCAAGGCGGGCAAGAGATGCACCACTCCCGCATGGCTCTGCAGCAACATCTCAGCAACGCCCGCCGTGAATCCGAAGTTACCGTCGATTTGAAAGGCTGTCCCGGGTCCCGCATCAGTATTCCAGAGGTTCGCACTCGGATATTTTTGCAGAAACACTCGTGTGTGGTTCCACGCGGAGTCGCCGTCAAATAAGCGGGCGTAAAGGTTGATTGTCCACGCGCGCGACCAGCCAGTGCTACCACTGCCGTGAGCAATTCGGTGGTCAAGGAGAATTTTGGCGCCAGCTGCTAACGTTGAATTTATGACGGGCGTCATTTGCGTTCCAGGGTAGAGGCCGAAGATGGGACTCATATGCCGATGGCCCGGTTCGCTTTCCTCGTATTCCTTACGCCATTCGAGGATCTGTCCGTAGGATCCGATCTGAGGAGGCTTGATGCGCGCCAGAGAGGATGCAGCCTGGGCGGTATCTGTGTTGTTGATACCAAGGATCTTACACGTTTGGATGACGGAGAGGAAGAGACTAGACAGGAGGGAGTTATCCATCGTCGGTGCGATGTCGATGGCCTCTTCCTTGCCGGTTTGGGTCATGTTATCGGGCACGACAAACGCGTTTTCTGGAGAGATCGATGGCCCTGTGCTCAGATAGCCGTTGAATGAGAACAGGTAGCAATGGTAGAACTGAGCGGTAGATCGCAGTAGGGGCCAGATACGCTCCTTGAGCAGAGTCGTATCCTGCGTGAAACGAAAATGCTCCATTAGGTTCTCAACTAGCCATGCGCCACCCATTGGCCACATCGTCCATTTAGTCCCGTTGTTTACTGGAACTGCATCTCCCCAGAGATCGGTGTTGTGGTGCAGGACATATCCACCGTCGTCGCAGTGGTACATGCGCCGAGCGATATCTTGACCTCGTGGTCTCACTGTTTCAAGCAGCGAGATCAGCGGCGGTAAGGTGTCGGCCAGGTTCGTGACTCCCGCTGGCCAGTAGTTCATCTGCAGGTTGATGTTCACCGTGTATCGGCCTCCCCATGCCGGCTCATAATCTTCGTTCCACAATCCCTGAAGATTAGGAGGAAGAGGAAATGTCCCTATTTCCCGCGACGATGCGATGAGTGAGTATCGACCGAACTGGAACATGAGTGTTTGTAGTTCTGGATCTGCATCCGGATTTGTCTTGTATCTATGGAGTCGGACATCGGTGGGTAAATACCATGTAGAACCAGAGGAGCCCAGATCGAGATGCACTCGGCCAGCAAGGCCCTGGTGATCGGCAATGGCAGCTTCTTCGATCGCCGGAAATGCGCAGTGCACTGCTGCATCCAGTTTCCGATCGATCTCGGCCTCCCATGCTGCCTTGTCGTCGTGACGATAGGATGTTTCCGCATCGATGAAGATGTCCACGGTCGTCGCACCGCGAACTACCACCGTCGCCCCGTTGCGAGAAATACGCCCTTTCATTCTTAGCAGTGTTATTTGACAATGGCTAGAAAAAACTCACCTCCGTGAGGAGCAATGCGAGCCTCTGCCGAAAAGCCAATCCCGTGTAATGCGGCCGTCGACGCACGCAGCTTGACCGATCCAGTCCCATTTCCTACAATCGCGACGTTCTGCTCAACGTACAGACCGCGGGATAGCGATACAGTAACATCCAATCGTCCGGCCTCGCTAGCCCTCAATCGCGCTGCAATAACTCCAGCAGGATGACTTGCCACGTATTCCCGGCTTTGCAAATTAGCTTCAAATCTAGCACTTCCGTTGAGCATGCCGCATACCTGTACGCAACGCCATGATATTTATATGTCACAGAGGCCCGGCCCTTAAGTAGATCCAAAGACCGGGTATAGTTGGCCATATCCGAGTCGCTGTGCCCGAAGTCTAGCACTAACGAACCCAGCGGATGATACGAGCGTGGCTCGTCAGGGCTCCCGACCGTTTTTGCCAACATCAGCTGTCCAGCCGCGGTGATGTTTCCATCTTGGAGCATAGCCCGAGCTGGATGTAAAGCACTGTAAGCGTCTGGGTTGACCCGGTCCATGAACTGCCCGCTCCAAATCGAATTCTCGTTCAATGTCACATTTTCCACGGCCGATCCCCAGACGGCTGCGCCGAGTCGGCCATTACCAAGAGGGAGGGTTGAGGTGAAGTTGTTTGCTGGTGAGGTGTACCATAGGAAGCGGGATGGATCGAATCTGGCCTGGACAATGGTAGCCCCGATGGCCAAGGTGATAAGGTGAGGCAGTAGCATGATTTCTGGAGCGTATATCTAACTCATGGATTATTTGTCGCTGTGGGGAATGCGTCGTTATAAGTTGCGATCGACAACTGTGGCGAGATGTACGCATGAAGGAATTGATATATCCTGGTAATTCCACGAATCAACAGCCATAAGCGATGGAACCCGCATGGAAATAGATTAAAGTGACAAATTTTTGTCCGCAGCAGGCTGAGATGCAGTCGATTATACCGAGTCCGCACCCTATTATAAAATAGTGCAAGTTGATCGACATCGGGAAGATTGTACGCTAGGATTGCCGATGTTGTATGTGTCCAAGATTTGCTCTATGGCTTTGTATACAGGCTCATCGTAATCAGGCAAGTTTAGTTGAGCCATCGCGGCAGGAATACATTCAATGCCCAAGCCCTAAAGATGTCTCCTATAGATACCATTACCCCCTACTGAACTTTTTAGGGTGGGATGGAATGGGTCGATAGTGGCACTCGCCAGGGCAGCATAGCCCATTTCCTTACTCTCGTCCACATCCACAATATGCACCCGAGGATCTCGCAGTAGCTTGGTACGATATAACCACAAGCGAAGGCTTCTTCCCGCCAGCAGCTACATGTCTACGTCATGTCTTTTTTTTTTTTTTTTTTTTTTTTTTTTTTTTGCGGAAAATACGTGTTCGAGAACACCTGGAGCGTTACTCATGAGTTCAATACTAGACTGATGATTGCACGGATTTGGAGGCAAATGGACGCATTGATACATACCTGACCATGTACACTACGAGGTCTATACAACCAACGCCAGACGCAGAGCGATTGCAAAAGCAGGATTATTCTCGATTCTATATAATCTGATTAACGGTGGTGTCGAATGTTTATGTCAAGTCACAGCCTGTTTTGAGGCGGACCTTTGGTAGGCACAGGCGTCGGCGGTTAAAGAGCTCTTCTCGTTGGTCAAAAGCCAGGAGCGCACGACTCTTAAAATGCCAGCTGCATCGAACTTCGAGTTGAACACAATTTTGAGCTAGTGTCATTTACTTATGTAGGGATCAACCCCTCCGGGGCGGCTATAATTATGTTGCATTGTCCTACTTAAGCAACCTTCTGCCCACTCATAACGGGAATCTGACCCCTTGACAATCGACATAATCAGATTTGCTGGCCCTCGATATACCATGGTATGGCTCCTGTCACTTGGTTTTGCCCACCTAGTTTTACTATTTTCTTTAAGTGAAGCCACTGTATTAAGCGACTTATCAGGGTGGATTCTGCCGGAGCTACAAATTCGGGGTTAAGCAACTCGGTCGCTTTCACAATTTAAGCGTATAATTAAGCGTATAACGACTGATTGATACAGCTAAAATTGCCAATGACGTTCTGTACATGACAGATCTCGACGGTGGCCTTACCTTGTGCAGCTTGACCTATCTTCCTCCTTCTCTACCGGGGATGGCGCAAAATATAAGATGAGCTTAGTTGACACCGAGGTCCCGAAATTGAAGGATCGGGCAATGTGGTCGAAAAAGGACAACATTACGTTGTCTACGAATGGTGGGCGAGGCGTAGGCGAGGCGTCGGTTGATCAGGGACTATGGACATACAATATTGCAGATGAATCATGGCAGTTGCAGCAGACGAGTATTAAGCCAGTGCGACTACAAGGAGGAGGTATGTGCTCCTTTATCTTATCTTTAGGGGGGATTCTTTGCAATAACATAAAAGGCCCTATAGCGTACGCCGATGCGCCCCAAGTCCAAGCTGCATATTGGGTAGGGTTTATCAAGACAGCGATACTACGCCCGCCAACACCGATATATACGACGGGGATGATTCAGTTCAACACAACAACAGGAACATTTACACAGTTTGATGCACCGTTTACCCCTGTGCAGCGGGGAGCACTGGTATGTGTTCCCGTCGGAGAAAAGGGAGCCCTAGTTTTCGTGGGAGGAGAAGTTCCGTCTGTCCAGAAGGGGATCAATGCAACTCTGACTCCTGTGAGTGTTTGGGTTGTAGTATTCCTCAAAAACCTTTTCTTAGCCAAAACCTCAGAACCACTGGAATTATGCATGGGTCTACGATATCGCAGGGAGCAAGTGGTACAATCAAACCACTGCCGGCAGCGTGGCATCCAGAACAGGATTTTGTGCTGTCGTCGAACAAGATCTCTCTACGTGGTCGTACCAAATCTATGTGATTGGAGGAGCGGACTACTCGTCAAAGAAGTCGCTTACTGACGTGTATGTCTCAATTATTTTATATGTGATAATTTCGACCTAACACTGACTTCTCAGCTTCTATCTATCTATCGACCCCATCTTTCAAATGGTTTCAAGCAGGACCTCTCAACAAGCCTCGCATGACCCTCGGAGTAGGAGGCAGACTCGCGTGGGCGGACGACGCCGATGCAGGATATTACGATATGCCCGCTTTTGTATATGATGCCCAGTCTGAGGTCATCCGGACACAATTTGACGTATGATTATTTGCCTTCCAGCAGATATTTAAAAATAAAAAAATACGCACTTACCCATCCACTGCCTAGACTATCGACATATTCCGTCCCCCCCGCAACAGCCGATGACATCAAATCCTCGCCCTATCCATCAATATGGGCTGATACAGCTTCGAAATCACTTTTTGTACAGAGAACCCAGGGTACCATCAACTCCGCGGATGACACATCAAGCAACAAGGGTGATTCACCAACCAACCTCGGGGCGATAGTAGGTGGTGTGGTCGGTGTTGTTGCCGGTGGTGTTGCCGGTGTAGCTATCATATTGACAATAATCTTGATCATCAGATGGTGACGGCAAAATTACCGGAAGCAACCACAGGCTGAAATGTGGTCAGAGAATGCACCGGTGGTAATGGGAGGTGAAATGCCAGCTGAGGCGCCGCGGCGGGAGTTAGATGCACGCAGCAATACGCGCAGTGAATTACGAGCGAACGAGAGGTTTGCCTACGGACTAGATGGAGATCGAATATCGGGTGTATAAGATTAATTTGCTTTCTTGGTGGCATGTTAACATCTTGTATATACTATAGAGCTTTGAGCATAATGAAAAATTCAAGAACCTAGACTATTAGTAAAGAGGCTCAATCTATGTAAAAGGTCATCAAGACTCAGTAAGACCAGAGTAGTATTTGCATCCAATCATGTATCTTACAAAGATTAATTGTGCCTCTAATTTAATAAATGTAGCACAACTTTTTATAATACTCATATTAAACATATTACATACTCTATTTCTAAACACCACCCCTAAATTACAACCCATAGCACCATATTGCTTGACTTTAGTATAGTCAACTTACTTCCACTATCTAGGTCTAATAGATGTAAGGGACACAGCTGAATCAATAGTTGATTAGGTAGACTATCACCAAGAGACTTAGCTGAAGAGAGGAAAAGAAAAGAAACATGAAGCTACTGTGTTGTGTTGCCCTTATGGACGAAGGGTCACGTGACTACCACTCATTCACTGATTGCCTAAACCTCTATCCGTGACAATAGATTCTTTTTTATGATACTCTTTACTCTTATATCCGTATAGCTATAAATATATCCGATATCTATCTATTTCTGGAAATCATCTACTAGGTTATGGAGGGCTGAGTCCCTTAAGCCGTACCTAACATAATATGTAATTTAGTATCTTTTATTGATAGCCAAGAGTTATTTCAGTGTAGAGCACGGTATGGCTCCCAGGCCGAATCACTATTAACAGTAATTTCATGGTCACATCCAATAGGAAATGTTGTTGGTGATTCGGCAAGGACCGATGGATAGTATAGTTAAATATACTGCTGAAACACCTTCCCGAGGAACCATTGGCAAATAAAGGTCCGCAATCACCAAACACTGCTAGAGGTCGGTTTCAGACCTTTCTACATCGCCCAGTGTGCCTCGGAACTCAGACAATCATTGATCTAATACACATGAAGACTAGTTTATTGACCCAGCTCGAAAGTCTGACCCGATGTTTCAGGCAAGCAAGAATACGGAAGGCGGGCGTTCTTTTGTCCGGTCGGGCATGATATATCGCCCTTTGCTGGGAGAGGACACTGGCAAGCTGAAGGGACGCTTCAGAGCAAGGGTTGCCTAAAAGGGAAATCCCGTGCCACGGTTGTAGACGTCATATGACGACTACAAGATGCCTTTAAGAGATTGAAAGGACAATGGATCATCAACCCCTTTTTGGGGATTAGTGATATCAGCTTGCATCAGTGGGCTGTACAGTATGATTGTCCAACCCTCACATCAGCACGGATACCGCTAGTGTCTGAGATTGAAGCCAGCGGGGAGGAGGGGGGTTTACTGCAGGATAGTACTAGTATTACACTTCTTGACTCGTACTTGATTTTTGGCCAGACTTTATAGTTCTCCTTTTTTTGAGAGAGGTGTGGTCGGTGAACCGGACACTGACAAGAATGAATAGAGACACACCTACAAGTTCAAGATGCCTGGTTTTTTGGGGTGTTGTTATCCACCCCAGTGCGGGGTTTGCTTTTCAAGACTTTTTGGGTCCGGGGTAAGTGGACTTGTCATCATGCAACTTAATGCATTCGTCCCGTGCCTCATTGGCCGCCATCGAGCGGGGTTGGAATTCTACAGACCCCTTGGATCCAATGGCGACCAATGGCGGCCATCCATTACGAAGTACGGATACGTGTGCTGAAAGTGGTGCCGGTATTTTAAGTAGGGATTTCGGCTCAGCTCTGGTGGATCTTGTGGGGGGAGTCGCTTCAAGAAGTTACATTGGATACCTCATACCCAACGCTTCGGGAGGATCTTGTCTTGACCCGCTCTTATATTCTGATAAGGGTTTCGGGGGGGTTGTCCCAGTTGCCATTCTAGACGTTCGTAGTGTGTTTTGGGTAGAGACTTGGGCGGGATCCAAAGGTCAGAGTACATACATTATATGTGTGTACATACTCATGTACTGTAGATGTGGCATGATGGGCGTGGTGTGATAATCCTAGAAGGGTTGCAGCGTCTATTAAAATCCAGGATACATTTTCTTTTCTGACCGTATTGTAACAACAACCAAACCACCCCCCTTGATTACAGCCACGAATCCTACAGGTATCTTTTAGGCATTAATAAAATTCTCATGCACATTCTTGGTTTATCTTTAATTGAAATTTCTTAACGAAGGTAACGTTACGGACACGGTAACTCCATCCCTGCCATCGTTATGTGGCCATAAATCACCCACCCTACTAATAAATAAATGTAGACAGCAAAAAAAAAAAGAAAAGAAAAAGGAAAAAAAGGAAAATCAATGCAGGCCTTTGGCTTCGGACCAGTCCGCCGCTGTATGTGTATGTTTACCAGAAACATCCCTGTCCATCTATATTACCCCTCATACGAGCAATTCATCTTAGTCGCTTCATGTATCGTAGTGTGAGTAGGGCTGCTGCTGCAGTAGTGTACGCAGCGCCCCCAGCCGTGATCCAGACGGGTCGGTGGACAGCAAACGAGGTTTGAACGATCTGGGCCTTTCTGCGAGACTTGTCTTCCTGGGGTTAGGAGAGTGGCCACATCCGGTCGTTGGTCTCTTTTCACATACCTGTGGTCAAGAGTCTGTCCCTCCAAGCGTTGGCCTGTCGCCGTCCATATTGTCCAACTTGAGAGCCCAGGGAGGAGAGGCTCTGAATGACTGGAGCCGACATGATTGCTTTGATAGCTTTGTAGATAGGCGAGAAAGCTTGTTATGTAGAAGAAAAGTCACCAAGAGGGTTACTGTCAAGGTCTTGTCACTCCAGAGTGACTCGATGAGGACATAAAGGATACCAGGGAGAGAAAATGGACTCCCTTTATATCAGTCCCACGGGCCATATAAATAGATGATGATGCGGGGTACAGTCACGAGACATCTTGCAACTCATTTGAACTGAACCGGCCAATCGAGTCCCTATGCATTTATGTTTTGGAGGGGTGCGATTGGATGTCATGTCGCCGTCGATCCGGTGTGCTGCACAGCGCCCCTGGAAACTCGAAGGTTAGTGACATGATCGCTGGTGGCATGCCAATCAGACTTCGCCGTTAAACGTCTAGCTTTGCAAGCTTCAAGGAGCCAGATTGCCACTGAAGGCTAAACGTCCAGTGCTGATAGGCCAGATGAGGTGGTGTTGCTATGTTGTCGGGGGTCATGATCGCATACGCATTGGTGGGATTGCCCGTGTACCTCCTTACGTGTCTCTTGAGGGCTTGTTATTCCTTGGCGAACGACCAAAGGCGTCTTGCTTTCGCCAAAGTCGCCTGAAACCCCAGTAATTAACACCCAAAGGCAACATTTAGGCTATTTAGGCTATTTCAAAAGCACCCGACGCTTGTTATGCAAGGAAAATCTAGCATCAGTCACTTAGCTGAAGAAGGTTTATCTTTGGTGTATTCAAAAGATTATGCATGTAGCATCTACATATTGTCTAGGAGTAGCAGGGTATCTGAGATACTTCCCTCTTACCACCAACCAACGCGCCAACCATCCTTTCACTGACTTGAGCAAGAAAATACTATATCATGGAAAACGCCATCCAGGAAACCATATTATTTGGCCAACTTATTAAGCCCCCTTTAATTCACCAGCTTGTGTTTTGACTAGTAGAATGTGAAGAACGAACTTGCATCTGTTTAGTCAGAACGAGGAAGTAATATACCCGCATCAAGTGCCAGCTATACCCTAGATCGGGTACAAAATACCATAAACAATGAGCGTATTACTGTTCCTAGCTTGCGAACTGATTATGATAGTGGAACGTAGTCTTCCACCCTAAGCCTTATGAGGCCTCACAGTACTACGTTACATGTCTCGCGTTTTCTGCAATATGTCTGAGGTAGATATTGCAGGCGAAACAATACAACAGAGGGAGAGTTTATCCACAGATGGCTATTGATATTAGACATAAGGCATGCCTCAGCAGTGGAAGGAGCTGCCTGATTGGTTTCTACTACGGTCAATCTGACAGTCACAAATGGAGCTTGCTTGACTTGCTACCCTAAGGTTTTCGTTTCTCTCTGTCTTGCCCAAGCCCCTTTGCGGCTTTTTCGCCCCCTAGTAATCGCATCTCAAAAAAACCCATGGTGACGTCGCGGATTATCTACCGCACTCGATTGTATGTTGCCTAACTTGTCAATTGATTTGTTCATGTTCAGCAAAGAATCCTCGACCCATCAACAAACGCCTTCAGTATGAAATGAAGAGGAATGAAGATACTACAGCCTTTGGTTTTGATATCACTATTCTAACTACTTGAGCATTTCATCCTGTACAAACCCGCACAGAAATCCGGAAGTCAATTTCCCAGTCAACTGTTCAATTGGGTTCGAAGGCTTCTACGAGGCGAGATCGCACCCTGAGTGATAAATTTCGGTCTTGATATGGTTATAAAATTTCGTTTGAAGGCTTCGATAGCAACGCTACAGTTTGTTCTGGACCAAGTACTTGATTCCAAACACTTGGCCCTTCTCATAAATCAGCCACGATGAATCTCATCATTTGGACAACAGGTCTAGCTCTTCTTACAACGGACGCAATACTCTAGCCAAAGCCTAAACCAAAGCGGTGTCCGTGCAAAAGAGACAAGAATACACAAGACCATGACCTCCAGACTCACCTAAGCAGCGGCTGAGACGCATCAACGTAAGCCGCTCGGGATATAGCTCAGCGTGGGTAGGCCGTAGTGCCTTATATGGGCCACGAGAGGTTGATAATGTGAGAAGGCTGTTTGTCTCGATTTGCAGCCTCCGCTGGACACGGCATTCGGGTTAATCTAATCGCACAAGTTCCAGGGGTTACTCCAGTACTAAGTGGCTTGGTATGAGCAGAGAACTATTGAAGGTTCGCCGTTTAACCGTTGCCGTGCGACTCGACTGCACCAACTATACTCTTAAGAGTATAACGTTTTACCAGCAAGCCTAGGGCAGAGTGATCTTCTATTATGTTCTCTCTTCTGGTTGAGGTTCTCGGTGTCACAACTGCTCATCTAGCTCCTTCAACATGGTCAGAGAGCTTATGTAGAGCTCGTCCCAAACGGTATGCTATTTCTCCCGTTTCCAGCAATTCTTCGAAGTTATAAGAGTCACTAGTGCGCACTAACGTCTGATCCTTAGTTGTCAATTGATTCTATATACAGAAAATATTATTACTATCAGTATTCTCAAGGAGAGAGAATTGAAGCAAGCGTAGACATCTCATTTGGACTATCCTTGGCTTTAGCATGTACCAAAAGACGCTATCAATTTTATGACCGGGCGCTGTACGCTGTCGAGGAAAGGTCGTATGAAACATGTTTTGAGCTATATATTACTGACCTTGAGGGAAAGGGGTTAACCGGACGGCCACTCACTCCTTTTTACCCCTATCTACTTCTCTCGCTCCGAGTTTTTGATAAGCCATGAGAGTTCCCACGCCCACTTCAATCACAGCTTTGCTGGCAAAGCTTCCTTTGAGGAATTATCTTTACGTTGTTTTTCCAGTCCTCCTTTGCCGAAGCACCTGGAGGGCCTCTTAAACAGCATGATGTACTACTATCGGTCAATGCTACAACCAGCTATATAAGCAGTGCAGACGGAGGTTTCGCGTTCAGTCGGTTGAGTGTCCGGGTCAATTGCGAAGTCGCCTACGTGGAATTCGTGAATGATTCCAACGAAGTCTTAGATGATATTCAGGGACGGACGATGGCCGATACGAAGACCGGCGTGGGTCTGGAAACGGGATTATACAATATGGACCCAGACGCAAGGCTCCCTCATTGGCCACCTGGGAGAAAGGCAGGCATTCGATTCCGGCCTAGTTGCGAAAAGCTTGGCTTATTCTTCGTGACGTGGTACTTGAAAGTACAGATGTTAGTATAACATAAGAGTTGATGCTGATCGGTGAACAGTTAGATCGAGTGGCACCCGCCTTTCAGACTCCGAGAAATCTACGAAGGGCATGTACCCACAGAGCATTTAACACAATTAGCTTCATTAAGAATCCCATTGTTTATGAGCCTATACGGGATTCGCGATCCTCCTCATAGTGCCAGGATACTTGGGCGACTGGAGAGTAGGTTATCCAATACCCCGATGGCAAGCAAATGGATAGCTGACCTTGCTCCAGTAGGAATCTAGTCACGGATACGGACTGAATTGGGCTCTGCGGATTACGAAGTCGACATTTGGCGCAGTGGTTTTGATGGGGCACCTGGTACGATGAAGAGACTTGGAAGGCCACGCTGTGTTGATAACCGTGCCAGCGTCAGGGGACTCATATATACTCCGAGCATATGAAGAAGAAAACCCATTAGATTGGTAAATTCTCGTTTGCCCCTTCGCCACTCCATACAAACCTCTGGCTGTGCCTGTTGGACAATTGAGCAGGGCTTAAGATAGCAGCTGATACATTATAGTGAAGTGGGCTAATTATATAGAAACCCTTACAAGCTTTTGGGCGCCAGCGCATAGCTATTGTAGTGTGAGTGAGGGAAGAACAGCGGCAAGGCTTTTTCGGAATCCACTAAAGCCAAAGCTGGATTCTATCATCCTTTGCCCTATTACTTTCACCCAAATGCGGAAATCTCACCTCTCACCCGACTTTTAGTCAGTGTCTCACAACCAAGATGGCCCTACAGGTTAAGCTGTTAGCGAAACCCCTCAAGCAAGTTTTCTCACGGTGCTTGCTCTTTCTGAACCTGTCCACGGCGATGACAGACTCGGTGAGTTAACCTAGGCTCTTCCAAGAAGATAGTTACTGACTGATCGCATTGACAGCAGCCCAAGAAACGGTCGTGGGGCAGCGTGGCCCTGAGCTAGCAGTGAAGTGGACTTCAAGTCTGTTACTTCGCAACACTGCTCCTGAGAGGGCTGAGAACAATGCCGGCACGTTCACACTGTTTACTGTGGGTAAGTTCTAGACTGTCTTGCATTCTTCTCCCCTCTCTTCTTCTTTCTCTGTCTCTCTCTGTATTTTTTCTAACGACTGGGCTTCGGGGGCTCACATGTTGCTGCTTTCTTCTTAGGCCTGTTTCTACAAGTCCACGATCCGCCGCATGTCCTGTGAATGGACTAGGATTTAGGCAAAGTAACTTATTAAGTATATAAGAATTGCTTTTACCATGAACTTGTACTTATGTCGAAATAAAGGGCGTGGGAGGGGGCCTTGAAAGCATCAACCGAGAATTCAAGCATGTCACGTATGAGTCTATGTTTAACTATTTGATTACTTGAATAGTAAATAAAACAAAGACGTGCAGTCACGTGGGCCACCGCCTTATCGCCGTCGTGCAGATCGATCTGATGACTTTCTCCCACCGCGCAAGATGAGGACTCATACCAAAGTCGCAGGAACCCCGGATTATGACCACCCGGCTTTCTGGGACAAGAAGTTTGCTACCGGCCAAGATGTCGGTGAATGGTTGAATCCGGGAGAAAGTCTCATCCAGGCCACTCTGTCCCATTTAGAGACACGACCGTTTGTTCCAGAACGATCCCCTCGAGTGTTACATCTCGGACCCGGAATTTCGAAACTAGGGACAAAGCTTCGCGAAGCTTTTGTGGAACGCGACTGGGCGGGGTCTGGCATTGTTGTGCGTCTGCTCCCTTGTAAAAATATGCTTAAAAAAAAATAAATAGGGAAAATCCTGCTAACGGGAGCTGCTTTTATAGAACGTCGACTTTTCGTCCGAAGCCGTCCGCCTTGGCCAGGAAATCGAGAGCCAACAAGACCCGTCGCATGCAATGCGCTGGTCGCACATTGATCTGCGATCGTGGAAGGATGTCTCATGCCTGATTCCGTTTGCACCTTTCGATGTAATCCTCGATAAAAGCACAAGCGACGCCATTGCGACCTCTACACCCGCCACGTTTTCACCGACCTCCACCACACAAGACCTTTGCCCGGTGGTGCGCGAAGCCTTAGACATGCAGGGAGAAACAACCCTATCTCCGGTCGAGCTGTTAGCGTTACATCTTGTTCCGTTGACAGACCAGGGGTCGACTTGGATTACCCTTTCCTATTCGACGATGCGATTTGATAATCTTTCTCGATTGTCGCGATACTGGGACATTGTCTCGCGTACCCCGTTGAAGGCTCCCCAGGGCCAGACGTCTTCTTTTGCCTACGCGCCGGAGGTTTTTCATTGGGTATATATACTGCGACGCAAGTGAGGGCTTTTCTATTATTCCGAGGTAACTACGTAATCGACGTAAAAATAGGCGTGGATTGAACAGGGAAAGGTAATGTCACCCACGGTATGCTTGCCACAGAGACCACACAACACGCGTGGGTTTGTCTAGCACGGGCGCCGTCTTTTAGATAGGCTTACGGCGCCGTGAAACGTGCCCATGTAGAGAAACTGCATAACTAACGTTGCACTTTCACTACACAGGAGCCGTATCTGATGTCTTGGTGAAACATATATGTAAGGTCTGGGTCACCAAGCCGGGAAAGTATATCTGACAAGTGAATATGATTTATACAATTGAACAGCTTCGTCATTAGCAAGAATCCAGACTATCCCATACCAGTAAGAACTCCAACACTGAAGCTCGTCATCATATTTAGCTCGCGTCTTTAATACTTTCACCCCGGTATCAGGTGTAGGGGCTCTACGCACTACTTTGTTAATTAACCATCAAGTCGATACTTTAAAGAAACTGTGGAAGACTGGGAATAGTTAGCCAAGCTCGGATCCAACATCGCTCTCACATGATATGCAACTGGAGATAATCCGATCACTGTGATATAAAAGGGGTAACAATGCTAGGCCTAGTTCAAGTAGTGTTGTTTCAGCGAATTGAAGACATAACAGATGACGAAAGCTTAGGTGAGGTTAAAAAGAAAAAGGTGATGAGACCATGCCTTGTAGGTAATATATATTGATGTCGGCTGTGAACCTACTTAAAATCAACATTAATGATGGTTTTCTTTCTTCTCTTTCTTCTCTTTCTTTTCCCTTTTTTCCCTTTTTTGTAAGTGTTGAGTCTGTCGACATAAATAACTAGAAAATACGAGGGATGTTAAATTAGCCAGCCGCGATTGGGTCAATGCACTACGTGATGACCCGGTTGTGCCAATGGGTCCTGATATTTTGATGGTCCTGGTGGATATTGATCTGCCGCGAACTAACTCGGATTTGTTATAGGGCGGTAGTGAACGGCTAAGGCGCTCACGATATATTATTGTTCGGATCGAAAATTTTTGTCTCTCGGATATCAGTTGTCTAATACTGTTGAAATTGCCTTTTGATATATATATGTAACTAGTGGGTGGATTAGGATATTGCGCGGTTATATATCGGTTGGAGATATTTTCTTGCCGACGTATCTAATGGAAATCTTCCAATGATGATCATCCTTTTTTTTTTTAATTATTTCCCATTTCGGCGTAGTTTAAAGGGGACCAGAACATATATTCAACCGTAACCGTTTGATCGTAATTGATTTATGAATGAATCGGAAAATACAGGATGTCTCACATTTGTGTTGCGGTTGGTGGGTCTGAGCTCAAGAGCAGGAAGCTATGTATTTAATGGATATTACTATGGATATCTTTTAACGTGAGAGAGATCTGAGAGTTTCAAGACAAATCTGTCAAACTGCCTGTCACGGGAAATCGACCCGTGGACCAAGTGTGGAGAACGGTCCGGGGATTGCGATGCTGTTGCGTGATTGGGCCACGGTCCATAGCGGTCAAGGGCGGCGATTCTGCCAGGGGCAAAAAGGCCGTTAGCCTTAGCGAAGTACTGTTCCATCAGACCTTCCCATCTTTTCCTCCTTTGCGGGGGTATTGCCTGATCCTTCTTCATTCCTCGCTGCTTCAAGCAATGCCCTTGTTCCCATCCCGCTCCCCTACTCTCCTGCCAATCTCATAGCTTCATATGCCGGACTTGTCGGTCACTGCAGGTGCAGTAGAGTGTGATATCGCCCGATAACATACATACGATACTTTGACACAGAATGGTCGGCGTTCCTCGCAGCAAAGGTTGTTTGCTCTGCCGCAAAAGACGCATCAGGGTTGGTTATTGTCCTTCCATATCAAATTATCTCTTTGTATTGTTGGCTATCGCTAACATCCCTGGTTAACTTCGATGGGAGTAATTAGTGCGACCAAGACCGCCCGCATTGCTCGCAATGTCGTAAATACGGCGCCGTGTGCCCCGGCTATAAGCGCTCTCTGAAGTTTCAGGACGAGGGGCCCCGTCTGCAGGAACGCTATCATATAATGTCTCCAAGTGCGGATGGGAGCGATGAGAGTGAAGGTCTAGTATCGGACTCGGTCCCCGTACGAACCTTAATACAAATGCGTCGCTTTGCGGAATCCTCTCTCGACGAACGGATTTGCCCGTCCTTGGCATATAAGTCCTTCTTGAGTCAGCAGCCACGCATCTTCAAAGACTTTGTCTGTGCTTCGTTCCCTACCATGTACTACCATAATGAATTTCGGTTCGGAAACGGGTTTACCTTCCCGGATAACGTCGTTAAAAAGTTTGGCTCCAGGCCGTACTATGATGCGACGGTGTTGTGTCTGTCTATGGCCTATCTAGCCCATTTAACGCAGGACCCCAATCTAGAATACGCAAGTCGACATAAATATGCGGAAGCTTTGGCTGGCATCAAAAATGCCCTGAATTCGGATGATGCTACGTCGGATGCCCTCCTGATGGCAGTCATACTGCTGGCCTTCTATGAAATGAACGTACGCACTACCGAGGACGCATGGCTCCACCACGCAAGTGCAGTGAGACAGCTGATGCGAAAGCGTGGCATGAAAGCCCACTTGACGGGCCCTGGCCGCGTTTGTCACTTTGCTTTCAGGCCATTTCTTATTGGTGCCGCTATTCAAAGGGGCGAACCATGTTTCTTAAGTGAAGATTCGTGGCAAGAATTGGCGGCAACCCTGCGAGATGAGGATTCTCAGAAGCAAAGCGAATGGGCTTTCTACATCGACGTTTATGAGAGAATTTTTATGGAGCTCGTAAAGTGCCCTGGATACGTCAGGGAAGCCCGGGAACTTGTTTCGGTGACCTCACCGGAGGCCAGATCGCTGGTGCACCGCATCCGTACAACATGCGATCAACTTCAGAGGCTGAGCAAAGAAATGCGAACCTTGCTGAGTTCACATAATCAACGCAACCAGGGGATCACCCTCCGTTTCGTCGGGCCGGAACCCAAGCTTTTCCCTGAAACAAGTCCGTCTCTCCTCCTCCGTGCTGGCGTTGACGCTGTTCGCATCCTGGAACAAATCCTAAATCGGATCACCATACCTACGATTACCGGAGAGCCAGACTTTACCATACATGATGGAGCGCTAACACCCGAATCGAACCCCGAAAGTGCTGATGATGCTGAGAGGCCGCTTCTATCCTTTAAACTGACGTGCGATCTTGGAGACGGCCCAGCTGGTGAGGATGACCAGCGTGTCTTTACCTGGCTGGACCGAGTCGCTGGAGCCATGGGGTTGTTAGGGGCTGAAATTACGTATGGGCCCAAACCTGGAATACAGACGGACCTAGCCTTACGAACGGTTCGCACTTTGACTCCAGTCGACGATGAACTCCCGGAGCCTCGAAGATCGTCGGGCTGAGGGAGCCCGGCGGACTGTGCTCAACTAACTTGCCGAAAACACAGTTCGAATAAAAGCCATGGGATGTGTGCGCCATGGACGGAAATGACCCGACTTATCTGGTTCTAGGAAAAGGAGGCTTCCACGTCATTTTCGCATACCTCCTCACCAAACAGCCCAATTGTTCCTGCCCTTGAGCTTGCCGAGCGCAGACATCGCCCAGCGCTGGGGTCAATTTTCAAGACATAACCGCTACGTTACGCTGGTCGGTCGCATGTCATGGCTGGAAGGACAATCAGGGGCATAAGTTCTAACCAGAAAAGGCAAGCAATATAAAATGCTTCTTCTGCCCGTAGAATTATCTGTCATTCTTGTCTGTTAGGTTCCCTGTCTAGACATCCCCGGGGTACCTAGGATTGCTTGCTAAATGAACAATCTGGACATATAACCACTATAATATAATCATAATAAAACATATTTATTCTCTATGCACGTCTTGATGAGAGCTATTGTCCACCTAGCTCTTGGATCTCATCCGCATCCAACAACCCCAAGGCCTGCCTTCGGGTAGGGGCATTGGGATCGAAGAATGGCTTCTCTGCGAGCGCCGTGACCCGAGTACCATGTCTAGGCTCCGAACCTTCGTAGTCCCAGCTAGCATTGTGAATCGTAATTCTGCTGCGGGTTAGTGTCCCAACTCCGAGAAAACTTGTGACCAGATCAATACTACTGACCTGTTGTCCCACAAAGCACTCGTCCGAGGAGTCCATCTGAAGCGAACCTGGATGTCAACATTCTTCTCATATACATCATACAGATACCCCAGAATCACATCGCTCTCGGCTTTGTCTAGTCCTACAATCCGATCGGTCATCGCCCTGTTCACCCAGAGCGCCTTCCATCCCGTTGCGGGGTGGACACGGACAATTGGATGCTCCCGCTCGATGTATTTGGGGCCCACCTCAGGATTCTTGCGGTCTAGATAGGGGTGGGAGGAACGGTAGATGGCTGTTCGTCCGTCGATGATTTTACGGAACTCAGGAGACAGCTTTTCGTATGCCGCGTACCCGCTGGCCCACAGGGTGTCACCGCCGATCGTGGGGACCGCATCGTTATGAAGATGTGTTACCCCTGCTGGTTGACGTTCATGGACTAGATCAGTATGCCAGCGAGACGCGCCCCCAGGACGACGGTAACTGGCGGTTTGTTCGGTTGCTTGGAGGGCAGGCCACAAGACCGAGACACCCGGGAGACCGGGCACTTGAGGTACTTGGGGCTACGGTGGCATTATGAGACTAAGTGCGAAAGGACGACGCGCAGAGGGCGTATAACTTACGTGGACTTCAATCTCCCCGAAATGTTCGCCAAGGGCCTTCTGTTGTTGAGGAGAGATATCTTGATCCCGAAAGAAGACCACGCTTCGTTCCGCGATCAAAAGACCCAGCTCATCTCTCTGTTGATCAGTCAAATCCTTCAGCTGCAACCCCACAATTTCAGTTCCAATATGTCTAGTCAAGTGAATGACTTCTTTTGCCGCGGACAGCAAGGCCTTTTTCTCGGGATCGGCACGGGTGCCGGGGTCTACATGGGCACGATCATAGTTTCTGATCCTATAAACATCATCCGCGTAGAGGGGTCGGGAGGGCCGATATGGATAGCCATTGGAGAGATCAATGCCGGCTCTTTCAAGCCGTTCGCGACTCGCTGCTGGAAGGGTGAGAGTGTCCTTCCGGGGCTCGGCGACGTCCACAATCCGCGGATCGATAGGAGCAGGTGCCATTATGCAATCACAGTATAAGCTTTTTCTTTACAGTTCTAATAATTCCGGGCGATTTCCTACAAGAAGCGCAGTGACTTATTATACTTATTCTATGCGAGACTTGATTGATAATGCTGATTGAGTCGATCGCGGAGAAGCGATCACATCATCACCATCGAGCATTACGCCTTCCACATCTCACTCGTCATATATCTGGAGGATCCTGAACACATTCCCACTATTGCAACCCCTCATACATCCACAAATCCCCTCATCAGAGAGGCATCTTATCTTTACCCAATCTCGACCTCGAGGTCAGTCCGTTAACCGGAGACTCTCCGATCTCATCATACAAGGATACGATGGCGACTCGAATTGTCTGATTTCCAATCCGTCAACGCTGCAATTGATAGCATATTGGTCCACTTTTTTTTCCAAATCATTCTTTTTGACGGCACACCATCCGACTGATTTGGGTTTCAACGACGCGTTAGCTATAGTGGTGTGTTGCTTACTTCCGCGGCTTGTGCCATTACACCACTTGAGCCCGACATAACGTGAGTTGTGAGGACACAAAATTATTCTAGTATCTTTGCCCACAATCGAAATCATAAAAGTGCCCTATTCCACGGAAGATCATCGATATACTACTTGAACCAATACATAACAGCAATCAAGATGACTCGCACCCAGGTCCACAAAGTGGCTGTTATTGGCGCCGGGATCAGTGGTGTCGTCTCTGCGGGTCACCTCCTTGCTGCAGGGTTTGATGTGACAGTTTTCGAAAGAAACCAAGCCGCAGGAGGAGTCTGGTATGTGCCGTGAGGTCTTTGCCTATGGGCTTCGATGTTCATGTGATACAGGCTGTACGATGAACGACGACCGCTAGAGCCACAGTATCCTGCGATAAGGCCTTCGGAAACAGATCAACCGGCGAAATATCGACAAGAGAGGGAGAAGTTCCTTCTCGAGCATGCACCCCCTGGGTAAGCGAGTCCGTTGCATTCTTGACTGGTGGTTACTCACATCATGTAGCCCCTGCTACGACGGGTTGAGGAATAACGTCCCCACACCTCTGATACGAGTACAACTCAATTCATGGCCAGAAGGAACCCCAGACTTCGTCAATCACAATGTAATCAAAGACTACATTCAAGATACGTCTAGGAAAGCGAACGTGCACGATGTCACGATCTATGGGGCACGAGTAAAAGATCTTCACAAGCAAGGGGAAAAATGGGAGGTTGTCTGGTCAACTATTCATGTCAATTATCAATCCGACACCGTGGAAGAGGTAGAAGAGGTCTCTGTAAGCGACACGACTTCCAAATCTAGTGATAGGTCCCGATTTAACGTGAAATGCTCACAGACCTTTGATGCGGTCATTGTTGCCTCTGGACATTACCATGCGCCTCGTATCCCAGATATTCCGGGTTTGTCGGAAGCGAAGAGTAAATGGGGATCTCGGATAATGCACTCAAAGGCGTATAGAAAGCCTGATGGGTTCGAGAGCAAGGTAAGAGTGTCCCTAACTGAGATACTATTGGGGATTAACGAGCGTTAGAATGTTCTTCTCATCGGCGGCGGAGTTTCATCCACTGATATTGCCAAGGAAATCGGCCCCGTCGCCAACACAGTTTACCAGAGCACGCGAAATGGCGAATTCGATCTTTCTCCCGATATGCTCCCGGAGAATGGAGTGAGAATCGGTGAGATATCCCACTTTGAAAATCAAACTGATACGAATGTGAGCTCCGACGAGCCTTTGCCTCTCATAGTCCACCTAAAGTCAGGTCAGAAGCTGTGTGGGATCGATAGGATCATTATTTGCACTGGTTACCATATCACGCTTCCTTTCCTGCGAAATTACCACAATGATGAACTGGCCTCTGAACATGCTGATGAGAAAATCCTCGTCACCGATGGGACTCAGGTGCATAACTTGCACAAAGACATATTCTACATTCCGGACCCAACCCTCGCATTTATTGGGGTTCCTTACTATACCGCTACATTTACATTGTTCGAATTCCAGGCAATTGTCGCGACGCAAGTGTTCTCTGGAATCGCCAAGTTACCGTCTCAAGACGCCATGAGATCAGAGTACTTGGAAAAGGTCAAGGCAATTGGTAGTGGAAAGAAGTTCCACTCGCTGAAAGACAAGGAAGAGTTCTACGTGAATGATCTTTTGCAATGGGTAAATGATGACCGGGCTACACAAGAGCTTGGCCCTCTTGAGGGCCATACCCCCAAGTGGCTAGAGGCCAAGGAGTTACATAGACAAAGAATCGCAACCAACTTCCAGCAAAGTGGTCGCAGGGACAGCGGTATCGGCGCGCTGCCGGTGTTGGCCGTGTGTAGTTAAGCTGGGTCTTCCTTTAGCAGGAGATTATCTAGAGCTAAGCTGCATATCTGATGCCCTTCCGCTTCAAGCTTTCGTAGTTTTCCCGTAGTGGTCCATGCCTGGGCACATCATCCACTATCTCGATGACGAGCTTCGCGCCAACGACGAATCTTTAGCACCGGTTACGCCACAGCTTCCTTGTAAATCATCTCTGATATATACGTAGATATTACCTTGATTGGCTGGGAATTTCTTCATAAGAACTAGTAAAAACTAACACTATCTTTCCCCCGCACCAAGGCCCATATCTCTGTGTTATAATTCGACATGGCCATGCTAAATGCCGACGCAGCAATTGCGCCAACACCGCTATTATGAGGAATCCATCCTCCCAGCTAGCGGTCAGCGTCCGTAAATTTGGCTCACGGGCCCTTTGTCTATGCTTTTGCAGAGAAATAACAAGCATCATGTGAGTGATAGACCTGAAATCTCAGCATAAATATACGCATATGATACTTACGAAAAGCCGTGCATTTGCCTTGCGATACCAGCACGACAATTGCTGCTAGACGCTTGTCAGGCCCAACGAGAGTTTGCCTACTCATATTCTAAGCCCAAATGGCTCCGTCATCGGTCGTGGCTGAGGAGCGAGCCGTCACTGCCACCGGCGATATCGTCCAGAAGACCCCGAAACGGAGATGGGTGAGCTACATCTGGGATACATTCGATAAATCGCCCGAGGAGCGCAGGTTACTGTTCAAGCTTGATTTGGCGATTCTGACATTCGCGTCTCTCGGTGAGTGTCCTGTATCATGTTTACCAGGGGTGGAAAGTGCTGAGGCAGGATAGGATATTTTATTAAATATCTGGATCAAATTAATATCAACAATGCCTTCGTCTCTGGAATGTGAGTATCTCATGACGAGGATTAGAACTACACGTTAACGAAGACAAACAGGAAAGAAGATCTCGGCATGTATGGCAACCAGCTCAATTATATGCAAACGTGCTGGACCGTCGGCTATGTTATCGGAGAGATTCCTAGTAATGTGCTGCTTACTCGTATCAGACCGCGATACTGGATTCCGGCTATGGAGGTTCTCGGTACCAAATGTTTTCTAGGCCATGGACTTTTACTAATCTGGCATAGTTACTATGGACGATACTGACTTTTTCATCGTCCCGATGCAATACCGCTACCCAGTTTTATGTCCTACGATTCTTTATCGGTATGGAGCAATGCAAAGTTCACAATCGCCAGTTGCTAACCAACAAAGGTCTCGCGGAAAGTACCTTCTACCCCGGAATGCAATATATTATTGGTTCTTGGTATCGAAAGGATGAACTCGCTAAGCGATCATGCATTTTCCATACTAGTAGTGGAATTGCCAGTATGTTTTCCGGATACCTGATGGCTGCTGTGTATAAGCTCGAAGGCCGTGGGGGATTTAGAGGGTGGCAATGGTATGATTCCCTGTCCACGATTCGAGAAGGTCCAATGGCATTCATTGATGAGGTCTAGGCTGTTTATCGTCGATGGAATTATTTCTCTTCCGATTGCGTTAAGTGGGTTTCTTATCCTGCCTGATGTGCCCGAGATTTCGAATCCGTGGTATCTGAGTAAAGAGGTAACTTGACATGTAGTCTTCTATGGTATGTAGATGCTGACGAAACGAATAGGAAGTTGCACTTTCGCAAAAGCGAATGCAGCTCGAAGGCCGGAAGAACCGAGAACCGTATACAAAATCTAAGCTGAAGAAGATCTTTACATCTTGGCATGTATATCTCCTCACCGTGTTGTACATGTAAGCTTATGTCCCACCAACATATTGACTTTCCGTTAAACTAACCGAAAAAAAAGAACATTCAATAACGGAGGCGCCGGATCCCAGCCTGTATTCCAACAGTAAGAATCAGCCCTAAATAGCCCATTCACAGATAATAACCAAGGTACTTCAGATGGCTCAAGGCCTCGACAAACCCTAAATACTCTGTCGGCCAAATCAACGCCTACCCAACAACTACAAGTGCTGTCCAAGTGGTGACCACACTAGCCTACGCCTGTACGTACTCCTCCTTCACAATATTAACTACACTATCTAAGAGAAGCAGGGTCCTCAGACACATTTCTTAACGGCAAACGCTGGCCCCCCATCATCTTCGGCGCTGTAAGTCCCACCACCGCTACTCCAACCAAACCCAGCCCAATCTGACTAGTAACCCCAGATAATAAACATAATCTGCTACGTCTCCCTCGCAGTCTGGGATATCCCTACCGGCTGGAAATGGACCTGTTTCATTCTTGCTGGCGCAGGCTACGGCCTAAGTGGACTTTGCATGGCGTATGTTTCCTCCCTTCCTCCCGTATTTTCTCCAGGCTACCATCTAACAAAATATAATAAGATGGGCCCACGAAATTTGTTCAGAAGACAATGAAGAGCGATCCCTCGTTATAGGAAGCATGAATGAAATGGCCTACGTCTTTCAGGCCTGGTTGCCCCAGGTCGTGTGGCAGCAGATAGATGCGCCGCAGTATCGGAAGGGGTATATTGCTGTTACGATTTTGTCGGTTATTTTGATTGGGACGACGGTTGTGATCCGGGAGTTGGATTTGAGGGAGCAGGTGGCCAAGTGAGTTTTCCCCCTTTTAGATTTGTTTTGTCTTGTATAGTATTTTGGGTTGGGTGCTGATTGCTTGGGTTAGGGCTAAGAGACGTCAGGTGGAGAGTGAGGAGAGTATTGTGGAGGTTGAGGGAGGGGAGTCGGGGCAGGAGGGGCCAGGGAAGGTTTGATTTTTATGATGTGGGTTTCTTTGGCCCTACATCTAGTGGTTGGTTTGTTGATTGTTGAAAAGTATACTTAGTTATGACATGGAATGTAAGAGGATTGAGTCGGTCCGGTGGACTAGAGATGATAGACTTCGGGACGGTTGATATCTCGGAAGTTATGACCTGATTAAAAACGGCGTTATATTATTCTCTGTCTTACATATATTGCCCTGAAGCATCCCAATGAAAGCTCACTAGATATCTCCAATCTACAGCACCATATTCCACTTCACCCTCTTCTCCTTCATCATGGCCAAAACCCCAACAGGCAAAAACCGCTTATCAACAAGATTCAAACCCCCAAACCGCTGCAGCAAATCATCCGCATACAGCTGCAAAATCCACATCTCCTCAGGGCTCTGATTAGAAAGCCGGAACTGGCGCCGCACCGAATCCAGCGCATCGCGGCACTCCCGCGTCTGCTGGATCCTCTTGGTATTAGGAACTAGCATTAAATCCTTGTATAGAACGCGAAGGCTGTTGCTTTTTGATTCGCGGTATCGAGTATACTCCTCGAAAGACATGAATGTGTTCATGTCTGCATCGGTGATAACCAAAGGTTCTCCAGAATTTGGCCCCGGGTTGACCGTTTCAGCGCGGCGCCGGCGTAATTTCTCGGACAATTCGTCGAAGCTTTTCTTTGCAAAGTTGTAGCTCTCTTGTTCAGATTTGGAAAACCGATCGACACGCTCTATGGGTGATAGTTCTACGGAATCTCGCATGAGTAGAACGGACAGGAAGGGGTTGCGTAGGCCTAATCCGCCGAGCTCGGCGGGGAGGAAGAAGAATGCGTCGGGAATGTCAGAAAATCCGAATCGGGACTGTATATTTCTTCGCAGATGCTCAGTTACTGTGTTCCCACTGTGTGCGGTGTTGCTATTGAACAGAGTATCCTGCATCTTCTCGTAGGTGGAGAGGATGGCATCGATGTGTGCGCGTCCGAAGCAGTGCGCCGGCTGGCCAAATGTAATCTTGAAGAAGCGTCCGATACAGCTGTTCCACGTCCGGACCCAGGAGATAACACTTTCACAACGACTGAGCTGGCTTTGGAGTTGCGCAACATGAGCGTCTACCTGTGACTGGTCGATCTCCCAAGTTTCCGTTTCGGCATTCAGTCTCAAGAATCCAAACATGACTGGTCCGGCGGGGAGGCGAGCTGAGATATCTGGATCTAGAGAATCTGCTAAATACACCGATCCTGTTTTACTCCGCTTGAATTCCAGCCCGGTAACTTTGGCGTAATCTTGCATGACTTCCCATGCCTTTGCACATCGGTTGGGTTCACCGCAAACCCACATATCGTCGTGGATACGGTACAACAGCAAGCCGGTCTCTCGGTTTACTGCCAGGTCCATGGGAAACAGAACCAGTTCCCCAGTCAGCTTCTCCATTGCGTGCGAGATCGGAACCCCTCGCTTTCGAATACGGGTGCCAATCTCAATCCGCCCATCGGCGGAGTCATCCATGTTCAATGGTGCCTCAAGATATTTCCGAAAGAAGGCGAGCCATTTATCTGGGAAGCCGAAGAACTTCATGACGGCAAGTATGGTGCTGTGCGGCAGTGCGGTGGCATACCACTGCATGTCCGACTGAATAACGGCTGCTCGACCATAGATTTGCCGATGTATCAGTACTTGGGATGCGACCTTCCGCAGCAGTTGCTGTTTAATGTTCGATGGTCCGTCAACACCTCTGTCTGCGCCATTCTCGTTGTTCTCATCATCGTACAGCATCCCCCGTTCAGCCAGGTCTGACTCTGACAACGGCATATGTAACAGGAAATCCGTTTCCAGATAACCATTCTTGCGGTGCTCCTCAATACTGGAGACGTTTTTGTCCCCTGTCGTGTAAAACTTTCGGCGCAGGCTATCTCGTTCCGTCATCCGTGGACTCGGATGCCAATTCCACGCTGACTTTTCCTTAATGAACTTTTTCAGGATGCCCTTCAGCGTACCGCAGAGCCGAACAGCAATATACTGCGTAAAGAGAGTCTGGAGGACATCTTCATCGACCCAGATCCGATACTTTCCATTTAATTGCTGGCGAGGCAAAACCGGGATACCCTCTTCCGCATGCCAATGCCAATTACTAAGATCCGCGTATCGCATATTCAAGACATCCGCCACTTCGATAAGCGATAAGGGCGACCTTATTCTCAAGGAAATATTTTAGGATATCTTGCTTTTCCTCGCTGAGAAGGTCCTCCGTCAAGAGCCCACGGATGCAAGCCTGGAGTGATTTATCATCGAAAGGGTCCTTCTTCTGCCAGAAGTCTGAGCATGAACTAGATACCCGGTCTCGGAGCTTGTCCAAAGCCAAATTGCTCTCTTCATCGGGGAAGAGCCTGTCTAGAAATGCGTGGATTTCCTCTTCCTCGGTCTCCAATGGCTCAAAGACCACCCTTTCAAACTGGTCGCATAGTTGCTGTAATCGTTGCCTCTGTCGTTCCTCGACTATCAGATAATCTTCTTCCTCGGTGGTCTTATCCGGCACTGAAGGCGAGATCATCCACTCCGTAAGAAGCCGGGAATACAGATCCGCGATGTCCAATTTCAAACTGTGGGCATCTAGGGTGGCGATCAGATGGTCCCGGAACGATTCAAGCTTTGCCTGTGGAATGGAGGAGTCGTAGCGCGCCTGGTCTAGCCATCGCTCGATGTTGGAAGACTTGGAATCCCGGGCGCTGTCGGGGCGGAGTTCCTTCACGCCCTGTAGGATACATGCGACACTGTCGCGAAGGTCTGTGTGCTGAGTCGCTGCGGTGAGGATGTTGGCTTTCTCGGACTTGTATACTATCTGTTGCTTTGCTAGTTCGCGGATTTTGCTCTGGGTTAGTGATTGGAGGGTTTTAGAGAACATCGGAGTTGTAGTTTCCATTGTAAAGCCAAGGAATAAAGGGAGGGAGGGAGAGAGAGAGCACGTATAAAGTCGATATTTGGCAATCCAGTGTTAAACAGGAGCCGACCAGTCAGATCTTTGATCTCTGTTCTCAGGGTTACTTTTATACACCGTGTGCACCCTTAGGCAGAAATGGTTGCCTGACAGCAAGGCTCTACAAAGGATCCATCAAACCTCACCTGTCAGCCTTGCCGTTCCACAACGGCCCTGTCTTTTCTCGTCGTTATATTCAATAGCTAGAGGGTAGTTTCATGTCTAACAGTTCGCAAATTTTCAATAACCTTGGGCATGGAATTAATGTATCGCATATTCGTCAGGTTGAAACTATCCGAAGGCTCCACTCTACTACGCCTATATGACGAACCTAACACAGACATTTGCGTGGAAGGTAGATAATGAAAGGGGTGGACTTTGTCTAGACATAGTGCCCTCAATTCCCGCATTCCCTCACACAGCCCATATATGCTTACGTTAATCGTCCCTCGACCAGTTGTTGTAGTAAGCCTTGAGTAGCTCAGGTATGGGCCGGAGTTGAGTAATGTCTGGATTATCGGCCATCGCTCGACGGAGGTTCTCCGTACCATAAGCGGCCATGTAGTCCCAATCATCCCACCAGATTTTGTGCCCAGAGAGTCTCTCTGCCAAAACTGGCGCAGACACTCTGATTTGTGAATCTCCTTTCTTGGTGTACTGTTGAATCCACTCCGCAGTAGAGATAGACTTAAGAGGAGAAGCACAATAACTGCTTAGCATATCGAAGACCTCCCCAAATGTCACCGTATTCTCCTGATCCGGTTGAGTGATGTTGAAAGCATGACCGAGGCTAGTGCTACTTAACGAGATTCGAGATATCGCTAAACAAGCAAAGTCTACCGGGACAAAATGGAACCGGTGGTGTGGTGGACGCGGATAACAACCGAGCCGAATGGAATTTGTCATGAGCCGATTAATCATGTCTTCCCTCTTACACATACCTGTGCGGCTGTCGCCAGTTACAACTGATGGCCTGTAAATGGCGATAGGGAATCCGTTCTCAATCGCATCCCAGACAATACTTTCAGCGACGAACTTGCTCTGCGTATAGCCAATACTCTGTGAGAAATTCTGAGACTCCGGAAGAGGTCTTATATCCTCTGGGACGGGACCAACGAGGCCTTTGGTGATGCCGCAAGCGGAGATACTGGAACAGTAATGTACCGGCTTCAGTCGCCCCGTGTTGGCAAAGCGAAGCAGTTCGAGTAACCCAAGAACATTGGTGTCCCTGTGGACGGCATATGGCAGGGTATAATTGACATAGCCAACAAAATGAAATACCACGCTCGACCACTGCGCCAGGTGATTGAAGGTTTCTTGTCGTAAACCAAGGTTCTTCTTGGTCACATCACCAGGGATCGCAATAACCTTGGATCTAAGATCAATGGGAAGCCCATATTTCGATAAGGTTCGCTTGATCCGGGTTATGCCCATGTCAGACGTATTTGCCCGAATTAAGCACGCAATGTCCTTGACCTGTGGTAGAGCGATAAGTTCCGACAGCAAGAAGGCGCCGAGGAATCCAGTTGCGCCCGTAAAGAAGACATGTCCCTCAGTCTCAGAGACCCAATCTGGTATGGAGCTAGAAATCGGCCGCATTGCCTTGCCAAGATTTAAGTCATCAAGATATGTTGGATCTTCGTCGAGCGCTTCCGAGCTATCTTCTTCTTGCTGTTCCTGGTGCATGTGCTTCTCACGCAGCTTCTGGACGGCGATCTTACTCAGCCCACCGACAGTCCCGCTGTTAGAAACCTCTACGAGTGTAATCTCGATACTGGCGTGGCGGCGGAACCAAGTGCGAATCTCGAATGTCATCAAAGAATCGATCTCGATGTTGGACAATTCATCCTGCGTCATATCTTCCGGTCGCGATGTGTAGGAGGCAATCAACTTGCCGAGCTCCACAACAAGCTTTTCTTCGGTCTCCGGTTGATCTAGCAATGCAGGATTGTTCCTGATAGCTTCCATATGCTCCCTAAGCTCATCCGCCTTCGTGCCCTCTGCTGGCCGTTCCATGGTAGAGATTATGTTGTTCCATACACTGAAGCGTGCTTCCTTTGTCCATTGCGCAGTGATTGCCGCGGAAGATAAAGACGTTGTAGTCCCGAGCCCAAGCGCAAACTGGTTTGGACAATGGAAGTGTTGCGATAATACTGCAATTTCTACTGCTCGAAGGAATTGCCCTTCATCTAACACCCGTAAAGAATTGGAGCGAGCTACCTCAAATACCGATGTATATGAAGCCTCTGCCACATAACCAATATCCCCCATAAGGCCGAGGTCAATGGCATGGGCCGGTAAACTCAAGGATTGGCGATATTTAACAAACGCATCCAAAAACGCATTTGCGGCGCCGTAGTTAGCTTGACCAGGCCAACCCAGCAAACCTACCATGGAACTAATAAGGATGAAGAAACCTAGTGAGTGATCTTTCAGAACATGGTGAAGGTTCCATGTTCCTTTGACCTTGGGGAACAAGGCTGTAACCCATTCTTCATGCGCCATATTGTGTAGATTTTGATCCTGGGTTTCGGAGGTCGTCAGCAAATCTAAACCCAAAGCAGTCTGTTTCAAATACCTTTAAGACCATTGACAGGTGGATGACACCTGAAATTGGCGTTTTCGCTGCGGAAACAGCGCGACGGACATCATCAATATCGGCTACATTCCCTGCAACAGCGACGATGTCGCAGCCTTGACATTCTAAGGTCTTGATGAACGACAGGTTCTCAGAGGAATTTGTACCAGAGCGTGAGAGGAAAACAAGATGCCGAGCTCCCTTTTCAACCATCCATGTCGCGACGGCACGGCCCAGGCCTCCAAGGCCACCCACCAGGAGGTAGGATGCGTCCGCGGGGAAGTATGCCGCCATTTCATGTACGCGAGCAACGGGTAGAGCTGATGGCGAGTCTGGCATTTTGACGACGATTTTCCCCATGTGTTGACCGCTTTGCATGAACCGGAAGGCCTTTTCCACGTTGACAGCATCAAATACAGTCACCGGATTAATAGGCCCGGCCTTACCGTCCTGGAAGTAACCCATGAGTAGTGAAAACATTTCGTGGAGAATCTCCGGCCTATCATCAAGAATCTGGAGAAGGTCTACCCCGACGAAGGATCGATTATCGGCAAACAAGTCCATCTCCAAATGACCGTGACCCAGAAAGTCTCTCTTCCCCAACTCCAACATTTTTCCAAACTTCGCAACGCATTTCCAAGATGCATGCAATAGCTCTCCCGAGAGAGAATTGAGGACTATATCGACACCCCTATTATCGGTTTTGTTCAGAACTCCCTCAAGGAAGGACGAACTTCGGGAGTCAAATATGTGGTCAGCTGGGATTTTGAAATTTTGTATGAGATGTTGGGCTTTATCTTTGCTTCCAACCGTCGCGTAAATCTCGGCTCCGATTAGTCGGCATATCTGTATCGCAGCCAGCCCTACCCCACCACACGCAGAATGTATCAAAACCGATTGACCCAGCTTCAGGTCGCCCACGTATATAAGGGAATATACTACAGTAGCATAAATACAGATTATTGCTGCAGCATCTTCGAGGGAAATGTTTTCTGGAATTGGAAGACATCGGTTTGCTCGCACGACTTTCCGAGTGCACATCAACCCGGGCTGGCAGACCATGACCCTATCACCGACTGAAAACTGGCAGGCAGCAGAACCAACTCGATGGACAATCCCACTTGCTTCCAAGCCGAGTTGGCTCATATCTCCCATGAATCCCATTAAAATCATGAGGTCCTATATCTATTAGCATGTGATCCGTAAAAATGCATCGCAACAAAGGGTATTCACTCTAAAGTTGAGACCAGTATATTTTATATCAACTTCAATATCCTCTGTATCCAGTTCATCCGACGCTAGCTCTGCACAAGTCCATCTGAGTGAATCGAGCATTGAGAACGCCTCGATATCCAGGATTTTTGGCACTTCGCTTTCAGATGCCTCAACTTGTGCCTCAAATGAGCTCCAGTGAAACCGGGGAACATATATCTTTCCCTCTTTAAGAGCAAATTCGTACTCTCGTGCGGCACCGGACTCCTTCTGCTGGGAAAGAAGCCATTCTAGCACTTGAATGATGGGCTGTATGGCCAGCCTATTGATTTCGTCGATCTCTAAGGTGGCAAAATTAGGTGCGATCTCGTGTCGAATAGTTCGAGCTACTCCTAACACTAGCGCGTACCTAGGGTCATCGCACTCTATTTGAACAGACCGCGTGACCCACAGCAGATGACTCTCGGCCAGACTAGAGGCATAGAGTTGGAAGCTCTCAAAGTCCACCGGCGTGAGCTCATGGAAAAAAGGGCCTTCAAGGTCAATCAATGAGATTATGTTCGCTCCAGGCAAAGGCGCTTTCTTGATCGTGCACCAGTTAACTGAGTACCCCGCCATTGAAAGCTCCGTTGCGAGATCCCGTGCCCAGTCTTTAATCACGGTGTGATAGAGAAGCCAAACATCTCCCCGGTGGGGAGACTTGGCGGATGGGACTCTTGACAAAATGTGGGCATTGTGTTGATAGGGCGGTTCACCATCATACCTAAAGGTCTCCACACCAGTGAATCCGGCATCCACAAGCTCATCGTGCCACTTGTCAACAGGAATATAAGGCCGCTCATTTCGGCCTTCGCCCTCTCCGAGCCACCAACCTGGTAACACGCCCATGAGATAGTCAATTATTGGGATGTCGCAGCACAGTTCAATCAATAGCAGACGGCCACCTGGGGCCAGCAGCCTACGTATATTGCGTAGCGTGTCGGAGATCCTCGGAGTAGCATGGACAACATTGGATGCGATAATTAGATCAAAGCTTTCTGATTCAAACCCTTGCTCAAGTGGGTCACGACTAATATCGAGAGTAGTGTATTCTATGGCAGGATAGGTCTTGAATCTTTCCTTTGCTTCTAGAAGAAATCCTGGTGATATATCGGTAAATGTGTAAGTGGAGTATAGTCTATTGCCGTTTTCCAATGTGAGACCCTTGAGGGCAATCAGAGTGTCTCCACCAGTACCGCCACCCACCTCTAGCACCCGAAGTTGGGGATTCGAATGTCCAACCAGGAATGCAAACTCATACCAGCTAGAAAATAGGGCTGACCGCTCGTAGAAGGTCCTCAGTGCACCGTCCTCGATAAGAAGATCAATGGGTTCAAGCTGGCCCTCAAGGAGTTTATGGATGGAACCAAGGATCCTCTTGCAGATGCGGTAAAACGGGAAAGCCATATCATCTGCCGGTAGGCATTCTAACTTCGCAAAGGCTGCATCACGCTCTGTTGGACTCAAGGTACAGAGATCTCTCTGCTCTGGCATAAGCATGGGCACATTATCACGCAAGTATTCATAGCGAGATACTACCCAAGAATGCCACTTTTTCAAGTGCTCCGGAGTGGGTTCTAACAGTCTCGTTTGATGGTAAGTTTCCACAACAAAGAGACTCACTAGCCGAACGATCCTACGGTGGCCGTCTAAGTTGGTTGGTGGCATTGGAGGGATTTGCTCCCCAATAGGAACAAAGTCGACGTGAGGACTCCAATGGATTGTCGCGACTATGGGAAGTTTTGGCTTACTTATGTCAGGGTCGTGAATGCTGAAAAACAGACCGTTGTGGAGGGAAAGTACCACGCGGCCGTCCGAGACAAGCATCGCATTTCCAGACATGGTACCTCCCGAGGTGCCACAGGAGACATCAAGTGACATTTTCCCTCTTCCAGTGCTAATATAGAGCTCCCCAATGGCCATCGGGATCGCCAAACGGGTCATCCGGCGAGGAATACCATGAGTCGCCGCGACACTGAGCAATTGCAGGCTTTCGTCTATGATAATCGGATGCAGTGAGTAGTGGCTTGCATATAAAGTCTCATCGTCGCGCAAGGTCGCAGCGGCTTGATGGCTTGAGGGACTAGCTGAAATTTGCTCTAGCCCTCTAAACTGGGGACCGTACTCTAACCCACGCTTTTCTAGGGCACTGTACCATTTTTCGGGTCTAACCAACCTGGGATATGGATTGGCTGCCTTCGGTTCAATATTCCTATCAGACCCGGGCCTCACTTGACCAACGCAGTGCTTTTTCCACGTGTTCTTCTGGTAAGCAGAGATTGTAAAGTCATACCATACCGAGTCAATGTTATCGGCAAGCTTTGTTGGCCTGAGGGTCGTAATAAGCTCCGTTGCACTGGAAGACTCTAGAGTTAGGGCAGTTCGCATGAACATGTTCCTCACTGAATAATCTGTAGAGCCTGTTATTTGCCGAATCGCTTCTCCCACTATCGCAACGTAGCCCGCACAGGGGAAGACTATGTCTCTACTTATCCTATGGTCAGTAAGCCACGGAACCTGATCTAGCTGCAGAATATTTCGCCATGTCGGCTCAACACTGGTAGATTCAAGCACCCTAGATCCCAGCAGCTCATGGTGAGGCTCTTGACGTAACCTCCAATGATTTGCCAGACGTGACTCATTCCAATACCTCTCTCCATGCTTCCATGAATAATTTGGCAAGTCACTGAGGGTCACACCACTAGGGATGATGGTGGAAAGACTAAGGGGAGTACCGTGAGCGTACAACTGACCAGCCGTGGCCAGCAGGCACTCACACTGCCCAGTTTCTCTGCGCAACGTAGGAACATAAAATGTTGTTTTATCCAGGCTGGAGTTTGTTTTTATTATTTGCCTTAAAGGACCGCCTAAGGAAGAATGGGGGCCAATCTCCAAAAACAGTTTGGCCGGTCCGTTGTCAGAGAGGATCTCCTGTACTGCTGTCCTAAACATAACGGGAGATATCAAGTTTTCGGACCAGTACGCGGTATCTAATTGCCGGGGCTCGACGATCGGTGCCGACACTACACTCGAATAGAGGGGCACCATGGTATCGTTATGACGCATATGTGGCGCTATGAGTGTCTCGTATGTCTCTTTCGACTCCAGCATATGGTGAGAGTGATAGGCAACATCTACTGCAAGACGCCTGTAGAAAACATCCTTGTCGTCATGATGAATCTGATTGAGAATGTTGTTTAAGATATCCTTATCCCCGGAGAGTGTGACGCTGGATGGACTATTTTCACAGGCGATAGTCACGCCTTCTTGCAAGTATGCCCGGGCAGTCTCCGGGCTAAGACCAACAGCAGCCATTGCACCGCTACGACTGGCAGACAATGGCTTGATTGCTTGACCGCGGAAATAGGACAGGAGAATTGCTAGGCGAGCGGAGATAGCCCCAGAGGCATATGCTGCCGCTATCTCGCCACTCGAATGGCCTACCACCGCCGATGGGATGACACCCCAGTCTCGTAACAGGTTGACGAGAGCAACCTGGATCGCTGTGCAGAGGGGTTGAGCAAATTCAACACTTCCGACACGACTGCTCCCCTCAGGTTTAGAAAGCTCCTCTAGATTTTGGTAAGTTAGAAAAGCAGTAACATAAAAATCACAGCCATAGCCTACCTTCAATGCTCCATGTAGGCCCTTCTTTGAGATCTGTCAAGATCCTATCCATCTGGTGTATGTCATCGCGAAATTTGGGGAATTTAAGCATAAGCTCCTTTCCCATGGTCGGCCATTGGGATCCTTGGCCGTTGAAAACAAATACCGTACATGGTGCCGCCGCTTGTGCTTTCTCAAATGTTGGGGGAGATCCATCTTTATCAGTGACCGCAAACGCTCTATAAGGCAGATGATCTCGTCTTCGCGCAAGGGTGAAAGCTAAATCATACAATGATGGTGCGGTATCTTTGATATAGGTAGTGATTCTTTGTATTTGCCCATCTAACGAGTGCTTATCCTTTGCCGAGAGAACCAAAAGATGGTAATCCGGCTCAGATGTTGGTGGCCGTGGTTCTTTACTCGTGTTCCTCAGTACGGAAGATGCGGATTCTAATATAACCTAATACAACTTAGTAAGCCGAGAAGCAGTCAGAAATGAGTGGGCGTACATGAGCATTAGTTCCCCCAATACCAAAAGAGTTGACACTAATTCTTTTTTCCCTATCAACCGGCCACGGTGTGGGCTCTACGGGGACCTGTAGCTTTGCGCTCTCAAACGGGACTATAGGTTGGTGAATCAATTAGAGCCTTGTCTGAAAGTCCGACGGGAGGTAATGCCTACTCTTCGGGCTTGGAGTTTGGAAGTGCACGTTGGGAGGAATGGTGTTGTTCTCCAGAGCCAAAACACACTTGATAATACTCGTGATTCCAGATGCGCCTTCCGAATGACCGACATTGGCCTTAACCTATTTAGAGTTAGCAACCACCTGATATAAATCGTTTGTCTTCCATTTAGACGAAATGATACAATCCATAGTAGTACTACTTACTGCGCCAATATATATTCCCTTCTCACCGAAGACGTTTGCCACACCCGTCGTTTCTGCCGTATCTCCAGCTATCGTACCGGTTCCATGACATTCAAAGAAGGCCGTTTTCAGCACCTCGTCACCTTCGATTCGAGCTTTTTTATACGCTCGTCTAATCAACCGCTCTTGCGCTTCGGAGCCAGGTGTAGTAATACTTGGAGTTTTGCCATCGCAGTTGACAGTTGTTGACCGGATAATTGCCCGTATTGGATCCCTGTCTCTTAGTGCATCGTCCAACGGCTTAACAAACAATGCATTGATCGCTTCGCCTCTCCCATAACCATCGGCTGCAGCGTCAAATGTCCTACAAAGTCCGCTGGAGGAGATAACCAAATTCTCCGACATCGTGGCCGTCATGGTCGGGCTCATGATCAGGTTTGTCCCCGCCACAATTGCTGAAGAGCACTCCCCTGTGTATATCGCCTGACACGCCTCGTGCAAACCAACCATGGATGACGAGCAACCGGTTCGGACGGTGACACTCGGTCCTCTTAGATCGTATTCATATGAGACCCGGTTTGACAGGGCAAAGTCGCCAGCACCAATGACCCGATATCTGTCATTCTGCTGCGTGTCCTTGCTCAGAAGATCTAACCAGTCCTCCCCGAAGACGCCAACGAAGCAGCCAATATTTGTACCCTGCCAGTTTGTCTGCCCAGCATTTTCCATGCATTCCCAGACTACCTCCAATAGGAGTCGCTGTTGGGGATCAAGCTTCTCTGCTTCGAGCTTATTTATACCGAAGAATCCGACATCTAGTTGGGCAATATCGTCCTCTAAGAAGTAGCCATGTTTTGTTCGGACGGCGCCTTCCCGGGACTCGTCATAAAATGCGTCAACGTTGTACCGCGTCTCAGGTACTCTACATAGTCCATCACGCTTGTTGACAAGGAAATCCCATAACTCTCTCCCGCTACTTACTCCGCCAGGGAGCCTCATCCCCATCCCCACAATAGCGACGGGAAAAGGAACCGGATCTTCCCTGACATTGTCGGCAACGTACTCTGACACTTTGTCCCTATTCAACCAGACTGGAGTCGGCGTGCGGTTTGAGTCGGGCTCTTTAGCTTTTGCGGCTGCTGGAAATGCTACATTGTTACAGCATTGTTCCATAGTTGCAGACATTTCCAGACAAACAACGCCGACTCTTTTTGGGATAGTTGTACCAACGATTGCTGAATTGGGACAACTGTGAAGGGGGGAACATGATATGGCAAGACTGGTATACAATCAATTATAATACCTCATAGGTACTTTATACTGGGCAAACAATCGTTCCCGATACTACTCCTTTTTTTCACCCCACCACGTCGTACATATTGACAGAAATGCGGTATATTCTGCGGTCGTATACGTTCCCTTTTATTGTGGTTGGCTCTCAGCGGCTATTCCGCCTGGCCTTTCGAGCCCTAGCCTTGTTATACTTATGTTGCGGCCCGCAAACATCCTATTTTATTACCTAGCTTCAGATCTTTACCCTTGTTGATATGTATTCGCTTATTGTCTGCCGTGGTACAAGCGTGTTCAATAGCGAGGCGTCCAGTTTGTTTACAGAATGGACTACTGCAAGAGCCTCTTGAAATAACTCTGGTACATACGGCCCATATTCTTCAGCCATCAACTGGACGTCACCCAATATCATGTCCCTGGGTATCGCCACTATCAATTCTACTTGACTAGGTCAGTGGGGAGATTACCACAGTCCTGAAAATTCTATAATCAAGTCGATGCTACCTACCTCTTACAAAATACCGGAGATTACCGAGAGTCCCTATATTGCTTCGCTAGAGGAGTCTGGCCATAAGAGCGAGGGCATACTTTGTTGGTCTGTGAAATGGATTCCCTGGGCTAGACCTAAGTGCCCGATGGAGCATTCCAGACCGACCTGTCTTTCCTCTAGTTATCGGGCTTTTACGTGATGACTACTACCACGGAACATTTTTGTCTACACTCACGGTTATTTTGTATCGGCAATATGTGCCTTCGTGGTAGCATAAACACAAGTGCTACGTTCCACAAGAAGGCCCTATTTACGGAGGCACAAACGGAGTAAAATCGGCAACATTTGAGATCGAGCTATGAATTAATCGAGGTGATCACACATCCTTGTCACTTGCATCACTAGACAAGGGTATGTTGTGTTTTTATGCTCGAACAGATTCTTTGCCTAGCGTCCGTGCGGCAGTCGCGCTCTCAGACGGTCTGAGCCTGGCCTACGCTGTTATTGTCCCTTTCTTTCCCACTGATGATTCAAAAATGGGTATTTCTGTAAACTGCGTGATATTTCACTCGGCCAACCTCTTTCTGAATTATGCTGTTGACAGACGAATGGCGCTTCATTTCCCCCTTGCCGTTGCTCATGGCGAACTTTCATTGCACTATGGAATTGGCCTCAATCTTTCTCAGGAGTCTAACTTGCGTTTCGACCAAGGTACATAATTGTTGTGCTACACTTCAGCCTTGCAAGGGCCTACGGATCATGTTAATATTATGCTCTCATTTCTATATATGTACATGTTTTAGATGCGACGAGACCGACCCGGCCCACAGAAGTTGCGAGAGCTGAGTCGTGCGGTAGTGGACTACGTGCGGACTCACAAGGTGGATGATTTCTGTACTAACGAGGGCCTGGATATCTTTTTGGAGGCCTCCTCCTCTGGTAGATTACCGATCCCAGATCAAGTTCTCCTCGCCCGAATTTTCACGTACCTATACGATCGCGATGGCTACTGCTCCTTCTTCAGGTGTGGTGGCTCGTTTGCTACAATTGTCAATGATGACTCCCCTTAAAGACGTAAAATCTGGATACTGTCATGTACCATATTCCTTTTGTTCCCTGAACAAGACGGACTTGCATGTAGCAGCTTGCCCGAGGTTCACGAAGCAGCTATATTGGATCTTTATTTTAAGCTTACCACGATCCACCATGAAATCAACATTACAGTCAGTCCCGACAGATATACAGGCATGACGACGGACGACGAATCATGCCGCGTTTAGACCAGCTGAAAGAGGTATGTATAACATATCCCATGTTCCGATATCGAAAGATTTGGTTAATTCAGGCCTAGGAAAATCCTCGCATGTTTCTGATTGTCGCAAATAGCGAACTACAGGATGCTCATCCATCCCTAATGGAGTGTCTCACTGTGACCGTTTTCTATGCTCTTCAAACCTAATCGGACCCCAATTCTTTAGGCCCTCGGAGGCACCACACTACGGTGTAAGTTTTAGCCGGACTTAATATCAGGTAGTACGTATGGAGATACTAACATAATATCTTATTTATAGACTACCTACACCAAGATCCTTATCTATTATACTATCTCGGTAGCTATGGCAATTAGCCCTCGGGTATACTTATTGTGGGAGAATGGGCGGCGGGATAAGCAATAGGGGGTGTATATTGATCCGGAAGAAATTCGTGAAGTTGACTTGCATATAGACGAGGGCTTGGAAGGAGACCATGAGATAGAAATGCAGAGTCGGAGCTTTAGATACGTTTTATAGTCCTTTGCTCGAGAGACAACGTGGGTACGGACAACAATCACGAGAAAAGAGGTGTTTGGTATAGACGACGTGTGGAAAATTGCTATTAGTAACAAGGCTACCAGACTGGGGCGACAATGTAGTTGTGCATGTCACCAACAAGCTATCTACCTCTGTCAAGAATGGCACAAGCATCCACTTCCACGGTATCCGCCAGAACTACACGAACCCATCGAATGGTGTTGTCTCCATCACGCAGTGCCCGACAGCTCAGAAAAGCACCATCACGTACAAGTGGAGAGTGATTCAGTACTGCTCAACCTGGTATCATTCTCGCATTGGCCTCCAGGCCTGGCGGGGTGTGTTCGGTACCATCAAGATCAATGGCCCTGCTAGTGCCAATTATAATGAAGACAAAGGCTTCGTTGTGCTCAATGACTGGGATATCATTACAGTGGACGAGCTATTTGATAGCGCACAAACCAGAGGGCCGCCCGCACTGGACAATGGCTTGATCAACAAAATGAATGTTCCCGGGACCGTTGGCTATGCCAACCAGACGGGCAGTAGATGGAATACCCCTTTCACAGAAGGGACTTCCTATCGATTCCGCCTGGTCAATGCAGCCATCGACACACATTTTAAGTTCATGATCGATAACCATACTATGACGGTTATCGCCAGCGACCTTGTCCCCATAGAGCCGTACAATACTACTGTGCTCGACATCGCAATGGGTATGCCCACTTCATCAATGACAGTCTCAGGGAAACACTATTCCAAATATAGGACAACCCTACGACATCATTGTTCGCGCTGACAAGGCTTCTGTCGCCAAGGACTTCTGGCTCCGCGCCATCCCTCAGGAAGCCTGCTCCGAGAACCAGAGCGTCAACAGCATCAAAAGAATCGTGTACTACGGCCCTTCTCCGTCAAGGCCGACCACCAGCCCATACTCCTACACCGACGCATGCAATGATGAAGACATGTCCAATCTTGTCCCGATCGTCAACCCCTACACAATCACTTCCAACCTACTCTACAACAAGCCTGAGCCCGTGAGCCTGGGCACAAACACCCAAAGCCTCTTCCGCTGGAATTGGAACAGCACTCCATGCACGTCACCTGGGAAGACCCGACCTTGCTAGAAATATACCGGAACCACACCTCCTTCACCAACACAAGTGGTGTGGTCCAGCTGCCTCGCACAGACGAATGGGCCTTCGTCATCATCGAGGCCACCCTCTCTGTCCCCCACCCCATCCATCTCCACGGACACGACTTCGTCGTCCTTTCGCAGGGAAGCGGGACCTACACCGCAGGCGATATCACGACCATCAACCCTCCTCGACGCGATACCGCCAAGCTCTCGGCAAATGGGCACTTGGTCATCGGGTTCGTAACTGATAAACCCGGGGTGTGGTTGATGCACTGTCATAGCGGTTGGCATACGGAGGAAGGCTTTGCCATGCAGGTCGTAGAACAGTACTCGTAGATTCGGGACTTGACTGATTATGATTCGTTCAATTCGAACTGTGAGAGCTGGGAGACTTATCAGAGTGGAAAGACCTTTGCTATTGAGGATGATTTGGGGGTTTGGGTTGTACTCTTGTCGTTCATTCTTTTGTCGGTCTTCGTGGAATGCTGGATAGGGTTAATTTCCTCTCTACTGGCGTACCTGTTCATGTAATACTTTGCCGACTTCCTGCTTAACCCAACTGTCTTAGGAGAGACGTGCGCGTGAAGTAGGTAGTATTGATGGTAGAAGCAGGTCACTTAAACTGTGTATTGAGCATCAAGTATAAGCTGGTAGGATAATCTGTCATACCACAGCAACACTCGCGTTCAAAGGTTCTCCACGTTTATGTCCCAAAATATAGAATAATCCAAGTACAACAGTTGCCGATCGGGTCTTGGCAGGGACTTAATAGGTTGGGTGTAATCTGGCACACTGGTTTCTTTTTTTGAAGGATGTTACGCAACCCAAGAGCGAATGCGATCGCTAGTTACTTGGAAGTTGGGGTAAAGTCTCCTGTAAACTTCCAACTGCAGACGACTTGTAATATCAAGAGCTAAGTGCAAAAAAAAATAGCGCAAGGAATGGCGCTGTTCAGTATGCCTTGTATATAGTAGTGTTCTACGTATGGCTCGCTCAATTCGTTTCCGTGTTGGGCGATCAGATTTCCATAAATCGTTGATGTAGTTGTCATCTGCAACCAGCCCAGTGTTGGGAATGTGATATTGATATGCCAGGGAGGTAAACATACATATTTTTGGCCACAGTCCACGGTCGTAGTCCATTGTCATCCTGGCATATAGGGTCATGATTTGGAGGAGACCCGATTCGAATGCAGAGTGGCCACTGGCTTCCTCGATAAACCATTCTCGAAGGAGGTCAAGCCGCACACACTCTACCTTTTGTAAAGGGGGATGATACCAAGATTCATTGAGCTTGCGGTACCAGTCGCGGGCCAACACCTTCTGTAATCTTTTCGTTCGAGTTAGTGTGATTGTTGATCCGGTTGCCCACGTTTAAAATCTCGCGGCAGATGGTTTGCGAGCTATAGATGACGGCCGTGAATTCTTTAGAATATGTTTCGATTCGAAGGCTCTTCACATTCAGTAGAGAACAGAAAGGAAGCATAATGGCATCTTTGTCAATTATCTCGGGCGAATTTCCGTTGCGTCCCTCCGTATCCCACCATTTCACCTCACCGATCTTCCCAAGTCGAATGATCAACTGCTTGGTAATGCCCCAACCCTTCGTAAGTCCCACGAGGTCGACAAGTCTCTTCCAAACGCAGAAGTCCCCCTTCCGCCCAGGATCAGGCAAAATAAATCTGCACAGTGAGCATGTCTATCATAGAGATGCGTAGACGATCAAATCCACGATCCGAGGCATTTTGCAAGCCACTTAGCACCCACATAGCCTCTGCCTGGATTGACGATACCCAGTGGTGTAAGAGAAGACCATCCAATTTTTCTGAGGCGAATCCATATCCAGTGGGTCGTAATGGTGCGATGCGCACAGTTGCAGGTGGCACCTCTTGTAGATAACTCTTTTACTTCTTCACAGATATACCAACTATTGCGTAGGATACGCATGTCTGTTTTTGGATGTTTCGGAGATATGAGGTCGTCGTAGTTTGTATCAGTACTTACATGGGCGAAGCATTCCCAAATCCTCTCCCATACCTCGTATGGTAGGCGTGAGAACACGGCCAGGGCTGATGCGTGAGCCATCGGTTATGTAGGCAGTTTGACTCAATGTGTTGCCTGTTCTCCACAACAGGGAAGCTGTCCTGTTCCAATGTAACAGGGTCATTCACCGCTGCAGTAGTACATGGCGTGTCCCTGATATAGCCGAAATAGTACTTGGATTGATGGTCAGCAACGGCCAGGGCCGGTGTCGGGCCATATGTCTGGCTTATCAGGGTTATCGATTACCTTGTCCCAGCGCCAGAGATACAGGGATATCAGTGTAATGATGCCAAGCACAGGACCCTGAATTACTTACTACATTACTCTCTGAATATCAAACCAATCAAAATAGCCATACTGACTATTATATTCTGTAACAGAACGAAAACGAGGCATACTAGGCAGATATAATCAAGCTGAAACCTAGAGACTAAAACTTGACAGCACGGGTATAAGCAGATGTCTGCTGAACTCCCTTGACCGCAGAACTCCAATAGTGTTCAAATTGACCCAGCAGGTCTGGTGCACTCCCAGAAAGAAAGCTTCTACTATAATGATAGCTCTCCTCCCATGTAGATTCAGGCGGGAAACTCTGATGATACTCCTCATAGAGACCACGCTCCTATATAAATATAGGAATTAGATATAACTTGAAATCAAATATGTAATATCCTCCTCAGCTGTTGACCAGCAGGGACTGACCTTGAGTATTGCTATCCACTGATAATATGGCCGGCATTTCTCCGCCCACTCCTTGCTTTGAAGCCGGCGTAGTTCCTTGTCCGAGATCTGAAACTCCTCAGGGACAGGCCCCAGCCGATCACGTATCTCATCTAATGTGGCATTGGCCCCTGGCACTCGGAAGTCTTTCTCCCACGGGTCAGTAGGCCATCGGTGTCCCTTGCTGCTTTCCGGATGCTTGTTCTCTGTATCACGGGTATCAGGAGCGGACACGGGGGGGATTCTATCTCCATTCTGAGCCTTGGAAGCCATCTTCGGATACTGCTTTGGTTGAAAGATAAACCGACTGTAGAATGAATGATACAGAAACCAATCTTGGATTGTTGGAGCAGATTACTTAGGCAGCAGGAATACTAGAAAGAAACTATAAACAGTTTGTTAAGGGTAATGCGTACCCCGCTTTTAATATCACTAATAATCTGTCAGGCTATGAAATCGCGGTTAATAAAACCCTGACGTAGTTTACCAGAGTTTCATATCAGGCTAACCCAAAATACCGACCTATAAAAGCCAAGTGACAAACCAACAAACATTTAATTATTGATAAAGTCGCATCCTCCGTCCACTGCCCGGGTATCTGTGATTCAAAGAGATTAGAGCCCTATAGCGCCTTAGAAGGAAATAGATACGCTTACTACAGGAGTAAAAAGTGATTCTAATATAATCCTAATATGATACTAATATAGAGAGAGAGATATCTAGTCAATCTCAATAGCCAATGGAATTATGATTATCCAATATTTACAAAGAGTATATGTTTCTAGATAGAAAGGAGGGATGTTGCTATCCCAGAATATAAATACTACACACAGCACTTGTCCTATACTACCTATACTGGACAGCTGTTTTGACTGAGTTCCTAAACAAGACTATCACAATTGATGTTGTCGATACTACGTGCATATTGCAGCGCTGACTTGGTATATTGTGCGCATGACTCTGTGATAATGTAGAGCCTTTCATTGCAATCCAGGCATTTGGGTAGAGATGATAAGAGTGCTAAGTCAAAAGAACTATTATGTATCTGTGGGTATATGAGACCTTTGTTTGGATCCCAACCCTAACTGTGCCGGAGAGATGGCGCATAACAAACCACTCAATACATTTTATTTTCAATGGCCAGACGGATGGGCCCCTTGACAGCTGGCTTTCTAGAACATGGGGTAAGGTGGGGCTAATCTAAATCCCAATACGACCTCGTTTAGGGGGCTGGTTCGCAAAAATAGAACCCACACCGTGGGAGAACAAATATGATCCATAGTCTCCCCCATGTGTAACCGAGCCAACCCCCCGGTTGGTTTCACCCCATCGGGGCAAATGAAGAGCTGAGAGACAACAAAGGGTGAAAAGAAGGCTGCCTCAAATCATGGTGGATCGACTCAGGTCATCGCGTGGCAGTGTTGAGGGGGATATTGGCCAATCAAGGAAGGTGTTGAGATTGGAAGATGGGCCGTTGTAACCCTACAAGAAAATCCCAATGGATATATGACTGCCTAAAGGCAAGAGACGAGAAGAAACTCTTCGTTTGAGGCGAAGCTTTTTTTTTCAGTGGACCCAGAAAGCTTGGCTTTCTCCCTTATTCGGTGTAGACTCCTAGGGCAATGGGGCCCATTGCCCTATCAGTGATTAAAGATGGCGCCCCAAACGGAGGTTATCCCCAAAGACCATCACTCAGTGAAAGGGTCCAGAACATTTCTTAACCCCTTTTTTATTTAGAGATCACGATCTGTCGAATCAGCGCCCATGGTTCTCCAGGCTCGCTTGTCCCCACCATGTGTGAGGCCAAGCTTAGGCTACCGTATTATCGTCTAGGAATATCCTTCGCCATTTTGCCTGACGATACTTAGAATGTCTAGTGACTTCTTCCTTCAGCCGTGGGATATTAGTATCGGATGGGGCTCTGCCTACCTCGTGCCCGCAGTCCTGTTTCATTCATTTCTTTTTCTAACTGGTCTATCGTTTGTTGCAATTGATCAATGTCATTATTCGTCTGTCATTGTTGACTTCCGTCCACACTCATTCTTTCTCTCTCATTAATGAATACGTGGAAAATTCTTTGTTCGCGTTGCATCCAGGCCTATATATCTCCCATCCCTTCCCTTGGACTTGCCTCGCAAGATCTAAATACGATCGGAAACTTCATACGCATCAATAACCACGATGGTCGTCCGTTATCACTATGACAAGACGGCACTCCAATCCATTACCCTGCAGCCTATCTCCAAGCTTGCCCCCTTCTCCGCCCTCATTATTTCTATAGTGCTGGTGGTCCTTTTTCTAGTGCGTTATTACGTCTTGGAGGGATTCCTCATAAAGCGGTTGTATGGCTCTATATATACGAACCTGAGTGAAGTCAATCAACGCGGATTTATCAACCACCATATTGCAGGGATCACGAAGCTTTTGATCCTCATTGTCGCCGCATACCCTTTCATAGAGGTTGTCATTGGGAAGTCATCCTTCCATACACCTTACGCCCCTGGCTCCCAGGTGAAGATGGGCGACATGCTGGTCGTGGTCGCCCAGATGCTCATCGGGATGTACGCCTTTGAGCTCATCTATCGCACGAAGCTATCGCCCATCGCGGTGCTGCACCATGTCGGAACAATCATGATTGGTCAATCCGCCATAGCAATCAGCTTGGATTTGGCTCGGGAACCAGATGCCGATATCGAGTTTGTCTTGTGCACGGTCTGGGGTAAGTGCTTCCATTTTGTCTATCTTATCGCTCCATTGCGCAAGAACGGCGTTAACCTTTCCTAGGTGCCTTCGACATCATCTCTGAATTCTTCCCTCACTTGGCTATCATCCTCTACCGCATTTTCCCCGATCGGCACCACTTCTTGAAGCGCCTCTTTCTGCTTTCTTGCATTACCACAGCCATCGGAACCACCTGCGAGACTATCGTGATCTTCTTCCTTTTCGGCTCTCTGTGGGACCGATGGCAGCTTGCCTTCAAGGTCGTCACGCCACTACTCCATATTGCCTTCTCCGCCGCCCAGGTTCACGGCAGTGTTGTCTTCTGGAAGATGTACAAGCGCCAAGAGCGGCTTTTGAAAGAAAAGTCCGGGCTAGATATTGAGAGGGAAGTCAGCCATGAATCGCAGGTTGGCATCGTCGCAACAAAGGCTGCAGCGGTTTCTAGATCTGCGGCTGCTATGGTTTAGCCCTTGGTCCTGAGGTGTATAGATTGGCTTTGGTGTTCAAGGTGTCGTTGTATGTGGCATATTGCCGCTCGTTTAGAAAACTTTTCTCTATTTATTCACGCCTAGACATGTGACATTTGTTCTATACCCGATCGCGATAAAGATGTAGTCCATAGACCAGACTACCGTTCTATATTCATGAAATTATGTGAAGTGTAGCCAAGTCGCGTAGTGATCACCGTCTGAGCGGAGTAAAAGGGTACTGTACTGCTTTAACACAGCCTCGTTAATCCTAAATATTTCTGTTTAATACGACTCCTAGATATTTCGTAATCCTCTGAGTCCCCCTCATTTCTGTGACTTTTACAAGGTAGCCTAGAGGCCGTTCCGCAGGATTATACCCTTCCCATATTCGGTCCTCCAACGGCGTAAAACTCAGATATCATCCTACGCTAGAAGTAGTATGAACGGTCTTTTCACTGCCACTCATACGACAATAACAGCTGCAAACACAGACCCGGAACATCACATCGTCTCGGGATCGTAAGAGCAGCGTGTGAAAAACCTAGCTTTGCGTTCACGCTGATTGATCCACAAGACTCCGTTAAATTTAAGTTGGACTTTGTTAGAGCACTATTTTATACGCCGTCCGAGCTTCCAAACAACGATTTTATCGTGTAACTTGGAAGGCATTATCAGCCCAGTATTCGTACTCCGAGTAACACTAAAGGGATATCTTTCTCCCGGTAGTCTTTAGAAAGGGCAAGAGGGGTTGGTTTTGGGAGGTTTCGAAAGCTGGTGTATTGTTTGTTTTAATTGGCGGATAGCTGTTGCAATCTGCTGTTACTAGGTAGACAATGCAATAGAGTCAATTGGAGGGCCTTAGTGTGTTTTCAATCCTGAAAGATAAGCTTCTCTATGGGCTAAGATGTCCTACATTGAAGTGTAGGAACGAATCATTATTCTGGCCTAGACACTCATTCGTCTAGTTGTCCTTTTCGACTCGGCGCACTAATATATCGGTATACTCGGGAGGAAGGAAGATCTCCGTATTTTGATATAAAGCGGAGTTCCCAATTACTGCTTTCTATATGCCATTCGCGCATCTCTGTTTCCACGTTCTATTGGAGGGGTTGGATGTTGCCCAAGGATTGTCACTAGCTTCTAGTTCAATTTCATTGCTAGGTAGCCTTCTTGTCTTTAGGCTTTCGGCAGGGTGTGTCCATTCTCATCATCAGATATCAATATGATCGCCCGCGCTTTGGTTTGTTATCGCTCGGGCCATTAATAACGAGATAAAGGACGGCGTGTATTCACATCTCTAATACGCTCGGCTAGATTAGCGTAGTCGGCTTCGAAATTTGGAGGCCATACAGGATCACCTGTGTTCCGGGGAGTGAGATAGGGTTAAGAATAGTGTGCAACGCGTAGAATCCGATAGCCGAGGACAGCTCCCCACTGGGTGCCAGCGCGGCTAATGATCTGAGTCGCAGCGGAGGGAGGGAATCAGAACAAGTGCTGGAGACGTTGGTAGCGTCATCGTACTCAGTAGAGATAATAGACGTAGGACTACCCCCTATAGATTCTTCTTCTTCAAACTCCTGATCACTACTATCGCTAACGGTGATCACCCGCGATTCTCCAAGATCTGCGTACTTGTCGTGGGATGCGCGGATCAGTCCGCCGAGACTTACGGGTCGAGCTCAGTGTACATGGAGACTGACTGCGTGGCGTTGAATATACGCCCATCGCTCAAGTCCCCGGCCTGGCGCCTTTGTAAACTTGCAACCGTGTGATTCCTGGATATCGATAAGTGTATAGCAAGCCAGAATGTAGAGGTGTGATCCTCAATTGTTATGAGATGTAGCCATTTGGCGGTATCCGTCACTAGGATCCGGCGATCTATGAGCGCCAGTCCCAAGGGAGACCAATTCTAGTAGTCTCGTTGTGAAGTGGGTCCCATGGAATCACATAGCTTAGGCCGCATTCTCCCCTTGTACGGCACAATGTGGAACCGTGCTTTAGGCGATAGTCACCTAAGACGTGATTGATGCTCTCCTTGGGTCGGCAATGTACCTTATATAGAAACGAATCAACCCTAACTTTCATCAGAAGAGGAATGAGGATTTTGATATACTCGATTCTGTTGCGGTCAGTCAACCCGGGTGCTGGATTATCATCTATGCTGAGCATGGGTAGTCTACTGGACCGGTCCAGACTAGGCCTTCCGCTGTGTATGCGTCGACCGTATCTTGCTTATGGGGCTGTGGGCACGTCGCAGTTACATGTTACGAGCAATATTCGGCGTTGTCACAGTAAAGCGTCCGTGGCGCTAAGATTGTCACTCGCCGTATACGCAAGATAAACAGGCCAAGTAATGAAATGAATGACTGGTTTCGGCGTTAGGTAAAGATCCTCATAGAGGACAAAATCGAGCATAGGCGGATACATATCAGGAGTGTACAGTGAGCTGTCGGTTTCGAGGTTGTTGCCGAGTAGAGTTTCTCCTGAAAATTGGTTGACCGTCCAGGATTTCTCTGCACCAATCTGTTGACCCAATAGCGCATGGTAGCCCACATACACTTCATGGCTCATCCATTTCGTGAACAGGGTCGTCGAAGATCAGTTCTCAAAGTTAAGATGGTTGAAAGACATTGCTGTCCATTATCTAGAGTACAGTATTCTGAGCCCGAGAGATGAGACCATAAAGAACAGGAGACGAGAAGAAACTCACCTTATATATTGGGTGAAGGCTAATCTGTGAACAGAGGTGACACATTAACGTGAATTCCACCTATTCAATAATATGAAATATAGACACCAGTGCATAATAGCATTCCGTAAATTCTTCGCTTGTCCCCCTAGAGTAATTAACTATTCCTTATAGGCTATAATTCCTCATTGTCTATACAGACAGCTAAACAGTCCTTACATCCAGGATTTAGACTCAGACTTGCATGCCTCCACCAGTCTATAGCTACTAAAGGACATTACACATCTCAGATCTTTGGTGTTGAGCTCGTCGACTGAGAAAGCTACCAGATCTGGCTCGCTGTCTGCCCTTGGTCAATCCTTAGCACTTCATAGATTAGCAACTAAGCTTTAGCTCAGCAAGGTTCCTAACCCCCACGGGAGTGATGCCGGAGAGAAAGTCTTGAGCTCAAGGGGAACATATTCGGTGCACTGTTCCAATTACCACCATGGACTCGAGCAGGTCTCTAGATCGAAACACGGAAACTTTTAGAGTCTGCTCAGCAAGCCAGTTACACAGGAGATGCAAGTTCAAACCACCACTAGCTGTACTTAATCGAATACAATCCTAAGCACCGCATCAACCCAGTCAAAAAGATGCTCGGTATATTATACTAACCATCAAGTACCAGCAGTTCAATCAGCATACCAGTCAAGCGATGACGGCAATGCTTTAATCATCCCATACGCTACACTCCAATGGGCTGTATCGATAGATCAACGCAGTCGGAAACTTATCTTGCTTGAATGCAATGCCAGATTCTTCACCGCATACTTCAATGCTCCGCTCGGGTTGAATTTCGGTGCTCTAATGGGATTCGCACCGGAATAATGGGTGTAGCGTAGCGTACACCCTTTTCATCCTTCGACAAGATACAGGACAAACTCAGGTTGGATTTTGTTACAGCTAGCGCGATCGCCTCGCCCTGTATCGGCGTGGGTATCCTCTCTTGAATAGAGACGCATGCAAGCTTCTTTTCAAGGACTTCGGTATCAGAAAACCAACCCCGATTCACTTCCAGGCGAGACGCCCCTTGGGTAAAGCTACATTGGTGGTCCCCGGGTCATGACTCTGCGTGTTACATTGCTGAGTTACTAATCTATCCAGTTAGTTCAGTGATTTACTCTAGTGTGGTCGTGTCACTATGGGGCGATGTATTTTCTTTTTGTTAGTTATTGACTGCTTAATAAATACCCCGGACATAGTGAGCCGGGTTGACACGGCTCCATTTCAAAGACGCGGTCCGAACACACCCGACGATGAAGAGGAAGGGATTATCAATTAGTCTTTGACTGACTATTGGCTTTTATATAGAATTGTTGACCCAGAAAGGAGGCAGGACGGAAGTATGGGAGTATCACCTGAGTCAGAAGCTTTTCGATGTAGTTGATAAAAACACTTGCTACACAGATGTTCGGAGGACCCTATAAACTCAAGTCTCTTTAAATAAGAAGACATTAACTTGGAGAGAAAGATTTTTCTCAAGGAGAATAGAAATCCTTCCACGAATTCCTTACTATCCATCGCGACTTAGTTAGTTTACCGTACTGATCCCAAAAATAGATCTGCAAATACGTTGTTGAAATCATACTACAAAGAAATATATGTAAACACAGATCGTGAATTATGTGTGCATCAAGGCTAGTTCAAATACGCGCCCTTAGTTTCTTCATGAACCACATCAAACAGCGGCTTCGCGCTGAAGTATCCCGCCAACGGCGTACCAACCGACTTGTATGTAAAAGCAGCATCCGCATCGTCGACCTTGATGGTCTGTCCTCCACGTCCTGCGGCGGCCGCATCGGCCAGTAACTGCGCGTAGCAGCACTTCTCCAAGCTCACGAACCAAAATACAGTCTCTTCGATGGTCCGACCGACCGTCAACAGGCCGTGGTTCTGTAGCAATGCGGCCTTCTTGTCGCCCAGTGCAGCGGCGATGTTCTTTCCTTCTTCCTCGGCGAGGACGATGCCGTTGAACTGTTTGTAGACAACATGGTCCTGTGATAGAGAGTGAGCGGTAGAAACGAGCAGGGAAAGGGGAGGGCAGCTAACGTTGTAAAAAGCACACGCATCCTGGGTGATGATATCCAACGGCCGACCAAGGGTACAGAATGCACGACCGTGCAGACTGTGGCTATGTGCTGCGCAATTGACCTCTGGGCGTGCAGCATGGATGGCGGAGTGGATCATAAAGGCCGCGGCGTTGAGCAATCGGCATGGGCCGCCATCGATAACCTCCCCGGCGTGGTTGACCAGGATTAGGTCGGAGGCTTTGATCTGCGAGAAGGCGACGCCGAAGGGGTTGACCCAGAAGGTGTTTGGGTCGACGGGGTCGCGGAGTGTGATGTGACCAGCTACCCCTGTATTCAAGTATTGATATATAGTGTGAGCATTCAATTTATGTTTTAGATTTCCAGCAAGCATAGAGTAGGGCCGGTGGAGGAGCCATACCCTCGTCGTATCCGTACTTTCCGAAGATGCGAAAGGCTGCCGCAAGTCGGCCTTTTAGGTATTCGCGCTCTTCCGTCTTGTCTTCGAAGACAGGTGGCTTCGGGATGTGCATCTTCACTTTGGCCTTCTCAGCACTGGCTTCTTGGGTGGATTGTCGAGCTTGGAGGGTAACGGAGGAAGTTTCGGTTGCGGTGGGAGGCGCCATTTTGACGTCTGTTCTTGGCTCGTTTTATTTTATTTTTATTTTTTTCGGAGACAATATACTGAAGACTTTTACGAATGCAAGTGAAGTACGGTAGATAGTCGTTGGGAGAATGATGAAGATGTAAGATGAAGGTGGAGATGGAGATGGGCAGGGTTAGGGTTGCTTATCCGATAAGGAGAAAACGCGGGGTAAAAAATTTATGGATAGCAAATAGAGTTACCCGATCAAGTCCCGAGGTTGATCTCAAAGTTGATGAGCAATTTGATTAAATATAATCAGTAATTCCAATAGGTTTACATCATTCCGTCGGTCTTGGGCACGCTGCCGATCTGATCCACCCATGCCTCCCGACGTTTACAAAAGATCTCGATGGCTAATTCTAACTCACCACGGGGCTCCTCGTCCAACGTCCCCGCCTTGACCACAACGATGCCTTTCCCATCCGGCTGCGCGTTCAACGGGGTCCCGCAGTCCCCACAGAAATGCTTCTGCACTGCGTTACCTGATTCGCCGGTAGTGTCGACGTAAACCTTGGGAGACCCGGCAGTATAGGTGAAGGTGGGTTTGGGAATGATAACGTTGGTGGAGAAGGCGGAGCCCGAGTTCCGCTTGCAGCCGTTGCAGTGGCAAATAGCAACCTAGAAGGAGAATAGCAATTTAGCCCAAGGCTGATCTACATTGAAAAGAACCACGGCGATAGGGTGTTAAGCTTCGGTACCTTGGGGGTTGGGGTGTCAGCGGGGAGGTCGATGCGGTATGTGATCTTCTGGCATAAGCATGCACCCGTCAGAGATTTGGCAGCCATGGTGCTCGTCTTGTTTCTTGTGTGATTCAATGGAGAATAATCTGAAAGATTGTAAATTGAGAGTTAGGATATGCCCCGATGTCAAACAACAGGTGAGCGCGGGGTTCCATCGTATTGACGATGGGACAACAAATAAATACCATTAGTAATGCCTAAGAAAAGATCCTATAATACGAAGTAGTAAGATGCATTGATAGCAAGGCCAATCATACGCCTCACAATGGCAATACTCCCATCGGGGTTTGGTGTATTTCCAACATCGCGCCCCACAGCTTCTGATCGGACCCACTGAAGTCGCTCATCCCCACCTTACCAATAAATGGCCTCAACACTGGTTCGCAAACTGTATCCGGGGCTGGTAGTGACCCGGTTTGAAAGTATTGACGGATTAGTTGGCTGACGCAAAGAGAGGGGGCTGCCGCTGTAGAATGCTGTCGATTCCCATTAGCATGGTATTCGAGTATCTTCCCAATATATATATATATATATATATATATATATATATATATTTGATTAAGATTATATTAGAAGCTTACCCCCTCTGAATCTTGCTGTAGTACAACCGATCCAGGGAAACTTTGAGACATCTTCTGCGCACTGCGGGAGGTTAGCGACATGTACAGGCAATGGAAGAACAGATAGACCATACCTTCGCAGCGGAGTCACTGGGTCAAGCGTGGTGCTGACGAAAAGTAACGGGTGTGAGGTATGGCCCCCGTACGGTCCTGAGCAACAATATTAGTCCCATCGTTCAGGACCATGAGATCGTCGGTAGGACAGCTTACCGGGAAGCTTCCACTTCGCAGTCACGTTCCATCCTACACAGCCCATTGCCAGTGACGCCCAATAGTCGCCTATGGCGATGCTTTCCTCCCGTCGTGCGTACCAATACCGCTTTAATTCCGCTTGGTCCATCGTAGCGAATTGGTCCACATCCGTACAGAGGATGGCCACGCTGGCGTACAATTCATTCTCGGTCGGTACTTGACATGCTATAGACCAAGGGCCCGCGTCATTACAGCCGAGCGTGGGGCAGGATGGAGAGCGTAAACGGGTTTTAGCATCGGCCATGGCGGACGCGTCGCCGTGGGCCAGTCCGTTTACGTATTGCGCGAGGAGAGGAAACGTGGCGAGAGGCTGGTACAGAGCAACGCGCTGGGCGATCTTTAAATCGGTCCAGGTCACCACCTCCGGGCCACGCATGTGCGTCGCGGTCACCGGGAAAGATGCATTGTAGAGGGCGCTTTCTACCTGAAGGTAGGCCTCCTTGATGGCGGACGGCCCGCCACGGACGTAAAAAGGACACCCCTCGGCGCCCGCTTGGTCGCAGTAAACCGTAAATCGGTCAAAAATAGCATCTGCATCGACCACCCCGCTGGATCCCCCCTGCTTTCCGCCCCCGTAGTACCACTCAACATCGACGACCGCATCCAGGACCGCGCGATCGATACGATTCGGGAACATTGTGGCGAACGTAGAGCCTAACACGGTTCCGTAGGAACGGCCCCAATAAAGAAGCTTCTCTTGGCCTCGCTTCCATGTAGTCCGCTTGATGATTGACTGCGTGGGGTCATAGCCCAGGACACGGTCGCGTCGGTTCTGTTCCACCCGCCCTTGCCTCTCCCGCCATTCGGCGTGTCGTTCCGTGATCTCTAGCATGTCACGGGCCACCGGCGGTGTGTTCATATGTTCCCCAAGCGCGTCCCCAGTCCCAGACACCGTGGTGAGTGTGGCGGAGCATCCAGTGTTGAGGGCGATACTCCTCTGCCAGCTGCGCATGAAAGAGCCTTCGGAGCTACCAAGCATACCCTCGGCCTGAGCTTGCAGTTCCCAGTTCTTCTGGGAGAATATATTGGGGAAGCAACTGAATCCCGGGGTCGTGTTATTGACCCCGCGCGGATCAAATCCAATAATATCGAAATATCGATCAGGCGTTTCCTGTTCTCCAATGGTCGGATCCGTCTCCGCATCCACAATGGTCTGCAAGGCGCGCCCAACCTGAAGTACCTGGAATACCCCGGAGCCTCCGGGACCGCCTAAGCTTCGCGTTACCAGTTGCTCGTCAAGGCCATTGGTCAAATACATACCGGGGTTGATGAGGACTGCACCACCGTAGCGAGGATCCGTCACAGAAACCTTCGCCGGTAAGCGCGTGATGGCGATAGCGACACGACTGCCCTTCCCGTCCGGGCGGTGATAATCCATAGGCACCTCAAGGCGTGCGCATTGAAAGCCATGGAAGCAGTCATGATACTGCAGCGAGGACGAGGGAGTGATCTAGTCGGGTTAGTCATTTGACTTAAGGCTTCTTGCGGACCAACTGCACCCACCTGGTCCCAGCTGAACTCAGATCCTGGTAAGTCGTTCGTCCCAGCATTGACCGAGGGAGCCATCCACCAGAGAGGTACGGTCAACACCATCAACGCGAACGCGACGGGACAAACCGTCTTCCTCCATGAGGGCCTGGTCTGACGCAGCGAAGGCTGGACATGTTGATAGTCTGTAGATTTCTGCCGTCTCTGTTTCTCCATACGTCCAGGACTCATTGTTGACACAATGAGTCGACCGCCAGCCAAGTCGAAGTTCAACTACGTTCAGTTCGAGATATCAGGTGGGTTGGGTTGCAATCAACTACACACCATCTGGCCTAGTCAGTCCTAGCCACAAATGAGAGGAGGGAGGATTCGGATGATAAGAACTCTATGGTTGATGATTGGACTGCAGATTATCGGCAGAAATGTGGGAGGGGATCTGCATAGTGGAGATAAGCCGGATCTGTTCTGAGACTTACTATATCCGTTGTCATACCTCCGGCTGCCACATTCCAGTTCGATGCCTCAAGTCGTCTAAAGTATTCGAAATATATGAAGGTTGGTGGGTGAGGGGGGGGGGGAGAAAAATAATAATAATAATAAAAGGGTTCCGGATGGGTTGAAAAAGAAAGTATTGTCATTAGTATCGGCGTGGCCTACGTGATCGCAAATACATCCTTCATGCCCGTAAACATTTTCAAAATAAATATCCCTTGGATGAGAAAAGCAAGGTCGAGTGGGCATAATTCACTCGCCGCCCTTGCTGCTACGTGCAATCCTTTCCCTCCATTCTCTCTCTCTCTCCCTCTCTCTCAGTCTCTCTCAGTCTCTCTCAGTCTCTCTCTCTCTCTCTCTCTCAGTCTCTCTCTCTCTCTCTTCCTTTGTCTCTGATTTCCCCCGTTCTTTTGCTCTCTCTGGTGCATTCAAGAGGTATTGATCTTGGTCCTCGCGCGGAATACGTACATCCGATGTGACATCCGAGATTCGATATCGGCCAGTATCCCGATTTGTCTGCGGTAAACACCCTCGCGAATGAAAGGTTTACGGGTGGCCTTGTCTCGTAGTTCCCTCAGCATGCCATCCCGTAGTTTATCGACCCGGCCTTCTCTCGCAGTTCCCTCAGCATGCCATCCCATAGTTTATCGGCCCGGCCTTCGTCCGCGAGAGATCCCAGCATGTTTTCCTCCAACAATGATCGGTGGGTTGTAAAGTCGCGCAAAGCTTCATCACCGTCCTGTCTAGCGGCTCGAAACTGTTGATCTGCAACCCTTGGTCGATCGGTTATTTTGGTCTGGCTTTTCGCGAAAGTGCAGAAGTTGCCCCATGACCTGTGTTCGTCTCGCAGATTCGGAACGGGCGGCCCATTTCTTGAGGATATGGTTTGGTGGATCTCTCTTCGCCTCATCTATCTTGCTCGTGTCCGAAGTATAGAGTGACTACGGTCGCCCAAAGCGCGACCGCAAGGAGCACATCCAATGGTTGCAGTTCGGATAGGACGACGCCCGAGTTCGTATTGGTTCTAGGGTTCGAGTATATCCTTTGCTCGCGCTGGATCCGCTATCGCCGTTGTGATGATTACGTGATGTTTTACCTTTGGGAGGCCGGTTGGCTTTCGAGTACGACCTTTCCGTGGAAATAATCGCCGCATCAGTCGGGTTCTCGATCTTCGGAGAAGGAGAGATCGTTAACCGCGGTGCTTTGCAGGGGCGATCTTCGGTTGAAGGTGGACAGTAATGTCGCGTCTACGCCGTTGTGCCGTTGTGCTTCAGTTAGCGGCTGCTCTTCCGGTGCAGGTTCACTGCGTGGCTTTAGTAAAGGTGCGGTCCTTGCGCGCACGCGCCTCAACGTATTCTGCAGTTCCAGGATCTCTGCTTCAAGACCAGCCTCGTCTGTATCCGAGGCCATGGCGCGTCCTTCATGCAAGAGCCACGGTCACACGGGCAAAGTCGAAGTCGGGTCGTTCCAGGTGCCGGTACCCGGTGGGGTAGGTGAGAAGCGATGCAGCAATTTCATCGTGCGTCCTGTGTTTAGAATGAAGATGTTGTGCTGGTCTGGGTCTGTTACTAACGTAACATTTCACTGTTTTCGCCTTCGGCTCCGTTTCACTGACGTCACGTGGTCCCACGGCGTCACTTTTCCCTTTTGGGGTACGTCAGTTCATACTACGATCCTATTGGCCAATTGTGGATATTCGACCATATTTGCTTTACGAGTAGTCATAAGTAAGTAAACTTTACCAAGTCCTCTGTATAGATTAATTCCATTCGGCGGATAATCCTTGATCAAGCCGGACATATTCGGAAGTGTCCATGCGTCAAGCATGGATAAGCATCTTGGGGATCCACCCTTTCAAATGAACATCTACCTAGCATTGTCTCAGTTGACTGTCACTTGATCAGGAGAGAAAGAAAGAAAGAAAGAAAGATAGAAAGAAAAAAAATTTTATGATAGGAATGTTTTTGTTCCATTCGGAATGCGACTCCAGCAGCAAATCTGACGCCCAGTGAGACCCTCAAAAGTCCGGAAACGGTCAGGCTCTTGGCAAAAAGTAATACTCCTTGACTGACTTTTCTTTTTAGTCTGGTTTACTTACTCTCTGGTCTGACCTCCGATCCTCGCAACGGCACTTCAAATCGTGATCTCCCGGGCTCAGTGGGATGATCACTTCATCAGAAGATTTCATGTCGATCCGGATATGATCATTGATTGCCAAGCAGCAACAGGCATCGGCAACCCCTCACTGGATCTCGCTGTGTCGATCATTTCAACCTGCAAAACCCTGCTTGATTTCTTCATCACTTCATTTAATTTCGTGTATCGATCAGCCACCCGCCGTCATATCAACCTCTACCTCTTCCACCCACACTCCCCCCCTTCTCTCTCTTGGCTTACCA